GAATAGTGGTTTATGCAGTTATCATTCTATATTAGTATTGAACTACCGTATTAAAATTAAAAAATAGATAGAAGAATCCTTGAAAGTCTGCTCTTTTGATCAGAAACTATAAGGGATTGTTGGAAAATTAATATTAAGCAATATTGATTTTATATAAATATGATTTCTTAAGTTTAGGATTTGTATTAACTTATCTACAACAAACTTGTAAATAAGGAATCTCTTGAACCATCCTTACTCACTAGACTACACACTTAGATCTTCTTGTAGAATATGGAATAGAATTGTGAATTAGAAGAATTTTACTATGATATTCTAAGAAAACACATCTAAAGTCATCATTCAATTTCTCCTGAATAATTGGAAATATTAGTTAATGTTGTGTATTATCTTGGTATATTCATTAATTAATAGACACTATTTACTAAGGCATTCCAAATTATTAAAGAAAATTTAATTGATAATCAGCCAATTATTTAGAATTCATTATATTTGAACATCCTTTAAGCTTGCGGCTCATAAAAGATCTGTTTAAAACAAGGACATTAATTTGTCAACATAGATATCAACAACAATTATTTCAAATCACGATTTCTTACGCCATACCTTGATTCAATAACCTAAAGAATACCAAAAGATCATATTATATAATTCATTGAGAATGAATAACAAAAAATCAAATCACTCCATCCTGAATCAGAGAATTATGTAATATAAGAGTTGAAATTCTTCATTATTTAGTAATAACTTAAAACTGTAGATTTCAAAAAAAATTCTTAAGAATTACTTGATTTATTCAATTTTCTTCAAATTGAAGATAAATACCAATACAATCTCAAGCAAAAGCTTTCTAATCTATAAGACAAGGATAATTCTATCAATTCTTTTTATTAATTAGCAATCAAATATAAAGAATTTCTTTAGCAATATCTTGATTTAGAATTTGAGTAATTCTTTTCATTGTTTAAAGAGCAACTAAATAATATTTAGAATTTCTATTAAAAAGAAAAGCATATGTTAATTGCATTAAATGAAATAATTGAAGAATATTTAATAAAGCACGATTGCCTACAAAATTTGCTTGAAACTTCAGATGAAAATATAGGTTATTTCTCATAATGCATGATTTAATCGATTGATCATTTTATTAATTTAATGATGGAAAAATTGTTCAAATTAGTTTCACCTTACAGATCTAATTTTAATTTATCTCTTTAAAGAGCAAAAGTTAATAAAATGTCTTAATATCATCATAAATTAGTGGATAAATATAAATTAAGAGAATTGGAAAAATATTTAAAGATAGCTTAAAATTCAATCAGCCCTTTATATTTACCATACCCATAATTTATTTCTTAGACTGCTGAAATAATCTCAGATATTCCACACTAATTACACCAATATTTGCCTAAAGAAGACAAAAAAAGATATGAATTATCTGTTTATGGTTATGCTGAAGTTACATATAAATAAGATTATACACTGGTCTTAAATACAAAATAATTGGTTTCTCTGTATCATTTGATCAATAATAACCATAAATAAATTGATGAATTTAGTTTGATTCTTTTTTAGAAATTCGGTTTAATAAATGCTGAAGGAAATATAAATAATGACTGGTAACCAAGTCATAAATGTTTGATATTATTTAAGTGAGAGTTTAATAATAAAATACTATATTTTCTTAATTCTGCAAATTAAAAATCAAATCATTTCTAACAAGTTGATTTTATTCTCAATTGCTTTCTCTTCAGTTATTTGATTGTTTACATTATTATTTTTATTTTTTTTATTTAAGTTAAAATTAACAATTCGATAGGAACTGTAGAAAATGAAGTTAATATTTAGGAAGCGAAGATTTCGATACACATGAAATGATTTTGAATATAATATTTAGCTAACATAAGATTATTCAGTAAGCTGTTAAAAAATAAATGGCATATTTTATGATTAAAATTATTTTTAATGGCTCATCACATGTCTTAATATAAATTAGGTTTTATTCAGTTACTATAATTAGATGACTTAATATGTTTGAAGTTATTTTTTAGAATCTATGTTTGTAAATTCAAAAATCTTAGAAATGAAGAGACGTAAGTGATGAGTTGTACCATAACAAATCTTTAATTTTATTTTTCAGTTGCTCTCCAATTTATTACATATTACAGTTTCTGCTTGATAATTACAATAAATTTCGAATTAATGATATCAGATTTTCGTAATTCATTACAAAATTAATTAATATTTCAACCTTATCATTTTTAATAACTGAATATTGATTTAAAAATACAAGGTTACTCTTGAATCTTTTTTTTGGATTTAAAAAATAATTCTAGTATTATTTCAAAAATTATTTTTTATATAACAATTTAAAAAATGAAATACCTAATTCTTATTGTAAATATAAATACAAGATGAACCTATGTTAATGATGAATAATTGCTATCTAATAACCAATGAAATCTATATATATTTGTTAAAACTCAGTTTAATTTCTAAAGAAATAAGAAATATTATAACATTAAAACTTAATATGATTATTAAAAATGAGGACCAATATTTATAAATTTTTTGACATATCTGATCTAAAAATATCATAGACAATAATTGGATTACTAAAATAGAGAGGAATAATTCAATTTTCATCATATGTTAATATCCCATATCAATTGATGCGATTATTTCATTTTAGTTCTATAAAAATAAGATTTATAAAAAATTAGTTTAAGAGAAATTTAATATATTGTTTTTTAAGAATTAATAATAATTGCTGATTAATTTTGAAATTTACTAACAAATTAAGTCGATAAAATGTTTTACAATGTTCTGTCAAAACATAAATAAATCTTTTAAATTTTTTTTAATATAAATTGATTTATCGGATGAAATCAGAATAAATTATATTACGTGACAGTTACACTATATTAGTGTATTTTTACTTATCTTTCTAATTGATTATTAATTTATGCTCAATATAATTAACTAAGGTGCTCAAAACGCATATAGAGTATAAGGCTTAAAGAAAAGAACCACAATTCATGTGTAGAAAGACAAAAGCATTGATTTTAGAAAAATAAAGGGAAAATTTGTATTTGAACCTTCAAAAACAATATAATCATAATTGGATGGATTTTTTGTATCTATCATTGTAATCATAATCTTAGTTAATGCTAAAAAAAAATGGATGGGATAGGAAGTTAGGGTTCAAAGGATTTAAAGGAACATTTAAGGTTGAACATCTGATCATGATCGAAACAAAACTTAGGGTTTTATTTCCACTAAGAGAGCTAACAATAGTGGATACACAGATGGACAGAGAGCATCTGATTATATTACGATAATGGTTGGCTTGGCTCCAACCAAAAAAGTTGACTCTAGAATTTCAGCAGAATGAGATAGATGATTAGGATTTTGAAGAATTTATCTACTATTTCTTTGAAAGAGATATTGACCTAAAGAGAGTACCTTCTTTTATTTAATTTAGCTATACATAATCAGTAATCCAGGAATTTATAAAGGGCAATTGCTAAAATAACTTCGAGTGTATTTAAAGGAAAAAAATGATAAAAATGAATATTATGATTACGAATTGCTGATGAATAAAGATTCTAAATCAATTGCAATTATAAAACTAGAGAAAATGTGGACCAACCAAGAAAAGAACACTATAATTTAATAAGCACGAGAAAAAATTGACTAAACTTGCTTTTATTATTTTAATTTGTAGAAATGCTTTACCGAAAGCAATTATTAAGGTTTCGAACATTTAATTCAATTGACATATGATTTAGATAATTTAGAGTAAATTTGTGGGTTAAATGCATCAGATAATTATTTAGGAACACTAAATAGTTTCTAATAGACATGTCAACACTTATCAACAGCAAAGGGCCTACTTGAATTAAAACTTAAATCACAAAAATTATTAGATTACTCAACTACAATATCGTCTTTAGTTGGAGACAGGTATGATAAATTAAGAGTCAATTTATTTGACATATCACAAAATAATTCAATGCTGGAGAAGACCTTTGGAATTTTGTCTAATGAAATATTTTTGCATTGTAAAGAAGTCGTTTTTGATGGTGTCTTAACCTAACAATTAAGCACATTATATAAATTAAGTTTTTTAGCTGAAGCAGTCAAACTTAGAACAGATTATTTAAAAGAAGAAAGTATAAAACGTAAGTGCTTTGTATTATTCTAGGTGGTAAATTAATTAAACACAACTTTCGAACAATGAATTTATCAACAGTTGAAAACTATAATAGACATGATCTAGTAGAAAAGTTTCTTTCAAGTCTTGTTTTTACTGAACATACCAATATTAAATTATTATGTATTTACAGTAATTTATTTATAGACATCTAAAATTGTGATATAGGCAGATTGGAAGCTTGGACAAACACCTTTATAAAATTTAAGGAGAGAATTATAAAAGAGCAACCAAAGAACCCCTTGCTTAAAGACTACAAATTACCCATAAAAACTATTGTTCTTCCAGCTTAAACTTATAGAATGGAACCATAGTATATTAAGAGGTTTTTTTATGAGTTCTTTTTTACAAAGAAAGGTAGCATTTTAGAAACATAAACTTTTATAATGGAAAGTTGTTTTAAATAAAATGGAAGGGAAGAGGGAATTTTGGATTCATGTGAAGAAATATATAAGAAGATACAAGATGGAGATGAATCGATGAAAAATGTTGAGTATACTATTAAAAAAGTAAAAATGAAGAGCACAACTTGCGACTTTCGCTTATCTTTATATAAATGCCTAATCCTAACTGACAATTTTAAATTAGAAGAACTAATCATAGAAGATGAAGGAATGGAAGAGACTATTACAGTGTACAAAGATGCCACATTAGCATATTTCTAAAAATAGCCTTCTGGATTTATTCACAGTTTAAACTCTCTGCAATTTATTAGCTTATCTTCGATAGCATTTGAGATCTATTAATTCTTAGAATTATTTGTTTATCATGACTAACTAAGATTGAAAAAATTAATTTTAAAATCTCTTACGTTTGAATAAAAGGATGATTTTAAGGAAAATTTTGAAGGAATCATCAAAAGCAAAGATCAACAATAATTTTAACTTTCAATAAAGGAATTGTAAGTAGAGCAACTAAAAGAAGATTGTGCTTAAATTAATTTCATTAAATATGTTATTTTTTCAAAATTTTAGAGAATAGAAAAATTGAGTATAGGTCAATTTAATTTGGACACGCTTGCTGATTAAATTATTTAGATATTAGAAGAATTATAAATTTAACACTAAAACCAATAAGAAAACAATGAAAAAGAGGATCCAAATGAAAATTCTAAAGAGAAACCAATAAATGATAAATAAATAAACCCAAATGATAATAAAAAGAAGAAAAATTTTTATGTTTTTGAAAACTTAAGATATCTAAGTTTAGTCGAAATTGCAATTACCTCCTAAAAAACATGGAATATTATATTTCAACAGATCATTTTCAACCCCTAAATTAAGTTATAAGAGTTAGTTTTATCTAAGATTAATCTAGATGAAATTTTTATTAAAGCTTTGGATGAAGCAACTAAGTCTTTAATTGATACTTAAATAAAAGAAAACTTAGAGCAGATTTCCGATACTTCAGACTTATTGTTCTAATATTAGAATCTATTATTGGAAAAACCATAGGACTTAGTTCTTAAGGGGATATTTGATTTGTAAAAATTATCATTTATCGAATGTAAAACTGAGAAAGATGTTTTAACCCCTTTCTTAATTCTCAGTACTTTAAATGAAATAACATTTAAATAATGTGATGGATTAAACAAATCTATTTAGGAAACCTAAGAAAAGTTTACAAAAAACCCTGACTATCAAAAATTCAATCTTGTTTCAATTCAAACTTTAGTATTCGAGAAAATTACCTTAGAAGAACAATAATTTTAATGGTTTTTGGATGAAGTAGTTTTTAACAAAGATAGGCAATAAGTTAAGAATTTAACATTTAATAATTGCAATTTGAATGATAATTTGCTGAATATTTTATCTAATCAGATCAAAAAAATTAAGAGTATTGCAACATCATTTAGAAGATATTATAATTTAAGAACAATAAATCTTCAAGAAAATCCAAAGATCAGTGAAGCTGCTTGGGTTGATTTTTTTAATAAGTTGATGGAATAAAAGGCTCAAATTTAACTGGAGTAAAATTAGAAAGAAGAAAAGAAGAAGGATCTCTTTGTTATTCAGAGTGATAATGAAGAAAATGAAGAGGAAATTGATTCTAAAAATGTCCTAAATAATAAGAAAGAAGACTAGCAACAAGATATTGAAGATTTGTAATAAAAGGAAGATAGCATTGATAAAATAGCTCTTTCAAATGCTGAATTTGTATAAAAGAATGAACTTTAAGTTAAAGATAAAATAATCAACAATTTTGAAATATTCAAACCTGCATTTCCTTCAAATTTGCAATATGTTTCTCTAAATCTAGATTTTAGTACTATAAAAGAATAAGAAAAAAAGGATAAACTGTATTACAATATTATTGTTGGCTTAATTATTAATACTGAAAGCTAAGTTGACAATATTAAACTATAAAATGTTGATTTAGGTCTGTTTATGTCAAACGTTTAAAAAGCTCAGTAATTGATACAAATACTAGTGAATAATTGTTATAAAGGAGAGGCTAAAGAATTTAAAAGTAAAATTTAAAAAATAGAATTCAGTGCTAAACCTGCAACTGAGAATGATATCAAGTTGTTTGTAAAAACATTTATTTGTTCAACTCATATCTAATTAAGGTCACTAGATTTATATGGATTTGATAATCAAGGTACAATATCATAGATCTTAAGTTAATTGTCTAATAGATCTGGATATGTGTTAGAGACTTTGAAGTTGAATTTCAAAGAAAAATTAACTGAAGGAGAAACATTCCAATTTTTTGAAAAAGTAATTCTAGGAACTGTTCTACCCATAAAAGTTCTGAAATTGGGCAGAGAAATTTTATTTTCTCCTGCATATTTCTCAGAGCTTTTGCTTAATTAATAAACTATTCCTTTAGAACAATATATTATTTCAATTTCAGATGAGGAAGAATAATTATAGATTCATTAGTAATTTTTAGAATTGCTGCTTTAATCCAACTGTAAAATTAAAATATTGGATATCAACAAAACCAAAGATATGAATAAACTTTTAGCAAAGGTAGTAGAAAACAGAATTTAGAATCAAAATTCGGAGTCATTTTTAGAAGAGCTTAATTTATTCGGATAAATTAACGTTGATGCTAAATTTTTAACTTTCCTCTATTCATTACTTAAAAATCTAAAATAACTTAAAATTGATGATATAAATTTGGAAAATAAGGATGAAATCGAAAATTTTTTTAAGGATTCTACATTAGAATTTCAATAAAGGGAGAACAGTTAATTAGATGTAAAAAAAATAAAAGGAGATGCATGTCAAATTTTTTTAGAAAATTTTGTATTGAATGATAAAATTGGATTCAGCAACATTAACTTAAAAAGCCATGAGTTGTTTACTAACTTTCCTGCTTTAAATAATACAAACAAAATCAAATTGCTCAAATTAGATGTGGGATTATTATACAATTCGTCATATTAACTAAATGAAAAAGGCTTGACTTTAATCGCATAGAAGTTTATTTATAATGAGGAAAGCAATTGTGAAATACTCGTGTTGAATTAACTTCATTTAAAAATCCCAGGTGTTAAGGCTTTAACTAGTCCTGCACAGAAATTTAGAGAAGATATTGAAGCTTAGAAAAGGCAAAGTACTTGCCAATTAAAATTAAAAGAAGTGATCTTTTATTATTCTTTATACCTTTTAGACGAAGGACATGAATTGCTTATAAAGGATTTGTTTTTTTTCGAATATATAAGCTTAGAAAGGCATTAAATATAAGTATCTAATTTCAACAATGCCAATTGTAAATCAGTGTATACAAATGGTAAGAATTGGTTGAAATTTTAATAGTTACATAATAGATAGTATAAAAATGAATATCCAATCAAATACATCGATTATGGTAGAAATGAATTTATATCAGAAAAATAAGTATGGTCTGATTTCCTTAATTTTTCTGTTTTTTCAGATCTAATGCCTCATTTAGAGACCTTCAATTTGCATTTTATGGCAATTAATGATTTAATTACTGAATATATTGTGGAAAATGCATTAAATTATCTCAATCAAAAACCAAAGAACTTTAAGCTTCCAGTTAAGAAGATAAATTTCTCACAAAATAACGCTTTGACTAAAATTGGATGGCAGAGCTTATTTGAGAACTTCTTCTTGCATCCTAAAGTAGATCTAATAGAACTTAATATGATTAGTACAATGTTGGATTCTTAGGAGAAACTTGATGTTATCTAAAATGCATTTAAAAAACGTGCAGATAGAAGCCCGAATAAAAAATTACCAATGCAAATGTTTCTTTGTTACAATGTCAGCTTAAAAGATATGATCAAACCATTTTTGTCTACTCCTCCTCCTGATTATAAACCTCCAACTCATTTATCAGTAGCTATTGATTACGATGCTTGGAAGTTTGGAATCCATGATGGTATTCCAGAAGAGTTCGGAGAGAAAGTCCTAACATATTAAAGAATATTTTATCAGCATTCAGAATTTATAGAAACAAGTAAATGGAAGGAATATGAGGATGTTAAATTTGCCCCATATCATCTAGATTTTTGTGAACATTATTTGAAAAAGATGAACACTTACTTCAAATAACATTAAATTAAAAACCCATAAATCTATCTGAATCTTAATACACTCAAAGAATTTTCATCAATTTTCAGATACCGCAGAGAAAAACCAGGAAAACCTTTTCCATATTAAATTGTCTTTTAAAGTGATACTTATAGATTTCTTAAGAGTAGAGAGAGCATTATATACAAAATCAATTTGATTTAGAGTGACTTTTCTCATCTAGAGATGATTAGTTAAGAAAATGTAATTTAAATTTGGAAATCAGTTAAATCTTGGAGGTCATCAATTGATTAAATATAGATTGAATATTCATTGAATGACAATCTTTGTGAGGAAATGATAAGATAAGGATTTTCAGAGAAGGACATAATTTAGTTAGTTAGAATTATGCCTCCCAAGTCAATAAGAATATAGGGTGGATTAAGTTTACCTGCTGTTAAAGGCTTGTATTCAATACTTTATGAAACTCATTACTTCCAATATTCAGTTATTAATTACGGATTTGATTCGTTCTTAAATACTGGTATTGGCTATGCTTTGAGAGAAACTGCCTACAGTTATTAAGACAAAAATCTGTTTACAAATAAGATGAAGTAGATGTTTTATTCAATATTCAACTTTTTTGTTTCCAAGGCCCAAAAATTTGAGTTTGATGATGAAATTCACAATTTAAACGCTTATCTATCAAATAGAAAGTTGTTCTTCTTTTTGATTGCTTTTAATAATGTTCTGTTTTGGGCAGTTACTTTGATATCACCATTCTTTTTCACACATTACTATAATGGAGACACAGAACCTGAGGAATAAGCTTATTATTGTGTAGCAGGAACTAGTAAAGAAGCAAATTATGTTTATTATGGTTTTGCAGCTTTTTCTGCGATAATAGAAGCATTTCTATTTTATCAGTTTTAATTGCAAATACCAAACCACATTGAGAAATTAGAGATCAAAATAGAAAAGGTTGACGAAGAGGAAGATTTTAGAAAACCATAGGCATTCAATTAAGAATAAGATGTCAAAAAAAATTAAATTGCCCCTTAATTATTTGATCGAGCAAAAAAAACTTATATTGATGTTTAAAAGGCCTTTTAAGTTTAATAAAAGAAAATTGTAGAATCTAAATTCTTGCAAGTGTTCTTAGTTCTTTTGAACTTAGCCTTTTCATAACTATATAAATTTGACCTCTTTAATGATGTTGTGTTTATCTTAACTTGCTTCTATTGTGATGAAAACATACTGTTCATTTTAACTCTACTGATCACATCAATCACTCAAGGAATTTATATACTTTAGTTTTTGTATCTGTTGTATATAAGAATTACTTAAACAGAAACAACAGCAAAAATTTTATCAACTAAATTTATCAATGATATCTATTAAATTGCATTTCTGGGGAGAAACCAAGCTCTTAGTTAGCAATTAGATAAAGTTGCACCCTATAATGTTTCCATAATCCCTAATATCTGGCTTACGAGAACTTTTCTGTCAGATTATGCTGGAAGAAGCATGAGTAATCCAATTAAAGCGTATTTTATGCAGTTTATGCTTGAAGATATGCCTTAAACAGCTTTATAAGCATATTTTGTTGTCAAATAAGGTTTAAAATAAGGCAGTCTATCTTCATAAGTTATTTTCATAATAATTATCTCTATTTACAACTTTATGTCGTCATTTTATCTGTAAGTTTTATAATTTATATTCTAGATTTATGTCTATAAGACCATCTACGTTGAGTTAAGACGACTTTGATAAATTGTCTAAGATTAAAAAGAATAAATACTTAGAGGTCAAAGAATAATATTTAAATGAAGAAGAGAAACAATTGAAGATATATTCAGAGTTGTACTCAAATCCCTCAAGGGTGGCCTCACCTATAAAATAAAACTAGGATGAGGAACACGAAATGCTATTATGAAAGTTTATTTATATGATATTGAATGTTATATTTGTGTAAATATTTATAAATTGTGTTATAAATAATCGTTTCGATATGAAAACGGATAGTTGATTTAAAGTGATTAAGTTGATTGATAGAGGAGTTTAGCAATAATTAAATTAATGAAGATTGCCATATTGCTTATTTTAGCTGTTTCACTCAATGCAGTCTCAACAGACTTGAATAGATAGGCCTAAAAGCACGTTGATGCCTTAATGAAAACTAATTGGGGACAAACTATCTTACAATTGGCTGAATTACATGCTCACACAGGAGGAGTTTTATAAGACTTAGTAGGTGCAATTGAAGAAATGATTTAATAAATGTAAGATGAATTGGATGAAGTCGAATACAATTATGGAGTTAGAACAAATGAACACAACTCATTGTCATTGTAATATACTTAGGAAGTTTAAGATGCTGATATTGGTATGTGATTTAAAATTAAATTAAGACATCTAAAGAAGTGCTGATACATTGGAGAATTTACTTTATCCAAGAAGAGAATAACTCAAGAGCAAGATCTAATAATTGATTGATTATTAAGAATTCAACAGAAAAACTGTCGATGAAGAAACTTTGATCAGAGAATAAGAACATGAAGCATTCGAAGCTTAAATCGCTGAATTCAACGATGCAGTTGGTGCCACTGATGATGCCTTGAACTTGTTGAGCACATTGACCAACCCATCATTGGTTTAGATTCAAAAGTTCCAAAGCAATTTGAGAAAGATCGAAGCCAGAATCCAACCACATTCATAACACCAAACTTTAATCAAAGCTTTGATCACATTGGCTTCAGAATAAAACTTCTCAGACTAAGGAATCATCAAATAAATCGTTGACAAATTGAATGAATTCAGAAATGCTGTTGTTGATGCCATCAATGCTGCTACTGCCTAAGAAGCTTAAGATGTTCAAGACTATGAAGACAGAATTGAATAATTAGATGCTGAATATGCTGAATTCTAAAGATAAATTACTAAGGTTACCATTGACTTGAATGCTACTTAAGGTAATTGTCAATAAAATGAAAAATAGAAAAAATTGAACAATTTTTATCATTCTAAGCCTAAAGATAATCTGACAGAAACACTGCTTAAGCCTTACTTGATTTGGAGAACGAACAATATGCTGATGACACCTAAATTTACACTGACTTAAAGAACAAATTGATCAGAGACATTTAAGTGACTGAAGAAGCATTCAGTTTAGTCAAGAGCGTTGACTTCAGCAAAATTAAAGTCTGATTGAATATATTAATAACATTAATAATTATTGATAGATATTTCTAGAAATAAATTTTAATTGTAGTATAAAAGACATAGTTTTATGTGTTGATTAGAAATAAAATTAATTTGAGGTAATTAAATGCTCAGCAAGTTATTCAAATCATCAGTAAAAGTTAACTAACACACTGTGAATGCATTCAGTAGCAAGGTAATGAAGGGAGAATATGTCATTGGTATAGATTTGGGAACAACTAACTCATGTGTATCCATAATGGAAGGTACCTATGATTCTAATTCTTAATTAGCTGGAACACCAAAAGTCATTGAAAATGCAGAAGGTATGCGTACAACTCCCTCAGTGGTTGCCTTTACTGCTGATGGACAAAGAATAGTTGGAGCACCAGCAAAAAGACAAGCTGTAACCAATCCAGAAAATACTGTATATGCCACAAAAAGATTGATTGGTAGGAGATTTGATGATCCAAATGTTCAAAAAGATATTAAACATTTGAGTTACTCTGTTATCAGAGCCTAAAATGGAGATGCTTGGGTTAGCTTGAAGAGTAATAGCTTAATATATTTCTCAAGGTGGTTAAACCTATTCTCCTTCATAAATTGGAGCTTTTGTCTTAATGAAAATGAAGGAAACTGCAGATGCTTATATTGGAAAACCTTAATCAAAGGCAGTCGTAACAGTACCAGCTTATTTCAATGACTCGCAAAGACAAGCAACTAAAGATGCTGGTAAAATCGCTGGATTGGATGTTCTCAGAATCATCAATGAACCAACAGCTGCAGCTTTGGCTTTCGGTTTAGAAAAAAAAGACAATAAAATTATTGCTGTTTATGATTTGGGAGGTGGTACTTTCGATATTTCCATATTGGAAATCAATGCAGGTGTTTTTGAAGTCAAAGCTACCAATGGTGATACAAGTTGTGGAGGTGAAGATGTTGATTCAATACTTTCTAATTGGATTAGTTCAGAATTCAAAGCACAAGCTGGTGTTGACATTTCCAAAGATAAAATGGCAGTTCAAAGAGTCAGAGAAGCTGCTGAAAAAGCTAAAATTGAATTGTCATCAACCACTCAAACAGATATCAACTTACCTTATTTAACTGCTGATGCTTCAGGTCCCAAGCATTGCAATCTCAAACTCACCAGAGCAAAACTTGAATCTCTGACTGAAGATTTTCTCAAAAAAACTATTAAACCAACTGAAAATTGTATTAAAGATTCAGGTTTGGATAAAAGCAAAATTGATGAAGTTATTTTGGTCGGAGGTATGTCTAGAATGCCAAAAGTTTAAAAATTAGTTTAAGATCTCTTTAATAAACCACCCAATAAATCAGTCAATCCAGATGAAGCTGTCTCTATTGGAGCTGCCATTCAAGGTGGTGTCTTGAAAGGTGATGTCAAAGAATTATTATTATTGGATGTCACTCCACTCTCTTTAGGTATTGAAACTCTCGGAGGAGTATTCACCAAAATGATCCCCAGAAACACTACTATCCCTACCAAAAAGAGCCAAACTTATTCAACTGCTAGTGACAACCAAACTGTTGTATCTATCAGAGTGTTCTAAGGTGAAAGAGAAATGGCTGCTGATAACAAATTATTGGGATAATTCGATTTGTCTGGTATCCCACCTGCTCCAAGAGGAGTTCCTTAAATTGATGTTACTTTTGACATTGATGCCAATGGTATTGTACATGTGTCTGCCAAAGATAAGGCTACTGGAAAAGATCACTCAATCACTATTTAATCATCAGGTGGTTTAAGCGAATCAGAAATCCAAGATATGATTAATAAAGCTGAAAAATATAAGGATGAAGATAAAAAGAGAAGAGAACTTGTTGATCTAAAGAATGAAGCTGATGGTGCTATTTTCAATACTGAAAAATCACTCAATGAACATAAGAGCAAATTATAACCAAATGAAGTTTAAGAAATTGAAAGTGCAGTCTAAAATTTAAGAGTTCTATTAACTGAAAATCTTACTTCAAATGATGTCCAAAGACTTAAGGATGCAGTTGAGGGTGTTAAAAATGCAGCCATGAAGATCGGATAAGCCATGTATTATATTTAATTAACAATTGTAGGTATCGAAATACTGGAGGAGCTAGTGAATAATAATAATAGCACTCTCATGAATAAACTGGAGACTAACAATAATAATAAAACTAAGAAGGAGGAGAAAATAACAATAAATAAAATTGATATATTATGTTATTAATGTTGTACAATTCTATTATTCTATTTTAAAATACAAATTCTAATATTTATAATCAAAAAATATTCATTCTAAAAAGTCATTATTGAATGTTTATTGTTATTATTATTATTATTGCTATTACTAATATTATTAATATAATTGTTATTATTATTATTATGTTAATTATTGTTATTACTATTATTATTATTACTGTTATTATTACTATTACTATAACAATTATTATTACTAGAACTATTACTATTATGCTTATTATACCAATTCTTCTTTCAATTTCCACCATCTACCATTTCCTATAAATTTTGTTATTCCTATCTCTTGGAGTCTTGTTCTCAATCCTTTATCACTTGTAACAACTGTAGTTTAGCTATTATTTTAACCTAGACACAATTTAACTATTAAATCATCTGCTATTTCTGGATAAGCTGACTAAATGCTAAAATTGATAAATTTTTAATTATTTAGAATTTTAAATGTTGTTATTTTGTCCTACTACCTTAATTCATGAAAATATTTGAAGGGCTCATATTTAGATAATTTTTATCTTATTTTTTCAATTTTATTCATTTTATAAACATCCCATATTAAGTGAACTTCATCTAGCTATTATTCATTCAATTAAAACCAAATCAATATGATTTTTAATACCTTTTTTATTTATTTTTTCGGTTAGCCTCTAAATTTATTCCATTAATGACATGCATACTTAATATTATTACAATCTATGTATAATATTTTTGTATTGGATATGATTTAAATGATATTCAATTCGATAAATTGCTATCTTCCTTCATTTTAATCATTTAATGATTAGACAACTTGATCAACATTCCAATTGTACCTCTTTAATAATCTGTAATTTTTTTTATGATCACAAAACCCCATACTTTAAAGTTATGCGAAATGAGGAGTGCCATAAGAATGTTATTAATATTGATTGTGGTAATGCTACTAATTTTAAGGGAGAGGTTATTTAAATTGAGACAGCCATTATTATTGTTCTATGTAAAGAGGATGGAGATTATTATTTTATTAATTATTCATATTAAAATTAAAATTATAAAACTTAGCATAAGAGTATTTACATCAAGTTTATCGATAATTAGATTGATTCCATTAAATAATAATTAAAAAGCAAAGAAGAGAACTCTATAATATGAACATTGCTCATGATGAATATTAGTTATAATAGCTTCACTGTAGATAAATAAGATGAATATTTCACAAGAGATTAGAGTGGGTCTTGAATTTGAATTCAATCTTATTAGATAACTTAGGTAATTAACTCTTCACATAAATCAAGGTTTATAACAAAACTATCAATATTAACAATTAATATTTAATCAATTTTTGTAAATTCTAATTTGCTATGAGATCTTCATTTTGCAAATTGGACATAATTACAAATTTTTACTACATTTGAAACAAGTAGAATTGTGCTTACAAGGTAGACAAAGTGCATCTCGTTCATTTTCATTACACAGTGTACAAAAATTGTATTCATTATAATTTATACTGAATTTATCTAATTAACAAAGGTATTAATTAACTGTTCCAATCCTGACGACAGTCATTTCATCATCTAAGGTAAGTGGGTAATTTTAACTTGGTTTTCCGTCTTCAGATAATCTTAGCCAAGTTCTAGAATAATAAATAAATTGTTATGTACCCATTAGTAGAGGAATGATCTTCAATAGTTACATTTTTGTCAACCAGATAAAATTTAGCGTGCAAATTAGAAAGATGATGATCTTCAGGAAATGCAATATCGGCATTAGCCTTTCTACCAAAGGTGACTGAGGTTTTGTCTTGATTAAGATGAAAACTAATTTGTTCTTCGCAGTTTGGTCCTTCAAGAACAAGGAGTCCAAGTTGAATGCCATTGGAGACCTCTTCCAATTGAGAGACTTAGAATAAATTGCTACCAAGTTCAATTAGCATACCTAGGAAGAGGTTCATTCGTTTTTAAATTTTTATATATGTTCCTGTGGTGCTTCCGATATCCCTAATATAAAACTATAAATAATCATTACAAAGATTTATACCTTAGAATCTTAGTATGTAATCTCAGCGTGAAATCTGCTAATATTTTCTTCCAAAATAAGAATTTAATTGCTTGAATGTCTTCCAATCTTTGCACCAGGTTATTTGACGCAATAGAAATTGTTTTATTAACTCTCTAGAGGCTATAAGATGAGTTGATTTTCAATTAAATTAGTCATTTTGTTCTAAGAACTATATAACTCATCATATTGATTAATGATTGATTAGCTTTATTTTTCTTAACAAGCATTTACATTCTTTTAGAGAGTGAATTCTTCATTGGGCTATTTTTTGATGGTATTTAACTTAATTTAACACAAGTATATGCTATATTCTTTCAACCCTGTTGATATCCCTACCGATTAGATAATGGTTACAATTCATTAACTTTTTTTTGATTATTTTCTAGCTGATTCCCAATTCTTCTTCCAAATCGTTCTCTGTTATTTCTTCCAGAATGGAGCCATCGATTGAGCAATTCACTAAGATAGAACTTGGAAACAACATACCAAACTTGTCCTCCATCTAACCCAGTCCAATAAATTAGAGCCAAATAACAACATCAGACACTTGCCATTTCTTGGGTTCTTTTGGCAAGAGTAGATAAAGAGAATCATAATCCATTTATAAAATATTAATATTCCCGAGCTAATTCAGTTTATTTAGTGAGAAAATAAAGATCATTTAATAAAGGCTATCACAATTGTAATATCGTCTATGACTTCGTCCTCTCTTTGCCAAGCCTCTCTTGCTAACTAAACCAATTTCTAACAAGCTCCTTGACTGTCATCCCTTTTGTAATATTCATAAACAGTCTCAACAACTTACTCATTAGATAGAAATCTAATTCATAACTATAATATGATACTCCCAAATTCCATCTGAAGCAACAACAATAAATTTGTCACATGGCAAAAGAGAATGCTTAAATATTTCTGGTTCGCAAATTACTCCAACTTAACTGGCAATATAATCCCCAAAACTCCTTGACATTGCTAACCCAGGCACATCTTCATCCTATTTCCAAACTCTTGCTGGTCCTATAGGATTTCCGTCTTCATCACTGTAAGCCTATACTCTCCCTCCTCTTTAGAGAATTCTAGCTTATTCCAAAAAGCAATCTGGCTTATGATCTTTCGATAATTCTATAACAGATAATTTGTTATCGAATCTGCCTATGATGGCTCTACTATCTCCAATATTTGCACAATATAACACGTTATCAAAAGATAGAACAACTACTGTTGTTGCCCCAGAGTATGTTATATCAATTCCACTATCCATCAATTCGTCGTTTGTCTACAAAAAGCAATTTTTGAGCACTAAATTAATTTACTTATCTCTTTCATAACAAGTAGTCAAATTGACAACTCCTTATTGAACAAATTGCGGAAGCACTTCTCGTAAAAATTAGGCTACTTAATGACCATTTGTGCCATGTCCATCAGACACTTGAATGTACCAATCATTTTCTCTATTACAAAATCTTTAAATTAATTTGTAAATATCTTAATTTGTTTTAGTTTATCCATTATAGAGCATACCTGCAGCACTTTGCCCATTTGCTTTCGCTATTTACAATTGCATTGTAGAGATGTCTGGATTACTGATTGAACGAGGCCCCTTAAATAATTTAGGCTTTAGTATTAACTATTGTTATTATTTAGTCATTTCCATTAATTTTTAATACTTTTTCTGAATTGTTTATTAGTTATAAAGATCTTTTGGTTACTAAACTTGAGATTGTTTATTTTCGCATTTGTCTTATTTAATTTTTAGTAACAAAGAGAGAGCACTTGTTGAAAGATTCTAGGAGTTCTCCTTAGTTTCAATTAATTTGCTATTTTAACGTGCATGTGTTTTCTTTAATAAAACGCTACTCACATCCTTGAAATCCTTTCCACTTGCAGGCCTAGACTTTTTTGCTTCTATTTTTGAAGATCCCCCGCTATTTCTGTTACTGGAAACTAAGTACCTAATTTGCATAACAATTACATCCTTACTTATTGGCTGTCACTATAGGGGATTTTAAGCGAGCCTATTATTCTTGCTCGTTCTTCCTTTTCAATAAACTAGCATATAATTTATCTGGTGATATTTGCGAAACCTTCTATTTCATCTAATATTTTGATAGTTAAATATAATTTATTATTATTATGATATAAAATGTGATTGATGTAGTTGAGTTCCAAACTACTACCCAATCACTATTTTCAAAGCAAACATACTACACAATAAAAGGATCTGACAAAGAAGGAAATTTCGAAGTGCATCGTAGATTCAAGGATTTCGTGGCTTTAAGAAATCTTCTGGCTCTTCAATGGCCAGGATGCTATGTCCCAAGTCTACCTGGCAAGAAACTCTTTAATGGAAATGATGCAAAGACCATCAATGATAGAAAAAAATTCTTGCATGCTTTCTGTTAAAAGTTGAGTCTATTGCCTCATCTATTCCAAACAGAAGAAGTGTCACAAATATTCTTAAGATCGAAAGATGAAAAAATCTATAAAAAATTGGAATCTATTAAATCTCCATCTTCCCAAGATCTTCTTGCAAAATACTAAAATATATTTGCTGATATTTTAGATGTATTAATATATGATTTAATGTGAAGGTGGCAATCGAAGCAAGCACACTTAAGGAGATTGACAATTTTGCAGATTAAGTAAGAAATTATAGTATAAAATTAAAAAACATAAAAAAGATAATTAAGGATAGTGTGTAATCAGGTAGGAATTACAACAATTGTTTAGAAGAAATCATCAAAACTAGATTAATAAATTTTGAAAATACATTTGTTTCCTAGTTTGTTAACTCAGATCAATCCATGTTAATTTTTAATCGAATTAAGCAGGAATTAGTTGACACTTATTAAGAAAAATAAGTTTTTACTCAAAATAACATTGAAATCTTGTTAGATTTAATTAGATTAGAATCTAAGGATTGCAAAGTATACATTAATTATTTATGATTAAGATTGTGTTAAAATAAATTAATGACAAAATTAATATGGAAAATAAAGTTAAAAGCTTAGAAAATAAAATTATTGAATCTGAGAAACAATTAGAAAAGTTGAATTAAGGAAAGGTGTCCTTTAAAAATTTGATTAAACAGAAAACACCTGAAAATGCTAAAAAAGAAATTGAATAAGATATAGCTGATACTGTTAAAGAATTAAAATAGTTATCAGAATTAATTGTTTTGATTAATAAAATATTGGCACTGAAAGAACGAATTAGATATGAAAATGACAAAAATTAATAATTTAAAGAAATAATTGAAGTTTTGTAATAGATGGAATTAGAAAGTATTAAAATAGAGTCGTAATATTGGGGATTCATTTTAAATGAAACAAATTAGCTAATTACTAAAACATCATACCAATAACAATAAGAAATAGAGTGTTAAACTAATGTAGAATGAATTTTTATAATTTTAAATGTCTCATAAATTTAATAAGTTTCTTCATCATTTATATAATCCATAAGCTAAATACAAGGTTTTATTAAGTAATAAATTAGTAATGTGAAAATACCACTATTATTGAAAATTTATTTTATATAATATTTATTCTATCCAATTTGATAAGATTAATTCTGTTTGTATAGAAAAAAGAAAATTTGCATTTTCTTCATTTACTAAGAGTAATAAACTTAATTAACATTCTATTCATAAATGGTTTATCATTTTAATAACAAATTAGTTTGAATTAGATCTTAGATTGCTTCAGATAACCTAATTTGAATTTATTAGAAGACTGATTCATAAATAATTTTTTCACTTTTTTTAAAAAGTTTATAGACACATTCAATCTTTTAGTTTTTTTCACATTTTATTCAAGTTATAAATTTTAGATAACAATTCTAAAGAAATTTGGCCAAATTGAAAATGTGAATAGATATATTTATCACTTACTATTCTACCATTTTGGTAAAAACTAAGAAATTTTATAGTTAAAATGTTCCTTCATTATATATTATTTATTATATTTCTAGGTCAATTATCTTCATTGTCAAGTTCTCCTCTTAAGCTATCAACCATTTGTTCAGTTTGTCTTTGTAACTCTTCTGGTGATAATTCACTTTAACCTGGAGTCTTTTCATATGCTGCTTCTAAGTCCCAGCTTGGTGCTTATTCCATTTATGGAGTTTCAGTCTATTGGAATCTGCTTTCAAATTGAGACATTTCCAAAAGTGACAATTCTTCTGGAAGTAATTTAAGTGGTTAACCATTCTCATCTAACAAATCTAATTTATCAATTGCTCTGACATAATCTAAATTATCATCTTATGGAATATGAGCCATAGGAGGAGATGGGGAATCTTCAATAAGAGCTTATTTTCCCATATCAGGTGATGAACCGTCATTTGTGAATAAATCTGCAAAATTAATTTCCTTTTAAGGAGTTTAATCTAATGTTTCTTCTACATAAACTTAATTTTCATTGTCACCAACTTGTGCAAATGACTTATGAGCCTTATTCAAAGCATTATGAATAGCATTTCTTTCTTTTTATTCAGCCTTTTCAATTCTGTCCTAGTTTGTTAATGCGTTGACAACGACTTCTGAAGAGGAAGTAACTCCAACATTATTGCTCAAATCATAAGACTCTCCAACATTTTAAGATCTATATTGCAATTATACAATTTGTTACTCAATTTGAACCAAATTTTAGGCATGCTTAGTTCCTTTATTTGACTTGTGTTTTCTAATGTTTGCTCCATTCGCTAATACTAAAATCAAGAGAAGGATAACTATGAATTTCATTTGATTATATTATTAATCCGTTTTATATTTATCTAAAATAAATATTGTACTCTAATAAAAATAGTCTTTTATCGTTTTCCTTATTCACTTAATGAAAAATACAACACATAAACATTCATCATAGATTCGACAATATAAAATTAAGAATCATAGAAAATTTATAATATAAAACATATTATTTAACTATTGAAAAAATTTGATTGTAATATAGGACTTTATTGCAGATTTTTTAGACAAATAAATAAGCTGAATAAGTTCTATTGAATCAATAATGGAATATGAAAGAAATATTTATAATTTTTGATGTAATTTATTATTATTTAATCTGGCCTTAATTACACTTTTTAGAGGCTTTACTTATAAAGAAACCACTCCAAGTCTTTGAAGACTATATAAGAACAATAATATGAGGATAAACAGAACAAAAATGATCAAGTGTTTTTAGAATAGATATCAATTACACAAAAATGAATTCAATATACATTACTTATTTAATTAAGTTAGAGAAGCTCTATCTAACTAAATCATCCACCTTTGTTTATTTATATGATTCATTAGAATCTATATTTTATCTGGGACCAAATTCATTATATTTTTTAGAGCTCTTTCTATCTCACTTTTAACTTTATTGAAATGAACACTTAGTATTGTAACTATATGATCATAAAACATGAAACTAACTCCTCGTTTATCATAGTGTTCAGTCATGAAATTTAACATATCAAGATGTAACTATATTTATTCTTTAGTGAAGATTGTTTTCTTCAACTTAATCGGTCGAACATCAGGACAATCATTCAAATCAAAATCATTATGATAGATTTTAAACTATGATCCAAATTGTTCGAAATCTTCACAATTAATTGTTGATAAATATTGTTTGTGTTTCATTTAAACTAATTAATCGAGCTTTTCTCGTAATGATTGTATCCTTTTATTGATCAAATCAGATAGTTGTGCAATTTCTTAAGAAGATTTTACAATTGTTTTATTATCACACTTGTTAGAATTAATTTATGATGGATGTTAAATCACTATACCATCCTAAATCACTTTCAATTTGTATAATTTAGGATCCAAATTCAATAACTAAAGTACTTAAATGATATCTGTGAAATTGTTCTGGACTGTAAACTATATTTAACATTAATTTCTTAAGTAATTCATTTCTATCTTGTTGCACAAATCCAAAAGAGATGCATACTTCTTCGGTAATGGATAAAAACCGCCTTTTTAATGTACTCCGAATTTTTATCTTAAGCTTAAGAAAGGAATAAAGGATGGATCCTATTTTCTTGTGATAGCTGATGTCGTTTCATCTTCAAATGAGTTAAAAAGGTCTAATTTCACCTTCTTGAGTGTAGGTTGGATGCTATCACATATAAATAAGAAATCCGACATATAATTTTATTATTTCTGCCTCTCTCATTAACCGCACTATTTTAATTATAATATGTGCGCCTAAAATTAAATGTATAATTAAAATTTGACTATAAATTTTGCCGATATTTGACACATTAAAAATTGATTTGCAATACCATCCAAAATTAATAATAATTCTTATTTTCTTAAATAATATATCACAGAATTAAAATGTATAGCATAATATAAAATTCAAGAAAATAATCCTTTTGGACCCTCTTCTTAGATGATGTTTTTCCAAGCTCCCCTATCGATATTTAACTTAATTTCTTATTTCTCTTTCACTCTCTATAACAATTTGTTAGCTTTTTCTATTTTAATGGTTTTTTTATCAACTCCCTTCACAATTTCTGTTTTGATTTATTTCTTGGCCTACTCTATTTTTTTCTCTTCATTCTTTTTTATCAACCTTTAATCAATATTATTTGGATCGAATTTAGGAACAATCAAATTATATTTCTTTTTATCAGGCTTCTTTTAATAAGAAATAAAAGCAGCATCATCAGGCATTAACTTTGCAAGAATCTATAATTATTAATTCACTTCGTCTTAATAAGATTTTATTTGTAATTCTTTTTCATCAATCTCCTTCTCCAAGTCTTATTCCTCATCAGAACTCTCTTCTATCAAATCTTATTATAAGTCCTTGAATTTCTTATTCAATTTTTCAACATTCAGATCATCATTAAATTTTTCATCCAATTTAAATCTTTTATCTCCTTTATATGATTTTTGCAATTCAACTAACAGTTAACCTTTCTTGCCTGTAACCTTTTTCTTAAATTCGACATCCTTTACATCTCCTTTCAACCATTCATCAGCAAGAATTTTCCTAGCCATATAAATAAATATATATAATTTCTCATATTATATATAAAATTTTATCTCAACGAATGAATTACTATCCAGAAATATTAGAGTGAGTAATACTCCTTCTTAGATTTTTATAATATTTCAAACTAATTTTTTTAAAATACAGAGCTTGCCATTTAAATTCTCAATAAATTTCCTAAATTGCAGATAGTTACAAATTAATTTGTTTTGTTAAAATTTTGTATTTCTATTATGTTCATTTTTGTAAACTACAAAATGTCCCATAAAATTAACTTAATTAATTAAAGAGGAAACCATTGCTTCTTAAATATATCAGGCTAATTCTTATAGCATTTCAATAATAAGAAATATACCTAAAGGTTTGAATACTTAAATGACGAATGTTTGTAAAAAAATGAATTGAAGTAATTTATTACTAATAATAATTAGTTATTTTTAAAATATCATTAAAGGAAAGTATTGAGTTATGGGTTTTATTACTGTCTCTAATTTAAGAGATTGCTTTGATTCAATTAACTTTTAAACTTTTCAAGATGTTATCTACCCATAGATATATTTTTACTCACTGTAGTATCATTTCTAAACAATTATATAAATTATTTACCTGCCCTAGACTATGTTTGATGTGGGATATTTATTAGTTGTGTAAGAATTATTGATCTGAAGTTAACTCTTTTGATAGCCAGAATCATGATAGTCTAGTTAAATAGGAGGTCTTATTTATTAGTTTTAACCAACTTCAATTTATTAGTTAGCATTAACGAACTATTGGGCACCGTTCTATGTTAATTAAATAATAAATACAACATAATTTAATGCATTTATATTATTATTAGCCACTTATTATTGATTTTAAAGTGTTGCTTTATTTTCTTAAGTTTAGACTTATGACTCTTCCTCAGACTCCGAATCGGAGGATTCTTCGCTTGAATCATCATTAATCAAATATTTTTTTATTTATGGGTTTGCCAAGATGGTTTACATTCCTTATTTAGCTCTTAAAAGAGTGGCTTATTGAGCATCTTAAGTCCAAACGTAATTTGGATAAGGGTAATCCACATAGATTGGTTTGAATATGGGTACCTACACAGGGATTTGAACTTTCTATTAATTGGATAATAATATTTACTTGTATTCTCATTTCTGCATAATTAATACGATCTGGTGGAGGAAGCATATTTTAAATTAACGATTATAAAATAAATTAATAATTAAAAATAATATTTTATTGCTTAAGCCTATCAAATATTTGCTGTAGAAATAACTTAATTTATCATATATACTCATAATCATTTCTATGGAGTTTAGTGTTCTTCCTTTAATAGGTATGGAGAATTCTAATTCTATGAATATTGTTTAAGAGTTCTTAATATATTTTATGGATTTAAAACCATATCCTCAACTCTGACCATATAATAAAGCTCCTTGTAATAATTATCTACAAAAATCTTGTAATATGAATAATATTGAGGATCTACCTTTGAGTATTCTGGAAGGTACATAACAATGCCAGGTTCTATTTATTTAATTTTTTATTTGAATTATTCGAGAAAGTCTTATGCTGGATTCTCTTCTTGTTTAATATCACTGAGGAGTGTTTTTGATCTTTAAATAGACTCTTCATCATCCTGTTATTAACACTCCTTTTTATCATTTGACTTTCTTATCTTTTTCTAGGACTTTAGAGAACCGGATAATGGATCATTTTGAATGAACTTTTCAAGTTCTTCCACGAAGACTTTCATTTCTTTTGACCATTTAAATTTCTATTCGTTAATCTTTTCTAGAAGACTCCTCATTTTGTGATAGTGAGTTTAATTTACTTTAACTAACGGAGGATGTTCATTACATAATTTCATTTAAGTAGAAATCTATTTTGATTCACTTACAAAGTCTTGCCCTTTGGACCACTTCTTTTATTTTATCTTAACTCCATCATCCTTAGTCACTCTGGTTGACTCTTCTTAAAAATCTTATTCAATCTGATCTGGTAAATTATTTGTAGGGGTTGGCTCTTTATAGAAACTGGAAAATTCAAACTTATTATTAATCCTTGTACAGGCTTCTACCAAGAAATTTTGGGAGAATTTTTATTATTTATCTTATAACTCTTTTGTTAAAAATTCTGCTACTTCTTTTTGTATGTGATCGGGCAACTCTGTCAAAGATTTCCATACCGATTGATTAGGATAAGACTGGAGAGAAGCACACCTATTTGGACACCCAGGTTTTATACTTACACAAGTTATTAAAGGGTGATAGGGAAGTCCTTTATTATTAAAAAACTTGCGCAGGATGTTTAAAACCATTTTCATCAGCAATTTTTTCATCTTTTCTTCCTTTTATTTCTTTTTTAAAGAAACAGGATTTTGTTATTCTTACATAATTTCAGATTTAATTAATTCAATCTCTTTTAATATTTTTGTGGCTTTATACCAATATAATTCTATTATTCCAAATTTATTCATCTAAATATAGACCATCATTTATTTCAAAAACTTGTGTACGTCCATACCATAATAGCATTTTTAATAATTATTTTAAGCCCCCTTTACATAAGGATTGATAAATCATATAAGAGATTTTGAGTTATGAGATTTAAACCATAGATAATCAGTCTTACGACGATTCTCTATCTATATATCAGAGCTCTACATCACAAGGTCATCAGAAGATTGTAAATCAGATCATATTTAGATTTCACTGCTTTGTTATACGAAACCTGTTTAAATTGTATATGTCATTCGGTTGTAATAGATTTGGAATTCTATCCAATTTAAGGGGTTTCTAATTCAAGAAATGTTTAATTAATTTTAAAGGATGTTAATATTTGGTGACCCTTATATAATTACTTTTATATTGTGTTATCACAATTGTATAATTACATAATTGATAATTATTTTATTTACTAAGGTAAGTTTAATCTGATTAGTGAATTTTCCTTAAATTTAAAATGTTTAATAAATTTCCATAAATTCTATTAAGCTCCATTTTTATAGAATTATATCCTCAAATAATGCAAACCCTTAACGAAGCAATTAATATCATTAACAAGTGAATTTAGAACATACTAATTGAATGATTGAGTGGCTCTCTGGAATTTAAATATTTTGATTTTTAAATTCTATCCCCCATGATGTGAGCCTTTAATTGGCAACCAATTGCAGTTATCCCAAGGGTTATTTCAGTGCTTCGTATTCAAAAGTTCTTTTTCCTTTATAAAAGTTTTCTATAGTTGTTAATTTCAAGCAATGAACAATTTCAATTCATAAAAGAATGAATCAGAATAGTTTAATGGGAACAAGAAGGCTACAAAGCAATTATTTTTTAATAATATGATTTTATTCTATCGTAATATTTAGAAAATATTCATGAAGTTTTGGTTTTCTATTAAGTAAAATGGTAAACTTTCCTCATAAAATTTAATTTCAATTCCTATTAATAATAAAAATAATCGAATACATTTGCTCTTGCCTTTCTGAAATTGAAGTACTCCTTATTGGTTCCACAGAGGGTATCCCAATAATAGAAGAAACTAGAGAAATTGCCAATATTATGTGAATGATGATAGTGATGATATTCTGATGAACCAGAGAATGGTAATAATCTATAGGGGGACCAGGAGAACTCATAGCCACAATGTCCGTCGATGGTTTCAAATACTCTCACAATGTACCAGAACCCCAAAGTATAAAGATGCATGTGTGAACCCAAAAGCAACGGTCCCATAGCTGTGGCTGTGGAAGTTAGTACAAATTCTATTGGGTGTTAATATTCGGCAGCAACACTAATGGTATTATAGAATTCGTGATGTTTTTTATGAATGTGGTAAAATCTTGGACTGTGTAAAGTTCGATGCAACCAATAGAAAGAAGTATCTTCTACGATCATACAAAAAGCGATTTGCCACGCTAGTTCAAAATAGGATGGGATGGTGGAAGAATCATGTCTGAACTTTTGGCCGCCATAAACACTTCCAATAGTCAAGATGGAGGAAATTGTGGAATTAAGAATCCAATTAAGAAGAACTTTCTTTTTGGTTTTGTTCCATGATTCCTAGCTCTTTTCCCAAGGCCAAGGATTCTAAGAATATTATCATATTTTTAAATTACATTATCAACTTTATATCTTTCGAAGAATGGCAATTTCAAAGAGTAGATGATGTACATGTAAATGTTTCCAATCACATAACTTAGATGTGTTGTACTCAACTAAACAAGTAGGAATATTTTAATTTCTTAAAAATATAATGTTATTTCTTACCTTCCATACCTTCTAGATAGGAATGAACAAATAACATTATGTGAGGAACTGTCAAATAAGTGGATAGAGCTATGAAGATGGCCACGATTAATCCATAACCTTATTTTAATTATGTGTGTATAACCTTTGCGTACATATCGGTTCTTATCCTTTTGAATGGCATCGTCGATGGCTTCGATAGTGGCTAAGGAAGCGATTGAGAGATCACTTTAACTAGATGTTTCCATAAATGTAAATTATAATAATGAAATCTTTAAATTAGAATTGTTAATATCATTTTCTCATTACATTTGTTCTTAATGTTCCATTGCTTAAAATGGAGGTAGACATGTTTTTAAAAACTGAAGGTTGTTCATATGTGCCTGGTCCAGGAGTCTTATCATTCTTGGTGAAGTCGGACTTGTTGCCATATCCAAGAGTGATCCTATTAAATCTTGAAGGTTCAATGATCTAAGTCTTGATCTCATAAGTGTTCGACGCAGGAACCTTCTCTTAAAAAGTGGCCAATGGCTTAATCCTTGATCCAATAGTGCATGCGGGCTATAAATTATACATTTTCAACTTACTTTATTTGCACCAATCAATTAGGTGACCTCATAGGAGTTGGGACTAGGTCCTTAGACTGTATGTGACATCTTGAACCTCTCGCTTTGGGACCAATTGGTCTTTCGATATTGAGTTGGCTATTTGATTTCTTCGTTGAAATAAGCATCAGGAGGTGGATTTTATTCAGCATTCCTTTGCACATACAAAGGAGAAATGAATTTGTTGCCATATCCAAAGCCAGTTGATCGACCTTGGGATCCAATGGAATCGGGAATGCTGTAATTGAACTCAGTTCTGAGAGTTAGGTTTTTATCGAATCTAAAATAAGGACAGTGCTAACCTCTGAGCTTTGGAAAAGGAGACTTCAGGAATGCTGTGTCTGAGTGAGGAAGCAGATTGATACATCGAGGTTCCTTTGCCTTATTCAACTAATTTGTGTCTCAATTGGGATAGCTACAAAGTCGATAGAGTAGATCCATTCATAGCTGAATTACCTGTTACGCCTTGGGTGTTGGTATTGCCACTTCTGACTTTGAAGGACAATGCAAAGGTATCTCCTGGTTGAATTGGTTCTTATTTAAGTTACCCATTTTCAAGTAGCAATTTATAAGTTGATTACATTTCAAGATTGTCTGGAAGGATTTCAGCATTATAATCATTGACCTTTATTGTAATAGGTTAATTGCCTTCAATTACTGGAACCAAAATATTGATTGGCGATCGATCTAAAAGCTATTCGGCTATAAAAAACCTGCTTTGGTAACGAGGTTGAAGAGAATGTCATCTTGTTGTTTCAATTCCACTTTGATTGGTGAATTGTCTTTAACAAGAAATAACTTCATGTCTTATAATCTAATGCTCATTATGTTTTATTAATAATTATCATAAATTCCATGATTTCTTTAAAATAGCCTCAAAAGTCTCATCCTGCTACACAGAAGATGAAACATCCTAATCAATAGACACAAGAAGTCATACTTAATAAAACTCTCCAAACTCTTAAAACGATATCACTCTGTCAGGATTACTCTTGTTCCAATGAGATACGAAGTCCTAAAACACTTGCCTTTCAGTTTTATATCCTTTCAATACGTCTGGGTGTTCCTTTGCGTTGATCAATCTACCCATTGTCTCGAGAGTGACCTTCCCTGCCCTTTACTCAATAGATGCATAGGCTCTTTACACATAGTACAGTCTTTTATCGCTCATTTATAACTAATTAGATTCTAGAAATACTCTGAAGGCATCCAAAAATTCATTGAATTCAATTCTGCCATTGCCATTTTTATCAAATGTTTAGAAGATCATTTTGGTCTCATCTTCTGATAGAGTCAACCCAAAATTCCTCAATCCCCACTTGAAATCGTTATACTCAACTACACCATCTAAACTTATATTTTATATAATCTAACTTTTGTTTTCATCCATCTCCATAAATATTTTAGCCAATCCTCTCAATCCATAAGCACCTTTCCCAGTGATTTGCTATTTCACTCTTATCATCAAATTCTTCACATTCCTATTGTCATCCATCACAGACTCATCAAATTACTCGTTTTATTTTCTGGCCACCTAAAACCTCCATAAGTTTTATGGCCTATTAAAAATTAACTATTCTATTACTCTTGATTTCTTAATGGAATATCAATAGTGGTTCTCCCTTCCTTCTCAGCTATCAAATTTTATGTTTTGTTCAAACATTGATAAGAATGCACGAAGACTTCACTTTCTCTTCCAAAATCATTTTGATACACTATATCATCGCTGGCTAACCAATGTTAAGTGAAGGAATGCTTAATCAACACGGTATCATCTGATCTGATTGGTTGTCCTTCCATTTCAAATCTTATTTTGGGATCAGCATGTTCAAATTTCCAAACTGTATTGAATACATCACTCTCAATTGCACAAACCTCCTGTTTTCTAGATATCTTAGCACATCTGGTTGGTGTTTGGGGAAGTGAATGAAGATAGAATGTTTTATTATTAGATATCCTGGGATTTGCCACAATTCTGAAATGCTATCCGTAATGTAATACATCATCTCCATAGTAATTTGGTTCTTTAGTATAGGGGAGTATCACGAACACTGATCTTACTGTAGGTTGTGTAGTTTATGCAGTTGTAATATTGTATGCTTCTTCCTATATTTTCAATTTCTCTTGAATGTCTATTGAGAGATACCCCTAAGTCTTCAGATTCTAGAGCATCAAATGGAATCCAAAATGGATGTAATCGTCTTGGGGAAATGTGAGAGATGCCAATCTCAAACTGAAATGTGTCTTTGTGTCTTTCACTATGCTTGCCAGTTATCCATTTTATCTATTTTTCAAGTAGTCCTTCTTCCTATATAATTTATGCACAAATGATCACTTGGTTTCATCCAACTCCCATTCTTCAAACCAATTTCCAATTCGGGTCTAGAACTTATATTTATGATCGACGTTGTAATTGTGCATAATTAATATATATATTTTTATGAATACTTTAAAAATACTCTAATGGAATACATTGGCTGACACTCTTTCAGATGCTTTTCCACTGATCAACAAACAATTTCTACAATGGAATCACAGATCATCATTAATTGCTCAATATTTAAAACAACACCCATGCGATGTCTATTGTTTTCAAGAAGTAGATCACCCAGAATTCTTTGAATAAGTCCTCCAAGATCACCTATTCATTTATCAAAAAAAGCAACATAACAGCGATGGCATATTGATTGCCTATAAAAAGGACTTGAAATTACAATCAGTCAACATCATACCGTTTCTGGAAAATAACAAAGTTTCCAATTAGTTCTTCATTAAAGTAGACTTTCTAGATTTCATATTGGTGGCTACTCATCTTAAAGCTAAACCAGACTTTGAGAAGATCAGAAGGAATTAATTAGAATAAATAAATAAATTTGTGAAAGAGGACAAGATTATTCTATGTGGTGATTTCAACACTTAACCTCAATTAGAGGCGGTTTCTAATTTTTTAGAAATATCAGGTATGAAATGCACGAATACAACTGTGCCAACCACTTCTAAAAATAGAGGGAAATTGGAAACAAATATAAAGGATTACATTTTGTATAAGGGTGTTCATTTGAAACAGAGTCAAGTAGGTCCAACAGAAGGTGTACAAATCAATGAGAGTGGATTACCAACTGAATTGTTCCCTTCTGACCATATCTTTTTAATTGGAGAGTTTGAAATCTGATATGACATAAAAATTACATAAAAAATAAATAAGTTTAATTTAATATAAATGTACTTTGAATAAGAATGTCGAAAATTTTTGAGACCTCGAAGATTAGAATATCAAATTTTTGATTTGGGTAAGGATTCAAAATTATTGAAGGTCCTGAAAGACTCCCACTTACAAATGGAACACTATTCAAACACGAAATTAGTATTATAAATCGTTAGGGTCATCAATTAAAGTGCTCTTTTTTTGAGATTAACCCAATTAGTGATTGCTGCATAATCTATTGCCATGGTTTTAACGGTTGTCGTGTAGAAGGTGTCAAATATGCTCATGTTGCTGCTCAATATAATCTAAACTTTTGTACTTTTGATTTTCAAGGATGTGGTCATAGCTAAGGAGATCTCATCACCTTTGGGTAACACAACTCATTTAAATAGTTATTTAGAACAGAATGATATCACCTGTATTATTTTAGACATCAAGAAAAGATTCTAATAAAATTAATTCATCTTATGGGGAAGATCATTGGGAGCGACTACCATTCAATTGAAGAAATAACCATATGTAAGTGGTTACGTATTGGATTCTTGTTTCACTGATCTCAATAAGGCATGTGTGAGAATGATGCAAAAATCCACTTCCCTACCAAAGCTAATCATCAAAAGTGTTCTATATCTGTTGAAAGGTATCCCTAATTTTCAATTATTCCAGGGAAAATTGAATCACAAGGCAATTTCAAGTTCGATGATATCAAGATACAAAGGGCTGACTCCAGTGTTCCCACTCTCTACATTTGTAGTGATTAAGATACATTGATCAAATCCAAAAATACTATTGGATTATACTAGTAGCATAATGGTTTAAGAGACCTCATCAAAATCTAAGGAGAACACAATGATTCCAGATCTCTCGAGTTGATTAACCAAATCTGCTGTTGGTGCAAAGAACGATTCCAAATTAATCGTCAATACTCCTGTCATGAAACCTCCCCATTGGAAATTCGAAAAAAATATCAACATTTGGCTGGAAGAAACAGTCTAATTCGTACTCCTTCAGATATCATAAACAAGTATGATTTAAACAGATAAAATCTCAATCATTGTTAAACCTAATCTACTTCAGTGCTCAAATACAATAACCAACATATCATCCAACCAAAAAAGTTGTACTTTCAAGAATCTCCTTAAAAAATTATTGGCTCATAGACCAAAATCTTAAAATAATAAATGAGTTAGGAAATAGGGCACAACAATAAATTTATTCGCAAACCCATATTTGATTGAATAATTAATTATATTATATATTGATTCAGAGCTTTGCTTTCTCCACAACTGGAAGTCTTGACAAATATTGCCAAGCGTTGTGATTAAAGCGGTGTCTTTCCTCGAAAAACTATCAGTGCCATGCTCTCCCATTTAATTTCTCTAATATCCTTTTATATGATAATCAGAAACTCTGTTAGATCGTACCATTTTTTGAAAAGTTAAACAATTATTTATTGCTTTTAATTATTAATAAAATTATTAAATATATAAGAATTGAAAATAAGAAATACTTAATTTTCAAGATCACATATTTAATTTCCATCAATTTATCATTCTTATCAAAATGATGTAATAAATTTGTACTGAATTGATACGTTCATCAATTCAATATTTTATTCTTGTATCAGATTGCTATTAGTTAAGATTTGAGTTTTTTTTAACTGATTTGCACATGCTCCCAATAATTTTTTATTGTTTGCTATCTCTCCCTCTTATCTATGATTAAATTAATTAATTTTTTATTGTGTAATCTCTTTCAAATCTATTCAATAACCAAATTAATCATCTTATTATGCTTTATTATTTTTATAAAAACTCTAAGATTCAAAATAAAAATCAGAATGAATGTGTGCTTCTAAAAATTAATCAAAATATTATCTCAAATCATAGATTAATAAGAAAAAAATCAATATATTTTCCCTTAAGAATTAATCCTTGTCTTAAACATATAATAACAACTCTTGCCTTTGTCATATATTTATGGGGCTTCGGAATTCTCACATTTAACCCTTTTTACTGCATTTGCAAGACCCTAGATTTATATCCCTTCATCCATTTTAGGTTCATGTATCACTTTTATAATGGCCTTGATATGTGTGCTAAACTTTATACCTTTACTTAATTTAAAGTATACTGGAATAATTGTTTAGTTGCTTAAATGTGCTATGCTTAACTTTTTCTTTGAAATTACATCTGGTCAGTTTCAAATACTACCGCACATTTTAATTATTCTTATCTCATTAATCAATTCGATCATACTTGAGGGAACTTTAAATATAAAAATTGAAAACTTTTAAAAAATATAGTTGTCATTATAAGATGCTCTATTAGTAGTACTCAATATTTTGATTATGATACTTTTTAAATATGCTTACTCGCAGATTGCTATAGATATCACCGCTTTTTGTATAATATTTTTTTAGATTATGAATTTAATTATTGGATAACCCTCTATTTCAATAAGGAATAAGGCTATTTTTCTAATTATTAATCTTTTTTCTCTTTACTTTGGAATTTTAAAGAGTTTTGGTTTAAAGAGTAACACTTAAATAGAAATGATTATGCTTCCGTTAATTTATAGAATATCATTGCATGGCTATGAATAATTATTTCGAAATTATAAGTATTAAAATATAAAAGGGCTTCCTACCTCTATCAGTTAAATTGTATTTTTCATTAAAAATATTGACAACTATTCTCAATTAAAGGTCTAGACACCACACAGCATTGAACATCAAATTATATTTTCAACTATTAAAATGGCCAAAAATCTAAATTACTTAGCATACAAGGAATTGGTATCACTAAAACTTAATAACAATATTTTATTGAACTTAAAAATAAACCCGATATTATAGCAATGCTTGAGGAAAATTAGTTATGATACATAAAATGACAGTAAGCCGTCTAATGGCATCACATTAATCTCTAAGTAATTAATAGAAAATGAAAATTAAAGTTTTGAAACTTAAGTAAGCATCATAGAACTTCTTCATGATAAAATTGAATGCATGAGGTTATTGATGGAAGAGAACTATATCGTATAATTTGATCATTTATTAAAATATATTGAAAAACTCATAAAAATTTAGAAAATACTAGTTAAGTAATATGAAACCTTTCCATGCGAAAGAACACAATGTGCACTAGGGTTTTTTTATACCGAATTGTTGAATGACTATTTAGCAGCAAATCAATTGTTTAGTGTTTTGGCTATATCTGATGAAAAAATGAAGAAAATTACATTGAATCAAGATGTCTTTAATAACAAGATGATTTATTTAATAACCTAATTTAATGGGAAAATGGAGATAAAATGCTCATCCTATGATGCTGATTAATTTTTGGGAATTTCGAATGAGTCACTTACTAATAAAACTATAGATGATTTAATTCCACCTGGAATAAGTGAAAATCATGATGAAATGATTATAGATTTCTTAAAAAATGGCAAATCTAAATTCCTTAGATAATTGCAAGTTAACTTTTTGTACTATAAATATTAGCAATATATGATGGAAATAGATTTTGCAATTGAAACCAATCTAATTTAAGAACTTAATTTCATTGTTTTCATCCAACCCACAATGAGCTAGATTCTAACTATTATTTTAGACTTAAATTTGGCAATAGTTTGCATGAGCAAAGCTTTTATCTAAGAGTTGGATTTATAAGAAAGCATCAAATTTTATTTGGGAATGAAAATATCAAAAATAATCCCATCCTTTCCACATATCATCTTAGATAATCATTTTATAGAAAATGCAGAAGCTCACTTTGAAAATTATGATGTAAGATCAAGTTCGTCCTCAAGAGATCATCCTTATCATACATCCTATTCTATTAGAACAAAGAAAATAGATGGCAGAATTGCGTTTTATTATGTGTAGTTTGAGTATTTCAAGAAGAATGCAGTTGGTTAAGTTTCCAGTTGCGGTGATTCTGTAAACACCAGTCACCATTTAGTTGTAGACTATATATATGAGGATAATATAAATGAAATATGTGAAGAAGCCCCTGTCGAGATTCCTATAGAGGATGAAGTTAAAAGAGAGAATCCCTAATAACATTTTGCTGAAGGATAATATTCAGAACAAAGTCAGATGATTAATGAATTTAAATATGAATAAACTAATATCAAAAGTACATTTAGATGCAATTAGACACTTTTGGAATAAAGGTACTCCAATGTGCATAAAAATCCATCAAAAGTGCTGATTTCTCATAAAAACGAAAGTGGTGTTCATGATGAACAAATTAAAGTTCATTAGCTAGATGAGTGTTAATCTTCTTAGATTTCTAGTTTACAAGGCTTAAGACGATCAGAATTCTACAAAAAATATGAATTATACTAGAAACTTAGATTCTAAGTTGGAAATTCGAAATACCATAAACTGTTCATTCTTACTTTTACTTTGAGTTTAATTAGTTAAGTGATAATTTAATCGATTGTAAATATTTCATTAATTTTAGTAAATAGCAAAGTTAAATATCAACTTATAGCTTCTGGCTGCTGATATAGACTTACTATAAGTCAAGAATCTCGTATATTAGCCATTCGAATCCTTTTTATTAACTAGATGGACTATATTTAATTATTTACAAATGTAGATCACAGGGGAAATTACACAATAAGAATTCAACTATCTTGTGGAGTTTCCTAGGTCGAATCTGAATCTAGGTTACGATTAATTAGATTCTAATTTGAAATAAGTATTGGATAGGATAAGCGTTTCTGGTTTTTTTGAAAACAAATCTTTAGATATTTATGTTTATGTTTCTACAGGAGAAGGGGAACTTTATAATTTAACTTTAAGGAACAGCATTTAAATTTTGTTAAACTATTTATATGAGATTAAGAAGAGATATTAAATCGAAGGAACAATAGTTTCGGATAGTCCTTATGTCTACTATTCCTATAAGAATTATTTAACAATGAAATCAGAATTCAACCAATTGAACGAGTAAATTTTAAGTAGTACAATTACCAAGTCATAGCAAGAACAATCATAAGAAGAGTTTATTTTTATAATTACAATAGGAGTTGCTTTTCTATAATTTTGTATAACTTTTAATTATTTTATTCAAATTTAGAGATTAATTAATAAATTTTATGGTCTCATTTAAAATATGGATGCTGATTACACCTATTAAGAAATTACTCGATTGAAGTTTATATCTAGTCGTTTAAACAAAAGTTCGAATATGTTATTTAGATTCTAAATCAACATTGAGTAAAAGGAAAAGGAATTCCATCATAAATCATTCAATTTGAACATCAAGAAAAAAGTGTTACATAGACCATATTATGTGAAATAGTACTTTCCTTATTATTTATATTTTATTTTTGTATTAGCGTTGATGTTTGGTAATGCTTTATTGACATTTCAAGAAAGCGGTGAATATTTGAATAAGTATCCAGCAACAGCTTAATTTTTCAAAGCTATCTCAGATGTAGGAACAGATATACCAACCATATATGCTTAAAGGGATATCCTATATAACATTGGGCTAATAGCTCCTTTTTTAAATGCCACTGAAAAAGCTAGACTTCTATAAGAAATCAAAGATTCTCTCAACAGAACTACTACATTTATAACATTGGACTTTAATCTAGATAAGTACATTATTATCTTATAATTAAGTTTGATAATTTCTACAGAGTTCAAAGATTATTACAATCAGATTTAGAAGGAGAACCTTTGCAATTTTCTTCCAAATTACATAAGTTCGAAATCATAAACTCTATGTCCTTAAATCATGGATTAAAATTTGGAGAGAGGCCTACTAGGATTGTTGATTTATATCAGTAATTTCATCAATACTGATATGGCTATAAATCAATTTACAAATAAATTGCAATAAAGCTATTTAGAATTAGAAGGTGCCTTTTTGGTTTCTTACATTATCAAAGATATAAATACTAGCTTTCACTTTGATTTATAATCCCAGACTCAGTTTTATATTGACAAAATCAGTGTAAAATTATTTATAGATTATTAAATTAGGTGCATAATCTAGTCATTCTCATATTTTTATGCATCTTGGTTGTGCTTACATTAACAAAGATCAGGAATAAACTAATTAAAAAATTATATTTGGCGTAGAGACTTCCATATTTGATGCCTATAAAAACAATCATTTTAAACGATGGCTTTGAAAGGAATCTAAGATAGCTTATCCATAAATGAATAATAAATTTTTAATTTATATAAAAATAATTCAAAAAAATAAAAAATTCTTTCGAAATCAACTAATATTTTATAGTATAAGTTTGATATATTTTTTATAATTTAACATATGATTCTAGTCGAAACCAAGGATTCTCTTACTCTTCTACTCAGTTTCATAATATGTAACATTAATTGCTAATTGTAGAAATGCTAAGCAATTAATTAATCAATCATTTTTTATAATAATTAACACTTCCTATACATATATTTATAATAAATTAGATACTTCAAAATTTGTGATAATGAAAGAAGTTTTTCAAAAATTGACGAATTACTTGATAAGAGTATACTTAAAAAATGAAGAAAACCAAATAGTTTTTCCACCCTTTGTTATATTGCTCTTCAGAGTTCAACAAGCCTTTTTAAGTCTTTCATACATCTATGGGCTAAGCAATAATTACTACATTTATGTGATATCGATTTATGCTAGACCCTAGCAGTTTTTCATAGACTCAGAAATACCATAATACATCATCTTAATGTTAAGTGTCATTTATATATTTACACTACTAACAATAATTCCATATACTAATATAATAGGGATATTTGGATAATTATTACGTTGCAGCATGCTAAATTTCTTTTTTGAAATTTCCAAAGGATCTATCTCAATAATTACTCACACCCTGTTAATTATGATATCATTTTCGGAAACTTTGATTATTTCTGGAACATTGAATGTCTAAACCAAAAACTTTTAGCATACTAGATTCACAAATTTAGATTTAATTGTAGTAATTTTAAATTATTTACTAATGATTTTCTATTCTTATGGATTTCCTTAACAGATCATCATGATTCTAGCAATTATTTTAAACATATTGAGAATAATAAATTAATTGTTATTTTCAACTTTTAAAAATCTAATTACTAAGTCCATACTCTTAACTATTAAAGTTTTGACATTCTTGTTTGGTCAGTTTTGGCTTTAAATTAATTTGTCTGCTTAAATTATAATGATCCCATTGATTTATAAAATGATCAACACCTACTATTAAAATTAGCTAAGAAAGACTGTTTATAACAACTAAAAGCAGATACCATGCCATATAATCAGCCTATTAGCTTTTCTTGAAAACGTAAAGGAAATCTAAAATCTATATGTTTCGAAACCTAAGAAACCAAGAGATAGAATTATTTATTCCTCCTTTTTAATGTTTTAGAACAAGAATTATTAAGCATTCCTAGAACTTAACAGTATTTAAGATTATCAATTGAGTTTGATTGAGAGTTTTAAAAAAAAAATAATTTTACAAAAATGTATAAAAAATATTTAACATACCATCCTTGGAACAAATAGGATTGACAACATTGCTCACACAATCAAATTATTATTGAATAGTGAAGAACAAAATTATTCAATTTAAAATGATATTATAGAAATAGTTAAAAATAAAGTTCATTGTCTGGAATTATTTACATAAAATCCATCCCATAGTTCCTATGAGCATTATCATGACATAACAAAATAGATTATCCTTTTCAAAGAAAAATTGGAAAAGCAATACAAAGAATTTCCATGTGAAAAAACATAAGGAATTTTGGGATTTTATTATGGTGAAATAATGAATGACTATCTTTTAGCAAACTAATTATTTAGTCTTTTAGCTATACAAGACGAAAAAATGAAGAAAATCACTTAAAGTTAGGATATTTTTTCTAATAAAATGATCTATTTAATTTTAAGATTTGATGGTAAATTAATTATTAAAAGACCTTCAAATGACGCTGCTTAATTGTTATTATTATCAAATCAATAATTAAAAGGATTAGAATTATTATACTTTATTCCTAAAGGTATTTCAGAAATCCATGATGATCTAGTTTTGAATTTTTTAAGATGTGGAAAATCAAAATACATGAGATAATTAAATTAATGTCTATTATATAGTCAAGAGATGGAATGCATGAGTTCCATTGAATTATTATTTGATATTAATTTTGTTGACGAATTGAATTTCATAGCTTTCCTTCAACCTCCTGCCAACCAAACTCTAAATCTAATTTTAAATGAATAATATCAAATACAATGTTTGAGTTAATAACTCATCTAAGACTTAGGATTAGAATAATAATATAAGTAGTATTAGGGCTATCACATCAATAAACTTATTCCTAATTTTCCTAAATATTTATTTGATAAACAACAAATTGAAAATACAGAGATTTTTATTGAGAAAATTGATGAGCAATCTTAAACATCTAGTCATCCTTTAGTTTTCATAACAACCTTTAATTTACACTTTGGAATTGTAAATGATACTACAAAATATTATATTATATCTTTTGACTTTATCAAAAGGTCCCCTTTTTATTAATGGTAAAATAATTCAATTTCAGTCCCATTTCTGAGTCCATTAATCAAAAAGCAAAATCATGGCTCATTTGCCATCATTAATGATGAAAGTACAATACATATACCTTATCAAGAGGATGAATTGATGAAAAATCAATCTCTATTTTAGTTGAATCAATAAGACTTTAATTTTTTAGATAATACACCTACTGCATAATGTTAAAAAAAATAAGAAACAAAATTGTTATCTACACTTGAATAAACTAATATTAAAACTACATCCAAACAGAATGAATTGCTATTAGCTGAGTAAAGATTCTTTTCGAAACAAAAAAATAAATCCTCTCTTTCCAAGTAAGCATATATAATTTATTTTAGCGGAGATCAAGTAGTATTTATATAAGAAGTACAGTCATCTTATGTTTCAAGTTTATAAGGAGTCAGAAATTCGAAGTATTTTAGATAATTTGAATTGATGGCAAAAATAAAGGATTTAAATAGTTTTTCCAAATTGCATCGAATCTTCCTTGCTTCAATCATCCTTTGCGTTGTATTTCAATTTATAATTCAAATTATTGTAAATATTTTAATAATTTTTTAGTAAATAATTGAATTGAATTTCAATTTAAACGAACTGGTTTCAGATATTGACATATTGTAAATAAAGAATTTTGTATTCTAACCTCTAGAGACCTTCTTATTAACCAGATGGACAATATTTAACTACAAATTACTCAACGATGCTGGAGAAATATCAAATGTGGAATATTAAAATTTGATTCAATTCCCTTTATCTAATTTAAATTTAGGCTATGATTCATTAGATAAAAATTTAAAGCAGGTTTTCAATAGACCTGCACTTTAAAATTTTCTGGAAAAAACCTACATAGACATATATGAGTATGTTACAACAAATTAAGGAGAAATCTATAATCTTAACCTTAGAAATAGCATAAGCATCTTGAAGAACTTTTAATATTCATTCAAGATGGCCTATGAGTTAGATGGAGGAATAGTTTCAGATAGCCCATATGTTTACTTTCAATATAAGAATTATTTAACAATAAAACAACAATTCTCTGAACTAAATAGCATAGTTTTAGATTAAACGTTAAAAAGATCACTTCAAATTTAATCTAAACTGTCAATAATTACTTTTATTTGCTTCGGAGCATTGACTATTTAATATGGTTTTGCAGTTTTTTATTTTATTTTATTATAAAAAACAGTACTTAAACATTACTCACTCATTTAATATATACAAATTAAATACATTGATTTCGAAATAAATTATTTAAAAAAACTAATTGATGGAGTGAATTAGAATTAGAATTTATTATTTAGATATTAATTTCGTTTAGAAAATAAGGAATCCCTTTTAGATACTTCCAACCTTAAAATGAATTAAAAAAAGCGAGTTAGTAAATAGCCAAGTATCCTCAACTATCATGATATTTACTATTACCTATTTTTTATATTTTTTCTTGGACTTACAGCTGGAAATGCTTCATTGACCTATTACGAGGGTTGGAATTATTTAGAAAAATATCCAGAAACTGCTAAATTTTATAAGGAAGTATCTGATGTAGGAACTGACGTACCCACGATGTTTGCTTAAAGAGATGTTCTATATAGTCGAAAGGCTATAATTCCATATTTCAATTAAAGTGAGTCTGACAGTTTGTTAGAAGAAATAGTTGAATCATTAAATCGAACCAAAGCCTTCATCTAAGATGACTACAATTTTGATAAGTATATTATTCAAATTCATTAGATATGTGGTTTCTGATTCATTCAAAGAATTCTTTTTTTAAATCTAGAACGACAACCTTTGTGACTTTATCCCAGATGAATTAAAGAATAAGTCTAATAGTATTTGTCAGGTTGTGTTAAATTAAAATATGAGGAGAGGCCTATAGGCATTACTTATTTATATTATAAATCATATTACTACTGATATGGAAATTAATTAGTTCACTTCAAGAAGTCAAGCAAGCTATCTGGAATTAGAAGGAGCATTTTTAGTATCAAATATAATTAAGGTTGTAAATGATAAATTTAACATTGATTTGATGGATTAAACTACTTATTTTATGAATTTAACCAATGTAATTTTTAATCTTATTTTTAGATGCATAACATCATTATGTTTATCAATTTATTTTTCATAGGAATCTTAATACTAACTCGTATTAAAAATAAATTAATTGAAAAACTTCACATAGCCCAAAGATTGACCTACATTATGCCATCAAAATCAATTATTTTAGATTCAAATTTTGAAAGGGCGCTCAGATCACTCTTAAAAGAATAATGAAAATTATATATAAACTTTGTTTTAGATACTGAATTGTAAAATATAATTAAAACTTTTCTAAATTGGGTAATTGTAATGAAAAATCTTTTGTTCATAATGCTCAGAGGAGAGATGAAATTTAAATTTTATAAATTATTACAAAAAGTTCTATTACAATTCAAGGAGTAAAGACTAATTAAATGCTATCAAAATCAAAGTCGTCTCCCATAATTTCTGCTCTATCAACGAATAATATATGTGGTAATTCAAATGTAACTTTTGTCTTATTTTTTGATTGAGAACGAGTTATTTTTAATTATTTATTATTACCTCCTAACATCTTAATGAGTTTCTAGGATGCAGCTAAGCCTAATTTGCAATCATCAAGTCTTTTTGAATTTATATTATCTTCTGTTAAACCACATCCATAATCAACTATCTTAAAATGAATGTTTTCTTGATTGTAGTTCTTAAGCACAATTTCAACCTGCTTTTTTACCATTGAATTTTAAAGATCATAGTCATAAGATTTAATTGAATTGTAGATAATATTAAATAATAACTATTTCAAACGTCTATATAATTTATATATAAATACACCTTTTATCTGTTATTATGGATTTATTTTTTAACTTATGTCGCATAGTGATACTAATTTTCTATCCAATAACTATTTCATCGTAATGAAACTAATTAATTAACAAATTAATAGTTTGTGTTATATCTACATTGTTCTTTTCTAGATAAACGAACTCATTTATGGAGAAAACTTCAAAATAGTTAAAGTTGTTTTGAGTTATTTTCATAAATGAAAATTGTAGCTATTTGATGAATTATGTTATTTAACAATTTTTCTATGCTTTCTCAGAAATTTCTGATAACGCATCATCAACGCTGTCTTTTTATGAACAAATGGAATGCGTTTTTATTAAATTAATATTTTTTTATTTCGGATTTAAAATGTCAGTAATTGTTTTCTCTTAGATATTTATCTTTTTATGAATGCTCTAGATTAAATCAGCTTGCTATTTCAAAAATTTTATAGTTGAGTTGATTTTTTGAATGTTTTTCAAGTTTGTTTTAATTTATTGAACTTACTTTTCTAAGTCCCTAATGAGAACAGCAGTCACTTAACGTTAAACACCATCCACTTCCTTTTATAAATATTAAAAATACTTCTTCAAAAAAACTAATTTAAATATAAAAATTGTAGTTTTATCCAATTCCATTATATTTTCCATATAAAACTTTTCTATTTTTTAGATTTGATACTTCAAGAAACCCTGAACTTAACTAAATAGCAGATATGCCAGATAATTATTTCTCAATAAATGCATCTATCATCACGATGGATTATTTATTAATTTGTGAACTAATAACTAAGTTTTCTTCCAGTCCTCTTATATAATTTAAATCATTAAACTTAAAAGAATTGGCATTAGCTTGAATCCAATCAAAAAAAAAACTATCCTATTTCTTATCTAAATTATTTGATTCATATAATTTAACATTAAAATCACTGCTTACTTTGATTTGTTTAAATAAAGAGGCTAATTAAATTTTGTTGTCTTATAGAAGTTTGTTCATTGAATAATTATTTGATGCTTAATTTATGTTATTTTCTAAATCATTCGCACTGAAATAGAATTTACTAATGTAATCTTCACTCTATTCAATAAATTACTACCACGCAATTTTCTGAGTAGGTGCTTAGATGTCCACTTGATCAGGCATCAGATGCATAGATGCTTCTTATCTGCTTAATGATCCTTCTTCTTGCAGTTTTACTTTTTATTTTGTTTACTCTTATTGTTTAGGGAGAAATTTGTTCAGAGATCCATTTAAATTAGCATTGCTCTGGTAATACTATTCATCTTTGTTCAGTTCTATTAACTTGATATTTTATCGATAATTTTGATATTGAATAAATAGCATCGTTATAATGAGTAAAATACTTGAAACAATTTAATCTTCAAAATAATATATGAAAAGGCCAACCAGCAATCCGAATTATACAAATGCTTTTACTAATTAAGTTACATGGTTTAGAAATTTAGTAGGAGTAATGCTCATATACTATCCATTACTAAAACCCAGATTATAGAGCCAAAAAATTGCCTAATCTTCCTTGATGTTTTTTATGAACACTACCCTCACTAATGCAAGTGACCAAAAGAAAATAGGCGTATAATCTAATCCATGATAATCTAATTTCATACCTTACTTAATCCCAAAAAGCTTTTTTTTTTCCACCAACTTTGCAAATCCAGCCAAAGCCAATAAACCTAAACTAAAATATTGTAATGTATCCAATTTTTATTGCATATAAATTTCTAATCCAATTGAAAGCATGGATATGATATAATCTAACGATATATCTAATTGATTAAGTAAAGAGCTTGCATTGTTGATCATTAAAATAAATAATTATAATTTTATTTGAAACTTATAAAGGCATCAAGAAATTAATCTTAAACAATCAATCGGATTAGAAGCATAAGGTTCAATAATATATTTTTAAAATCGACAAGCAATTCAAAAGAATTAATTTTTTTTATACTAAATCACTATCTCCATCGTCTTTTTTTTGTATATCAAGAATTCCCATCGGAAATTAGTTCTATAAACTTAATAATCTAATTTTGAGAGGTCTAAAAATACATCTAATACTTTAGTTATAATTAAGAAATAATGTAAGTTAACGAGTTTTAACAAGAACTGAATCAAATATTTATTGTAATACTTGAACAGATACACAAGTCCCTCATAACACTTTAGCGGTATATTAATCATTCAAATTATATTCATCTAGTAGGTCATAAATTCAAGCAATATAAATAAGGAAGAAAATTTGATATTGAGTTTAATATAAAATAATTTCAGAATAGCTATTTCAATTTTTTAATAATAATTACCTTTTTCTATCTACTATAGAAATATATATTTCAAGTTCATAGATCTATGATTTTAATTTAAGAAAAATTGAAAGTGTAATTTAATTTTATATTCAATCTAAAATGTAGTAGTTCATTTCATATGTATACTATATTAATTTATGATGATTGAAAAGATTTTACTATAGACTATTAGTTAAATTATAAGTCCATAGGTTCGTAATGATGAATCCATGAAAGAAAGCAAAATGAGAAGTTTTTTCTGGTTAAAACATTTAAATTATTTTGTTCATATAGTTTAGAATAAAATCAATAACTTCAAATAAATCATTAATATTATCCTGAAAAGATACAGAGTCTAAATTTTCCTAAACGCTTTTGTCCTACATAAATTTTAACCTGATAAGATCATTAAATATTCTTAGTTATTAGATAAAAACAATTAAATATTTGATGTAAGAGAAAATTATAATAAAATTATTAGATTTTTGAAACAATACTCAATTTTAAAAGTGAATATCAAATTAGTTGATCTAGAAACTCAAAATGATTATCATTGAATATATCAGAAAGAAATTTATTCAATGATTTCAATAATGGCACCTAGTTTTATATAAATCTACTCAAATATAAAATTAATGAATTGGAAGTTTGAAAGTTTAGAAGCATTTATTTTTAGAATTATATGTATTTGATGTCTTTATAATTATCTATAGATTAATTAATTTGAAAAAGATTGATATTACATGATAATAATGATCTAGATATTAGTATTAAGATAATTAACAATAATAATTCAAATTTAAGCACAATTAATTAAATTCTGAGATTTTAATAGTTTATTATAGAAGATATATTTGATAATCTATTTATTATTAATGACTGTACTATAAATTATCAGGCAATCTGCTTCTTTCTAATCATCCATAAGCCATCATTATTTTTCTTTAATTCAAAATTCACTAAATCTGATTTTGTCTTTCTTAAAAACAAATCAATAATATCAAATAGTTCATCTTCACTTTTAATTTTTGATTTTATTTTTGGAAAGTTCAATAACAATTTCATGAGCATATCTAAATGTTTAACTATATATTACATTTTTCTGAATCTTAAGCAGAGTGTTATAAAATAAAATCATCTTTTAAATAGTTTTTATCACTATAGCAATAATTTATTTATTAGCCAATGCCAAATGGATCTATAACTTCCTTTTATTATTATGTTATTTTAGCTGTATTACTATCTGATTATAACAATTATTATTGATTTTCTTATGGTTCTTATTTACTATCAACATCAAGAGATAAAACTTTTATGGCTGCTTTTCTAGCTTATGATTAAATTGTTGCAACATTAATTTGTAATTCCTAAATCTCACTATAATTAATTTATAGCCTTTAATTTTTATTTGTTTTAATTATTAGTTTTTTTTCTTATTAAGAGTTTTCCTCAACCCTGCCAGATATCAAATCACTCACAGTAGGTTCACATTTTATATCATCAAGATAGATTTATTTAAAAAGAATTTCATCATTTTTTTCAATTAAAGTAGGATCATCTTTTAAAGTTTATACAGGTAACTTGATATATTCAGTTTACTATTTCATAGATTAAGGTGCGCTTGTTTATTATACTATCTTTTCTTGATTTTAATTTTCAGAAGTTTATTGTTGTTTTTATTAGAGTGGGTTTTATCTTTAATTGGGTTTTGTTTATTAAAAATTTTGCTGACCTGTAGGCTTTTAGGCATTCTTAGCGAATGTTTTTTTCCATTCTTGTTATTTAGTTTTTAACTCATCCTCAGGGGATAAAATATTTATTGATATTTTGTTAGCAGGTTATGATTTCTTAATAGGTACATCTTCAGAAGATGACTCTGATTCTGAAACTATCTACCTTATGATTGGATTTATTTATTTTTCTTTGTTTTACTAGGAGTTCTGCTAAAGTTAATGAGGTTGAGCAATTAAATTAGACTTGATTTGTTATACATTAAGGTTTTGATTTTAAATTATGGGTTATCTAATTTATACTTGTTTAATATTATCTTCACTGCTACTTTCTTAATTCTAATTATTAAAATTTATATATTTACTTATTTTGTTTGCTTCTACCTTAGTTTTGTGTCTTTTTATATCATTTTCGTAGATGATGCATTTACTTCAACAACCCTAGGTTATTTTAACAATAATACTGAATTGGTTAGCCATTAATTACTAAATTTTCAACAAGTTGATCATTCAATGCTCTAAAGCCTTCAATAAAGATTTATGGACATTGTAAATGGCAAGTCTTTTATAAATATTTGCATAAGTCCTCAATAGTCTAATTAGGTTTGCTAAAAAGCAGAATATTATCTGTTGAATTATTCTGATATTGGATAATTAATTTAAGTCTCATAAATTTTATATATAATTATAGTATATATGTGATTTCAATTTTTCTATGTTTTCTTTTGAATATTTTTAATAATGGTTTGCAGTTTAACTCTTTCTTAATCTGGATTTTCAATAACATCTGATTCCAGAATACTTTCAATTTATGAACTAAATTCTTTATCAAAGTCCTAATCACTTTTTTTATAGTGTTTTTTTTCAGTGTAGCTTTGAAGTAATTCGTTTTATTCTATTACTTATTAATACATATCCTAAAGTTTAGCTATCTCTTTTTATTTCATTTACAATCTTTATTCATAAGTTTCTAAGATATCCTTCTCTGGAGTCTTATAAGAATCTCTAAATGAATGAGATAAGGGTTTTGAGCTTTATAACTAATTTATAATTATTAAATTACTTATTGTTTATAAATTTTCACTTAGGTTTCTAATCGATTAATTTTTTCATGTTAAAATTATATACTTTGCTGTTATTGCTATTCTAATATTTCCATCTAAACTATATTTTAATTTAATTGATTAAGTTATTCTTATAAGTCTGAATTTTCATTCTACAGAGACTTAATTTAAGAAATTTGTGCTTCAATTTATTATTATAATCTTCTCTTGTTTTCTGAAAATTAAGTAATTTTTAATTCTAGATGTTTTATTTCCTCTTATAGATTAAACTCATTTTAGTACAATTATCTATCTAACTATTGTTTTTCCTATTATAACTCTCTATATTATAAATCCTTTGATTATTAAATTATATTTGCTTAGGCTAATTATTCTTATAAATCTTAGACTTAAAGTTCTTGTGCTTTAACTGTAGAAGTTAATTAGATCACTTCTTATTCCAATTATTTAACAAGGGCTTTCTGATATCGTAATTCTTTGTTAGAGGTTTCAATGGCTGTTAGATTCTAATTATTTACTTAATCAATTTGATCTTGCATGCCTTCGTTAATTATTTTCATTTTTTCTATTTCTCTATTAAACTTTTTCTTCTCCTACTAATGGTTCTAAATTTATTCAATATAATCCTCAATTATTTACTTTTGATTATTTACTAATTCTTCTTACTCTGAATATCTAATTTAATTTTATTTATTCATTTCTGTCTGTTCTTCAATTAATTACTTTAAATTCTCAAACTCTTCTTGATAATCTTCCAATTATTTCTTAAAACGCTATTCCATTTATTTTAAAGTTAACTAATATGAATTTTTTTCTTTGATCGCCTAAAATTAATCCTAATCTTTATTATCAACTTATTATTATAAATCTTTAATTTGAGAAATCTACAAGATAATTTCCTAATTTTTTTAGTTAATGGTTGTATTCAATTCTTTTATTAATTACTTTTGGGCTAACAATTCTTCTTCTGCTTTATTTTAGTATTCTTCAAATTCAATTTATAATTCAATCAACTAATCATTACTTTATTATTTAAATTAGTTTTTGTTTTAAATTTCCTTGAATAAGTTTTAGAATCTCTCAAATTCTTCCTATTATTTTGAGAACTATTCTTTATATTATTAATCCAAAAGAGTCAGTTCTGAATTTTTCGAATTTAAAAACTAGATTTCCGCCTAATATTTCTTCTCCATTGATAAATATTGTTGATGATTAATCTCCAATTCTTAACCTTTATTTTCCAATTGAATTAATAGGGTTTCCTTTGTTTGTTGTATTTCTAAAATATATGGTTAGAATACCATCTTCTAAATCTCTATTCTATTAGTTAAGCACTCTCAATTCATCATCTTGCTGCTTAATTGTTTATTTTAATTAAGCGATCTCAAGATAGAATTGTTTCATGTTTTTATTTTCATTGGAACTTTTATCTTGCTGTTTCTTTGTTAATTCGTGGAGTTCATTATATTCTAAATATTGAATTTATTAGATATACAAATATCTTTATCTTTTAATTAATTATTTAACAGCATAATTTTATTCTTAAGTTGTGATATTTCTTACTTTTGATGTCCAATCTCACTCTCTTAATGCTATAACGCAGTTTATTAGTCTTAAATTTTCTATTGAGTTGCTCTTGAAACAGAACTCTTCTCAGGTGTAGGATTATTTGATTCCTTCAGTTGAGTGTGAATCTCATACATTTGCTCTAAGGTCTCTTCGAGCAGCTATTTAATGATCTCTATTTGGAGACTTTAATATGAATATTTTGTCATACCCATCGATATTTGAAATCATTTATTCGAAATTTTCTAACAAATTAGTGAACAGCCCTTTTATTTATTACATTAATTAATTTTTATTATGGAATTTAATGTTATGCATTCAAGAATTCCCACATTAAAATGTAAAGCTATGTTCTTATGCTATATCAAATAGAAGCCGAAAGTTCTTTCTAGCGCTATCGAAATCCTTTGAATGAATTTCATAACAAAAGTGAATCAAATTCATTTGAACACAAATAAGCAGAATTCCAAATACCTATTGGTTAATATATGTTTTTACCCTCTACACCAATATATCCAATCTTAGGTAATGATTTTAATCATTTTCAGGTGAACAGAAGTATGAAATGTTAGAATAACCAAATTATTTTCACAAAAATAACAATCAAGTAGAATTAAATAAGAATGAGAAAGAAGTTGAATACAAGCTAAATCTAACTACATTTGGATGTAAGAAGGCCTGCTAGATAGATTGCTTATTAGTGGAGAGATATTTCAATCAAAAATATTGGGTATGGAAACATTCTATATAAAGATATTTTAAAATGCCAATCAATATTATAAACTAGATCAAAGCAAAAGGAACAATGTAGACTGGCTTAAGGAAAGGTTGTAATATCGCTATAAGCCTCAGGTTTACGAGGTATTTGTGGAAATGATTGATGGAATTTTTAATGAAGGACAATTATAAATGAATGCCAGAAAGGAACCTATAAAAGTGACAAATTAAAAAATATTCCAAAACTTAGAAAGATAGATTTCAAAAGGGCTAAAGCAGGATAAAACTTTTGATTCTTTCCTTCTTGAGATTCAAAAAGTTATTGCTGAGTTTATATTTACTAAAATAAATTGATTTTATTAAAATTGTTATATTAGTTATTGTAAATAAATTACTTTGATTATATATATATAAATAAATATGCTAAATTAGCATTTTTGTGAAATTGATGATGACAGTAAGTCTCCTGTAAAATAATTCTTTAGTTTCTGATGCTACCTCTTTTGAGGACTCCATTTAAAAGAGATGTATGACAGCTCCTCCGAGACCATTAACCGATTTGGAGGAATTTAAGAGGTAAATTTGTTAAGAAGTAAGAAGATCAGAAGAATATGAAGCCCTCGAAAAAGCGTATAGAAGCCAAAGCCAATTGATTTAGAGAGACTATTAGAAATACGATTTAGACAATCCAGAAGGATAGCATAGTTGTAAGAAATTTCTATACCATCTTGAATATATGTGTAAAGTATTTGATCAAATAACTCACAGGTGTATAAAGTGAATGCAGTATCAAGGGATTATAGAGACTCATTTTCAAAAGCTTACAAAATATTATACACTGAAGGTGAGTTGTGTTACTTGACTGAAATTCTTGATAGTGCTTAGGAAGGTAAAAGTTAGTGATTGAAGTTCTAGGCTTCCCATATTTGTGGGTTAATTCAGAAAAATATGCATTTTCGGCTGATGTATTGGAATCTGGAGTGCGCTTAGTGGAGGCTTTTTATAAAGTCTAACATGTCATCAGATACACGTATTCTGGGACTGGACAAGAGAGTCCCGATTTCTCTTCTTAGAAATTGAAAGCTGAAATTCAATTATTGTTAGAGAACTTTGATATAATTTGGGTCAATTTTGAGAAAGTACTTTAAATTTATAATCAAGTATTATGTCAAGGAATTAATGCAAATAGAGGCAGAAGCAAGAAGGTTTATACTAAAAGCAATAGAAATAGATAAAGAAATGATCTCGATAGAGGTGCGTGAGAAATTGAAGGGAAGAATCCTTGTGACCTCTGATAATTATCTACATTAAAAAGCTGAAGTAACTCACATACTGAAGCTAGTTATGCAAAGTGATAGCACAGATTAATTCGGTCGCTAATGTTGAAGGTAAAGGCAGAGATGATCTCGGCGTAAATATCCTACTCGAAGCAGAAGGTATAACCAGAAGAGTCACTCGAGAGTAATCTTAGGCTGTTAGAAATCTTGCTGATAGCATCAAAATGAAGTAGACTTGTTATAATAGTTAAGTTTCTCAAAGTTCAGAGAACAGATGAGAAGATATGAACGGAATATTGAAATGGTCGATCCTCAATTAAAAAATAATTAAGAATTAGTTGAATTATTGATTGAATATGAAACATAATGGGAAAAAGGCTTGAATTACTTATTGGATCCAAAGAGATATACACAATTAATGTTGTTTTCACATATCATAGAAACAACAGCAGAGAAATATCAACAATTCAAAGAACAACTAGAATGCAGAGATAGCGATATTTTTGTAGCAATACCATGTTTGATCATATTAAAACACCTCGAAGATGAAGATCGCAATATTTGTCTGTATTTCTTACCTATGTTAAATGATACTTCTTCTAAATTGCATTAATCATTTATGATTCTAAAGTAGGAATTTCAGACTTGGAGAAGACAACATTCAAAATCATATGAATACTATAATATTATTGAAAAACTGATTTTAGGAATTCCATAATAATAGTTTTCTGAAGATGAGTCAAATTAAATTTAGAAGCTTATGCAAAAAATTAAATTCCTTTCGATGGAACTACAAAGGTATAATGCTATAGAATGGAATTAATTCATTGATGCTGCAATAAACAATAATTGATTTATATAATTATAATTCTAATTAATTGAAAATACCAAAATATATATTTATGTTTCGATATTATATTGCTTAATGACTCATCTATCAAGTTTTTTGGTTGTGAAGACCTTTTCAATCTCAGCGAATACTTCATCTATTGAAGGTTCTGTATTTATTTCAATAAGTCTCTCATCTTTCTTAAACATTTAAATGATCTAGTTTGTTTGTTTATTCAATGTTTCAACCTTCCTTTAAATAGTAGCCTAGTCTTTTTTGGCTATATTAAATAATTCTTAAAATTACCAACATCCCCTGCTATTCTTTTATCAAGTACTTCTTAAGAACATGCAAAACACATGATATATTTTAATTTTACAGGGTGATCAGTTTAAGCATACCAAGCATTTAAGTTGTCTTCATTTCTTGGGAACCCATCAATTATGAATTTTCTAGCTTTTGATGAATTAATGGCAGCAAGAATCAACTAAACAACTATCTTCCCTGGGATAGGTTGATTATTTTTTTAGCAATCTTTAATTTTTTATGCTTCTTATGTATTTTTCTTAATTTCATCCCTAATTATTATTTTAGTTGACAAATGTTGAAATCCAAATCTTTTTGATATTCTTGAAGATTGAACTTATTTTCCAGTTCCAGGAGCGCCAACTAAACCGATTATGTATTTTCCTTTAGCAGGTCTTTAACCATTTAGTGTAACTGCTAATCCACTAGTTTTAAATATTTTCTTAACATTTGAATAAACAACATCTACTAATTATTCAGAATTAATCACTTTCAATTTATCTAAAAATAATTGCTAACCTTACTTTATTCTTTAAATATTCCCAAGACAGGTTTCGTTTCAGAATGGAAAGTAGCTAATCGTTTTTTTATAGTTTCTTCATTGTCATCTGCTCTACCTGATGTTTTAGCTCTCTCCAAAAGTCTTCTTGTCATTTCAGCATCAGAACATTCAAAGTAAAGCAAACAATTTACATCTACTAAAGTAGCTAAAATTTTATTCCAAGAATCAATGTTTTATTGATTACGAGGAAAACCATCTAATAGATATTTCCCTTTAAATTGTCTTCTTAATAATTCCTATGATTTTAAATGTGTAAATTACTTTTTTTATCAATTTTACAACAAGATCAGATGGCACAAGCTTACCTGCTTCCATAATTGTTTTTAATTCAGCTTAAATTGGCCCTTCTTATTTCTATTCTTCTCTCAATAGATCTCCAGTCGATAAATGAACATATTAAAAGTCTTTAGCAATTCGAGCACATTAAGTTCCTTTGCCTGAACCTGGTCCTCCCTTGAAATTAAAATATGCTGTACTAAAACAAATATCACTTCAGGTCGTTTTTATGGTTAAACACCATTATTGGTTAATGCCTTTTTGACATTTTCATAAACTTCGTCTGGTGATGCTTCAGCACTAACCTTAACAACCTTGTTCTTCTTCTCGAAATCTGTCACGATGGGTTAGGTTTCATTCATAAAAGTAACAAATCTTTTCTTTATTGTTTCTACATTATCATCTGCTCGACCTGACGTTTCTCCTCTCTTTAAAAGCCTTTATTCCATTACGGCCTCAGAACATTCAAACATTAACAAAAATCTTGCTTCTACAGAATTTCCAATTATTTTGGTCCAACTTTCCCAATTATCTTATGATCGTGGGAATCCATCCAATATATATCTTCCTGTATTCCCCAAGGATTCAATTTCCTCAAATTATAAAACTTTATACTTTTTTGATTAACTTTACCAAAATATCCGAAGGAACTAATTTACCTTCTCTCATAATATTTTCCAATTCTTCCGCATCAGGTCCACCTAATTTAGTCTATAAATTTTACCCTTCTTTCTTTCAGCTCTTAGTAAATCTCCGGCACTAATGTGAAAAAAGCAATAATCTTTAACCATCTTCTCACATTGTGTACCCTTACCTGATCCAGGTCCTCCCTATATAAAAATGATAAAAAGTAAAAATACCAATATAAAAATAACTTCAGCCTTAGGTGCATTTTCATAATTATTTTCATTGGCACTCTTATTTATAAATAGACTATTTTTACATCTGAAGAAACACAACCCATATAAAGATTTTATTTTAAATATGGAATTAATCAATTTATTATCATTAATACCTCTAATTATTATTATACTGAATCTTTCATTGTTATTAACAATAATTTAGAATCTACTTTTTCATGCACACTGTAATTTTATACATAAAGTAATTAATTTTATACCTCAATATATTATTATCAACTTTATTCAGAGAGCATAATTATATGAAAAATAAAATGAAGTCACATAACTCATTAATTTAATGAGATTTAAAAATAAATATTAAACACCATTATTTACTTTTGATTTATATTTATTCAATACAATGAATATTTCACCATTCAAGGAAGGGATCATCTGCAGGTTTAAGGGCTGGACTTTAAGTATCGGATTCTGGATATGATGAGAAATTGGACGTATCATTGGGAGCTCTTAAGTCAATTTTTTAAAGAATTACTTAACAACTGGCTTATAAGGAACTGGCAATTTCTTCTATAATAACAAATTCCAATCAAGATTTCCAAACCATCTATGATTTTTAATATCAGCAGCCCCTAATTAAGATAATCCCAATCAATTACCATTCTTTAGATTTCCATATCTTTTAGACAAATCTGCAACTAATAGATGTTTGACTAAGGATTTAGCATTTCTATGTTATTCTTACTCAATACTTATCAAAAGATTTTGGAAACTTAACCTTTCCTTTAAGAATTTTTTAGTAAATAGCCATAGGATCTTCATCAGAAAAGGGATCAATTCCTGCATTCATTTCATATATCAATATGCCCAATGTCCACCAATCTACTGCTTTACCATGTCCTTTATTCAACAAAATCTCAGGTGCCAAATATTCTGGTGTTCCGCAAAGTGTGTATGTTCTTCCTTCAACTACTTTAGCAAATCCAAAATCTGTCAGTTTTAAGTATCCGTCATCTGCTATTAATAAGTTTTCTGGTTTTAAATCTCTATATATAATATTTTTGGAGTGAAGATATTCAAACATAGAAGCAACTTAAGAAGCATAAAAACTAAATTATGAATTTGGTTAGTTTACCCTGCATGCTATGTGTCGAGTCTTCCTATGCTTCTCAAATAAGTAAATAATTCCCCCCCAGAAACAAATTCTAATACTAGATATAGATATCTCGGATCTTGGCAGAATCCTTCGAAATTAACCTAAGAATTAAAGAAAGAAAGGAATACAATAAAAGGATGCTGCAAGTTGCCCAATATGGTATTCTCATTAATCACATGATCAACTTGCTTTAAACGTATAATTTCCGCTTTCTTTAAACTTTTTAAGGCAACATATTTGTTAGTTTATTTGTTCCTTGCTAATTTGACTCGCCCAAAGGAACCTAACATTGTTATTTAATGATGAAGTACCTGTGCCAAGAGTTTGAAATACTTCATAATCTGTCAACTTGAGTTTCTTAGGTTTGGCTAGAGATGTACTCATCAAAAGGCAAGATTTATATAATAAATAAAATATATACACATAAATAATTAACATTCGTATTAGAACTGAACTCAATCATCAATAAAAAACTAAGTGAAATGTTAATGAATATGTCTTATTATACATGATAATAGAAATCATTAATGTAAAATTCCGATAATGTCTGAATCTCTAAAAATGAAAAACTCTTAATCTGCCAACTTGATTTTCTATCCTCCATAATCTGGAAGTAAAACAACATCACCAGGTTTGACTAAAGTTGGTATGACATTTCCTTTTGAATCTATTTATCCTGGGCCAGCCTGGAAATTTCTAGAATAAAATTCTTACTTCGACAACTTTTCCGACAGCCTATTTGTCTTCTGAACTTTATAAAAGGATTCCTGAAGCAGTTTTTGTAACAGGTTCATGCTTTTGGATTAAAACTCTGTTGAGGAGTGGTGCCAATTTCTTGAATTAAGATGCCATTCTAAATCTACAAATTGAACTTAAATAAAATAAATATCAGAATTAAATTTTTAAGCACACAAATAAAAATACTATTTTAGAATTTGCTAGAAAATTTGATCACTTTGATCCTGTAAATCATTTCCATTTCTGTATTTCATAAATATATATTAATGTATTCTATTACTATATCTATACTATATTGATATTGATTTATTTTATCAACCATCTCTTTGATCTCCGAATGTTTCTTAGGGTTCCTCTTCTCCTTGACGTCCTGATTATTATTACTTCTTCTTGATTCCTGATACAACATCATCAATCCTCAACAACATACATGCTGATTCGATGGCAGTTTTAAAAACTTATCTAAATGATTAAATAAATAATATACTTTTTTACAGACAAAGGTTCCCAAACATTAATTTCATTCATCTTTGCAATTTTTCCAGTATTTCCATCAACTCCAAAAAATAATCCTCCATTTTCACTATGTTTGGCTCTTAATTCAGTCAAAATTCTGACTGTATCAGCTCCACAATTGGCAGAGAGAGTTCTTGGTATGATTTCCAAAGCATAAGCAACTATTAGATATATAATTAATAATTATACCAGCTTTATATGGTAATTAACCCAATCCTTCAACTTTATTTGCTTTCTCCAACAATCTAGCACTTACTTCCATTTCAACAGCTCCTCCTCCTGGTAATAGTTTTGGATCTTGATAAATATTTTTGGCAACGGCCAAACAATCATGTAAATTTCTTTCCTAATTATTATTATTTAATATAAATACCATTTCATTCAAAACATCTTTTGATGCACCTCTCAATATGATAGAGCATGCAGTTGGATTTTAGCAATCTACAAAGAATGCGAAATAATCATCTCCAATTTTTTTGACTTCAAATGTTCCACATAATGTACCAACATCTGTTTCTTATAATTCTTCTGGTCTATTTACGATAGTGGCACCTGAAACTCTGGCAATTCTTGTGTTGTCTGTTTTTCTTACTCTTCTAATGACAGAGACATTTCCTTTTAATAAAAAGTGTTAAGCCAAATCTGAAACTCCTTTTTCTGTAATAACAATATCAGGTTTGTGTTTCAATATATCATTGCACATAAGAGCAACCTCATTAATTTCTTGTTAGAGTGCATCAGTCATATCTGATTCCTTTGTCATTTCCATATTAGTCATAGATTCACCTTTCTTGTATTCTAATGTACAATCCAATAATATAATTCTTGGGTTCTTGATTTCTCTTCTCATTCTTGGATGAGTAACATCTTTATTAATCATGACTCCTTCAAGTACACAACTCTCTTCTAGAGTTCCTCCTGGTATTTTTTCTACCTTTGCATACCTCTTAATTTCTAAATTCAATTTATTAACATTTCCTCCTCTAAGAACTATTCTGGTTGCTTATAAAGAGAGATCACTAATTAAGGTTCCCCATCTGAATGCAAACTTAGTACCAATGCAAGATTGTAATGCTTTCATAACTTCTTCTTTTTTGTCGGTGTCTATTTATTATGAAATCTCATCCAAGATCTTTACAGAATCTTCCAAGGCTCTGAAATACCCATTTACAATTTCTGTTGGATGAATATTCTTTTCAATGAATGGTCTTGCTGCTACCATCATTTCACCTGCTAATATGATGACTGATGTTGTTCCATCTCCAACTTCTTCATCTTGAGCCTTTAAATTCTTAGTTATTATAATATACTCTTGCTAATTCGATCATGCTCTTTGCTGCTGGATGCTAAACATCAATCTCTCTCAAAATTGCATTACCATCATTTGTCATTACAATGCCGCCCATTGGATCAAGTAACATTTTTAACATTGATCTGGGTCCAAGAGTAGTCAATACGATATCTGATACAGCTTTGGCTGCCTAGATATTTCCTAATTGAGCTTTTCTACCCTATTCTCTTTTTGTGTTAGCATTCACTACAATCACTGGAGCTCCTTACATATATTTTTAAATATAAAAACTTTTAATGGATTTGATTATTTTCTTTTATATTTATCAATTCCTCTAGAAAACTGCAAATTTATTATAACAATCAAATCTCAAATTTGTATGATTATATCCTACAGACTGTTTAAGGCTTTGATAATCTCTGTATTAATTACAGTAGATTCCGGGTCCACCTTAGTATTTGAAAAGTCAATCAGTTTAATTTTAAAATCATTCTCATCACCATAAATCAACAACAAACTTGTGCCTTACCAAGAGATTACTTACTTACAATGATTAGTAATGAATTGCTTTAATGATTCTATCTTATCTAAGGCTTCTTTCAAGATTTCTAAATTTAAAACTTAACTTACTATTTCTATTTTTGAGACTAAAAAATGTCTTTAGTGACTCAATTAATTCCTCTACAGAAATGGTTCTACCCCAATGCTTATCCTTAAATATAACTAATTCGTTATTTTCTTGTATCTTCATTCCACAAATCCTTAACCCTATTTTAGAGGAGGTTGAATTTTAATAACGCTATATATGCGACTATTTGTGAACTGAGTAACCTAATTTTAAGTCCAGAATTCTCAAGTTCTATGAATTTTAAATCAGGTTTTCTAATAACAAATATTCTATATAAGTGATTGTGTATACTAGTATTATTTGGATTATATCTCTTAGAAATAAGAGAATTTAACCATTGCTATTAAGAGTTGATTTTTTGCTAAATTGATAGTTGCTGATTTTTCTCAAGGATAACAACGCCGTTATATTGAGAGAAGAACTCTTAATATCCATCTATTTGCTGAATCCATTCATAAAAACTAATTAGGATTCGGAATTACTTTTATTCATTATTATTTTCTATTGAGTAGGACTTAGCCACAAATTCACCATCATTAAGTTTAATAAATATAGAATGTCCAGAGATTTATTATTCGAAAAAAGCTTATTGTAATTATTATTATAAACTCATAATAATAATATATAATCAAAATAAGTTATGTTTGATAAAATTTCGTTTTATTAGCATTCTTAAAAGATATGGCATTTGTGTTGATATTCGGTTCCGATGAGGATGGGTATTTGGATATTTGTAGGATTTTTAAATACAGGGTGGATTTTTTGTATGTTTAAATTAATTATGATTTAATTTTGTTTAGAAGAATGGCGATTATTCTATTGAATTCTTTTTATGTTGTTTTTGTACTATTATATTTATTTTAAATTAAATTGATTGCTTAATTTACGAATTTCATACTAATTAAAAAAGAATAGCAGAATGAAGGGGGGTGCTAAAAAGAACCATAAATATGTAAATTGTGATTATTAATTCGAATGCAACAGAATTATATGTGATTCATAAAATATTGTATTAAATCAAAGATATAATTTATTATTACATGAGTGCCTCTGAGAATGTGAGATATATTAAGATTTAGAAAATAGGAGAAGGTGCCTATGGAATCATTTATAAAGCTCAAGATGTCTAAACTGAAGAAATAGTGGCACTGAAGAAATTCAAGCTAAGTGTATGAAGATGATATATTCCAAAGGATAATGAAGGTGTTCCCAGCTGCGCTCTTAGGGAAATCTCTATTTTAAATTAACTCAATCATCCAAATATAATAAAGTAAAAAAATTGAGGTTTAATTTAGGTTGATATCTTAAATAATTATAAATAAGAAACTTCATTTGGTTATGAACTATTACGATATGGATTTGACAGAGTATTTGAAGTTTAATCATGAGGAATTTCACCTCAAAGTATATTCACTATAAATTAATTAAGAATATAATTTATAAGATACTATTGGCTGTGGAATTCATTCATAATAGAAAAATTATTCATCGAGATTTATAACCAAACAATATTCTAATTACTAATAATGAACCCGTCCTTATCGATTTCGGATTATCAAGAGTTCTCTCTCCTAATATGACTCCAGGAGTAACTTAATTATGGTATCGTGCCCCAGAATTATTATCAAATTGCAATACCTACGATTATGCAATCGACATGTGGTCTCTTGGGTGTATTATTGCAGAAATTGCACTTAATAAACCCTTGTTTATGGGATCCTCTGAAATCCATTAGCTCTTACTAATTAAAAATATTATAAACGGAAGTATTAACTTAACAGTAACCTTTTAGATGAATGGTTTTTACACAATTCCCAATTTGCCAAACTCAATAATTTGTTTATTGATTTAATCAATGTATGTATTAGTCTAGAATTTCTAGAAATTATTATAAGTTGATCCATCAAAACGGATAACAAGTAAATAGGCCTTGTAACATGTATTACTTCTATATTTATTAATTAGCCTTTCTTTTTGGATTAATTTGCATTTATTTACAACAAAGAATGATTTTAATGATTAAATAATAATGTGTTTTTATTATTTTATGACAAAAATTTATTAATTTTAGAATTCTTTATGTAATTTTACCAAGTCATAATTGCAATGATACTTTCAAATTAAATCATTTCAATCCATAACACTAAATTAATATCACTAACATATGCCAATGATCTAAAAATTGCACCCTCTTCATTTAAATCCATTTGAATCCCTAAATCAGTGATTTCTCCATTCAAATTTCAAAATTGTAATTCCTGCCATTGCATTGACTTAATCAGGAGATGTAACCTTCTATTGATTGACCAATGTATTATGTACAGGATCAATTTTAAATCCATCCTCTAATATTTAAAACTACTATTGCCCAAAGTATCAATCTGTAAAACCTTATACTAAAATTGACTTCCTCTTTTAGAAATGATGTTCGTAATACTTTACTGAAATTAAATATAATAGTAAAAATCACATTGTTTTTGACATTGTAAGTTTTATACTTCTTTTTTCTTTTAATTTATAAGTGGAATACAAATAAAGAAGATCAAGTTTGGAAAAGTAGTTTTATTAGAACATCAGAAATAATGTAGAGAAAATTAATAAACGCCCCCAAAATTATTTATAATAAAAGAAGATCTACACCAGAAACAGTAAAAATATTTATTTTAAATTTTTAAACCATGAATTCATTACTTGTGATTTGTTTTCATTCAATTGTTTTAATCATTTATTGTAAATATATAAATAATAATTATAATAAATCAATGGAGTATTTCCTTACAAGATTTACAGTTTACGGAAATCCATTTTATCATCTCAATGCTGGTAGAGATCATACTGATTGGGAGAATCAATCCAGACTTAGAAAGGCTTTGAGTAGATTTTAATAATCCGAAGGTAATTATTATTTATTTATTGCAGAGGGACAAGCATTACCTAGAAAGTTTACAGATTAATAAATTAAAGGAGTTAGATGGGGATTACCAGTTGTCGGTCTTTTTGTAAATGATTTTGTTAATAATTTTAAAGTTAGGCAGATTTATTGGTGATATTTATTGTGCTTAATCATCAATCTACATGAAGGGCATTTTAGCAGTTGTAGGATTAACTGTTTTTAATAAAATTGGAATGGATATCATGAATGACAATGAAATCTCATATTGGACATCCAATTATCCCAAGTTGCCATCAGACATTCAGAAGGCTCTTAGTTATGGTGATGCAAGATACACTGGAAGATGGATTGATTGATTTAATATTGCAATAATATAAAAAATAAATAAAAGAGAAATATAGATGTATAATATGCTTAGACCCAAATAAGCCTTCAAGTTAAATGGAAATAAAACCCCATAAGAACAATTAAATAGGAAGTAGAATAGTTTAAGTCTGCGTGATTAGAGGTAAGATTTTTGATTGAATTTTCAAAGCAATTATTCGTTGAGTGCGACGAAAAATAAAACCAATATTTCTACCACCATAAATTCTATTAATAGAACAAAAAACTCCTTCTATGTTGACCCAAAAAGGGAAAAGTTATAAACCCATACAATAGAGTTATAAAAAACTACGGATCTTGATTTTAGTAACAAGTTCAGGTCAACATTTCAAGAAAGTGGCAGAAGATATAGAAAACTAGTAAGAGTTGCTATGTTATATTAAGAATACAACTTATAGAGAAAAACATGAAAGGCCTATATACCATAGTAAATCATTAATATGTGGATAAAGAGAAATAGAGAATAATGACTAATTAATAAAAGAGTATGAATGTTTATAATTAGGAACTTAAATGTAATACAACAAGGTTTGATTAAAGAGCCACATGTTCCAATAATTAATGCGAATGAAGATCTAACAAAAGCAAAGGAGTAAGTCGATACTATGAATAAAAATTTGGAACCAGAAACTTTCGAAGTAGATGAATGGGATTATTAGATAGATTTTGAAAAATTAAAACTTGATGCACTTAGTTTGGATGAATTAAGATCTTTAGTCTAAGAATTTGAAAAGGAGGAATACGAAAGAAATTATTTGTAGATGGATAAAATTTTATTGAAGAATAAATTTTTTGAAAGATTTGGCTAAGGAATCAGAATTGGAATTATGGAAAAAGCTTCTATTGAAATTCATGATGTTGGGAACGTCATTTTACAATTAGGAGCTAACAGCAATAATCTTTATGTTATTCTCAGAGGTTCGTGTTAATAGACATTGACTATGGATATACAGTTGGAAGAATATGAATATTTGACTGTCTAATCTTATTTTGATGGGTAAGATTTATCAGAAATCAATTTATTGTAATTAAACAATAACAGAGGATATTCTGTAAATAAATTTATAGACATGGTAGAAGAAATCAAAGAACATCCGAAATTTAAAGGTATTATCTTTAAAAATTAATTAAGATATTTTAAAAAATGAAAGAACCAAATTGATTACCAGTCACATCTCTTGTTCAGAAAAAACTTATCTATTGAGAATGGACAATGATTAATTCTAAAAGATTTTAAAATAATCCATAGAAAAAGATAAGGAGTTTAAATTGAGCATTCTATCATAAATCAGATTCTTTTAACATACTTCAACTTCTCAATTATTGCATTTAGTGGCAGAATTAGGAATTCAAAATTACTTTTAGGGAGATAGTGTTGTGAGAAAGGGAGATAAATTAAATAGGGTGATAATAATTGCTTAAGGCGAATTTGAAATCGTAGAAGAAATCTAACTAGAGAGAGAAACAAGAAACTATTATTTGGAGAACAAATTAAAACCCTTTGTCCATAAGAAACACATAGATAGGAATACAAGGCCATTCATTCCTAGGGACTAGGCTGATTAATCTTTTGATTAATATTTTGATTAATTGAAAGATTCAAAAAAGGATTAATAAAAAGATTAATAAAAAGATTAATTTTTAAATTAAAATAAATAACAAGTTATAAGAAATTCAAAATGCTATTAATATTGTAATAAGTAAATTAATGGCAAAAACGAAATTACTTATACTCATTTGCATGTTTTGAAAACATTGAAGAAATGTGATGTGATTTGTGGTAGATCATTATTAATCTTATATGATAATGAGTATGACTAAAAATAGGCAAGCAGTGCAAAGTAATCAATATATTAGATATCTATATAGACTAACTGTAGTTGCCAAGAGTGTATAGGGTAGTGTATTCTTTTTGGATGAAAAAAGATACTAAAATCTCCCAGAAAGTTTATAAAACCAAATTTTAGCAGGATTAAGGTCTATGAAAGAATTTGATGATTATGAGATAGAACACATAAGAAAACAAATAAAGTCTTGGGAGATATACAAGTAGAATTTATACTAACAAAATATATTGGATAAACGTAAAAATTCGTTTAAATAATACTGATAATAAAACTTTGTATTTTTAATTTGATTTAGTCTATATTATGTAACTGAATAAAATAAATATATATGAGTCAATTTTAAGCTTTTTTTTATAGAATTGAATTTAATTTGTCTGCAATTTTAGAATCTAGCATTAGATTTTATTTAAGCTACTGTAAGTCTAGAGCTTAATTTGGTTATTCAACAATTTCATCTTATTAGTCTATTTCACTATAATCATATTTCTCAATTGCATTATTTAACTAATCTTCAAATTGTTAGAATTCTGGATCTTCTATTTCTGTCTATTTCTTTGAAAGCCTTGTTGTTGATTGTAGATCTAAATCCTCAACTATCTGAACATTGTCTGTGAAAATTACACCTTCAGAAGTTCGTTTAATCCAAGGAGCTTCTGGCTTATTTTCAACTACAGTTGGCTAAAATAGTAAATAATTGATTATACACTGATTGTTTCAAGTAATTTATCGTCAAATTTAATGTTCATTTCAGGAATCTCAACTGTGGGCAAACAAAAGGACAACCTCAACAATAAGCATTATTTATATTTCTTTAAAGGTAGTTTGACCATTGGATATATTGAGCATAATCTGTTGTGTTATGGAAAGATGATGAATTCAGTCAGCTTCGAAAGCTCAGGATTGATTTCACTTTTAGGATTCTGATCTTCCTTCAATAATTCAATAAACTCTGATAGACGTTCTTAGATTTCTAACTATGCTATATTCTCATGCAATTATTCTAAATAATCAAGTGCTGATTCTATTTGTCCTAAGAGTAAATGTACAGATGCTCTATTGAAATAGTATTCAAATAAATTATAAGTTCTATCACTGAATTCGAATTCTTCCAAAGGTTTGCTTCTACATTCTATCTTCTTTTGAGTTTGATTCAATTACTCTAAAATATATTAGTCTGAATCATTCATAGAACCTAACTCCTTCCTCTATTGATCCTCCTTAATTTTATATGATTCTCTTAATGCTTATTGAGCACTATCATATTATTTTAAATAGAATAGGAATAATCCCTTATAAAATAGGATGTCTGATTTTTTGAATATCTTTCCCTCTGCTCCCTTCTTTAAAATTTGATTAGCACATTGTAGGGCTTCTGAAAACAGATTCTAATCACTATTTGCTGTTGATGTATTCTTTAACTATTGCAAGATATTTAAATCAACAATCGCATGTATTTCATTTGATTATTCGACTATTTTTTGCAGATCAAGCATTGAACTATTTAGTTCCTTAATTAAAATGTATGTTTTCGCTCTGTAATACAATACTTATAAGCTTTTTTCAGAGCTGATACTATTAGAATAGGACTGGATAGCATCTTCATAAGCCCCAATCTAAAAGAATAAATTCCCTATGATAATATCAGTCTATGGATCAGTCTATTTACATTCTTTGTATTTTTGAGCATCATAATAAGCATTTTTCCTATCTCCCAAAAATAAAAACATTTTCGCTCTATTTAAATAGGCATCAACAAGTTTCTCATCAAGATTAATTGCTATGGTTAAATCATTCAGAGCAAGTTCAAATGCATTTCTACAAGCCTATATCATCCCTCTAACGTAGAAATGCTTTGCTACATGATCTTCCGACTTTTCTATGGCCTTATCTAAATCCATTAAGGAATCTTCCAATCTCCCCTGTGCAAAGAGAACGATTCCTCTATAAAACAATAGATTCGATTGCTCATTTATTTTGACTGCCATGTCCATGTATTTGAGAGCATCATTCAAAAATTTATTTTTTTTTTCTATGTCGTCTTTGGGAATTAGATAACTATAGAATTTGACTAAAGTTGTGGCTTTATAAAAGTAAGGTTCCATTTTGTTGGGCATTAATTTTTAAGCTTTTAAAAAGAATCCTTAAGACTGTTCGAATTAATTAGCAACAGCAGCAATGATCCCTTCAGCTATTAGTTTATTATAAATGGAGGGTTTTTCAAGTGAAGTCAATTGATTGAGATCATTAAGAGACTTCTAATACTGCGATTAACAAAAGTATCCATAGGCTCTATATTAATAGATGAGAGGTTTCAAAAAATCTGTAATCTAATGTTTAGAGATAAGGGTAGTCAGAGCTTCAACACCTTCATCGAATTTACGTTTCATTAAGAAAGTAACCCCGTCGGTAAATATTTTGAACTTCTCTAAGATCTTTTCATCGACATCTAAATAATCAGCACGACTTAACTGATAAAATGCCTCGTAAAAATCTCTTTATTCAATTTTAATCTTAGCAATTTCATAAAGAGACTTGGACACAGCCTTTTTTGAATTGTTATGTTTGATCGATTACTCATATGCTAGGAAGGCTTCTGAGATCTAATCTAACGCGAATTTAACTTAATGATTTACTTCTTTTTGTACAAATGAAACCTTTGATGTATAAGGCTTCAGAATCACAATGATCTTCTTCTAAAACTGCTTCGATGTCTAAAAGTGCCAAGTCATACTCTTTTAAATCAATGTAGAGCAAAGTCCTTTTGACCAGTGCTTATCTGAAAGAGGAGTCCTCACATTCTATAGCCTGAGTGCATGCTTAGACACTGTATTTTGGTTGATTCATGTATCGGTAACAGTCGGCTTATCCTATATATGCAATTGCCTTCTTTGGTTGTATTTCTACGGCACTACTGAAATCCTTCAAAGCACGATCATACTACTTCATTTTCAACAAAAGTTTGCCCCTGTAGATATAGGCATCAAAATATTTGTTAAATTGTTTAATAGCATGAGTTAACTTGAATTTAAATAAATTATGATACAGTAGTTAAGGCATCGTTTGGACAATTGAATTTTTTATAGGCAATTGCTAATAGAATGTAAGCATTTCTTTTATAGAGTGGTTATTGTTGAATCAAGAGACTTAGATCTGCAATTGCCTCTGAGAATTCGGATTTGCTCAAATGACAAAGACCATTTAAATATCTTGCTTCTGGATTGTTACTGACTTGGAGAATGCTTTCAAATAGTTTTTGTGCCTCTTCGGTTTGACCCAAGCTCAAAAGTTTCTTACCTTCAATAATTTCTTAAGATTTATCTGATTGCATTTTGTTGGCACGCGCTATGGCTTAGTTTTAGTATTTTGTACCTTCTGCATCCATATAATCTTTGAAGGATACGTTGGACATGTTGTTAATATGGTTAAAACAATCCTCATTCTCTATTTAAAAGCTTTCATCTAATTAATTATCTATATGTTTCAATTACATGGATTATAACTATGGGAATGCATTTTTTTAGAGCGATTCTTTCCAAAACTATTCTATTTGATGAGTTTGTTCTTGGGTAATAAGGAATTGTGAGTATCCCCTAACACTTTTTTTGAAGATTTCTATATTACGATGGGGATTTAGTATACTTGTATAAGTTGTTAAGCCATGGATTTGGTTTTGGGTCTCGAGTCTCTTTCGGGTAAGACATGGAAACTGCCTTGCTCAGCTTTGGATGAAAATTCTAGATAATAGACTTGTGGCTTTACTTTTGACATTCTATTAACTTTGCAATTTTAGAATCTAAGAATTTTGATCATTTTCTTTAGGCTTTTGTCTTGTCTTGAATCTACTAAATGAATTACTTTCTCTTACATTTTTCATTCTATCTATTGATATTATTATTATATTACTTCCGAATTTGCTGTTAACTATTAATATAATTCAAAAAAAATTGCATTCAGAGTGTTATTTTTAATATACATAGATATTTTATAAATATACTTTTAAACCAAAATAACAAATACCAACTACTGTTAATATAGGATCCTCTCTAAATTAATTTCTATTTTTGTCTCATTTCTCCAGAGAAGTTTTACTTTGATTATAAAATTAATTAAAAAATGGGATGCGGTTCAGCGAAACCATCTGATGTTAATAACCCTCAATACAGTAATATCTTAAATCCATATGTGAGTCAATGACAAATCTCAATTGCGTGTGACATCTCTAAATTTAGTAACTGAAAAGATCGGACAGATTTCGTAGGATTATCATCTTCTCAAACCTTCCTTAGGAAAAGGTAATTCTCATATTCCACGATCCCCTAGGTGCTTATGGAGAAGTTCGCAAGGGAATCCACAAATTGACCAATCAAACTAGAGCTGTGAAAATTATCTCCAAAGATAAGGCCAAAAAGGCTGACATGGAACGTTTAAAGGAAGAAGTCGACATCCTCAAAAGATTGGTATGTATCGTTGACTCACACAAGGATCATCCAAATATTATAAAGATCTATGAATTTTATCAGGATAATAAAAACATGTATATAGTGACAGAACTGTGTACTGGAGGAGAGCTCTTTGACAAGATCTAAGAATCTAGTTCATTTTCAGAGCGCAAAGCAGCAGAAACTATGAAACAAATCTTGAGTGCTGTCAATTACTTGCATAAAAGCAAAATAGTTCATCGGTATGTATTTGGTTGCAATTATTACTAAAAGTGACATAAAACCAGAAAATATTCTATACGAATCTTCTAAGCCTAATGCCTTACTCAAGATTGTCGATTTTGGGACATCTCGCTTTTACGATCCAGATGTAAAAATGGATTAAAAACTTGGAACTGTATTTCTATATCTAATCTAGCCATACTACATCGCCCCTGAAGTATTGGAAAGGAAATATGATGAAAAATGTGACATTTGGTCTTGTGGAGTCATACTTTATATTCTACTCTCTGGAACAGCCCCTTTTAATGGTGATGATGACAATTTAATAATGGAGGCCGTGAAAAGAGGGTTCTACTCATTCGACACAGAAGAATGGAGATTAATTTCAGTCGAAGCCAAAAGATTGATATCAAAAATGCTTGAGAGGGATCCCAAAAAAAGGATATCTGCAGAACAAGCCTTATAGGATGATTGGATCACAACCTACGTGAAGAAACCAGAAATAGATCTACCTTAATTGACTAGAGTGTTAAATAACATGAAAAATTTTAATGTTGAGAAGAAGTTCTAAGAAGCTGCTCTTACATTTATGGTCAATTATTTAGCAACTAGTTAAGAAAAGTAGGAATTATTGACATAATTTTAAGCATTAGATTTAAATGGAGATGGCAGACTAAGTAGGGAAGAACTAGTTATAGGTACAGATTGTATCATATATTCCAATAGGTTATTCCAAAGTTATGAGTTATACTGATGCTGAAATTGAAGTTGATAAATTAATGAAGCAAATTGATCAAGATGGTAATGGTAGCATTGATTATTCTGGTAATTTATGATTGTTTCTATGTATTTAGAATTTGTTTTGGCTACTTTCAATAAGGTAAAATTGATAGAGGATAAAAGATTGGAATAAGCTTTTAAATTGTTTGATAAGGATGGAAGTGGTACCATATCTATTGATGAGATCAAACAAATATTTGGACAAAATTCTTAGGTCTCAGAAAAAGTCTGGAAGGATCTTATTCAAGAAGTCGATTAAAATGGAGATGGATAAGTAAATTATATTTTAATTAGATCGAATTTAAAGAATTCAAAGAAATCATTGTCAAAGCTATTTAAAATACTAATGATACTGATGTTAAGAAATGAACAATCTTTTATATTTATTATTTTACAAAAGAATTATAATTTCTATTGCACCTAATAATATTATTCAAACATAGTATATAACTTAAATTTATGTTATCTTATATAATAATAATTATATATTAAATGGTGTATCATGTTTTTTTGTATTCTGAAAATTTCTCTTCAAATTTAGTTTTCCATCTGTTGAAGTAACTATCATTGGCTTCATTGATAGGATATTCTCCAAAAGACAATACTTCATTTAGTAGATCTTATGCTTCCATTTGCTTAACAAATTAGATGGGTTTGAGTGTTTCAGCATATTTGCCTTAAAATTATAAGAATAATCATACTTAATTCTTTGGTCAAGGTGATTTCGATATTGTAAGAGTCTTTGATAAAGTTGATCTTTCTATGGACTTCCCTCAGTTACAAATATTGCAATTCAGCACAGAAACCATAAATGATATTCTGGATAAACATTTGTAATAATTCATCTCTGTTGGCTATTAATATAACTATGGATAATTACTTGGATAAACACATAATTATTAGAGTCCATTGTATTGGATTTGGAAATCATAATTACCTAAAAGCCATTAATGCATTTTGATCAAATTATTAATGTATTCAGATTGGGAAAGATTAGCAAAGGCATCAAAATTGAATTAAATGAAGTTCTGTATATTATTACCAAAACTATTCCAAACATTGTCTTCCAATTAGAAATTGCGATCTACTTCGAAAATATTCATAGAGGCAGCAATTCCTTGAATACTGAAACGACTGAATCTTAAATATTCAACTAAACAAATGTATTAAAATAGTGAAATATTGTCAACGTCTCTTTTGAGATTAAATCTTTATCCACCACCTTAGGTTGATTTTCCATCAAAATTGGATGCTTAATCTCTTTGATTCGTTCTATGAGGAGATGGAGTCTAATTTTGTCTCATCATCTAAGCAGATTAGGGAATTGAGAAATAATCAGACGCTTTCATTGCTTCAGCTTTGGCAAACAATTAGTTAAGTTTGGTTTCAAGCAAAGTGTAAGGTTTAAAGCTTTAAAAGAACGACTTTAATTTTTTATGATATCCCAATTGCTGACTATATTATCCCATGAATGTATAGATTATCTTGTCCAAATGTAATTTAAATTGTAATCTCATATTTTTGCATAAGATCAATTCAAGCAAGAATAAAGTGATTTGAGATAACTCAAAGTAGAGCATGTAACTCTACTAATAGGTTTGAATATGTTTAAGAGTAAGTCCAGTAACAGCTGTAAATTGGCGAAGGGATTAATATTACTAAGTTTGGTCTATTTGAATTATTGCGGAATGCATCCTTTGTTCATGAGAAGTAAAGAATTCCAAAATGGATCTACATTGGGTCTGATCATAAGCTAGTAATTCTCTGACCAATACAAGTACGTGACACCACATTGAATGTTTGTGATTGTATTGTCCATTTTCATTAGAATTGTATATTTATTCATCTGCAATAAATGTGAGTGATTTCAAATATCTTACGTCTACTTTATTCGAAATATTGAATGTGATTATGTCTATCCAACATTGGATGATCGATTAGAAAATCTTAGAGTTATTTTGGTTCTTCAATGCTTCCAATTGCAAATTAACAATATCATAAAATCCTTCATTTGGTTTGTCTAATAATTCAGGATTTGCTGGGTATACATTTAATATTACTGATAGAATCGATGACAATTACCCAATGAGTTGTTTACAATTAGGATCATTGAAGTCGATTTACAATATGAAACAATGGAAAACTTGCACCAATTCTTGAGGCTCTTGCAAATGATTCTCCTTTACACTTTGTAAGATCAACAACATTGAATGGAAGCATGTGAACAGCACTTATTTATATTTTCCTTTATACTCATTATTGCAAACGGATTTCAGTTCCAGAATACGTTTGAAGAAGATAAATTAATGTTTACTCATATTATTAAGTTTTTCAAATGTCATCAGCGTTGCTTCTCTATTGATATTTTAACTTTTATATTTGCATACTACTTATTGAGTATACCAGCATACTTAGTTTAACACTTCCATAGCTGGTATCATTAATTCTTCATGGATTTTATTAGTTTCAAGTGAATAAATGCTCTAACTGCCTTTCTGTAAGAAATACAATGCAGCATTGAATGCATATTCAGTTTCACTATACTAATTGTCTTCCTAACCAAATAGTTTAACCACTCCTCCTTCAATAATATCCTTTCCAATATTTGGAGAGAAAATGGAATCTCCAAGTTCCTTATCATCGTATGTATCTTTTTAATAATTGTCGCTAAAAGGAGAACCTGTCAAACCAATTGAAAAAAAGAATTACACAAATTATGACAACTGATTAAATGTTGACAACAGTTAAGTGAACCATGAAGCCATAATATTAGATTTCTATACTGCAATTGTATTTCCACCAATGTAACTCACAGTGTTACTATCGATTTAAAAGTCACGACCGTAACTGTATATGAAATTCGATAAATAATTGAAGACTGTGTTACTTTTGATTACAGGAGTGCGTTTTAAAAATTTAGCAAATTCAACATGATCGCTGAATTGGATTAACAACAAATACCATTCTCGAATGAAGTGTTTCTAAAACATCAGTTTTACTAATTCTCCAAAAGCCTTTGTTGTCTCTTTAGATTCTTATTTCATTTCATTTATGAGTATTTTTAAGAAATACTCCAACATCACTAACTCCTCAATAGCATCTAAAACGCAGTTCTCAATAACACATTATTCAATTGCTGTTCCTGTTTCTCTTGCAATGTAGGTTTTGGCATTCTTAGATGATAAAAATTAAGTGAATTTCTCACATTTTTTATTTAAACAAAATTAGACCTCTCTACAGAGTTTAAGCATCAAAGAAGCATAAGTAGTTCTGCACTCTTTTGCAAATGATTGATATCTCGATTAATTAACGCATAAAACTTAATGCAAAAATACTAAGACTAACATGGGAATCCTGTATTCCTAATCTAAATCTTCATCATAACCAAATATGTTTTGGAATAATTCTAAGATGTATTTGATTCCAGAACTTAGATTGGGATTTTAGGATTTCAGAATGTATTGCATAAAAGACTGATTGTTCTCCAAACTTATTATTAAGAATTCCATTATTTCTTATTTTTCAATTGAATAACATTTCTTATCTAATCGATTCAATATTGTGTGAAGACTCTAAAATATTAAATGATGATAATGGATTCTCTTATTCAATAACTAATTCTCTTCTGTTTCTATAGTTGTGATACTCTATTCCAAATTGTGATTCAACAAAGGTTTCGATAATAAACGTAAAGCACTTGTGAAGATAGTGCTATATTAGGGAAGGTTTCTGTCTAATATTTGACGATAATTTTTGAATTTCATGTCATCATAGGTTTGTTTCAACATATGCTATTCTTAATCTTCGAATTCAGGAGGCTCTTAACAATTACTTTGAGGTTCACTTATTGTATTCAATAGGCCCAAAATTGAATGTATAAAGTTCAATTTTACTCTGTTATTGACATAACCATTAATGTCTTAATGATATGTACTGACTACCTGTTATAAAAAATATTGTTCTTCTTAGAAAAACTAGTGCAATTGCTTAATTAAATTTAGGTTATTGCTAAAGGTTTCATCATAGATGGAATATAAATCAATAAGAGTATTCCAACAATCAAGTAAATTGACCAACAAAGAAGTAACGTAATACTTTATTTTTTCTAAGTTTCTCACTTCTTCATATAATTTATTTTTGATTCCAATCATATTGATATTATTGGATAATTGCTTTTAACCTATGTCTTCAAAAAAGGAATCCGTTAAAGTAACATCTAAATTTGTTAATAAGAATTCAAGAATCAATTAGCTATTGATTTCATTCAATTATTGTTTGATTAGACTATGCAATTAGGTTTCCTTATATTCTTTGGTATGATAAAACAAAAATTTCTTCAAGATCTTTTACAATGCGAGATACATACTTGCTTAATATTCAATAGTGACTTCCATCTTATCTTCCTCAAAGATTTTCCACTCTTGCAACTGAAATCTCAAAAAGGTTTCAAGAGTGTTCTTCACAAATGTATGTTATGTTGATTGATAATAATGACTACTGTTTTGTTATTCAAATAATTGCAAAGGATTGTCTTACCCCATCACTGCACTGCACAATTAGGCATAATTTAAATGGATTCTGATAACTTGCTTAACCTTGAATTAATAAGAGGCTTGACACTTCCTGGCTATATGAAACAGTTCGAACAATGGATGATAGGAGAATCCTTATTGTCTCTAAACTTATTATTCATTTGTAGGTAGCTTATTGATTTCCTCAGCCATTTCTTTTTAAAGCAAGGGATCTTCTAAAACATAGTTAATAATTTAGACAGCTTCTGAACCTATTGTTAATAAAATATTGATTAATTAAATAGCCTTCTCCTCTTCCTTATGAGTATCAATAATTAAGTCTATCAATCTTGAACATTCTGATGTTACTTTGAGTATCTATCTATTTATGTTATTTGAACTACACAAGAAGGCTATTCTCTTAATGGAACTTGCTGACTTTTTTACTTCTCCCTTAATGAATTTAATAGCATGTTTAAACTTATAAACTCTCTTTCCTAAATCATCTATACCCATTGACAGTGTCTTATTTTTTAATTTATTTTACTCGTTGTAATAATCCATAGAAGCTCTATTACTTTTACCTAAGAAATCTGATGATTTGTATAGATTATTTGTCAACTTACCCTCTGAGAAATCTATCATCATATCATGTAAGCTTTAAAATTGATTAATATCATCTGACATCAAATCCAGTGTCTCAGGCTGATTAATTTTACGGAAGACCTTTAATTTATTTAGTCTGTCAAATATAATTTATTCAGCTGACTCATTATCTTTCACAGATTCACAGAACTAATTCCAAAGTGTTTGCAATTGTAACAGAATTGAAAATATCTTTGATAAGAGTTCAACCTCATCCTCAAAATCGTCTTCTTAATACTTATTCTTGTAAAGACTAATCCATTGATATATACAAGTGCATACACAACTCCAAAAATGAGTATTTATTGATGCATTCTCCAATACTCTCAGAACTTCAACAAAATATTTCAAACTGATTTCGTAATCATTCTAATTTTATACTTCCTTCCTTTCCTACAAGAGAATTGCAATCTAAAAGATCTTTTAAAATTAATCTGGCTGCATCTATTTAATAGATTCCTCCTTGCTAATCCATAATGGGGAAATATAGTCTCTACAATCAATTTCTCTTAATTAATGTGGAGGTCTCATGCATTAAGACAAAACGAAAATGAATGCTATCTTCTTGTACTCCTCCTAAAGTTTAGATGCTAGAGGACTATACTCCTAGAATACCAGATGTTCATTTTTATGGAACAATCCTAAGAATTGAGTATTTTTCATATTTTCTAGTAATTTTTAGGTTGGTTTGATGTATACTTCCTCGAATCTGTCAATTTTAAAGTAACGATATAAGATGGTGAATATCTCTAAGATTTATGTTTGTTCTGATACGAAATGTTGAAATGTTTAAAAAGTATATTCTTCTGAGAATTGTTCTTGTTTTAAATAGAAATTCAATGCAAGAGGAACACTTAAGAAGGAATTGGCCAATCCTTCAATGAGACCTCTCTTAAACATATCGTTTAATTATTTTGTTGGTTTTCCAACATCCTCTTCGTCGATTAAGTTAACAAGCATTAATTTTAATCCTGCAACCAATTAAGATCTTTGTTCAGCATAATGATTAAAAAATATATGCTAGAATTTTTTAATTTCATTATCAAAAAATTTAGATTTTTCTGGAGCTTTTAATTTTCTTTAGAACTAATCATTCAATATCTTAACCCTTGATGCCTACAAACTGTCTTTTAAAACATAATAGACTTCACTTTTAATTTTGTTATTAAAGCATTTGGTTCGAATTTCTTAATCAAATGGAGTATCAGATTGGAGTTAGACTTTATTTTCTGAAAAGGAAAACCAATTTGATCCTTGTATCATAATCTTGTACAAAGTATCATCCTCTTTAAATAGACTTTAAATTTTAATTTCATCTCTGCAGTTCAAGATTTCCATAATTTTATAGAAATCTCTATTTTTAGAAAGGGGTAATTGCAATTTTTATTAAGGTTGTGGTTAACTTGCTGTTTACTATTGAGGTGCTGGTTGTTGTTGAGTTGGTGCTAATGGTTTTTATTATTGTTATTATGTCCCTTATTATTAAGTATTTTGTGTTTATTGTTATTATGGCTATTAGGAGGGTTATTATTGATTTGGCTATGTTCCAATTTAAATTATGCTTGGAGTTGATTAAACTGCATTTGGTTATTATGTTGTGGGCTATTAAGTTGTTGGTTATTGGGTTGTCGGTTATTAGGTTGTTGGCTACTAAGTTGTTGGTTATTGAGTGGTTGGCTATTTCATCCAATTTGAAGTGATTGATTGACTTGGTTATTATTATTATTATTGTGGTTAGGTTAGATTTTAAAGACTGCTGGTTGTGTTTCCAAACAAATTATTTGAAGTTCCAAGCGGACTAATTTAAGCTTGACTAGGTTAAGCTTGATTTGAAATTTGAGCAGTAGATACTAAAGGATTAGTGGTAGGAGGGGCTGCTGCTTGATTAGGCTGACTTAGTAAAGTATTGTTATTTTAGGTTGGCTAAGTATTGTTTTGTTATTATCCAAATAATCCTCCAGATGTTGTTCCTAATCCAGTCCCTAATCCAGTGCCTAATCCAGTACTTAATCCTGTTCCTCCTGTTAATGCTCCAAATCCAGCTGTGGCACCACCATTATTAAAGTTCCCTAAAGTTGTTGGATTCGCTGCACTTTGTTGAGTTGGGTTGGGTTGAGATGATTAGGGGTTTTGACTTGTATTCATTCCTCCAAATAAAGACGAAGGATTGTTTGTTGTTTATGTTGCCTAAACACCTTATGTTTGTTATGAAAGAGAATCTAAACCGCCTAATCCAGTTTGATTTGTTTAAGGCGCTGCAATCCCAGGATTTTAAAATAGACTATTAGCTGTTTATGCAGGTTGTTATTATTATGGAGGTTAAGCTGTCGATTATGGCTATGAAAACAAATTGTTATTGTTAGGCGGATTGCTTCCAAATAAATTTAAGTTGGACTATGCATTTCCAAACATATTATTAGATGTGGATTGTGCTGCTGCTGCTTAGGGAGCTCCAGCCAAACTACCTGGCTAATTGAAGGCCGAGCCTTAATTCTATGTTTATCCAACTTAGTTAAAAAGAGATGATCCTTGTCCTACACTTTAGCCAAATAAGTTGGGTATTGACCCTTACGCATTCGGAAAAAGCCCTGTTGAACTTAAAATAATCTAAATACACTTACTTATTTTAAGAGCTCATTTTAAATTATTTAAATTTATGATTGTAAAGCAGAAAAGGGAAGCATTTCATATTTAAATGCGAAGGAATTAGCGGGAACTCATATTCTCAAAAAAGAGAATACTAGAGATTCCCATCCAAATATCCGATAACAATTAAGCCATACTCATTCTTTAAGGGATTTCCTAAAACCAAATATCACTCACCACATTTTTTCAACAACTCACCTCACTTCTACCTTAATTTACAGAATTGCATCTCCAAACGCTGCCTTACATTCAATAAGCAACAACCCAATACATCTATGAAATTGATTAATCAAATAGACAAATCAATGATGATGATCTTGAGATTTCTGAATGCACTGTCTTAGAAATGCTTCTCTACCTTAATCAACTTACTTATTATGTCAAAATAGACTTTTCTATGGATGATCTCCTGGATCTCCTCTTAAAAATATTAAAAGCAACCAATAAATTCAAAATTTTGGATAGAATTTGCCAAGTATTATACAATATATTGCTTGATTTCCCAGAAGCTTAACCCCTATTGCTCTAGCAAAACCTTCCTACTATATTGACCAATAAATATCTAACGAACACCAACTTTGATTTACTTAATCTTAAGAACCTCCTCATGATTTTGCATAAATTAGTTAAAATTGGATATCATGAATACAACCTCATCCATCCTATCCTTCACAAATTACAGAACAGTTCAAATGTTCAATAATCTTAATATGTAGAAGTTATGGAATATTTTTTCTAATTTCTTGCTAATTGTTCTTCCAGTTATGATCCTTAGATCATTCAACAGGTTTAATTATTTGAAAAATTCTTAGAATTCTAATATGTAAGATGGTCTGTTGACTTGCTTTTTAAATATGATAAAAATTACAATCTTGTATGCAACATCTATCAGTTTCTAAACAACTTGAGTTTGGCAGCCTGTGGTTCAAGCATGATTGATCAAGGTATTTTGAGTGTCATCTAAGTACATTTAAATGAAAAATCAGTACCTCAAATACTCATCTACTCATTATTGACAAACTTAATTGTGGATGATCTCACAAGTATTCTACAATGCGGAATTCTTATACGAATCCCTGCAATGTTTAGGTTAGGATTTCCGAACTCAGACTATATCCCTGAGTTAATTTATTGTATTACTGCTGCGTTCTCGAAAGCCGACGAAAATTAAATTCAAGACTTGAACAAACTCTAATTGACTGACTGCTTGGTTACGTATGTGGCAGATTTACCACAAGAACTATTGGATCTTGATCTTTGTCAAAAAATATTTCGAATTTTGCAATCCATAATACATTTACAATCTTAGGAATCATCAGAGAATAATTATGAATTAGAGAAATTGAAAAACAATACTATGTTTGTCATGAGATGCAATCATATTTTTGGATTATATAAAGATTGCTATTGTGAAACCCTGTTAAATATTCTGTTTGAAATATGAAACAAAATAGAACAAAATTTTTGATAATTAATTTTATACCATTAACTCATAAAAACCTGGAGAATTTACTCTATTTTTACATACAAATCTAAATACTCTTTTATGCATTTTAATAATTTTAAATTGGATCATAAATTATAAAGAGTAATTCAATAATCTTTCCAAATAAATCATTAAAATTTGTAATCAATAAAAATTATAAGAGCTGTATTATGTTTAATATCTATCATAAACATCAGTTACAATAGATTCCATCTTCCTTAAGATGTCATTGTTACTCTAACTAGATTTATTTAGTTCTGATTCCACTTCTGTTAAAGACTTATTAAACTTAAGAAAAGATTAACCTATCCTCTTACGATATTGCGGGGTTTTGAATCTCTTATCAGTTTACCCACTTTAATTTTCATAGAAATTTATCATCGTTTATAGTTTTTTTGTTCTTTCAATGGAAGATCTTTCAGCATTGCTGTTCACATTCTCTTTAAGCACAGTTTTTTAATTTTCTGAATGTGTTTACTATTAATTTTCTTTTTTCTAAGATCTTAATTAAGTAGTCTCACTAAGGAAACAAGTTTGGGGTCTTCCTCTTTGTTGATTTGGTGTCTACTGAGGATGATTAGTTGACAATTTGATTTCTTTTTTGTTCATTTACTCTTAGATTGGTTTATATTTTGCAATACAATGTAATTTCATATTCTTAATGAATTCATTGGTCTTATTTTAATATTTTGAATAATATTTAGAAACTGTGAGTTTAATTGAATTCTAATTTTTAGAAAGTAAGCCATTCTCAACCAAGGTGTCAAGATTATATGTGCCATTGCCTAATTATGATGCAGTAGATTTGGGGTCAGTTACGAAGTTCTATATGGATTAAGTCAGAAATGTATTGTCAAGCACTCTTTTCATCGGGGCAGCAGTACTCAACGATGAGATATTTTTGGTCGAATATGTTGAGAAGGAGAGTCTTTTCTATGTTTTTTTAGCGGGATCAAAATTCAATTGTTTCTATAACCATTCCTCCTCGTTCTTTGTTTTTGTATTATTAAATTCCATTTATATTTAATCGATTAGCTTCACATCATTCAATACATTAGATTCAACAATCTTTTATCTTACATCAATAAATGTATTGAGCTCTTTCATATTTTTTAGTTTCTCATTGAATCTTTAATCAACTCGTTATTTTCTATTCTACAATCTAATTTATTTAATAATTACTTAAGTCTCTTTTGTGATTTTTCTAGCAACTTTGCAGTAAGTTCCTAAATCTTTTATTTTCTATCTTCCTCCTCTTATATTTTTTGAAAATAATCTTTTAACCTATCCATTTACAAAAACTCTGAAACTTTTATGGACATTATTAAATAAAATTTAATTATAATTTTTGGATCGTTTTACTCTTAAGGACTAAAATCTTATTTTATATTTTCAGATAATCAATTAGAGATCTTAAGTAAAACAATTATTGTAATGAATTTTATACAATAACCTCAAGTAGTTTATGAGTAAATAACAAAATTGTTATTTAAACATTAAGAATAGATGAATAAATTAGAATATTAAATATTTTATTAATTAAATTGTTAAGCAAGATAAACAATTTTCAAAATTCTGCATGAACAAAAGACCAACCATGAATATGAGATGATGGTTCTAAATATTCTTATTAAAAAAGATCCTAACCAGTTTAGGTATTAATCCGAATCTTTCTTGTTGGTTTAGGAAGCTCCAACTCTTTGTTTTTTACCTTTTCCCAATCGACATCTTAAAAATAAGGATGTTATTTGATTTCCTTCGAGTCCCCTACTCCTGATCCCAATCGTTTGATTGGATTTCTTTGGAGAAGCTAAATAATGACAATTATAAGATACTGATTTAATGAGGTTTCTACCTTCAGGTGAAATATAAGAGGGGATTTTGAGAACAGCATGTTCAATATTGTGAAACAGTTAATCCTTTTCATTATCATAATAAGGGGGTACTCCAACTAATAGTTCATACATGACAACTCCAAGTAGATACCAATCAACTGCCTTTCCGTGTCCTTGTCTTCTAAGCATTTCAGGTGCTAAGTAAGCAACAGAACCACAAAATGATCTGGCTCCTTGACTGGCATCAAATATTCCCTCTTTTGAGAGTCCAAAATCAGTTAGCATGGCATGCCCATCTGCATCAATAACAATATTTTCTGGCTTTAAATCTCTATATATTATATCTCTTTAATGTAAATCTTCCAAAGCTAGGATTACTTCACAAATGTAATTTTTGACTTGAGCTTCTGGTAGTCTCTTTTTCTCTTCCAAAAGTTGTCCCATATCTCCTCCTGGACAAAAATCTAAAATCATTACGAGTTTTTCTGGAGTTTGAAAGGCATATCTTAACTTCACAATGAAAGGGTGTGATGTTATTGATAATACATTTCTTTCGGTCTAAGCATAACGAAACAGATTGTGTTCTATATTATATTTACTAAAACATTACTTAATATCATGGATTTATCTAAAACCTTCATTGCATATAACTAATTTTATCTCTTAACAAGATAAACTTGACCAAAACTGCCTTTACCAATTAAACCTAGAATCTAGAATTAAGAGAGGGAGATTTCCTCCTCATCTTTTATGTTTTTACAAGATTCAGAATAATTGGTTGAGAAGGTTGTTTGTCTTTTTAATCCTTACATTTAAGTTTTAAATTATTCAAGTTATTGCAATTTGGTTTATAATTGTTTGATTTTAGGAGATGACACCTGTATCTTATCCAAGTTGTTTTATGACTTACTTGTTTAAACTAAGTTTTTTAATTATTTAATATTTTTTCTTTAAAACATTTTTAATATTGTTTCTGTTTGTGTTGTTTGTATTATAACTTCTTTAGTTTGTTTTTCTAAACGTAAATTAATATTTATACATTTTGTTTGTTCTAAATAATCCTTGTAGATCTACGCTATGTCTTGATCCTCAATGTAGTAATCAGGGTATTTTTCCTCTAGATTTTGTTACAAGACTAGATGTTGTTTTTAGAGTAAAAATTCCACAATCGATTTAAAATTAAACTTACAAGCATAATGCAAGGCTGAATTGCCGTGAATATCTTGATGATTGATGTTAGCTCCAACATTAATTAATATTTGTAAGGTTTCCAACTTCCCACTATGTTATTATATACATTAAATACTAATAGGCGCTCATCAGTAAAGGTGTCATTTTATCTTCATTCTACTCATCTATTTGTATATCTTTGTACAGTAGTGCTTGGGCAAGGTGTGTATTACCATTTTTTGCAGCAAAATGAAGAGCTGTGTTACCATTTAAATCCTTTGAAGAAACCGATGCATGAAGCTCCGAATTTACCTTTACTTTTGGAGATAGGTTTACTAAATTTATTTAGATATTATTACAGAGATTGTGAACCAGAGTAGGTTCAAGAAATTAGAGACAAGCACCTGCTCTATTTCTCGAGCTTTCCTTTAAAAATTGGTCGTTCAATTATATCCTTAATTTATCAATGCCTTCTTGTTTTGGGCTTTTAGATTCAATCGTGAGATGAAATTTCACAGTTTCGCATTACTTAGACTCTTCATCCAAGGATTGTAGCTTAGACAACTTCGGCATTTTAGAAGTGAAAGGAAGATTTATATTTTAATATGTAGAAGTGGATCTATCTGTAAATAGTTTATGTTATTGCTATTTCCCAGCAACTTATATCTTTGGAGAAGCCAAATTGACCTTTTGCTGAGGTGTGTGAAATTTATTCGATTTGGGACTTCTGTTCTCTTGGATTTGCCTTAACTTTGTTTGGTATTCATTAAGTGTTAATTTGCGGTGACCGTTCATTATTTCAAGAGGTTTTAAAATAATTAAAATATTTTTTGAATATCATTTCGTTGTTTTGGATATAATATAATTTAAGGGCAGTACTAATTTTAAGTATATTAAAACATAATTACGAATTAAATAATTACGATAATAAATGATATTTATATATGATATAAATATATATATATCGTCTAAAATAATAATTAAATATATATAAAGATATTAGTATATTAATAATAAATAAACAATGAATTCAAATTTAGGTTTTTCTTAACAAATTAAATTATTTTATTTAATGAAAGTAGTTCAAAATCCAACACAATACTTCTTTGAATAATCAAACAATCCACCAACTGAATATTTATCAAAAATCAATGAATTTGTCAGCAAATTGCTTAATCAAAGATAATGCATTTTATGCAAGAATGATTACAATATGAAAGACAGGTTGCCTAGAATATTGATTCATTGTGGCCATACAATTTGCACAGCTTGCCTCACCAATTTTTATAGGTACAAACGAATTCTTATAATTTTCGTAGAAACAGAAGAGTAAGATGTCCACTCTGTTTAAAATTAATTAAGCATCTTGATTCAGTTGATAGATTACCAGTAAAAGAATGATATTAAATGATAGATTAATCATACTATTTTCACTAGAATGGCTGACGACATTAATAATAAGAGCAAATAACATGGGGGAACAGAAGTCATAGATCCACAATAATATTTGTTTACACAATTCCAATAATCAGCATTGCAATCACAAAAGGCACGTTAATAACAATAAAATGCATATCCTTAAGTGGACCCAGATTCAGGATTGGAGTTTTGTGAGTTTCATAATGATAGAGTGAAACATTTCTTTTGTATGAAACATAAGGTGACATGTTGCAGAGTGTGTTCAGAGATGATTCATTCAAAGAAAGTATAAATGAGTATAATTTGAATAGGATTGCATTGTGGTGGATTTATATGAAATCGAAGATGTGCCTTAGTTTTTGAAGGAAGCCTACAAATTGAATGAGGATAATGCATAATAGTAAAATCAAAGAAGAGAAGATATGGGTTTCATTTAAGATGGAGAAGGAAGTATGATTGNCTCTTCATCCAAGGATTGTAGCTTAGACAACTTCGGCATTTTAGAAGTGAAAGGAAGATTTATATTTTAATATGTAGAAGTGGATCTATCTGTAAATAGTTTATGTTATTGCTATTTCCCAGCAACTTATATCTTTGGAGAAGCCAAATTGACCTTTTGCTGAGGTGTGTGAAATTTATTCGATTTGGGACTTCTGTTCTCTTGGATTTGCCTTAACTTTGTTTGGTATTCATTAAGTGTTAATTTGCGGTGACCGTTCATTATTTCAAGAGGTTTTAAAATAATTAAAATATTTTTTGAATATCATTTCGTTGTTTTGGATATAATATAATTTAAGGGCAGTACTAATTTTAAGTATATTAAAACATAATTACGAATTAAATAATTACGATAATAAATGATATTTATATATGATATAAATATATATATATCGTCTAAAATAATAATTAAATATATATAAAGATATTAGTATATTAATAATAAATAAACAATGAATTCAAATTTAGGTTTTTCTTAACAAATTAAATTATTTTATTTAATGAAAGTAGTTCAAAATCCAACACAATACTTCTTTGAATAATCAAACAATCCACCAACTGAATATTTATCAAAAATCAATGAATTTGTCAGCAAATTGCTTAATCAAAGATAATGCATTTTATGCAAGAATGATTACAATATGAAAGACAGGTTGCCTAGAATATTGATTCATTGTGGCCATACAATTTGCACAGCTTGCCTCACCAATTTTTATAGGTACAAACGAATTCTTATAATTTTCGTAGAAACAGAAGAGTAAGATGTCCACTCTGTTTAAAATTAATTAAGCATCTTGATTCAGTTGATAGATTACCAGTAAAAGAATGATATTAAATGATAGATTAATCATACTATTTTCACTAGAATGGCTGACGACATTAATAATAAGAGCAAATAACATGGGGGAACAGAAGTCATAGATCCACAATAATATTTGTTTACACAATTCCAATAATCAGCATTGCAATCACAAAAGGCACGTTAATAACAATAAAATGCATATCCTTAAGTGGACCCAGATTCAGGATTGGAGTTTTGTGAGTTTCATAATGATAGAGTGAAACATTTCTTTTGTATGAAACATAAGGTGACATGTTGCAGAGTGTGTTCAGAGATGATTCATTCAAAGAAAGTATAAATGAGTATAATTTGAATAGGATTGCATTGTGGTGGATTTATATGAAATCGAAGATGTGCCTTAGTTTTTGAAGGAAGCCTACAAATTGAATGAGGATAATGCATAATAGTAAAATCAAAGAAGAGAAGATATGGGTTTCATTTAAGATGGAGAAGGAAGTATGATTGATTTGTTAAGCATTTAGATGATGGTGACAATTAGTTTAATGATGATGATTTGGAAGATGAATTTGAGGGAAACAGCGTTCAGAGCATATGAATATTTTAAATATTAATAGTCATTTATATCTATAGTTTTGGATTTATTGTATTCTCCTTCTTTTTGATTCCTCAATGATATCAAAGGTGTAAACAGGTTGATGATCATTTTGTTAATTATAGATTCTAGAATTATAAAATTAAGAATTATTAAAAGGCTGTGAGAATCCTTGATATCCTTAATGATGTTAGTTTTCTATCATTACATGTCTTTGTTAAATGGGAATTTGAGATTCATTGTAACGGTCTTATTATTAATTGTAATTGTAATTGGGAGGTTATCTTTGAAATTGTTGATGATTTTAATTCATTTGAGGTTTAGGTTGTGTTTGTGGTTATCTATTTTGTTAGTATTGATTGTAACAAAACATAGCTCTAATTATTAGTAAAATATATACTAACCCTTTGTCACTCATAAGGAGATTTTTAAGAAAGGAATCGAGCAAAGTATTTTATTGCGGCAACTTTTCTAATTGGCAATCTTAATTAACAGTTTGATTCATGGCTGGATAGGTTTTACCAAGAGTCTTGCACAATCTGAATTATTATTAATTTGATTTACACTTCATCATATAGTTTCATTCTTTCATCTATGCACTGAGATTATCTGATTTAGGGATCTTAACAAAATATTTAGGCTGTTTGTTTCATAACTAGTTTTAGAATGGAAAATCATTTACATTGTTATTCATTCATTTTTATCAAATTTTATTATTATTTTTATGGCTCATAAACTATCATAAAATTGGGTATTTTGGTATGCTCCAAGAGGCAGAAAAGCTATTGCAGGTTCAGATCATTATGATGTAAATTTGAAAGAAATCGGGGAATTCAATACAGTTGAAGAGTTCTACACATACTATTGTTTCTTAGGCAGACCTAGCGAAGTAAGCATTGAAAATAACAATTAGATTGACATTGATAACAAAATAATGTTGTTTAGGAAAGGTCATAAACCAATGTGGGAAGAGTGTTTGGAAGGAGGCACATGGATTATTCATTTTAAGAAAAGAGAGAATGAATTATTGAATAAGAAATGGGAAGCCTTGTTATTAGGTATAATATATTAAGTAATTCAAAGCATGCATAGGAGAAGAATTTGATGATGACAATGTAATTGGGGTAGTTTTGTCCATTAGAGAAAGAAGAAATTTATTGGAAATATGGTTGAAAGACAGAAAAGAGAGTGAAAAGTTAAGGATTGGAGAGAAACTAAGAGTGGCTTTGGAAATGGATCCAAACAATCTTACATTCTTCTTCAAAGAACACAGCAAGAGCTTGAATGTATAATTGGAATAATGAATTAGGATAAATCAACTATGAAAGGAGCTGAATCATACACTTTTGTAAAAACTCCACTTGAAACTCCATAGACTGAACCCAAAGGACAACATCCTGATCTTGATCAGTTTAAATTATGATTAATTATTTGCACAAATATATTGGTTACGAATTTATTAATGAATCGATTTGTCTATCCAGTATGCACTTCAAAAGTGAATTTTTGATGAGATTTATTTATATGATTTATAATTATTTAAGAATTATATTCCAATTTAGGTTTCTATATTTATGCTATGCAAATTCATTCTGAGTACATATTTAACTTCGATTGGGAAACTGTTGTTAAAGGATTCTGGAGGAAATACCCATGCAAAGAATTCGATTTCATCAAGTTTAACTAAGTTGTCGACATGATTCTAAGTGATCACAATAGAATTTAAGTTAACAGAGTGGTAGAACTGGTTCAGTTATTAAGGTATATGCACGCAAATTCGGAATTTGGTGTTTGACCTTGGAGCAGATCACTTTTGATCTTGAAAATAGGAGTATGGAAATGAAAACGAAGGTGCTTAAGACATGCAAATTTTATCCCAATCTTACAGGGGATGAGTCCATTATTTATAGAGCAATAGATAATTAAAAAACTCATTATTCTGTATCTAATTATAGATAATGTAGAAACTATTATCAAATTTTCATTAATCATTTTTAAACAAATTATTATCCTAATTCAACAATTCTTTTAGGATTGGCATAGAAGTTGTAGAAGCCAGATGCCGAGATCTATAAAATAATAAATGATTAATATTAGAGTTTAGCTATTAAACAATATATATTTTTGAATAATTATGATGAAATACCAGAATCAATAAATTCACTAAAACAATGACCATTTGTCAGTTAACTCTAACTTATCCAACAAACTCTCAAAATAAACCCAGTTTAAGCAAAACCTAGAATAACAAGAGGATGAGGATCAGGCATCCCTATACCTAAGCAAACAATATGACCATTCAAAACCCACATTTCTAAGGACTTTTCCCCAGTAACCAGTCGATTGTTAAGGAAGTGAAGATTTGATGGCACCTACCATCCTTTCCAATATACTGTCTGCGGAACAAATAGTTTTTAAGTCAGATCATAAAAAACACTAATAACTAAACCATGGTTACGAGACCTCAAATATATCCTCTTCGTAAAACTCTGTAATAAATATCATGTTTATCTATTTTATAGATGAGGTCTATTTTGGAATGTAGAAAATATAAATAAATCAATTAGGAAAAAGTAAAAATGATCATAAACTAAATTAAAGTCAAATTGTTGAATTTAATACATTATTCAAAATATAATGATCCTATATTAACAAAAGAATATTAGGAATGTAAAAATCTTTTTTATACTTACATTTAGTATCACCTTTTAAATATCATTACTTCACCATGTACATCTTTCTATCAACCACAATTTCGAATCTTTTGGCCTCAATTTTAATTCCCTTAGTACAATTCTTTGAGATTTCCATACTATTTTAAGTATTGTCTCAAATAATATTTGGATTTAACTTGATCACCATTTTTTAAGATTTATTTTTTCAAAGAGGTCCCTACAAAATGTGTCGAGGGATCATCAAAGTCAACCACTCAGACGAATCAAAAAAACTACTAGATACGATTCGAATGTTACTTTTAATATTCAATAACTTCTTTTAAATAGAACCCAATGTAAAATTGTTGACTATTTTATTAATGATGCTGCTGTCATTGTGGAGGTAGAATGAAAGTTTTGAAAACATATATAGATCTACCCATCACTTCATTTTCATTTGTTAACTCTGGGTTACAGTTATAGTGTCCTTTGTTTGCACTTACCAAGGTATTATAATAGAATAACTAGAGTTTTTTATTTGGATGAAGACTTGCCTTTATCCTACAGTATTGTATTGGCAATCTCCTTTCTTACTCACTGTTCGAATATTTGTAAGAATATTACACTTATACACTTTTAGCGATCGAGATTTCCAATCAAAACTCAGTCTTAATTTCAATTTACATGATTCTATCATATCTATGTCTTGCTTACACTTCAATGATATTTTACATTTGGTTGAAACCAGAAATAGAGATACAAGAGGAGAAGCAGAAATTGCTTAAAGGATTCGTCGAACGATTTAGATAGAAATGTGAAAATGATGATCTCCTTAGGAGGTGTTACTCCTATCTTGAGTTTCGAATAGATGTACATGAATTATTTCAACTTTAAAGGAAGATTTGAACAAAGCCAAGGATCAACTTACAAAAAAGCTGAGTCCAGATTTGGAAGATGAAATAGAGCTATCCTTAAGGTCTATAATGATCGAAAAGATAGAATTAATGAATAGGTTTTCGCCCCATTTTAAATAATAATTATTATACGAAATAGAATAAGTGCAATTTAATCCCGAAGACAATATCATAATAGTATTAATATTTTTAGTAACCAAAGGAACATTAAGCAGATGATTTAGGATTGTTCTACATTTTGAAAGGACAAGTGAAGGTGCAATTTTAAGGGTCCTCCTTTGGGACCAACAAAAGAGAAGTGGCTACCTTATCAGAAGGGTAGACATTTGGACAATACTCCTTTATCACTGGAAATCCGTCGAATATCAGCATTTTCAGTTCAGGATCAACTATCTTGATGAAATTAAAGAGATCCGATTTCACTTCCATCATATCCAACTATCCTACTGACAATGAGATATTTTGCACCATGAAGGACAATGCATTCTACAATCAGAAAATGTTTGAATGTTACTATTGCAAAATCAGTGGGCATTACATTGTGGAATGCAAACACATTCAGTATTTCCCCTAGAGATTAAACACTATCGAGAAATACTTATATACAGAGAAATAGCAGAGAAGAACTTGGAACAGAAGATTGCGTAAGTGTTTTGCCTGGTAAGATCTCAGTTTAAATTAAGATAAAGCTAAACAATATGCTAACAAACAAAGTTAAGAATAGATCTCTGATGAATTGCCAGAAATTTCATAATTGCCTTATTCAGAAAGTACTTTATCTTAAATAATCATAGATTAAACATATTAGTCTGTCAGTTTTGTTAGTAATTCTATGGGTCAGAAGAACTTGAGTCCAGAGTAATATCAATCTTACAGCAATGTAGAGAGTTGTGAATAATTTAATATAGACCAAGATATCTAAGACGAGTAAACTATCCCTTTCCAAGAACATTAAGTTAAGACTAGTATTCGTAAGAATTCAAATAAGACAACGTTGAAAACAGCTGGATTTGCTATAGAACCAAATATGATGAATAATTTGTCAATGGTTGATAAGGATGATAAGGAAATCATAAATCAATTGGAACATCAGATGAACAAGGAAAAAACAATTCTATACTAGACTGCCAGGAATTACAATACAAACAAATTGACCTTTCAGTATTAAAAGGAATAATCCCAATCAATTCTAAGGGAAGATTTAATCAAATCTGACTCTTTTTAATAACAACAATAATCATTGGCAATTTACCAATAGCAATAGGCTTCAAATCTGAAGTAGTCTATCAGATAGACTTCAAATAGATCTAACACTTATTCTAATTCACTTTCGAAAGATATTTCAAACAATCCATCTTCCAATTCTAGGTAAAATAGGTCTTAAAGATAATCAATGTAATCTAGTCAAGATCGAGTAATGGAGCAAACAGGGACCAGAAAATTGAATAGTTCTAAGTCTCTCACGAATGAATAAAATAGAATGAATAATAACAAGAGTTTGAAGTCTTGTACTAAGAGCACTCCTAATCAAATGTCGCAGTTTTAAGCTTTGACAAGTCCTGAGGTACAATTTATATATTAGATTAGAATCAAGGGTATTACTTAAATGATGTATTATTTAATAAATTCGAAAAAATGTGCGAATATAAGATTTACAATCCGCATAATAATTATAGTTAGGTAATAAATAGATATAAAAAATACATTGAATCACAGAGTTACAATAATTTTTGTAGGAAGAAACATATATCAAGTTCATCCTATTCTATAAGATGTTTTGTAGTATCAAGAATTAGAAGAGTGAAGAAATTAGTTTGAACTTTCAAATTTATTTGATTGCTTTATATATATATTATTAATTTCAGAAGGTGGTATAAAATTATTTTGGTCCCAAATTATTCTTAATTGTGTTTGGATGCATTAATGAAATTTATTGATGAATTATAAACTATCACATTTTAAGATGATGTTTATTAAATTCGTCATTATATATTTTTCAATTTTCATATTTGAATTTTTGAAATGGTTTATAGATAAATATAAAATTAATTATATTTATGCTACAAAAGAACGCAGGATAGTATCTTCTCAAGGAATTGTTGATCTTTTTGGCTCTCCTTTTAGGTATTGATTGTTGATAAAGTAGGATTGTATTAATCTCAAGGAATCGATTCAATTTTACCAATCACCTTAAATTCAATAATTATTTTAATCTACACATACTTTAAATACAAGAAGAGTACTCACATTAGGTAGATCTGGATAATAAAGATTGTCTTCATTCTAATTCAAATTTCAATAAATATTGAAATGTGCTAATTCTGTATGATAATTGTGCATTTGATTGAGGACGATATCATGCAGACATTCATTTTGAGCACAGTGTTTCTGATCAATCTGATTTAAGAATAGGAGAATAATTATGTGACACAAATCCCTTTCAATTTATTATATTTCTTTAATGTTCTATTTTTGTTTGGCTTTATGTTTCTGAAGTGGAAATCAGTCAAATCCAAAGAAGAATTAGTAGATCACACCTTCAAGATGAAATCATTGGAATGTATGCATTTGGTTATAATATGTTATTTAGTAAAGGAGTCAATTAAAAATAGGGATTTGATAAGCAAATCAAATTAACAATAATCAGTCAGCTAAGAGATTAATGCTATAAAAATGGAATGCAATGATGATGAATTAATTTTATAGAATGTGGCTTGGATTCAAAACTAGTCTGCTTTAGTTTATAACAAAAAGCTAAACATAGTTTATTAGAATTTATTTTTAGGGAAATTGCTTAGACAATCGAATTTAGACGAATAACAAACGCAATAACAATCAAAGCCAGACTATGAAGAGTTGTTCCTTGATTGTCAGATTTTGGTTGGGAGTAAAGAGTTGATGGAAATCAATAGCAACAACAATGATTAATCTATGAATAGTGAGTAATCAAATACATTAATAATTTTAAGTGGTTCCTTTTTGCTAAACAGAGTGAATGATTATCATAAATGCCGGATGAAGTCGAATCTGACCATCAGAGATTTGAGTATTTTGATGCAAAACGAGATCGATAAGTAGTTTAGTTGGAATTAAAAAGAGATGGCGGCCAAGCATGGTGACGTTGTTTAAATTGAGAAGCGATGTGTTCGATTTTGAGAATATCCAAATCAAGGCTTTTGTGAATAAGGTCAATGAATCCTCCTTTCTAATCTTCCTTTTCGAACAGTAGCCTCCTCAACAAAAGAAGTATGACAACACTTAACCGATCATCAACATCTTTTCAACGTTTGTGCATGAATCTGTAAGTTATATCAATTGTATATTAACTCTAATTTTGCTCACGCAACATGAGCATGAGAACACTCTCAAAATCTCATTGAAACATCATTATTATATGCCTATGAGGATGATGAGTTTGAGATACATTCTATTTGTTAACAGTATGAGAGATTATATCTTTTTTATATCAAACTAGTTGTTTTTGAGAATCTCAGCATTCAAGGTAAACGACTTGATTGAGGAATTGTTGCTTATTTACGATGATAACTTAAAAATCCGAGATGTGAGTTTGACAACATCAATAGACTTGAGTGATAATAATCAGGTGATATTCAGTGATTTAGATAGGGTAATATAATATAATATGATTACTAAATTAGTTAAAATAAATCTTAGCATGTTTATTGACCTATTGTTTAAAATACACCTCTGCATCACAATTAAAATTAGATATCAAAAGTTATACTGTCAGTGGGATTATGGTATCTTTTAAAGACAGCATGATAGCCAGAGACGACAATACAAGAAAAGCCATATCTAATTTGGTTAGACTTCTCAATTCAACTCTCAAATTAAATTCATTTTATGATGTTGATCTTAACAACCCATTGGAACTATAGATTTGTGTGATATTATGTTGGTAATTGTCGGGTACATTTAAAAGAGGTCTAGAATTTTTGTATGATAGTTAGGGATATGGCACTTTTACTTTTGTGATAGAATCCTAAACAAATTAAACAAGAATGCAATCCCGCCAAGATACAGGTCCCATAAAAATATTAGGTTAAAGGAAATACTATGAAACATCCCTATCAATGTTGTTGGCTTAAGACAGCAGTGGTTACAGAGAAGAATCAAAGTAAAATACTACATTGTATTATTCTAGATATTTCTCTTTGACTTAGTTGTCAAAACAATTTTCAATGAAATTAGGAGATCCATTTGATGTGTAGAGTGCTTATTTCTCATAGATTTCAAGAATTAAATAGGATTCTTCAAATTCTAAATAAGTTTAAAACTCTGGATCAGTACCTCGACAATCGAAGGAATAGAGCAATAGCTTTTCTGGCACTTGGAAACAAGGGTTCCCTGATGTCATTCAGTAAACGTACAAAAAGACCAGAAATGAGAGAAGTGATTCCCAACATGATTCCATGAAAACACATTCTAATTTTGATTTTGGAGCTGAGTAGAGTAATCCATCCATTCACCTTCCTGAATTTACTCCGAAATTACTATCGTCAGTAATTAAATTCAGATTAAGACTAACTTGTTGTGCTAAAGTTTTAATTGTGGATAATGATCATTATAGCGTTTTCTCTTTGTAGAAAGTCTTGGAAAAATACAACATTAAATGCGATAAGGCCTTCAATGGTATCGATGCTCAAAAATTGATAGAGAATAAGTAGATCAAGCCTTGTCATTGTGGAAACAAGTCTTATCTGTTATTTTTTATTGAGTTTTACTTGCCAGTATTAAAATTTGTAGATGTTATTAGATCTTATCGGGGATAGAGTTGGTGCGATCTTTAAAGGAGCAAATGAGGAATAGCTTGATAGATAAGGGTTATGTGATAATAATTGCTACGTTTGTGGATTTGAATCAGAAATTGGAATGCTTTAAAAATGGAGCAGATTATTTTATTGCCAAGCCGTTCGATTTGTTGGATATCGGGGCAGCAGTTTAATATTTAGATTTTTGATAGTTAATTATATATCATTTGCCTTTTGACAAGCAATTAGATCTTTATCTAGTTTAGATTACTTAATCAAACAGTAATTCCATTTAAATTGAAGTAGAGTGCTTCATTGATTTCTTTGACATATCCAACTCCTCAGCCTTAAACACTTATTCTTTGGGCGAAAGGGAGACAAAATTAGTGTTGAACCAAGCCTACATAATCTTGGATTCCGAAACAATCGACTTGTGGAAGATTTAAATGAGAACATCTCCTTATAAAAATATATCATTGAAAGCAAATAGTATTTCCTTTTCTGAAACAATCTAAGCCTTCTCTATTAATTACCTATCGTTATTTTAGACTCTGATCATCGTCCCATGAGACACACCAACCAGTCTGACAGACACCAATTCGATCTGTCGAAATGGCATCTTCACCAAGTCATTCTTCAAGGCATAACTGAAATAATGGACATATCTAATTTGACTGGGAATAGTCACGCCCTTTTTATTCTATGTCCTCACCAGACCATAATATGCCAATGCATCTTGACTTGAAGTGTATTTGCCACTAAACAACAAATAACAACACACCATAACACCGGTTCTTCCTTTACCAGCCTTACAATGTATCGCCACCACGTGATTAGAATTCGCTTTTAACCATTCGTGAACCTTCTAACAAAATTCGAGCATCATATTAAATGGAGGGGCCTAATGATCATCAAAAGGAAACTCGGCCACTTTATAGAAAGACTCGTGCTTGTACTTACGCTCTGAACATCTAGGTAGGAGTAGTAAGCTTACAAGTTAATAACCATGTAATTGTTTGGATGACGACTATTTAAAAATTTTTAAACCTCCGGCATTGGATTTCTATATATTGCTTCGAAGCTCTCAGCTGGAAATCCCATTGCTATCACATTATCGGTTATATCTAAATCAAAAATTACTTTACATGTCAAGTCCAAATTGAATCCGTCCACTTTGAATCTCTTCTTCTATTTGGAAACTAATTCCTTTATTATCTCTCTTTGATAAGCTTCTTTTGCATTCTTAGTTGATTTCAAAGTGATTTCGTCCGCTTGATTCTATAGAATTATCGTTTCATTGATTCTTCTATCCATATTGCGGTTGAATGACAACTCACTCGGTATTTATGAAATAGACTAGTCCATATCAGATAATTGTTGTTTCTATTTTATTTCTACCGGACTCTGATTCATTAGAAGACCCTCTGACTCATCCTCCTCATCACTTGAGATGTAATTCAGAATCATTGATTCCTATATGTCTTGCATTTAGATCATCAATAAAATTTATTAGACTATAATTAATGTATAATTTTGTTGATTTATGTGCGAATCTAAATTTACATTGAAGAATCACAATCATTTCTACTACTGCAAACTCTTCGCTCTTAGCACTCCTATCAAATTCTACATTTCTGTATTTTCTTTCTCAATTTCGTACCAGTCACAAAAATACTTATAATCCTAGAATGCTGCCACCATCTTTAGATTTTTCACATATTAAATTAGATTATGGAAGTCTTCATTGTATAATACAAATTCTACCATGTTATAATTCTTCTTTTGGTTAATCAATTGTATTTGCTAATCATTTAAATTATAAATATTGAAATCATATTTTTCTAATATTGTTTTTACTTTTAGAGGAAATGTGAATTTTGCTTTTCTCCACGGTGGTAATTCTTAAGTTATCATATCAAATACTAATTCCACACTAAAAAGATTATCCCCATGTAACTTGTCAACACAAGCATACATTCCTCTATTCTCTAAATTTTGTTTTAACTCTTTTAGATCCACTTACAATAATTTTGGAAGTTCTAATTTCTGTGGATTATTGTGTTATTTTTAGAAATAATCATCCTCTTTCTTCTCCAAATTCTCCAATAAAACAGGAGCACAATCAATAAACAATTTATTAAATAGTCTATTCACCAATCTGAATTCCATGATCTCATTTGCTTTCAAAAACAAAACAATATTGCAAAACGTAGATTTATTAAAATATTTAAGTGCTTGTTATTTGGCAAAACCTTACTATTGTTATTAATTGCCACTCTTAAATTATTTTAGACCTTGCTTATTCTAAGTTGGAACGGTTGTTTGCTTTTAAACATTATTTTGCTGTTAACCATTTTTTGTAGGTATCTACTTCATCATTAATTATATTAATCAAATAGTTATAATTCTGTTTCATTTTTCAAACAGAAATTCATATCAAAATTATAAAAGAAATTGTTTCATGTAATTATATTGTATCAAAACATATACATTAATTAAGAAGTAAAAATATAAAATTATTTTATGATAATAATAATTATCATTACAAAATATAATCAAATATCAAAATTACAGCAAAAGAATAGTTTTTACCAGAATGACTTTTCATTCATGACATGTTAGTCTTTAATCTTTGTTGTTGATAACTAAACACTTTATTAGACAATAGAACTAACATAATGAGATTCTAGTTTCGTCACTTTGAAAGCAAATTAAGTAATATTTGTTTTGCCTAATTAAGTTTTTTCAGAAAGAGCTTATAGAATATTAAAATAGAATTACCTGGAAAATCTTCATTTGGTTTTCCATTTTTTTTTTTTGGGATGTACAATTCATAGAGGAGTGATCCATCTTGTGTAAATGGGAAATGAATATAATCATGTTACAAGTTGAATTCTTTTATAACTAACGTAATAAAATCAGAGATCAAAGTGTCTTGAGTTGCTGATACAACGATTTCATATTTGTTATCAATATTTTCGTCGTACCAATAAACATTGTATAGTTTTTGTTTCCCAATATATTTACACTAATAATTATATGAATTGAATGATTACCTCTTCTTAAATGATTGAAATTGGCTCTACACAGGATTGAGAACCTCTTCTTTGTGGAGGAATGCGATCGAGTTAAAGTAAGCTTTCTTTAAAAATATAGTTATAATTACTTTGAGTTCTTTTTAATTTAAAATTTTTAGTATTGTCTTGCAACATTGCAAGATTAGCATTGCTTTGTTTAGATTGTGTTGATGTGGATTACTCTTAACAGGATAGTTTTTCATCAATAATGAGATCAAACTATTCATCCTTTTCACATTGTTATTTCATTGAACTTAGTTATTTTTTAGAATATTATATGTATAAATAAATAATTTCTATAATAAATAATTTATACTTAATTAATGGATTTAAATTGTAGAGTGAAATGTGCTTGCGTAATTAATTTGAGTACATTAAGCAAACATGGAATCCTATCATTGGTAGCTGAAAATCCAGTGTTCATTAATGATTTGCAATAGGAAGCTTAATTATTATATTAGCAAATTTTGAATTAATAGGATTCATAGCACGTTCCCTCTTTACCAGTTTAAAAGATCTACTCATAATCAGGGGCTTGGTATTGCTCATTAAAGAACAATATAGTCATCAGTCTATTAGTTACATCCTCCTATCCGATGCCAAGTGCTATGAGATTGTTAAAATAAATCGAAGAATTGTTAAAGAGACAAATATAAAGTGGGAAATATGAATTTCAACCTTTAGAACCAAATTTGAGACAAGTACACTTTACCATAACAAATAGTTATTAACACAATATGATAGAGATCCTTTTACGGACGATAAAATTGAAATAACTTGTAAGTCTGTTGATTCTATCCAAGGATTAATGGAGGAGAACATAAGGAAGTTCTAAATAAATTAGGAACAGCTTCATGTTATTCATCACAAGAGTGCAGAAGTATCCCAAATGGCAAATCAATTTCAAAAAGGGGCAGCAGCAGTAAACACAAAATAAAATTGGGCTGCTTACTTAGCCATTGGAATATCTGGAGCCCTTATAATTGGAATAATCATTTACATCTTCTTATGATAATAAATTTAGTATATAAACTATATAACAATGTCATTTTGCAGTATGTAATCTAATATACCCTGGTTCTGTCGGATTTCTGAATTGCTTTAGGGAAGGACTTCTCCCCATATTCGTACTTTGAGTGACATTCTGAAACGAGTGTAAGAATGAAGTAGTGGCATGACTACTAGATTACACTTCCTTTGGTTGACTAATTGAATGAGCATTTTTGTATTTTAGAAGTTCTAAATTAGTCTCAATTAAAAATTCTTTCAAATCTGGCCTTCTATTTAGAATGCTTTTGGAAGGTTATTATTTAACAATTCTCCTTAATTATTTAGAGACTCTTAGTTTGGCTCCAGAGATTCCTGGATCTGATTCACTGTATTTCAAAAAACAACTCTCACAAATGAGAACTGATTTGATTAAGAAGGCATCATTCACTTTTAATTACTCAAATATTTGCACTGTCAAATGTGGATATAGTTTTAATATAAGAGGGGGGATGTGCGAATGAATATCTCTTAGATGACCCTCACATTACAAAAAGGATTTAGGCTTAATTATTTCAATGTTATTCACAAGAGGGTGTTGATTTACATCTTAATCAAAATGTTTGATGATATATTCATACGTCAAATGGTATAGATCTAAATATGTTGTGGATATTCACCTTTTTATTGACATAAGACTCCACACTCAAAACATTCTATATCCTTAATCAAAGCTACTGGATGCATTGTGTTTACAGTCAACATATTCTTTATTGAATATGGTTTCTGGAAATTAGTATTGAATGGAATTGGAGTGTTATTTTTTTTCACATTAACATTACCCCATAAAGGTTGATATAACTTTATTTATGATTAGGCTTCTCCTTGTATTCTTATTGAGGATGAATATAAAAACCAAACTTTATTATTCTATAAAAACATAAACAGCATTAAATACTTGGTCGGCTTTAAAATAGAACACAATTCTCGATAGGTTCGTCTGTCCATAGCTCAAGTTTGTTATCTTTTAAACAATCATTTGACATTGTTTTCTTATTTCCTATGAAATCTCTTTGCCTCTTAAAGGAATTACTCTGGAATAGGCTTCTCCTCCATCAAATGTTGTACATCTTTCTTTGATAGATAACTATCTTTACCATAGGGATCATAAGCCATATCATATAAATCTCGGTTGTTTTACTTCTTTGAAAGTATGCACACTGAGGGACTCCAAATTGCTTGGATCAAGGACTCGTGATTTCCTAATGGTTCTATAAACTTTTAGAGAATCCCTGAAGGAGGTTTGTTTGGTGAATTAACGAAATCAGGAAACATTTGTTTCGTTAAATAATATATGCATATCTTTTCATCGAAGTCTAAGAGAGGCTTAGCCTTTTTTGATTGACTTGGAAAGGTTTTCTCTTCTTTGGGATCTGAATGATTATATTTTTGAGGATATATGTAATAGGCTATAACTTATCCATTTGGCTTATCTCCTTAGCAAAAATGCTTAATCAAATTTTCAGACTTTCTAGCCTCAGATTTCTTTGTCATAATCTCTCCTTCCTTACTGGTAAAATACCAAACCTAATTCTAGATTATGATTACTTGAGGGACTCCATTTTTATATATTAATGTGTCTGGTATTCTTATTTGAAAGGACTCTTTTAATAACGATTCATCCTTAAACCATAAAAAGTGATATATGTTGTATGCTACACCATTTGTATTTGTTATCATTTTAAATAATTTATTTCTAAAAATATAATATAAATAATTAAGTTAACAGAATAATTATGTAGACCGTATTTAAAATATTCGTTGTTATTTCTTGAACAATTATAAAGATCCCAAAGATTTTCAATATTTATATTTATAGATTTGTAGCTAAATATTAATATCTATAGGACTAAGGACAGAATAGTAAATTTAAATTGAAAATTCACATTATTTCACAGTTAGATTCGAATCCAATGAGGTATTCGCTATTAAACTATTAATAAATGCTCCTATTTTTAGATATAAAAAATAATTTTTACTTTTTATTATTAACATAAACAGTAAATTATTTAAAATAAATTAAAGATGAATACAAAGAATTCTTAACTACATAAAAAGTCATAAACTAGTTATTTGAATTATATGCTTGATGCTCGCCTATCTAAGATAAGACAAAAAACAGCTATTAAATTTAAAGAGAATGAAAGCAAATTTGGTGATGATCACTTTCAATTAAGAACAGATTATAGTGATTCATTTAATTGTTAAAGTTGTTAATAATAACAATTGATAATTAAAGAATTGAAAGCATAAATTTTGGAATGTTAGAAATAGATAGACATATTGTAGATAGAGAAAGATGTTATATAAAAAAAGGAAGAATAGACAATAAAGTTGTTGATATAGGAGATTGAAAAAGCAAAATTAGATTAAAAAAGATGTTCAACCGAGTTACAACATTCATTAATTTAATTTGCTAATGAAAACCTATTTAAATAGAGTCAAACTTTGTCATTTTAGGATAAATCAGACGAGACTTGCATTTTGAATAATCAACTTAAATAAATTAAAGAATAAAATGCAAATTACGCTGAACTTTTACATTAATAATACGAATTCTCAATAAACATTAATATTAAATTTGCTTAATTATCAAACTCCTTGAATACTTTAATCACTTTGGTTCAAAAGTATACCAGAATCATCACTCACATACAAATGCAAAGTTCTCCATAACTTGATTTGCTACTTCCTAACCCTCTTGATGACCATTTGAAATAGGATCGCCAATAACAATTGCATTTCATTGATTTGCATGACATGACAACTAAAATATAACAGATTCAGATTGGTTCTTTAACAGATGTGCAGTCGAAGATAGAAACCTTGATTCAATTGGTAGCCGACTATTTGACACAGGCCTAAAGAATAGCAATAAATGATATGAGTAGAACTATTGTATGATTATATATACTAACAATATGGGTATAAAAATAATAATCATTTACTAAATTTATCAAATTAAGAAAAAGAGGATTGCATTTTATCTCTGTTTCTTTCAAAATGATATTTCGGTATGATTCCAATAGTTCCTGTGATGTAGTACGACCCTGGACCTATTTCTTCTTTTTCCTTGGGAGGGAATCTAGCTGCCTTTCCGAGACTAAAATAATACAAACTTAAACCTTGATCTTGGACCTGAATTAAATGGCAGTGAATAGCTACCAGGTCCAATGTTTTTGAATTTCGAAAGCACTGGATCAGATCTATAGCCTTTTGTTAGACTGGCATGTGCTGTTTAGGCTTGAGTGTAATGTTCAAGAGGTTTGGTAAATGAATCTGAAACAAGTTGAGAATCTGGGTCGTATTATCCTGGCCCAGGTGTAACATTGTGATTTCTTTGTTCATACTTAAGCCGAATTGAATAATTAGGACCTTGTAAACTTGAATTGACATCGTATTTTCCTGGAGAAGGCACTCTATCTCTTGATAATTTAAATTCAGTATTTGGATTGTATCTTTCACCGATTCCCATAGATAATTAAGATTTGCTATGTGAAATTCGAGTGGGAGCCATTTAAGGATCATGAGTACCAGGTCCTGGTTTCAATGATGATTCTTTTGAAACAAGTTGTGATCTGTTTTATTTTAGCATTTTAATTTCTTTGGCAGTGGAAGGATGAGGTAATTTAGGGTCATGAGCTATTTTAGTCTATTGTAATTACCTCCTGGTCCAGGATCGAAATAATCAGTTGTCAAAATAGGAATATATTTATGACCAAAACTAAATACTTTTTTCAACTAGTTCATTGCTGGAGAATAAGTATCAGGACTCGGAACAATTTTATGAGAAGGCAGTTCTCTTTCTGCTTTTGGGATGGAATATTTGGGTGCTAAATCTTAAGTAACCTCCCTATAATCTCCAGGTCCGACATCAATCGATTTTGGCAATTATAATTTTTTTGCAGTTCCAAATCCTGTCTTCTTTCCTTTATTGGTAGCCCAACTTGTGGCTGTTTTGAATTAGCTGAAACTTTCAGAGTTATAGTATTAGTCTGGCGAAGGCCCTTCTTTACCCCATTTAGTTTCTTACTTGTAACCAAATCCAAAAACTGGCTATGAATGTTGATTGGTTAGAGATGGGTTATATGAACCAGGACTATGATATTTAATGTTGCTACCCAATCGGATGTTCTTTGACGACTTCAGGTTTATGAATTGCCCAAGTCTAGTGAAGATCTAATTCGCCTCCAGATAATCTTTTGCCCATTGATGTTTAAATGGTATACATTTACTTGATTTTATCTTATTATTCCTTAGCTTAATTTTTCTCTAAAAGAACTTTGAGTTATTCTTCCTCTATAACCTAAACATTATGAATATTGTAAGCTCCAACAGGTGGATTAGGTGCTTTTACAGGTTTTAATTTTTCATCTTATGGTAAATTCGATTTTCTTTTGGATATTTTACTAGAAAGTCTGGATTCAGTTCTTCTGAGTTAATCATCGAATTTCTTGCATCCCTCAACTTCCAGTTTACTAGATATCAAGTCATCTTTCTTAACCCAAGGTAATCTTTGGGATTCGCCAAATGTAAATGCTCCTGAAAATGCTAATCCATGGGGAGTTGTTCCAGTTGTACTTTGGTTCATATTTATATAATTTTATTATTTTATTCTAATAATATATAAATTTCAATAGATTTTCAAAATTAGTTGTTTAAGTATTTGTTTGGATTCTGAATGGCTGCTTTCAAAAATGCATCAAAATCTTCTTAGCTCAACTTCAATTTCTATGCTTCGTCCCATAAGATCACAGCTGATAGTTGTTAGGCTGAAGATAATTTGGATGACTATAATTTAAGTTTTAACAATTTTGAATAAAATAATCTTTGGATCTGAGAATCGCATTTCCTTGATTACTCTTCCAAAAATCCATAATCATTGGTTGAGATATTCGTGAGTATTTCACTTTTGGCATTCATTTTAAGTGGAACTTGTTAGGTCTGCATCTTTTTATGCAATTACCGAGGGATAAATACTTGGGTTGGTTCAACATTCATCCATTTAGGACTTTTACTCTTTTATAAATTTTGATTAATCAGATTATTATAATGTTACTATTCCCTCTTTAAAGTGTTGCATTCCTAAATTTTCTTGTTAATTTATTCCAACAATTGATCTTTGGATACACTGTTGGTATCTTGTTGATCAGCACTCAAACAATACACTTTATTACTGTATTGATTTGATTGACTGTCTTAAGCAATTACATTCTTGAATTTACTCTAAGAACTCAATTGGTTATCTTGTTCTTATTTGATATCTAAATTGCCTCTCAAGATTTATATTTTTTGTTCAATTAATACTTGAATTCTTTCAATGTACAGACTTAGATTTAATGAGGATTTCGGGATGTATTTTATTTAATTTATTTCAGCCAAGTAAGACTAACAGCAAGATATTTCGACTTTGCCTATGGTTGAAATTTGAATAACGAGTTCAATTATTCTAATTAGTCTAAGCGCTAATATGTTATTCTATTTTTCCATCAAACTCATTCTAATTTTTTGTAATTTAAAATGATTCTCCTCTAACAATGAAAAGGTTTTATCAATATGATCAATGTTCTTCGTCACTTGAGTGCAAACCAAAGTATGTTTATTGGTTTAATCATATCTTATGTATTCTTGACAATTCATGCAGAGAATTAGCAATTGAGAAGGTTCTTCATTTGATTGTTAATTAGTCTTGCACCTTTGCTTGTAAGACTTGAAGTAATTCATCGTATAGTATATAAATGTTATTTATTTATTGACTTAATAAATGCTATAATTCGTATCAAATCAATCTGTTAAAAAAGGTGGATTATGAATAGTATTTAATTTAAATATCTTATAATCATTAAATGGGACTTTCCTGTATGACATTATAGTTTAATTACAATTTGACTGCTTCAACAATTTGTTAATCACATCCAATGCTCTACAGAGACTCGATGTAGTCATCCATCTATTTTTATGTCTATTCTTTTGTGACATCTAAGATGCTTACACATAAAACAATTACTATTTTCAGCAAACACACTGGTGTTATTGGCAAGCATAGTTTATAACTGAATGGCATAATTGATCCAAATCTAAGAATTATGGAGCACTGGATGATTTGTTAATCCCTCTAAAATATTAAATTGAATGTTCATACCAAAGACACTCATCTTTATCTCTTGATTATCATTAGGCAACTATATTAATTTATAAATTGATCGGGTTAATTGATAAGCATCAATAATGATGGGTGCAAAATCATTCTTCTTATTGCAATAATCCAAACAAGTAATAATTAGTTTGTGCAATGAAACATAGCCTTCTGGACTAACTTAGAAATCTGTGGAGTTTTATAGACCATCCTCCTGATTCAGCCTTAATTTTAGAATCTTATCCAAAGATTGAACATATACAGCAGGTTAGGTTTGTTGAAGGAGTTCATTCAATTTAGTTACAGTTTCGTCTGTTATGATATTGTTAAACATGGCACTTTAGAACATTTTCATATAGATTTAGTTGGTTTCTTTAAATTACTAAGCGGAATCATTTTGATTTTCAGGAATTGCGGCTTAATCGAAGATAGGTTTCTTTTTCTTCATTGCCATTTGATTCTCTGGTTTATAATTCAATTGAGAATGGATGAAGGATTTATAGTTCTCAAAATTTAATTTGCTCAGGAGTGGTTTGTCAGATGGTTGATCTTTGAATAGTTCATTTAATTCATTTTTGGGATTGTATTGTTCAATTTTTTGGCTTATTCCACTTAAATCATATTGGAGATTGCGAACAACAGAAATTTCAAACATAAAGAATTTGATACCAGAGTCCTAAATGGTTTTTCTTCTTTCTAATTCAATATTTGAAAACTTATCTTAAACAATAGCGATATCCTAAAAATAAGATTCAATGTATTAGTTGTAATATGCGATGAAATTTTGCAATTTGATTTCGCTTTGTTTGCAACTGAATTTTTTCTGAATAGATTTGTTGACTTAGTATTTCTTCTCCTCGTTAATTGCTTAAATATATTCATCTCTTAATGAATTTAAACTTTCTATATTTCTTCGTATTTCTTTGGAGTGCTTTTATTTGAGAAATTGCATTTCCTTCTGCCACCCATCCTCTTTAATGAGATGCTATTCCAACTCTTAAATGACATCATTCTTGATTTATCTTGCAAATGTTCTAGTTTATTCTGATTGAATGTGGAAGTAGCTCCTTAATATAATGAATAAATCTTTTAAACTATCCTTGCCATGTATCAATTTAGTAAGTGATTCGCCTAGCTATTTGTTTTAATAAATACCAATTTTTTCAAGACTTCTGGAATAATACTCTTCGAGTTCAGCTCTAGCTTAGAGCAGACTAATGAAGTCTTGAATGACTTTCCTTTTCTCTAGGCATTTTTTGCTGAGGGTATCAATTCGTTCTGAAATGTCAGGTGAAAAATCCATAATTAGTTTAAATTAAATTGTTAAATTTGATATAAATGCGAATGGAATTATGTTTTGTGATAAATTTAAATTTAATAAATAATGCTCATATTTTCATTGCTTATTTCGATAGCGATAGCTTGCAAGTAATAAAATCGGAATAACTTAGATCAATAAGTGAATCGGAATCTATAAATTTAGAGAATGGAAAGAAATAAGAATTATGTTTTAAGGTGAATACCAATCTGCCAACCATAGTTTAATTAGTTAAATATGAGGATGAAGGTTCCAAGAAGAAAAAGAAAAAGGGAAAGAGTAACAAAGACGAGGATGAGGAGGATGAAAATATATTCATTTACGGTATTTGTAGTGTTTAATAAAATCTAGAGGAAGTTGGTTTAGGATAGTGTAAATTAAAATAAGGACAGAGAGTTTGTTATTTTGAAAAAGGTAAGGATAGATTAGAAGTCGATCTGAAATGTACTAAGGGGCCATGCAAATTCAATGTGATTGTTATGCAAGAAGAACCTAAGTAATTGCAGATTGGAAAACAATAAAAATCTAAATTAAAATTATTAAAAATAGCATCGAGTTCTAATTATAGAGTAGTCTATTCAATTAAATGTAACAATTGTGTCATGAAAATTGTTGATGCAGATCTCTGGTTTTATGGGGACGAACCAACTATTATGCAAAGTGACACAAGATTCATAGCCGCATTTTATGATGGCATAGAGAGTGAAACAACCATGATTTTAATTGGTGATCAGGAATTTGAAATTGAAAGATTTGAATATGTGAAATAACAGAATTTGAATCTTAATTAAGTAATGGTCGATGCCATTGAAAAATCAAAAAAGAATGAATATCTAATTTAAGGTGTAAAAGTTGTTAAACTTAAATCTCATACTCATGACATCTTGAAAATTAAAGTTAGGAATCAAGATGGGGATATCATTATAGATTAGACTCTTAATACATTTTAACATAAAAATTATAATTTATTGTGGAATGAAGATTTCTCCAGTTTAGAATTGAGTTCAAGCAATAAAATAAGTTATTAGATAGAAGTTATAGAAAAACCTGATATTATCTCTGTTGAAAGTAATGATTTAGCTATAGGACAGTAATATGGAATTGTTAATTACAAGTTGAAACTACTTGAAATAGAAGACAATCATTTCACTGTATCAGCAGATAGTTCAGATGATATTTCAGTTTCGGTCAAGCCATGTAAAGGCAGCAAATGTGAAGCTATTGAAAAGATTAAGAATGGAGAATCCTTTCAATCTGTACCATAAAATTGTGATAATCCAGATAAGGACAATTATTGTTGGTATGTGATTGCTGTGGAAACATATGGCATATATAGTCTTAACATCAATGACAATAATGAAGCCAAAATTTTATAAGAGAATCAACTGATTAATTCGGAGATCGATGAAGAGGAGAAACATCATTTCAAATTCAATTTAGCAAATTCATAAAATTATAGTTCAGTCATTTTTAGAGTCACTTCTGAAAATGTATAAATTCTAGTAAGTAGATCATCTAAGTGTTAATTGGTTAATTGGAAATGCTATGAATATAGTGGAACCAGCGACTAACCAATTACTTTGAGTGATTCTCAAATAAAAGATGGTTAATATTCAATCACAATTGAAGGAATGGAATTAGCAAAGTATGGGTTGATCATTGAAACCCATCCTAAGGATAAGATCAATGTTGTCAATATCAAAAAAGGGTCGATTTATAAATCATCAATCAATTCTAATTAAAAGAAATAATGTTTTAAATATGAACAGACTACTAAAGGAGTCTTAACTCTTTTAGTCCATGGACCCAATCAGAAACTAGTTAGTTATGCGAATATTGACACTGATGAAGAAATTCCAACCAAAGGTGATAATGATGTAATTACAGGAAATTCAGCCTTGCAATTAGTTAGTGATAAATTCATAGCTTGTGTTGAAATCTAAGATTAGTATAATTAAGATGTTAAAAATGTCACAGATTATAATGACATCAAATTTTCACTTATTTTATATGATGCTTAATCTGTCATCAATTTAGAATTCAATTCAGCCTACTATGGATAAGTAGCATTTACAGAATAGTAAAGATTCTCATTTTTGAGTTACTTCGATGAAGATGTTGTTTATATCACCAAGAATATCCTATCAAGTGGAGATGTCAATAAGGACTTACAAGTGTACATTGGTAATATGTTATATGAGAATTTGGATTAATATGAATACAAGTTCTTTGATAATGAAGTCAGCACATATTCACTCTCAAGTGAAAAAATGAAGAAATTGTGTGATATCGATGAGGATAGCTCAGTCAGTGTAGATCATAGTAGAATCACTCATCTTTGTGAAATATTTGTTGTTGTCAAAAGTATATCCAAGAGTCCAGTCAGATATACATTAACTATCCATAAATAAGATTTGGCCATCCAATTGACTGATGGATTACAGCAATCATACAATTTGTAACACATTGAAGAATTCATGCATTTCTATTACCAACCTAATTCTAAGTCTGCTGATGTGAATTTATTTGCATCTACTTTTTATGGCAAATTTGTTTTGCATATAAACATATGGAAGTAAGACAATATCAAACACAAATCTGATTGGCCATTTATTGATAAAGAGGATGATTCAGATATCTCAAGTGGATCAACAAATCAAATACACAGAACCATTAAATCAGATGCCTTAGATCAATGTTGGCCTGATTGTGTGTTATTGATATCTGTTTAAAGTGAATAGGATTCTCCAAAAGTTAATGGTTACAATTATAATTATAATGATCAATTCCATATTATGATTAATCAGGGAATGTAGGACGCTATCGAAGGTTAAAAGTATGAAGTTTCAATCAAGAGCGAACAGACTGTTTATTTCACATTTAAAAATTTGTAAAAGTTTAGAGATGATGCTTATTTAACATTTTCATTATTGTAAATCATTGGTAATGGTTTCTTCACAATCAGTGTAAATGGAGGAGATAAGTTTGAGTATCCCAATTTGTATGGAAATTTTGATTTCCATGCAGATGGATCCTACTTTCAATTGTCTAAAGATAAATTGAATGAGAAGCTAAAGGAGAAACAGATTTCGATTTAGGATGCCTATTTGATTATCTCAGTTGCAGGATTATAAAGTTATTATAATCCCATCTAATAATCCGTTAAGTTAGAATTCACTATTTCGTATATGAATATGGATTACATTCAAATTATGCATAGTCAACCTAATACAATTCATGCCAAACTTCATCAACCCACCATTGTTTAATTTTATAATTATCTCAAACAGGATATCTTCTTTAAGTTACATAGATTTATAGGATATGGAAACATGTCTGTTTTCATTTGCAATCAGTAAAGTAACATTGCTGAATGTGTAAAAGACAGTAATGATGCAGAATTCAAATATCTAGATTCAGTTTTGGCAGCTGGAAACGAGAATTCCTAAATCTTGATTTAAGCTAACGATAAGGAGAAATTCTGTATTTATTGCACATACATCATCAAAATTGAATCTTCTGATAGCGAATTACAAGGCTAATTAACTGTGGTGTTGGATAATGACTTCGTTAAATTGCCAGCTGGTGTTTAATATAGTGATTATGTAGAAAACCAGAGATCCTCCTAATTCTCCATTTCATATACTCAAGATAGCAAAATTGAAATATTTATCTAAATATTTACTGGAGATCCTATTGTCTAATATTCATATAGTTAAGATAACTTGAAATCCAGCAAAATTGTAAAGGCATAACCAAATAACAAATACATCCACCTTACTGTTCCCAGTCAAAAAGTGTTGGATGAACTTGAGCAAATTGCTGAAGAATTGTACAATATCAACAACAATAAAGATAAAGAAAAGGATAATGAAATTAGCTTATTACCATCTCATTTTATTCATGATGAATTATATGTAAGAGTGTCTACAGAATCCAATGAACCATGCAACTATACTATTTATTATACAAGTGATTATGTTAATGGAAAATTGCAAGATGGTAGAATACATTTAGCCATTATTGAACAGAATATTACATTTTTGTATGAAAATTATAACCAATAGGTTTCAGTACTCAATCTATCTCCCCTTAATTAAACATCTCTCTAAGATATTGAAATAAAAGTCCTTTATATTAAAAAGCAATCATTTGATGATTTCCACTATGAATATTTATAAGATATACCCATCAAAACTAGATTAATACATCCTCTCTCCAGCAGTTATGAATTGCCAAAAGATAATGGAATCTATGAAATTATCCTGATAAACAAGAAGTATATTGAAAACGCAACAAATCCTACTTTATTTATTGAAATAAGTGTCTCCACCAATGACATAAGAATCTTACCCATCTAAAGACATCATAGTGGGTACATCTAACAAAATGATATCGATTACTTTGAGACTTACTCTCCAGCTGAAGGGTATCTCGCTGTTGAAATTTACTCATGTTCATCTGATATCAATTTTAGTTTCTCAAAATCAAATTTCAAATCTTTCGTCGAGGAAGATTATGACGAATCTGTCGATATTCCAGAAAAGGACTATCATGTTGAAATGATCTCAGTGGACAAGGGAACTCTCTGGGTTGCCATCAAAGGAATCTCCACCACTCCAGCCTATTATCATATTACCAATCATTTCTATTAAAATAAAAAAGAAATACCTTTTGGTAAGATATTGGCTGGCAACGATGGTCATATCAAGTGGCATCTAGATAAATAAAAATCTGATTCAATATAAATAGAATTTGAACATGCCTCTTGTAATAAATGCAATTTGGAGGGAGTCTAAATTAATTATCACATCTTTATTGCTCAAGATGAAAAGAAACTATAAATGTTGGGTTATTGTGGTAATGAATAATTCGAAAGTCATAAGGCAGATGATGAAAAAATCTTTAAAAAGAGTATTCAATCGTATCGCTTAGCTGATCACAATGGAAGCATTGTTTATGAAATCGAATTTCCAAATTTAGTTACATATGAATATGCCTCAGTCGGAGTTTTTGCTACAGTTGATAATTTCATGAAGTACTTACTTATTTTAATAATAGTTCCACTTCTTAAATTAAAGTATTTTATCGAACCATTCAAGTACCAGTGCCAAATTATTTTGCCAAATTCTTAAATCATAATAGAACATTCTTTACTTTCTTAATAGTTGGCATGATTTTGTTAATAGCATTATTGACTCTTTGGCTGTGTTATTACATTAAACGGTAAATAAAATAATTTATTTATACATAGATATAGAAATACAAAATATAAATTAGACTTTTAATTAGAGTAAGGAGCAAAAATTATTGCCTCCAACAAATTACCTTAGAATGACGATGCTGCATTCTAAAATGATTTCAAAATGAAATACTAGACATTTGAAGAGGATTGAGATTTAATTATTATAATAAAGAATATAATACTTTAAATTTAATGTGAAGATTCGATTTATCTTCTAAATATTCATCTTGTTATCACTATTAATATGAATTAGTTAACTATTAACAATAACATATGAGTTAATTTTAATGTATCTTAATAATATCACAGTTATGTTATTTATATATGATCATATATATTTGAATCTTTTTTCAAAAAAATATTAAAACATACAGATATCAAATTTGTAAAGGCCAATCACAAAGATCTAAGATTTTCAACTTAAAGATCAAATGATGATTTAGGAAGTAGAAGAAAAGGAAGAAAATTGAAGAAAATGCCTCCAATTAGATCTTTATATAAATCCCCTTATATATCATGATCTCGTAGGATATGAAAATTTTTAATTTAGAATTCTCTGAAATTTGAGTAATAAATAAATAATACAACTTTCATTTCCTGTAAATGCGAACATCAGATCTAGTATGTTGGTGCATTCGTAAAGGTAGACGCATTGCATCATTAATTTTAAATTGCTTTGACAACGAGAGACTTTGTTAATGATTTTTCGATGAAGATATTCTAGCTTAAAATTTAAATGTACTTCGATTTCTATGGGATGGCAGTGTTATTGTGAGTGTGATTCGACGGGGAATTCATAGTGTAGATTTGTGCAGGAGTGAGCATTTTCTATAGAGGACCTTTGAGGATTCTTTAAGTATAGAGACCACTTTAAGTTTGGGCATCTGTTCCTGTTTTTGGGGACATGTGAAAGGTCTATTAATTTTTCTAAGTTCTTGATATAATTTGTTTTATGGTCTGTTGACTTACTCCTATTGGGAGTTTATTATAAGTTTTAGGGGAGTTCAGTTATACATGTTGAGTGATAGTCTTGAGTTTTTATTTGTCTACCATAAATTGAATGAAATTTTGTAACTATTCTTATTCTCGATTAGATGGCTAAAGATTTAACTCGCCAACATTAATTTATAATGCATTCAATTTATTATTGATGGTTTCAATAGTTGTGGAAGCATCCTAAATGCCAGATAGGATCTTGCTATATGCCTGTTAGGGTTTAGGAGATGTGGGAACAGCTTCTTGGGGCGAGTCTCCAACAATGGCCTTTTTGGGTTTATTGGGGTTATTTCTATTTTCCTCTTCGATGATTCTCTTGATCCTATAATATTCGATCCTTCTCCTCTTATCATGATAACTGATCTATGTCTATGAATAAAATACTTGCTCATAATGTGACATAAATGTGGCATGAAGAACCGAGGTATCTCGTTGTGATATTTGTAGTATTCGGTAAAGAGACGAAGCTTTTGGAACACCTCACCTAATGAGGATTATCGATAATGCATACTTACTTAAGCAATAGAATCGCTTTAGATATTCGGAATCCTCTCGATAGGCCATAACTTAATAGAACCCAATCACATCGGAGGTTCTTGCAGAACTCACAAAATCATTTAGAGTCTTGGAGTAATAGTAGGATTGGCTGTGTGCATACTTTTTCTCGAGAAACCTTTGCACATCATATTTATTGGCCATTTTTATTAATATGTTAATCGATTATTTTTTAGTTATAGGATTATAAACAAAATCAAATGGTATACTATTGCAGTACATTTAGAAATATCGTTAACTAATATCCTCAACAAGAAACAAGAGCCAGAAATGATCATCATGCATCCCATGGATTAGCCTGCTCCAGATTACATTGAGAATATCAAAATGGTTCACACTATTATCAATTATTTAGTGGTGTTTCCCTAATGGAGTGCAATATTACAACCAAGATTTAAAAAGAATAGATCTGGACAACAAATCAGAATAAACAATAACCGAAGACATTCGAAGTTAAGATCAATTGAATCACTTTGTGCTCACAGATGAAAAGGGGCAGTAGAAGTTCTGCACATCCCTACTCTACTATGTATTATCCCTATCTAATCTAAGGAAAAAGTGTATGTGAAGAACAAGCACAAGCATTATTAGAAGCTATCAAAAACATTCCCTAAAATAGCAATCAAGCAAATCATCAAGAATCCCTTGATTTTGGATGAAGACACACAATTGATATATGCTCCTAAAACAATTACGCTGGTCTCTCATTCCCCATCATTTGATTTGCAAAGACAATTTCTTGTTTTCTTCTACAATAGCTATATCATTGATCGTGGACTGAATTCCATAGGCTTATGTGAAGATCATCTTAAACAGTTTGAGCGATTAGTGCTCACACATGGCTTAAATGGTGCTGAATAAGAATGGAATTAACAGGAAGTATTACATCTGAAATAACTTGAATAAGATTATATCATGGATAAAGACATCTTAGAATTTTATATTAGCGTTTTATTCACTCTCAACAAGAAAACCCTATTAACAGATGAAGATTAAAATCATGAAATTAGAATTACTAAATGCGAAGTTCATAATGAAATTCTCAGATTCAGAACCAATGATTAAGAAATCCTATCTTTGACTAATTTCACTTTTCGCCCTCTTTTCAGTAGATTATCACTTGTCAATATTATGAGAATAGTAATGTGTATCATCTCAGAAAAATAAATGATCTTTTTCTCCACTAATATAAGTAATCTCTAGTAACAAAAAAATAGGCGAAATTCCATAAATAACCGAAGGCTTGCTCTCTTTGATCAAACCGCTTAAATGGTCTAATATTTACATTCCTTGCTCAAATATTGACATATGGGAGTATGCCTAAGCCTTGTAGCCTTATATCATAGGTTTTGAAAAAAAACATAAATAATTTGTATAGAATTAAAATTATATATTTAGTTACTAACATAGTTATAAGGAAAAGTAATTGTTGATCTTGATGAAGATTCAATTATTGACAATAGTCATACTATTGATGATGTATTAAAATAAATTCATTCATTTTTAGTTAAAAATACCAGAGAAATGGTTAATAGAACTTAAAAACAAATTGAATTAAATTACTACTTAATTAAAATATTCACCAAAATAAAAAATTTACTAATGGATGGAGGCTATCCTTAAGACCAAGAAAGCGTTTTTTAACTTTATATTATAAATAGTTCAAAATGTTCTACCTTTTATAAAGTCCTTGAATGATAGAGAACCCTAATAATTTACACAAACTCTAAAATAATGTTTTGACTTATAAGGATATATAAAGAATCATCCTGAATAAGAGTTTATATCTGTAATTGCAAAGAATACCATGACTTTCAGCACCTTTATTGAATAAGTTGATGATTATTACTCATTAAGCAAATAAGTTGATCCCATGATTGTATCTTACGTAGAATACATGAAAGTTTAAGGGTAAAAAAATGAATTAGATTTTCATAAATTGATTAATTCATGTTTGGATAAAGAAATTGAGAAAAATCTAAAAAACTTTTCTAATCCAGCCACCATTGATTTATACCCTTGGATGATAAAGTATCGTAAATTTCAGGAGCTATTCAAAGAAAAGCACAGTGAGTAAATAGAATAAAAGGAAAATCAATAGATAGTATTGCATTTTTATGATGAAGAATCGAGAATGAAAACTAGATAATTGCTGAATTCTAAAGAAAACATATTTTCAAAGTTCAATCAAAAGAAGATTATTAACTTGAAACAAATTTTTACTCATTAAAATGTTTCAAATCTGGTTTAAAATTATAAACTTATCTCAAACTCTTTAAAATAGCTAGTAAAAAAACCATCAGAAAACTTTGATTTAGATCCTATCCTTCAAAAACGCAAAACCTTACTACGTCGTCACTCTACTCTAATGAATGAATAATTGGAAGGAACCAAGGAAGATATCATGAGGTTAGTAGAATCACTATAAAAGCAAGCATGAATAAATTTATTTTTATAGAAAAATTATTAATTAAAATGATTTCTAGTAACTAAACGAAATCATTACTTGAAAGCATGGAGAAGAACGAAGATCCATCCGCATTTGCAGATGCTTTAGGACTTTTAGAAAAGCTAATTACAAAGTACTTACTTACAGCAAATATGAATTAGTATAATAAACAATCCCAACGAAGATAAATTTAAACATATAAAGATGACAGTGAAAGCATTAGCCACACGTCTATTTAATATAAGAGAAATGGCACAGTTACTCACATGTTTAGGTTTCATTTAAGTAATCAATCATCTTTAAATATAATATAGTTAGAATAAGAATTTTATCTCCCTGATGAAGAATATGCAACATTATTAGAGAATTACAATACAATTAAGTGGTAGCATATTTTATCTTAAGGAAGAGCAGAGGGACCTCAACAATATCAAAGAGCTTAGGAAATGTATGATTTTGTTTTTAATATTTACTAGAGTTAGATAATAGCAAGAAGCTTAGAAATAATATGAAAAAGAGCAAAAAGAAAAGGAGAAAATTTAATAATAGATGAAATACGATAGATAAGAGAGAAGCTTAGTGAAAGAAAAGGACTCAAAAGCCAATGATTTGTAATTTGGTGCCAAAGTGAAAACATGTGAGTAGCTAGGCATAAATAAGAATACTGGTAAACGTGGGTGAGGTTGAGCGGGGCGAAGGTTTAAATACTTTCGCCTCGCATTATAATAATAAGGAAAATAATCAATCAACCAATAGAAATAAGAAATTATTTCTTAGATGATCAAAGTGCATTTAAAACTAAAAGATGCTTTTTGAGAGATGGATTGTGAGTTTTCTTTATATATATATGTATGGTGAAAAAATAAGAAATTATTCAACTTTTTTTTAGTTTCATTTCAAGTAAAATGGTTTCCACTAAAACATGGCACTAAATTAATTAAAGGTGATAGCAATAAATGGAGTAAATCAAGATTTTCCTTACTTTTACAAATTTTCTACAATAAAGTTTGAACTTAAAATTGTCTCAGTTTTTAAGAGTTTTATAAAGAAAGAGTTCGACATTACTTAAATCATGAATATCGTTGAAAAGAACGAGATACTTTTGATTGTTTAATATGATTAGCTTCTAAATAAGTCATTGTTCTCTCCTTTATATGAATAAGGTATTCTGTGGATATTTATACTATTCCTCTCGATATAATACCATATTATTTAATGTATTAATTAATATGCTTGAAAGCCCTTACTCAAGTATTCTTGTCTCTTCATATTATCAAAATATAACATATATCATTTTTAGGCAAAGTCAAAACTCTACTTGAAGGTATATAGTTGTAATTTCAGGCCTTAAATCTTTTATTCAAAGCAATTTTCATATTATTTCTACTTTTTTTCTTCATGCTCTTTCATGTTAAGATGTGTGGTACTATTAATTACTTTTAATTTCATAAATATTATATTAATTTAAATTACGCACTAAATATGCATCCTACAACATAATTGCTTTAAGAAGCCAGAGATAAAGTAACATTTCCTACTCAAGAGCTAACAAAATTAATCTATGGAAATGAAGAGACTTATGAAACATTTATGAAAGCTTAAAAGGTTATCGCTAGCGAGCCGAGTATCAAAAATCATCCTGATTATCACAATTGGGGACGCAAAGAATAGATTATCAAATCATATGAAAAACTAAGGATCATGCATTAGCATTTAAATCTTGCTAATGCATCTCATTGGGCACCAATGTTAAGTTTATTCTAAGGTACAACACCTTCAGCTGTATCGTTTGGAATGACTGTCCCAGCTTTGAGATTTCTTGGTACTGATGAATAATTCAATCTCTGGGGTCCTAAGTTTCTTACTATGGAGATTGTAGCTGCTTATGCCTAGACAGAAATTGGTCATGGAAGTGATGTATAGAATTTGGAAACAACTGCAACTTATGATTCTTAGACTGATGACTTTGTTTTGCATACACCTTCAGTTTCTGCTGTTAAATGTAATTATGAATTAAAATGAATTAGTTTGGCCAGGAGAACTAGGATTTTTATCAAATTATGCACTTGTCTATGCAAAGTTGATATTCAATGGTAAGAATAAGGGAGTTCATCCTTTTATGGTTTAAATCAGAGATAACTCAACTCATAAGCCATTGAAAGGTGTTGTAGTTGGAGACATAGGACCTAAATTAGGATATTCAACAAAAGATAATGGATTCTTGGCATTTGAGAATTACAGAATTCCACTCAATAGTTTATTAGCCAGGTATGTTAGAATTGAGAATGGACAATTTTCAAGACATGGAAATGAAAAGGTATTGATTTTCTGATTATTTAGATATCTTATGCATCAATGATGGTATCAAGATAATTAATAATATTCATTTATCCAAGAATGGCCGCTTAAAGTTTGACAGTGGCTATTAGATATTCAATTACGAGATAACAATTCACAAATGATAAAAGAGAAGAGAACTCAGTCCTTGAATATTAAACATAATAAGATAAATTATTACCAAGATTGGCTACATGTTATGGAATGATCTTTTCAGGCTTAAGAATCATGGAATTGGTTGATGACAACTTCCATAGAGTGTTAAAGAAGGATTTTAGTACATTATAATAAACACATGCTATTTTGAGGTATTTGAAATTCATATGTTATCTCTAGTGCTTTAAAGGCTTGGTCTTCATAATGGGTTGTTGATACTGCTGAATGGTGTAGATTATCATGTGGCGGTCATGGTTATGCACACTATTCAGGAATCCCAGCCATTTATTTTGACACTGCTCCAAATGTTACATTGGAAGGAGAGAATTAAGTTATGTACCTTTAAGTCGCAAGATACTTGCTTAAAGTATTACAATATGTAGAGAAAAATCCAGAGAAGGTTCCATTTTATTTCAACTTTGTGTTGCACATCAAAGAAACATTGGCCAATCAAAGTACAGATTTTGGATAATTGCTTAAATTAACACTTACCCTTTAATTAATAAGTGTTGCTAAAAAGATTAAGGATAATATGAGTACAGGCAAGAGTTTCTAACAAATTTGGAATGAGGTAGTTGGTGTTCAATTATTATCTGTGGCCTAAAGATATGCTGAATATTTCACTTATTTAGTATTTTAGGAATATATTTCCAATGCTAATCCATCAGTCAAGGAAGTATTGTAATAGTTGTGTGATTTATATTCACTATAAGTAATTTTGGATAATCCAAACACTCTTATTGAATCAGGTAGGATCACCGTTGAGTAATTCAAGTTATTTAACGAAACTAAAATTGAATTACTCGGTAAACTGAAACCATAAGCCTTGGGTTTGGTTGAGGCTTTCAATTTTTCTGATAATGCGTTGAGAACTTGCATTGGCTGCCATGATGGAAAACCCTATGAATACATTTATGAATGGGCCACAAAAGAGAATTCAGTTAATATCAAAGGAGTACCTTAAGCTGTGAATGATTTGATGGGCACAAAAATCAAAGCTAGATTATGATATTAATTATTTTAATAAATGAGAAAAAACATTCAGATTATTGCAAGATAATTCACATCTACAAAACCTGAACTTTTCAAGGCCCAAAAATTAGATGTCAAAACATTTGAATATGAACCCTTCAAATTTGGAATTGAAAGACAATCTATGATTCACGGATATACAATGGAGGAAATGTATGGCAGGTAAAAGTAGTTATTTAATACCTAGATTTTATGGAATCAAGCATTCCCCTTTGATTTAAAAGGAGTTGAAGAAGGACAATCTTATTGCTCTTGCCATTCTCTTAGGAGGCAGTGTGATCACATTCTATTATAATGAATGGGGAGCTTAAGATTAAGCTAATTGGCTTTAATACTATTATTCTGATTTAACAACCAAGAGAAACAACCTCAAATGATTGACATCAATTTAAAAATATCATAAAGACATTAAAATAATAGCATTCTTATTAATATACATATTAAATTGCTATAAGATAAATAATATATTTATATCTATTCATTGTCCACCCATCGTCAATGAGTCTAATAATGCTTGTTTCTCTGCAATTATTAATTTCAATTATGCTATTTCCTTAGCATAATTCTTTGCATTATAAGTCATTTCATCTTGCAAAGCCTCTATTCTAGCATTGGCTTTATGCAATTTCACTTCCAATTCCATTTTATCTTACTCCCAATCAGCTCCACTATTACTTACAGGTCTCTTATTTCTCAATTCTTCCTTCATATTGGCAACAATTTTCTCCAACCTCTAACATTCTTATTTATAACGTTCTAACTCTCCAATGTCCTCTCCATATACAATTCCTTTTAATTATTTCTGCAAATTGAGATTTTCGCTCTTGAGTTATTCAACTTCTAGTTATGCTTATCTTGCCTTTTAAGCATCTTTTAGTGAAGTCTCCATTAATTTTTCTAATTTTGATATCACAGTTTCTTATTTCTTAACAGCCTCTTTATAAACACCAACCTTTTGGATTTCTTATTGCATGACCAACATTTTCTTGGCATTCTCTTAATGAACTCTTTATAAAGACTCCAATTCTACCTCTAGTTGTCTTGCTGAAGCAATGTCTTTTTGAGCAGTTTTCAATGCTTTTTCAAATTCTTCATTTCTTACTCTTTCATTACGATAAGCTTGGGCAACTTTGATAATCTTTTATCTTAATTCTTCCATGGACATAACAGCAATTTCCTTGGTTATAATAGATTAGATTTCAAGAGACTCCTCATGTGCTAAACGTTTTCTCAGAATAGAATTTTCACTTTATAGTAATTTGACTTGTCTTCTTAAATCGACAATTTCAGTTCCTGTAATTTTAAGACTCTCTGTTTTATCATCTACTTCCTTCATTAACCTATGAATCATTTCTTATTTTTGCGAAAGTTCCTTTGACAAGATATCCCACTTTGATCTATCTGCTCCTGAAACATTTTCAGCCAAAGCTTTCATATCTGGTGTTCTGGGTACTTATCTAGTAGATTTCTTTGATGATGAGACTCTACTTATTGCAGGATTATCTCCAGCTTCCATGCAAGTCAATTCCACTTGACATCTACTATTCATGAATAACGGTCTTTGTTTGGATTCGTCAGACCAAGTGATGGGGAAAAATGCTTGCTTCTTCTCCTTGGAATAATATAACTTACGGAGCCAATCATCAATTATTTCTGAATATCCGACTATTCCATTTGGCATTGAATGCATAGATTAGATAGTATCATCTCTAGTGGCTAAGTAGAATGCAATTCCACTCTATTAAAGATCAAAATAAAGAATACTTCCAATTAAGATTTGGGCAGTGTAAAAACTGCTACTGCATTATACACTTTATCAGCCTTATGCGGTGGAATCTTCATTATCGATGATATGAACACATCGGATTGAGCATTACTTAAGGCTTGAGCCAAAGTTGGGGCACCCTTCAAATCTATAACTGAATACGGCACTTCTTTAATTTTAGTTTGATTTAGAGTCATAATCAAATTGGTCCTACTTGCATATGGCAATGGATCATAATGAACCATCTTTACGATGATGTCGATTAATTCATCTAAGAACTTCTATTTATCAGCCATTTCCAAAGTGATTGACATATACAATCTAGGCCTAGCCTCATATTCTGCATATTTAAATTGTAATTCAAAGTTCATTGGCTGGAAGGGTCTCATCTATGAGATTGGAAAATACACGCTCTCTATTTCTCGCTAGCCAATATCATCCACCAAACTCAGATATAAATACCCATCCAGAGTTGTCACAGTTTGTGGATTTGGGATCAAAAATTGCTAGTTCCAAATTGGATGTCTATTTTAATCTCTTATTTTTGTTAAATGCATATGATGCTCGGATGGAGGTTGATTATCATATTATGACCAACCCAATTTTACAAAGCCCCTAGGCAATCCAGAATGGGAATCACGATGTAAAGGCATATCCATACACGCCCTAATATCTACTCTTAATCTCCATGTAAAACTCATGAATGGATCTGATGCTGGGAGAGGCTGGAATATTTCATCTGATTCTAATGGTTTCTCATCATTTATTGGGATTATTTGTTCTCCTACTAATTTAAGATTTACAATGAATCTTCCCACTGTCACTTACTTATCATTTCGACGAACAAATTTCAAGTGTTATCTCACCCCTGTTCCACTTATGTCTGTCAATGGACCTGTGAAATCACCCAATTTCAATATACACTCTCCTAACAACCTTGCTTAACCCTGATTGTCTAGGTCAGGTCCACGTCCTTATTCACGATCGGTTACAACATATGCTTCGAACTTTCATGCTTAAGGTATTATTTTACATGCAAGTAATCGTTAATGTCCAATTTAAAGTTCGAAAGTGGTATTATAAAAGTACTCGCTGCAAATACTGGTGCTGCCACTTAGGCACTCACATCGGTTCTTTTCTATTATAAAATCTTTTTTTCATTCTACCTTCTCCCCATCTACATTTAATTACACAGTAATGAAGTAATGATAATCCTTTGCAAACTCTACGTTATGCAAACTTACACAAAGTGATGAACGCTGTTAATCCATTATTTTAAATATGACAGATAAAATTTAGTATAAAAATTATGCTTAATTAATATATTCTTTTCTTCTTCATTTCTTTCCGAAAATCATCAAATTTAGGAATTATTTTGTTATTTAGATAAGCATATAAACAAAATATCCTCACTATTTTTCATCATCTAAGTTTGAATTTATCTTATGAATACTGAATTATTTATTTCCATTTTTAATTCAAAAACACCACAAACCATATTTAGAATTATAACAATATAATTCAATTTTTGTAAGGAATTGTCTATTCCCTATTGAACATGTAATTTGATTACTTAAATTTAGACTGGTTCAATAATATTTTAACACAATTAATATTAGAAGAGATCAATTCCTCTTTGAATTTGTCTACTTTTAAATAAGAGATATATTATAATCTATACAAAATAAAATATCGTTTTGTGTATAAGTTTGTTGTTGCAGATACAAAAATTTAAAAGTGCCTAAAAGATAAGGTAGATGAATTTGCTAGCATATTTTATTTATGCTTGGATGTCTTTATCATAAATGTTCATTTCATTCAATTTCTTGATATCAGTAAAAAAATTAAATGTTGAAACAATACCCATTAATTTACTTGATATATAAATTAAAATATTCATAAATCAATGTATATTTATTTAATTAATGAAATCTAAATTCTCTACAGATACGATATTTCTCCAGACAGATTCTAAATTTTGGAGAAATGAGTAAATTTAAATACGGGAATAGGAATTTAAAGAAGATTATTTTCTCTTCTACTCTAATGCTAAAAAAACATACAAAAATAAAGCTTTGAAAAGGCATGGTCCAATTATAAAAAAACTGAAAAAAAATGTATATTTATTGATAAAGTAAAAAGGGATTAGAATTATGGTGTGATGTTACCAATGCTATAATCGAGACATTTGAGATCCAACATGTAGGTCAGGGATTGAGGATAAGCAAAAATTCATACTCCTTAGAGTTCTTTGGATACGTAGATGGTTGGTTCAAGGAATTAAAGAAATTCTGTATTCAAAAACAGATAAAAAATCAATTCATTATCAGCAATAAATTAGGTTGCGGGAACTATGCAGATGTATCATAGTTGATTGATAATTTAATAGGTCCATAGACTTATAAGGAAGAGTGACGAAAAAGAATTTGCTGTAAAAATTTATGAGAAATTATCTAATAAATTTGATTCCGAATGTGTCATAAAGGAACTGGAGATACTGAGAAAAATGGACCATCCAAATGTGATTACAGTTTTAGAGACTTTTGAATCATAGAAATACTTATTCATAGTCACAGAATTATTAATAAGTGGAAATTTGGATGATATCATTACAAAAACAGCACTGTCTGAAGACGACGCTATTAAAGGTATCTTCAAAATTATTGATGCCCTGATATATATCCATTCAAAAGGAGTAATACATCGAGATATTAAACCTGAAAATATTTTATTTAGAAAACCTAACCTTGAAGAAATAGTCATATCCGATTTTGGATTAGCTGAATATCACAACGAAGAAGGTCTCTACAAATATCATCGCTGTGGGACTGCAGGAAATATGGCCCCAGAAATTTTAAAAGATCTATCTTACGGTTATAAAGCTGATTGCTATAGTGTTGGGATCATATTTTTTTAAATGTTAACACAAGGGCAATCGCCATTTATTGTTGAAGATTATCAAGAAACACTCCAAAGAAATGAGTAAGGGTTGATAGATTTCTCAATTGTTCAACCTTCTCCAGCTGTAATGAATCTTCTAAAACAAATGTTGGATCCAGATCCTTTTAAGAGATGCACTCTCTAAGAGGCCAGATCTAATTTGATTTTCAAGAAGTTCAATCGACAAACCATCATTATTAAAAGAAAGAGGATCTAGTAGGAACATACAGTCTCTAGTTATAGTCCAAGAAGTACCTCAATTTACCAAAGCCCAACGAATTAGGCTTCCCCTCCCATCCCTTTAAGTCCTTCATATAAATATGTGGGTTTCAAAAATCTCCATTCGATTCCTCTCAGACTTAGGAGTCACGAAAGAAAATTATTTTCATCTCCAAATTAATCAAATTCAGGTGCAAATAGTGCTAAATTATAAATAAAATAAAAAAACTCAAATTTTAAAATAAATCAGAAAAATAACAAAACTAGTTTATACTAGGGTATGAGTTCAAATAAAGCCATATGAGTCATTAATCAACTTATTATGGTTAGTGATAAATAAAATTTATATTTCAAATGTAATTCAAGTTTTAATATCAATCCCATGATTTCCAAGTTTCAATACTTCCTATTGGTTTTAGTTTTTATGAAGAATTGATGATGAGTAAAAATGATGGTAATTTAATATGATACTAAATCAATTTTTTCTTCTTTGTAAAAAAAGTGCGTTTTAGGTTCCCATCTAAATATCAGGTATGCCACTTAAATCATCCTTTGTTATTAATGCATGCTATAATTCAGACTCAGTCATGACCTCATTAGAAATCTAACTTAAGTCAAAAGCTTACGCTGTCTTGAATAAGTTCTTAGACTACCCATTATTGATCTTTTGTTTCAATTGATTATGCCTTAACATTGATAGAAGATTGATAATCTTCTTATGTAAATAAAATATCATTTGGATCTAGTATTTCTGATTATTCTTTTGTTGTTAATGCTAAAGTAAGACCTAATATTAAAATCAATTGCAAATATTTCATGAAAATTAATTATTTATGTCTGAATTCAAACATAATGTAGAAGACGTAATGAAAAAATTAGAATTGTAAATAAAAGAAAATAGGAGAAGAACTAGAACACTCAGTCTTGCCAAGTAAAATGGCTTCAACAATTTATGCAGATAACGATTGAATACTATGCATCAAATATCAGATCATTTCTTGTTGAAAACCATATATGTTCAGCCCTAATAAGATCTTTAATAGAGAAAGAAGATCGTGAATTAGAGACTGCTAAATTAACAAAGAAAATACTACTAACAATTATTTTACGATAAAATTTAACACAACTTTTAGAAACTGGAGGTCTAGCCTCTTGCTTCATGTATAACTCTATAGTAAATAAATTAAAACTCAATACCCTTACCGATAGTGTTCAAATAAAAGAAGGAAATTAAGAAATTAATAAAACCTAACTCGAAATTTAATCTAAATTGATTAATCAATTGTTCTTTCTAATTTATTATTCACATTATAATTTCAGAATAGTTCTTCAATTTTTTGTTCTAAAAATCTGATAATTAAAATAGGTTGTAGCTTCATTCTACTCTGATGCTTAACTTCCTCATTTAAATTTTCGCAATTATCACTCAAATTTAATGTTATTAATGCTAAATGAGAAGGTGTTGCCAAAAATCTATTTAATTTTCAATTGATACCTCTTTTTCCTGATTTTAGGAGGAGCATTATACTAAGTATGTTAATTTTCTAACAATAGGTCCAACATATCCAGCCTCCTAAAGTTTGGAAAAATAATTTATGTATTTACAATTTCAATATCATATTAATATTAGTTCATATTCATAAAATAAGAAAATTCAGATCTCATTCTTTGACTAATTACACCCACACTATAAAACATTATAGTTGAATATTTTAAATGCATCTTCAGACATATTATGATTTAATTTCCAACTATTAAATAGAGCCATTCTATTTCTAGAAGAAAACCAATTTATCAATTTGGTTAATAAACTCTCTCTTTTCAAGATGTGCATGATTCAAATATCCAATCAAAATGAGGATCATCGAAATGGGATTAGTTCATTAAACTATTGCCAGTAATCAATTATTTTAGAGATCATCAACTCAAGGTCTACTTCTATAATCAATATAATCATCAGTTTGAAATGAAGAACTATGCAATAAATATAGACTTTATGGTACTATGGACCTTTAAAGAAATTAATTTATTTTCTACATCCCTATCCTTAAATTTCTAAGTTTTGATCTGATTATTGCTTGCTTGATTCTTAGGTTCTAAAAAGGATATTTATAGAATAAGAATCAGAGCAAGGATAATAGGGAATTACAAATTTTTATTTTAAATGATGAATTTATTTTATTCTATAGATTGAAAAATATAAAAAAAGTGCCACCTCCAGGAATTGAACCTGGGCTTTAGCGGCCACAACGCTAAGTACTAACCACTATACGAAGATGGCATTACAATAATTTTAGTTACAAAATTGTTTGTATACTGCTAACATTCCCTTATAGTACTAAAGTTTTTATATAATAGTTAATTTTAAGATTAATTATAAATTTAATAATTAATATTTAAGAATAATTACTAAATAAAAATTAGGAAATAATTTAGATAAAAAGTTACTATGAATATTTTTCGAATGAAATATTTTGATATTCACTATTTATTTTAGTCAATCCAATCTTAATATAGAGCAAGTTGAGCTAATTTTATTGTTTATGAATCCATTTGTTTTTCTAATGACATTAAGTGATTTTAATTATTTTAGATATCATTTAAATTCCAAATCATTTCTTAAATGTTCTTCTCTAATTATGTCTTTATAAAGAATAGTATTCATACTTTTTACTGATCTAAACTCTTTTCTTATCCTAAGAGTTCAGCTAGGCCTCTCTTTTCAGTGATTAAATCTAAATTTTCTAATGTACCATCATCATTAATTTCAAACCATTATTTCTTTTGCTTATCTTTGTACTCACAAAACAATCCCTTATGAACTCCTTCAAAATACAGTAATTCAGCTATTTAATCACTAAACATCATATATACTAAATTTATGTTTATGCTGAGATTAATTCATCTAATTTTCTTCTGGTTAAATCAAAAGTCCTAGGCCATTTTTAACATCACGATCAAACTCACCAAAATATTCATAATTTTCTTCTTTCAAATGCCCAAATCCATGTTTCATTCCTTCATAGAAATATCCACTATACACACTATTATCTGGATATTGGATTTGACATAGATCAGATAGATTGTCTTATTTCCAATTTCCTTTAATGACTGTCCCATCAGAATAATGACATTCTCCTAATCCATCTCTTAACCCATCTTTAAATTATCCCACATATTTATAGAGTTATCTATTAGAATATAAGAATTAGTAACGTTTATAGAATGCCGTATTTCAATTTCCTTTCATCCCAGATCCCTTAATAAGTTTAATTGTCTTTGGTTTTAAGGATTCCTCTTCCTTTAATTTCATTCTTTTGAATCTCTCCCCAATAAGAGTAATCTTAATGAAAAAACGCATATCCATTGCCAGTAGCTTATCCGTCCCGATACGTTCCAAAAAATTTGTAGAGTTGTTCTTATTCTTACTAACCTGATCCTAATTCAAAAAACATACCCTTTTGCATAGGCTTCCTTCTGAGAGATAAAACACCATCCCCTTCTCTATTGGTATCACGCAATCTCCCATAATATTCTCCATCAACTATATCATGTCTTTCGTAAGAAGCAGGATCTAAGTCAGGGAATTCATTAGTACTAGATAGTATTAATAACAAAGAACATCTCTTAAGATATGAAGATCCTTAGTCCTTTTATCTGATCTATGTTGGCACTCTTGATTTAATTTGGTTTTGGTTTAGGCTAGATTGGAGGTACTGCATGATGCTTAAATATTGAATAACAATAAGTAATACTAAGGATTCATTTATTTTAGATTTGTCAACAGATTAATGCATAGATTGGTTGTTTGGATTTATTGAGTACAATTCAACATAATCGGATGCGTAGACTTACCCCATTAAAATTAAATAATTTATACGAATTTTTAAAAAGTAAAACCTATTTTGTATTTAATAAGTTTTATTTAAGAAAACATAGTTTTTAACACAAATGAATTTGATTCTATTTTGCACCCAATTCAAAAAATTATGAATATACAAACACTCTGACTCATTGAGGTCATTACACAAAATTATTTGTATATTAATACCAAAGATTTATTAATACATATATGAATTAAAGTATAATATAAACAATAAATAAAATCAAATTAGTGGGATTTAGTTATCAACTATCAAATTTATAAGACATATTGAAAAAGTGGATAGAGGATAAAAATTTAATACGAAGTTTACATAATCTGCATATCCTAAATTTGTCATTTTGTTAATCCTTTCAATAAATTTATCTATACCTGCAATATATAAGAAAAGGGATTATGCAAAAGTAGGGAAGTGAGTCTGTTGCCATTATGAAATAATCAATCTGAGGATACCATGAGAATAAAATTAGGAATAGAAAATAGATCTAGAATGAACTCCAAAATAATGCTAATAATTGTCTTTGATATAATGAAAATAGTAAATTCTTCTTATGCCAGACAGACAACGCTTTTCTAAATATATCCTGCAATTTAATAATTAGATTGATATAAATTTTTTATTTATGAATATTTCAACACTTATCTATCTGGTCTTAATATTTTCTTTTTAAGTATAGGCCTCTCATCTTTGTGCAGAAGAAACAGATCAAACATCAGAGTGCAAAAAGTGTATAGCAAATTCGAAATTAGATCAAGGGACGTGTAAGTGTTTGGATGGTTATATTTCAGACAATAAAGTGAATAAATGCTATTGTACGCATATCAATTATAATTAATTAGCTTGCTTGCCTAATTGCAAAAGGTGTAAGCCATTTCAATTAAATTAATGCGAAGAATGTTTTGGTGATAATGCTGACCCTGAAAATCAATGCACTTGTAAAAAGGGGTACATATATTCATCCTAAATGGAAACCTGCATCAATAGTATAAATATATATCATTATAGAGAACAATGATTTAAATCTGGAAAATCTAAAATATCAGATTGAATCAAAAGAGTTTGGGAGCCTCAAATTTGATTTCTGCTTACCAGTTGAAGAGTATGCTGAAACAAGTCACCTATATAAATTAAAAATAAATAATGCTACTGCCTCATTATAAATGAACTTTACAGAATTGAATAACTAAAGTTCTGTGGCTTATATCTAAACTAAGGAAAAGCTGATATTCGAAAAGATCCTTTTATAAAAGATTAAGTCTAGGCCTATATTCAGGGATTTTAATGAGACAATTTTCGAGTTAAATTATATTTAAGGATTAAGTCAGACTAAAGACAATAATGAAAAATAGAATTTAATTCTAATGATCGAAATCAAGAATGTCATTTCAAATAGTTATTATTTCTTTTTGATGAAGTGCGGTTTATAAGAGGGACTTAGTTTAGAACAGTAAAAAATATAAGAAAGTCATGTAAATTATGTAGTTGATAAATATTTTAATCTATTCTATCAATGTCCTTCTAATTGCAAGACATGTACTTTTTAAACTACTGAAAGGTTATCTAGAGTTTAATGTAAATAGTGTATTAATGGGATGAAATTAGATGACGGTAAATGTTATTATGAAAACTAACCAACAAAAATTAGAGAAGTAAGATTAATTTAGGGATAAGATGAAAATACAGAATGTGATATTTAAACTTATTTAAAGGATGTGTATTGTGAATTATGCGATATTAAAAATTGCGAAGTATGTGAAAATCAAGAAAGTTGTAAAAAATGCATTGAGAACTTCGAGTTGAAGGATGGACAATGTTAATGTAAGGAGGGCAAAGATGAATAATGTTAAAGTAAAATAAATCAATTCTGCAGTTATCAGAATGGAAATGAGTGCTTGTAATGTAATAATGGCTATTATTTACAATAAAATGAATGTCTGAAGATGTTATCAAATGAATATTTGGTTTGTATAAAATAAGAGTAATGCTATAGTTGCTTGAATATGGAATAGATTATTTAGAAATCCAAATTCGAGTCTAAAAAAGAGATTTGTGAGTGTGAAGATGGATACTTTATGAATTATAGATTATTGCAATGCAATTAATGTGATTCAAGTTGCAAGACTTGTGTAGATAGATAAATCAAATGCACAAGTTGCAATGATGGATTTTATTTACAAGATAACAAATGCAAAAAGTGTCCTTTGACTTGTCTCAAATGTGATTCTTATGAAAAATGTCTCAATTGTCTTGATGGCTATTACTTAAATCAATTTCAATGCAAGAAATGTGAAATTTTGAATTAGGATAAGAATGTTTGTGCAAAGTGTTTGAATGATAAAATCTGTACTTAGGCAATTGAAGGATATTATGTTGATAGTTAAAATAAAGTTAATAAATGTGAAATCGAAAATTGTAAAGTGTGTAAAGACAAATAGGTTTGTGAAAGATGCGATCCAAATTATTTTGTGGAAAAAGGATCTTGTGTGCAATGCCAAGAAGGATGTGTTAGTTGTGATCGAAACAATGAATTAAATCAGATCAAATGTTTTAATTGTTCTCCTAATTATACACTCAGTGATGAAGATGGAAATTGTAAGAAATGTCCATCAAATTGTAAATAATGTGCAACTCCAAACACTTGTAATGAATGCAAAGAAGGATTTAAGTTATCTAAAGAGACATAATTGTGTGGATGTGAAAATGCAAATGAATATTATAAGAACAATAAGTGTTAAATCTGTGTTCATAATTGCGAAGTGTGTGAAACAAAAGACAGGTGCAAGACTTGTTCAACTTCTTATGTTGCAAATAGTAAAGGTGTATGTGAGAAAAAATAATGTAAAATCAAAAAATGTGAATTATGTTAATCTGATGATTCATGTGATCAATGTGAAGATTCCATCTATTTTCCAGAAGAAAAAAAATGTACTTGTAAGGGTAATTGTGAAACATGTACTTTGAAAGATTCAAAATAATAATGTACGAAGTGTAAATCAAAATATTATTTAAAGTAAAACGAATGTGTAGAATCTCATTGTGAAGATGAAGGCAAGGATGGGAAATGTAAAAAATGTAAAACTGGATATTTTATCAATTCAGATGGTCAATGTGAAGAATGTTAACCTAAAAATTGTAAGGAGTGTACTAATAATGTTTGCGATGTATGTCAATAAGGTTATTATCTACTGGATTAAGCATGTAAAAAATGTTCAGACCCATTATGTTTGGCTTGTGAATATTCTTAAAATGAAGAGTAAGATGTATGTAAAACATGTATGCCTGGCTATTCTTCAAAGGAAATGAAATGTTATAAAGAAAACAATATGTTCCCATTACTTGCTCTAGTTTTCATAATTGCTGTAATTTATGGAGCCTTTTACTTTAAAGAATAAATCTTATCTCTTTGCTCAAATTAAAATTAAGGATTTGTAAATAGTTCTGATTAAGATGTTGAACTTACAAATAAATCAAAAACTCAGACAAAATAAAACAGAGATGATGATTTTAATATATTAGAAGATTGATTTATAAAAACAAATATAAACTGTAATCGTGTTCTTTATTATTAAAATTTTTAAAAGTAAAAATCTACTGATTTCTGATACTCAATTTTGAGAATTAAAAAGTGAATTGAAATGAATCTTGATTTTAGATCATGTTTATATTATATAAATTTCCATATTTTTAATCAACAACAACTTCCAGAATTATTATTATTTTTTTTTTTCACTTGGTGATCTGCTGCTTTCAAGACAGAAGCATTTGAAGTATGGCCTTTATTCTTACTATACTAGGCTTTAGTTTGTTCAAATTCATCGTCGTCTTGAGTCTCACTGATATCTCTCAAAATTTCTAATATATTAAGATTATAGACCTTCAGCTATTTATTTAAATGCGAATTCTATATTATGTCCAGTTTGGGCTGAAGTTTCTAGGAATCCCATCTTTTTAGATTAAGCATACTTGATGGCTTCCTCTTTGCTCACCTATCTTTGGGCTTCCAGGTCGTTCTAGGATTGTTGTATTACAGTGTTACCTTGTTTCCAATAAGCATTAGAACTAGGTTTTATTAATCAGAATAATCTCTGATTTCTTGCAACCATCTGTCCACTTCCTGGAATGTATTTTTTTTTGTAATGTCGTAGACTAGAAAAGCACCAACCGCTCCTTTGTAATAGGCTTTAGCAATGGCTCTATATTTCTCCTGTCCTGCTGTATCCCAAACTTGGACTCTAATTTTTTTGTTATCAATTTCCAAGACTTTTGCACTAAATTCTACACCGATTGTGGTGTTAGTCGATAGATTAAATTAGTCTTTAGTAAATCTGAGTAAAATCTAGGATTTTCCCACAGCAGTGCTTCCTAAGATAAATGGTGGGCTTACCAAGTAATATAATTTTGAATACGTGAGCGATGTCATTTACACTTTGAGATGAATCCATTCAATATAATTAATTATTATCACAAAAATATAATGAAAAGTGATAAAGACAAGATTGATTAGATTATCAATTAATTTTATGGATCAAAGGTTATTGAGGAATTGCCAGAGGAGGAACGTCAATTTGAACTCGTTGTTCAATAGCCAGATCAAACCTTAATTTAAAAGATGCTTGTACAATGAATTCACATTAATTTATTTTAGGATGACAGTTTATAGAAGAGGTAAGAATTTATATCGAGTGCAGAGTGCAAAGAATATTCGCAAATGCTTATCATCTCACAAATTCGAATGGACTTTACAAATGATGATCCATTTCTTAAACATTTAATGAATGTTGAAAAAGCAATTAAGAAGGCAATTAGAAACATTCTTCTGCAATTATAGAAACTAGATGGCAAATAACAATTTAAAGATGCCTGTGATAAATTAATAAAGATATTTTATTAAGATATTAATATTGGCTTTATAACATCGACAGGATAAATCAAATCTACTGCCTATGCATTTATATCCAAATCAATTATCGAATTAATAAATAGAAAGAAAATCAACTTGCAATTTAAAAAGATTCCCTTAAAAATAACCTTAACATTTTTCGCAATCGACTCATTGCAACAAATCAATCCAGTTCACAAACAATATGATCCAAGAACTGCCTTCATCAGAAACAATAAGTTCTTTAATGACTACTTAATCCTATCCCAAACCAATCAAGATGAATTAAGAAGCGGCGTATCCATATTTTTTGTCTATCGACCAGAAGATGATCAAATCTACGCTCTCAAAAGAGTAAATTTAATTAATAATTTAGAGTAAATTGCAAGCAACTCATCTTGATTTCTTCTCCGTTTTCTCCACAACTGCTTCAAACACTCCCATAACACCAGACATCAGAAAAATCAGAGAAGCCAAAATACTATCAAAATTGACTCATCCAAATATCCTTAGGTAATTCATTAAACCTAATCCTCCAGACTCTTTGCCTGGTGGATAGAATCTACTAATGATGGCTACTTTCTTTATATGCAACTTGAATATTGCTCATTTCCTGGCTATAAGTATTAGCCTACAGATTTGCTTACATTTTCATATTATTATTTAAATGTAATGTAGAACCAAGAAAAAATCAATAAAATTAAATCTATTCTGAATCAAATTCTAGATGGATTGGAATACATTCATCAAAGAGGTATAATCCATAGAGATTTGAAGCCTGAAAACATCTTTGTTACAATTAATATCAAGGGAGACTTATAAGTAATTAATGTTTAAAATTAACTGGCTAGGTTGCATTGGCAGATTTTGATTAAGGAAAAGATGTCAGAGAAGAAAAACTATCCATTATCACCGATGAAAGACTGCCTGAAGAGGAATTAAATTCCATTAAGAGTCAGAACACAATTACCACTGGAACCATAGGCTATTAAACTGCAAATTATACTAAAGATTCTCATTATGAAATGGCAGATGAATTTTATGCTATAGGAATCATTTTATTACATCTTGTTATAGCATTTCCTGGAGAACCTAAAAATAGAAATTTGTATGCTAAAACTTTCGTGATGGCAAACTCAATTAAAGATGTTTTATCATTATTCGATTCTTGGGCCAACAAATTTGTAAAAAACAAAAGTCCTGATTTTTCATTCACGCATTATCAAAATGTAATGGAACTAGCCAAACTTCTAATAAGTTCAAGAAAATTAACTCACGCAGATGTACGAAAAATGATTAATGAGTTATGAGTTACCATTTTATGTGATCACAATTAATTTTTGTAGTTATGATAACCTTCCCCCTCTCTATGATAGTTTATTTTGAATTATGTAATCCTTTTAATATTTAAATTAAATTTTATATTAATAAAGCAAGACTTTCATCCATTATGAGCTCCTTGAGATTCTGGACTTAATGGCAAAAACATTAGCTTCTAAGATGGACCTTTGGCTAATAGTTGAAGTGTTTCTAGAAATCTAATCTGCATTGCAGCTTTGCTATCCAATGCTTAGGCAGCCTCCTTCATCAACTTTGCACTTTCTACATCAGCCTAGGCAGATATAACTTTAGCCTAGGCGATTCTTTTATTTTTAGCAGCAGCTGCCAAATCAGATTGCATTTATGGTGTCAGAACCATGTCCTTAATAAAGACTTCTTCTATGTAGATTCCCCATTATTCAGTTGATTTATCGAGATAGGCTTCTATTGAATCTTAGACCATTTCTCTGTGCTCTAATAAATCCTGGAGCTAATGTTCTCCGCACACTTGTCTCAGGGCTGCATATGTCATGTCCTTAACAGATTATGTCAATCTTGAAACTCTATAGGTGGCTCTGACAGGATCTAAATGAAAAAAAAAGAGAGATATATATTTAATTGTATACCAATAATTCTAAAATACATGCAGGTATCAATGTTAACTTAAATGTTGTCTTTTGTCAATATAATTTGTCTATCTAAATCTAATACTCTTGTTCTCAAATCCACTGATATGACTGAATCCTTAATATAGAATATGATATTACCGTGCATGGATTGATTTGATTCAAGCCAGGTGGCAGACTCCTATGATATTTTCCGAACTTCTCCACTAATCCCACTGAGCTTTATTGGACTGCGAAGAATGGATTTTCACAGCAGCAAAATACACATGGAAGCCATGCCTTTGAAATTCTATATTAATATAAATACTCTCAAAAATCCTGAAAAACAACCAAAGCAATCTAAAAAGGATTCGTATGCAGTCAACTCCCTCCTCTATGTCAGTTAGTCGTCGTTAAAGTTTTGCTACTAAATAGATAAATGAATCTACTCTTTAATTACTGAGTGGTTACTATTCCATAAGTTAATTAAAATATATAAAATTTAATGTTGTATTCTCTTTAGATTGATATATTGGTTTTCAAATTTTATTCATTTTTATTATATAATTCAGACAGTATTTGGTAATCTTTTTGTTATTTTGATTAAATATAATTATAAAAAAAATAAATTTACTTAAATTAATACAGTTTATTCAGTTTAATGGATTAACCCATTGTATTTTAATGATTAAGTTATTTACAAATTGTATTTATTAATAATTCATTATTAATGCTTTATATATTAATAAAAATAATATAAAAATTATAAATCATAGCACCCATGGACAATATTATAGAAAACTCACTTAACTTTTGGCAACAAAGACTCAACAATTCATCATAACCATAACCGAATATCTTGTTAAAAAAGAAACAAAGTTCAATAGTAGACAGAGTAGTGATAGAATCGACTAAATATTGGAGAAAAATGGCTGATGAATATTCAGCCAAAAGTTCCACGAATAGATCTGTCTAAAGCTTGTCATCCTAACTTCATAATTAATAGATTTCTGATTGCTGAATTGTTATAATATATATTTTAATAAGATATTCCTGCCTAAGATTGATTCATGAGCATTATTATGGTTTTTAAACAAAATTAATATACTTGAAATTGAAGTTTTCCAAATGTATAAATCTCATTATTTTAAATAAATACAATAATTCTTTAAAATAGTTATTTATTTGAGTAACAAGTCTTCCTATTTGGCATAAGGTTTCGTTATTTTCAAATCTAATTTAAAGATTTTTAGAAATAAAATTGTCATCTTTCACTTCCTATAAATAATCGTTTTTCATTCTAAAACACATAACAAATGGATTAATTATTATGTAACAAATATCTTTTTAATTTTCATCCATTTCTCTATGAGAAATAAAAGTAGCATTTAATAATTGATCTATTTGATAGGAACTCAATTTCATTGCCAATTAATATAAATTCATTTCATTTCTGTTGAAACATCCAATTATTATATAGGACGATATAATTAAAACAAAAAAACAATTATAGATTATAATTGAGAATGTTTATAATTATATTAATTAAACTTCATATTGGATGTCAAATTAAGGTATGTTAAGGGTCGGAACTTAAGATTCTTTTTCAAGAAAAAATCAATTTAATTAATTTCATACTACTCCCAGCCATCGCAAAACTTCGTTAACCAAGCCTCTATCGATTGATCAAATTCCAGACAATGCATTAGAAAAATTTTATTTGTATAAGCAAAAAAAGAGTGATGTGAGAATGAAACAATAATTGAGCAAATAAAGTTAACGATCGTCCCAGAACTCCATCGCCTAAACCAACCAATTCTTTATTAATGCCAATTTCGTTAGTAATTAAGGTGGTTAGCAAAAGCGTTCTGGACAATCCGTAACTATTGAAGCCATTGAATCAGTCAAAAGAACCATAAAAACAGACATGGGAAACCCTGCATCATTATTAAACAAAGCAAAAAGCTTAGGTCAGGACGAATAAATGCAATAAGTTAAGCATCATAATGTAGTTGTGAAATTTGGCAACCAAGACTATTACTTTTATTTTGAAGCTCAGTAAGATTAAAAAGATATTAAATTAGTGCCAATATGAAATCTGTTTGGTTTTAAATTTTGTAGAGATTGCATGACAGTACATTTGCAAATCCCCAAGAATGCTATGCCAATCTTAAGGACAAGCCATCAGTCAATTAAATTGTTAGCTTCATCTCTTAATAACATTCAATACCAATTGACTATTATATAGCTCAACCAGAATCGCAATTCAATGTCTTCATGAATTCTGGTTTAAAGTTGGAGGCCTTCTTTTTACAAGCATAATCAGAACCTAAGGTTAGTTTAAAGGATTTCATTTTTTTGAAGAACATCGGTGTAGGAGGTTTCTCTTTAGTTTATTTGGTTAGAAAAAAAGACACTGGCAAATTTTATGCTCTCAAACTCATTGATAAAGAATTCATCATAGCTAAGAAAAAGCAGTAGATTGTATTGAATGAACGAAATATTATGACTTTACTTAATAGTCCATTCCTATTACATTTATCATATGCATTCGAATCACGACAATTCGTAGTTTTTGTTCTAGAGTTTTGTTAAGGTGGAGAACTATTTTACTAATTGAAGCAAATCAAAAGAATGAGTGAAGAATAAGCTTGCTTCTATATAGCAGAAATTTGTTTGGTATGTATTCCTATTGATTTTAAGGGTCTACATGAAATTCATTCGATGAACATTCTATATAGAGATATTAAACCTGAAAATATCCTAATGGACATAGAAGGACATGTTAGAATTGCAGACTTTGGTCTCAGCAAACCAGAAATAAGCAGAGATGAAAAAGCCTATAGTTTTTGTGGATCTCCTGAATATATGGCTCCTGAAATGCTCTTGAAATAAGGACACTCCTAAACAGTTGATTTTTATTGTTTAGGTGCCTTGCTTTATGAATTACTTACGGGATTACCTCCTTACTATTCAACAGATACAAATTAAATATATTAAGATATTCTCTATTCAAAATTAAGTTTTCCTAATGATGTAAAATGATTCATTTAATTCTAGATAAATTTATCAAAGGATGTGAAAAGTCTGCTGACGCAATTGTTAGACAAAAACCCAAGCCAAAGATTAGGAGCTTCTGGAGGAATATAAGAGATCCTTCAACATTCCTTTTTTGCTTAAATTGACTTTAAATTACTAATGCTTAAAAAGATTAAACCACCATTTCGCCCAGATCCTTTAAAAATGAATTTGGACGAAAAGGAATCATAAAAAGGAGAATAAGATTTTAGGAAAATGATTGCTTCAAATAAAGGTGCAAATTTGCCTGCTATATTTGGGTCATCATTTTATTATGAATCTCCCTAAGAGACTTAAATAAAATCAGTCTACAAAGAGTGGATAGCACACACTAATTTATAACCAAATACTCCTTGTATGGCATCTTATCATAGTTAAGGAAGGTACTTACTTGTTTTTTAATAATATTAGATCAACTAAATCGCAGGATATAGTCCCTTTAGTTTAATCCGTCAAGAATAACCCTAGATCTCGCTAAATTTTAAATTAAAAATAATAGTCATAAAAAGCAGTTGTTTACAAATCATCATTGGAAAAAATAAATTAAGAGAGAAGGTTCTTTTCAAAAATTTGATTAAAATTAAATATTTTCCAAATTTTATCTTGACAGGTTAATTTTCATAAAGTAAATCCTCTTATTTTTAATTTTGTTTCTCCTTATTTATTTTAATGATATACATATACTTTTAGCTTTATTTACTCAATCTACTTTTTATAAGAAGAAGAAGAATTTATTTTTTTTTCTTCAATTTAGCTTATTATTTGTAATTAAAAAATAATATGGTTATAATTTAATCTATCTTTTTTAACATAAAAATTCAAGTTATACTATCCTTTTCAAACCAATTTGTTAAAGAATTCTTCAATTTCTTATAATTCTTTAGGTCTTTCTTAAGGATCATGATGCATCATTTTAAATATAATACTGGAAAGGTTTTTATAATTTGTTTTAACAAGTATTTAATCTTATTAAAATATTTGATCATATTCTTATTATTCTATTGGTCTATTCCTTAAATTAGAAAATACACTGTTATTTTTTCTTAGTAACATACATTAAATTATGTAACCTAATTGCCATATGTCATAAGGTGGTCCATATTTATCTTAAGTTCCTTCAGGCGGTTGATACTGAGGAGTACCTTCGTAAAATGTCTACTCTCTCGATTAACTTTATAAATAATTAGGCATTTTTGATCTATTGAAATCTATTAACACACATTTCATTTATTAAATTATTCTATTTTCACTTATATATTCAAACATAATATTTTAAGGTTTTAAGTCTCGATGATAAATACCTTTGGAATGTAGTTCCTTTAATGCCAATAACATTTATTTGATTAAATGCATCAAATCTCCCCAATTTAATTGCTGCTAGCCTATTTCATTATTTAGTTATTCTAGAGTTTTATCATAGTGTTTCATAAAGAAGAATTGTTGATCTGCAAAATTATCATAACAATACAATTTTGCAATTCTCTCACAATTACTTAGAGATTCTAATAATTTAATTTCTGTCTTTAAATAAGCACGTTCCTCCTCAGTTTTAAACTTAACCCATTTAACAACAATAGAATCTGCTGATGAATTAATATAGAAAGGTTTTTTAATAACAACAACTTTTGAAAAACTTTAGTTATAATTATTCCCTATAATTTCAATATTATAAAGCTATTGTAAAATTTGAGCCTCAGTAATAATTACTTATTTATCTTTTTTCTTCTCTTCAAAAATATTTATAAAGAGGTGATTTAGCAATCTTTCTAAAGAGTAATTATTAATTTTAAAACAATCGTATGGTAAATCGAAACCTAGACTGTGAACTAAATAAAAGTGTTTAAAGAATTATACATAAATTAAAAAGTAATTTTTAAGGTGGTTATTGTTCCTAAGTAAAATTTAATTGATCTTCTTCAAAAATAAAAACATCAGAATATTTTTCATTTTTACTCAAATAAATTTGATCAATTCTCAAAGTTTTAAGAAAATTATTTTTTCTTTAAGAACATTCAAAAACCACTAAAAATAGACTGATATTTTACAAATAGTAATATGAAACATTATTTTGTATAAATAATCTATTTTTACAAGATTCCTCTTTAATCTTTCCTAGAGACTTTCTACTTCAAACCATAGATTATCTTTTCTTAATATCCCCTTCAATAGAAATGGGTAGTTTTTTATTTCTTCTCTTGCACTCATAATAGAATTTCAATAATTATTTATTTAATAAATTTTTTTTTTATTTACAAAGCCCATAAATTAAAGTATTAATTGATAATAGACATCTTAGGCTTAAAATCTATCTCAAATTCAATTAGTTTTCGAACTATCTTACTCAAAAAATAAGTTTCAGCTTATAATCGCAAACAGAAAACTTCAATAAATATGATTATTATTTAATAAGTCCATTCTAATTACAATAGATGTATAATAGCTTTTAAATTGTTTAATATTATTACATTTCTATTATCAAATCGATTACAATATTATGGCATTCGAGTAGTTTTTCTATAAACAATATTCATCTTTTGAGGTTAGATGTCAATATATCTTTTTGTATTATTTTAACTTTGAGATTTTTTGGAACCTGGAAGACTGATTTTCATTTATGGACATGAATCTTAGCTGGAATATCAATGTTTCCTAGTTAGAATTTTAATATAATATTTAGATAAATAAAATTAATGGAGGATTTGGAATATGCAGGGATAAACTTTGGTGTTATAGTTTTTCTTTATTTATTTTCAGTCCTCTTTTTTTTGAAATTAAATACTAAGCGGTTCACATAGAAGACTTAAGATTAGAATTAAAATACTCCGAGCTCTTGTTTGGATTAGATTTTAGAAGCATTTGTATTTTGGCCTTGCGAAACTAAAAAGAACCGCAAGTTGGTAAAGTACTTAGAATATTTAGATTTGCATAGAGAAAATATTAAATGTCATTGTCATTTTCACTAATTAAGAAGTAGCATAATCATTATTCGAATAACAACAAAACTTTAAAGATGACTTGTAAGTTTAATTATTTAAGTACCTCTACATACCATTAATATGTTTTGTGGGATTTTTGCTTTAGAAAGTGTTTTATTATATGAATTATTGCTTCTATAAAAAATGCATTTTCAAGTAATTAGAAAAAAAGTATCCAAAAACGTCAAAATTTGCATTTTCTGACCCAAGATCAAGGAGTATGTTTTTTTTTGGATATGTTATTGCAAATTTGGTTGTAATTGTAATTGTTTTTTCGGATGCTAAAAATGCTACATTTGGCAGCTGTATATTATCAGCATTGATATCCTCAGGAATATAAATATTCGGACTGGAATTGCTTTTTGTTATTGTTTTAATCTAGTTTATTCAGATAGATTATAAGATTTATACAATATTGTTTTAATAAAAGTAACTAATTTAATCCAATGAAAAAGTAATTTTTTAATGTTATTGGTCTTAGATAGAAAGGTATAATCAAGAAATCTAAACCCTTAGATGAGTTTAACTAAACATTTTCTATTTTTTATATATGGATATTAAATATAATTATAAAATTTATATACATACTAACATTACATCATCTTTACATCATGATGTTTGGAGTAAAGATTGATATAATATTTAATGTACTTTATTTTAGAATGATAGTTTAATATAGTAATTTATATTATTAGCATTAAAATTAAAATATAATGAATATTGATTATTATTTTAGTAGCGATGAGTCTTCCATTTCGTAAGATAGTTAAGAAGCAAAACAAACCCAAGATTAAATTGAAATAATGGATGATTTAGATGAGATATTCATTTAATAAGGAAATAACCAATAAGAAGAAGAATAAGAATAAGAATATAATATTCCTTAGGATGAATAATTTTAAAGTGCAGATTTCGAGATTAGAGACTATCAAATTGATTTGTTTCAGAAATCAAAAGAGTAAAACTCAATTATATTTCTGGAAACTGGAAGAGGCAAAACTCATATTGCTTTAATGCACATTTATTATTACATCAAAAAGAATGGGTTTTAAAATACAAAGTTAGTTTTTTTGGCTAACACTATTTAATTGGTTGAACAATAATGTGAGCTAATTAGAGATTAAATATTTTCTGTTGCTTAAGAAATGGAAAAGAGAGGTTTGGCACCATAAGACAATCAATTTGATCTTTAGCAATTCAAAGATAAAGCTTTCTAAAGAAAATTTATTGTTCCAATTCATTCTAAGTCTGTTCTAGCAAATGATGAAGAAATGGATATTCAAGGTTGGAAAAAGGAAAGATGGGATGATATTATCAATGAATCAGGCGTTCTTATAATGATGGGTTAGATGTTATTGAATGCTTTAAGAAGAGGATACTTGAAGTTACCATATTTCTCATTAATCATATTTGATGAATGTCATCATTGTACATAACGGCATTCCTACAGGTTGATAATCAAAGAATTCCTTGAGTGTGAAAAAGTTAAGAAATAAATAAAACATAGTGAAAAAGTGAAATTCTTAGGTTTGACTGCCACTCCAGTCACATCGGTTGACATAGAAAGGGCAGTAAAATTAAGTTCTGTACCTAGTTTGTAAATTGAAGTAGATATTCTTCAATTAGCATTAAATTTACAGTCAAAATATGTTTATGCCAAGGAGAAGTAAGTTAAAAATTGTGAATCAAAGGTTATAACCTATAATTAGGAATTAGGTATTTCAACTACATATATTCCCAATCATCAATAATTAAATGATTTTTTTAGGTTGTGGTTAGAGATATATTTTGAAAAAGAAAAAGATAAGATTTCATATAGTATTTAATTACTCATTGATTAGTTATATCACTTTGTTACTATGTATGGCATTATTCTGTATAAGGATTTAGGTGCTTTTTCATTCTATTAATTTATTAAGTAGCTATTTATAAATTTTGGAGAAATCAATTTTAAGTATAAAGTTGAGAAAGACTAGAAATTGCTTGATAAGATCAAAAAATTGTTCCAAGATTATTTAGATATTTTAGAGCCTTTAAGTGTTGTAAAGGATGAAAATTTATCAAATAAGTTTATTGCTCTAAGAAATTAATTGCTAGAGATAACATAGAGCAATAAAGAAAATAAGAAGCTCTTAATTTTTGTGGATCACAAGATAACAGCCAAATACTTGCATTAGTTATTAGAGTTGCATCAGTTGGAATCTACCTATGTAGTGGGTACTGGCAACTAGACATCAGGAGCATTATAAATGACGATTTTAAAAGACAGGAATAAATACATATCTTTGTCACCTACTATTAATGCTTTAGAGATTGCAGAAAAGATCTATGATTAATTCAATATAGAAGGTAAGGAAGAGGATATCGAGTTGGATAATGATGATGATGATGAAAATTAAACCAAAATGAAATTAAGATCCTAATTATAAGAAGTCTTGGAAGGAGTTAAAAATTACGGTAAAAAACTGGATTAGACTATTACAACTTCTAAGGCCCAAAAGGAATCAATTAAAAAATTTAAAGAAAGTTGTAACATTTTGGTATCAACAAATGTAACAGAAGAAGGATTCGATGTACCAAATTGTCATTATGTTTTCGTATTTGGAGAAATTACAACTTTAAAATAGTTTATTTAAAAAATAGGTAGAGCAAGAGCAGAAGGATCTGTATTTTATTTTATTTTACCAAAAGAAAGAGAATTGATGTGGAAGGCAAAAGAGAAAGTATTATTTAAGACCAAGGAATGTGTCGAAAGAAAGATAGAAGAATTGAATAATAATAACTATTATACAGATTTGAAAAATCGTATAAATAGTTTGAATAAGCAAATTAATAATATTCCAAAGATCAAAGAAGAATATTACGACTGTAGATTGGTCAAAGATAGTCTTGCTTTAGTAAATGTGAATTGGGCTGTAGAAATTCTATCTAATTATGCCAATATTTTTAAAAACTTTGAATATAGAGGAAAAGACGAAAACTACATAAGAGGAATATTTTATTAATATACCGAATTTCCATCATTGGGGTGGAAGTGTGTTTTGATACTTCCAAAGAATTTTTCTGATCGTTACTTTATTGGAGATCTTATGAAAACTAAAGAAGATGCTAAAAGATCGGCTGCATTTAAAGCAGTGTTAATTTTGAGATAAAAGCAAATGTTGACTGATGATTTGCGACCTGTAAAAAGCGCTTATCATTTTGTGTCTGATAGAAAAAATGACCCAAATTTGAAGGATCCAAATTACTGTCAAGTTATACAAGATAGTGTTGTAATCAAGGTTGAACCTTTGGTTGATTTGAGGCAAAAGTTATTCCCTTACAAAATGGATGTTTTTGAGATTTCAATTCAGCAACCTTTGTGTTTATACAAATTTAAATTTTATGAATTACCACATCAAATCATAAATGAAAAAGATAAATATTAGACTATTGGATTTCTTCATAATTCCTAATTCTGTAATAGATTGCAGTTTTAAGGTGGTAAAGAAATAAGATTAGAGTTTGTTAAAAAGATTACATTAACACAGGAATAATATCATAAATTAAACTAAGTTCATTAATTCTTGGTTGCAACTTCATTTGACTGGGATTTGCCATTTTATTCATTCCTTGCAAAAGAAACAATTTCATCTGAATCAGCTCTATATTAACAAGGCAAAAAATAACAATTCAACATAATTGATGATTAAAAATAATATGCTCTTTTAGTCTTATTGATAGAAGACCAAAATCTTGAAGAAATCAATATAAATTTTGCAGATTCTGACAATATTCTAAAATACATTGAGAAGATGAAAAAAGTCTTCAGTTTTTTGAACTCAATTAGACAAAAGAAAAAGATGAATTAATAGATAAAAGAAGAAAGACAGAGATTGAATGATATGAGTATTAGGTTTGAAACTTGGAATAGTTTGGAATATGATGGAGAACTGATAAAATTATTAAAGGAATCCAATTTTAAGGGAATTGTAGGTTAGAATATAACTGATAGATACTTTTTTAGTAAAGTAGTATTTGATTCAAAAAGGGCAATTTAAGAACAATTATAAAAATTTGATAATGAAAAAAAAAATGAATTTATGAAAGAAATATAGAATGTTCAAAGAAGTTTGAAATTAGTCATCAATTTTAATTTTGACAATGAAAAAGAGTTATATGCAGCCCCTATATTGAGGAAGTTTTTGAAATAGCACATTAATCAAAATAGAGATATAATAACAAAAAACTAATAGAAAGATCCTAAATATCAATATTTTTCAGGAGAGTTTTATCAATTCCCATTAAATATTTTAGCTACATTGGAATTAAGAATATTGACTAAGCATATTTTATAGTAATTAAGAGATTTTCTTGTGTCGTACACGTTTAAATCTTAGACTTCTAAGTTACTTGATTCTGGGAAGTAGGATTTAAACAGTTTCCAACCATAAACCTATCAAGTAATGGATAATATCATGATTCAAGACTCGCAAGAAGTAATTAATTTTTTCGCTGATAATTGTTCAGAATTTTAAGACTTATTGAATCAATTCAATTAAAATATAGATTAAAACTTCGGAAATAAAATTTAAGATTACTAAAAGTATTTAAAATAAAGGAAATTCAAATATTCTATCCATGATATAGATAATGAATTGTTGCATAAATGTTTCCAATCCCAATAATACAATTAAGACGATTAGACAAATTATTAAGTGCTAGAATTCTTAGGAGATGCTAATTTAAAATTGCTTTCAAGTATTGAAGTATTCATTCAATTTCCTTTTGCAAATGAAAATTTATTACATTTGGAAAGGGCAAGGATAGTATCTAATGAAAATTTAAGAAAGTTTTCTATTATTCATAGATTCTTTAATTGCATTAAGTGCACAAACTTTGTATATTCTCCACCAGAGTTCCTTCTCGATCAAAATAGTATTTCTTAAGATGTATCAGAAATATAGCCTGAGAAATAAAAGGAGAATAAGGAGAATGCAAAGTATTAATATACAATGAATGGTGAAGTTATAACTGAATTGCCAAAAAACTATTAGCCAATTCCTGAAAAAGTTCATTCTGATGTTGTTGAAGCATTGAACGGAGCATTTTTGATTTAATATGACGAGGATATTAATGCTTGCTAATTTTTCTTACATCGAATAGGAGTGCTTAAATATCCCTTAGCTTAAGTGAAACTGAAAAATTCAAATACCATGCAAGCAAAAGGGTTGTTCCAAAGGAATCTAAATTCATTAGAAAATATTCTTGGATATAAATTCAATGACCAATCAATATTAATATAAGCCATCACTCATTAGACTTTTCTTAATGTGTTAGATTTTTACAATTATAGAAAGTACAAATGCAATTATGTTGAATTTTCAAATTAAAAGAATGTTCTTTAGATAGCCAATTTAAATTAGAATGACATTAATGAATCTTTGTTAACTCAGTTGAATTAATAATAAAATAGAATCGATATGAGTTATGAAAGATTGGAATTTTTAGGGGATTCAGTTCTAGATTCAGTTGTAGTGGAATGGTTAGTGAAAGAATTCAATAAGGAGAAAGTAGAAGATTTGGCTCTAAAAAAGTAATGTGTAGTTTGCAATAAGGCTCTGGCCCTCGTAACTCTCCATTATAAGTTGGATTAATTTTTATTGCATCCAACTCTTCATAAGGTAAATCATGAAAATCAAGTAACTCTAAATAAGATTAAGTCAATGTATAATGAATACTATGATGATATCAGCAAGATGTACACTTAAGAACCAATTATTAAAATGTTAGGTGACGTATTCGAATCTATTGTTGGTGCTATTTTTGTAGACTCCTCATTTAATTATGATCTAACTAAATAAATTGTTCTTAAATTATTAATGCCTTTCATGTAGCACTTTACATCACCAAATCAAATCTTTAAGAACCCTTAAGATCGATTATTTAGATACTTTAAAGGTAAGAACTAAGCAGAAATTGAAATTGCAATGACTGATGAGGATCCAGTTGATGGTTAAAATCTTTATGTATTGAGAGATAAGAATACTTATTAAATTCATAAAAAAATAAGAGCAACGTCTGAGAAGTAAGCAAGGGAGAAGTTATTAGAATTCATATAAAGAAGAGGAGATCTGGAATGAATTTAAAGAGGTTATATGCATAAATTATTAACATCTACATATTAAATCTTCATTTGGGGAATAAGTATTATATTATTTTAATTAATCACACTCTTTTTCTTATGAAATTCATGTAACCACTAAATTTAGAATTCTTTCTAACTACCTCTTGTTAATAATGATTAATAGTGCTCATAAAGAATTCAAGTTATTCTTTCTATTATTCATTAATATTATCACATTAACCTCAGATGGCACTTCTCTATGAAATAGTATTTCTCCATTTAGAAGCAGATTACATAATTTGTTGCCTTTTGGTAGAATAATAAGGTATAAGAACTGCGTTGATTAAAAATATATTAAATATTTATACAATAGTTTAATAGAAATTATACTATGATATTTTAGAAAGGAGTATTGCATGAGGATATGGACAATATTAAGATGATACCCTTGTAATAAATCATTGAATAGAAATAACTAGTACCTGTGACGATAATTTTAAAATTGCTATATTAATTAACTCTAAGTACCAAAGTTTATATTTTAGTCTTAAATACAATTCATTATGAAGGGAAGAACATTGGTAATTTACGGATGGAAGAATTGTTAGTAAGGGAAATTGGAGAATTAGAAAAGTTAGATATTTTCATACGCCAAAATATTATAAAAGAGGATAAGCAAAATAATGAATAACCTATTCTAAATTAATTGAAAATTATTTGTAATTTATTGTAAATATTTTAAGTGATTAAGTTTGGTTTGAATCCTTTAGATATTAATTAGACTGAGGATTTTGAACAAATTCTATTATATATTTTGAGGAAATTAAATATAGATTTACAAAAAGATAATTGGAGAGAATAGATTCTAAGTATTATTTATGGGTTAGAAATTACTGATGTTTAATATTTTAATTGCGGTTTCACCTATATCTATCGTGTTAAAGTGCCATATTACATTAATACTACGCATGATTAAATCATTATTAAATGGATTCATTAGAAAGAGCAAACAAGCAAAAGATTATTTGAGGTGGAAAATTATAAGAACCTGAAATAATAAAATCAACTCAAAAATATAAACTAAATAGACTTATTTTGCTACTCTTTGGATATAAATAATTCGACTCTAATGTTTTTACAAAAATATAGTTTGACTTTAAAAGACTATACTAAGATTTCTGAAGGGAAGCTAATGATCTAGGAAAAAATGAAAATTTGTTGTAAATTAGCTGATGAATTGAAAAAGTTGCATGATAAAAATAAAATTCATAGGGATTTAAAACCAGAAAATATCATGGTTACTGGAAAAGATACATACACAGATAGATTATACGACATTACAGTTCAAAATATCAATGATATTGATAAACTTTAATGGTAAATTATAGATTTTGAATCAGCTATAGAAAAAGGAGAGACTGATGATTTTAGAGGAACAAGGAATTATTTACCTCCAGAAAATATGTCTGGAAAAGCATTTAAAGAAAGCTATGATATTTGGTAAATGGGACTTTGTTTCTTATTCTTTATAACACAATCAGAAGTCAGTTATAAAAAAGATTTGGAATAAAGGAATGCCAAGATATAGGAATTGCTTAATACCCTAAAAGATAAGAAAAATATAGGCTCATAAAGTGAAACTATGTACCGCATAATTTCTAAAATGGTTAGCATTAAACCAGAGGAGAGACCTAATTTGGAAGCTGTTATAAAAGAACTAAATTCTGCTATTATTAATTGAAATTATAGAAGTTATAAATTATAATTTGAATGTTTTCTAAAATTCTTCAAAAATTAGGTTGTTTGTTAGTAATAATGTGTTATGCTATTTCATTAATATATTAGCATTTTTTTATCATTAAAATAGAATATATATTAATTGGATATAACATAAAATTAATTATAATTCATAATTACGTCACTTAATTCAACCATTATAAGAAAACCATCTTATCAATTTTTTTTGTTCTTAGAATGATTTTATGATTTAACAATTAATCAACTGTTGCTCTCTCTTCTGGTTTCAATTTTACACTTGAAATTAATAAATATGATTACCACATAGATATGAAATTTTTCATTTCTGCTGAAATCTTTGCTTGAACATTCTCAATGTTAAATGAACTGATTTCATTAACCATATCTATAAATTAAGTTTTCTATATGGGATGTTTGCCCATCAAACATTCTGCAGTCAAAATACCGATTGACCATATGTCAGAATCCTTTCCATACATTTCTCCATTCAATCTTTCAGGCTAGGCTACCAATAAATTCATACTGACATATAAACTGCAGTTCCAACATAAGTTTTTCTTTATTGCATAGTTTCTATTGTGCCTGAGATACCGAAATCGGTGATCTTGATCTCGCCCTTCTTGTTCACTAGGATGTTTTATGGTTTAATGTCTCTGTGAATGATTTTCTTTTTGTTGTGTAAATAATCAATTCCTAAAAGAATTTGGTATAAAAGCAAAGCCATAACAGGTTCATTCAGATTTTTCACTTTCTTTATCAAGGAATCAATTGATCCGACATCCATGTACTCAAGAATAATGTGTAAGGTTCCAGATTTGTAGAATGCACCATAGCATTTGACAACATAGGGTGAACTGCATTCTAAAGCAAGTTTTAATTCGTCTGATAGTTGTTTCAAATATTGGGGATCGGAGGCAACGGGAATTTTCTACATATTAATTGTCGATACTTTCATTGCGAAATATTGTCCTGTGACTTAATCTTAAACTTTCTCAACTTGACCTGATGCACCCTGACCTAAATGACCAACTGTTACTAAATTTTCAAGCGATAAATTATGAGTAGATTCAGAGAGTGAAAAGTCCCATTAATCATGTGTGTGAGTAACTTTAAGCCCCTAACCATTTAGACGAAATTCTTTGAGAATGAGAGATCCATTCTCAGAACTAATTTTTTAAATAAGCTAAATACAGGTTAAGAACAGGTTGAGCCTGTTCTGATTATAGACTAATTTTAGCAATTTATGGTTTTTTTTTCTTTTAGTCAGGGGTCTGCATTTAGTAAACTTAAATTAAATATATGCATTTATATTTGATTCATCAAAATACTTATATAAATATCTTTCCTTTGGATTTTTAGACTATTCTACAAGGAATCAAAGAGAAGAACCCAAAAATTATATTTGTGCTCGATCTATCTAAGAAAAGAGATTTCATTTTATCATTATAATTTTTTATCTTTTAAGAAATTTATATCATAGTAAAATGTTGTAATTAGAGATATGTTGATAATTACAGGTTTTGATTAAGAAAATTAAGATGTTTCAACTAAATCACCATAAATAACTTATCTATAAAATTAAGAAATTTTATTAAAATTTAAATGATAAAATATCCCTTCCATGATTATATGAATTAAACCAAAGCTTTTAGCATTGAAATATTTGATTGAATCTTCAGTAAAACATCTTGGGGATAATTTATATTGGAATTACCAGATTGCCATAAACTCTTCTTGATTCATAAATGGACGTTAAGAATAAGCGATAATTCTTGGATGCTAGTGGTTCTAATATTTTATGCTCTTAAAAGGGAGAAAATAATTGATCTATCAACAATTTTCATTTTAATATAATCATATAATTTAAAATAAAATTAATTTGGATTACTTGAATTTGAAAAGCAATATAAATAATTATAATTTGCACTTCGAAATAGTATACCCATAAGTTTGGTAGACAATGAGCGATATGTTATGTGGATCCATATAATAATGTGGGTGTACTAATAGGGGCAGACTAATAATTTTTTGATATAAATAAATTTCATATAACAAAAATCATCAAACAATCAAATCATTAAATTTAGCTATGAATCAAAAATATTGCTTTAAATCTTATTTCTCTTAGCAGTGTACTTAGTTTTGGGATAACACGAAAATTGATAAAACCTAAAAATATACAATGGAAGACCTTTACTATATTTAGACTCCTTTAGAAACTATGCCTTGCAATCTGAGAATGAACAAGAAAAACCTTATAATGGAGTAGGACGATGTAAGAAATTCATTAATAGTACATAGAGATAGTATAGTACGAACGTGGAGAATGCAGGACTGGAATTAATCACGAGTGACTTCAATAACGATTAGGGAGTAAGAATAACGAAGGGGAATTATACTTTTGAGTTCTTCGGTAAAATAAAGTCGATATTTGACCAACTGAAGAAGACGAGCATCCAATTTAATTTCACTCAGAGATACACGATAAAGAAAATGATAGCCAAGGGGACATTTGCTACAGTAATAAATTTATTTATTTTTAGATTTATTTGGCGGAGTGCAAATTCACTCAGAATGAATATGCAGTGAAATGTTTTGAAAAGCGACAAATTTCAAATGAGAAGGATAAGAAGAATTTAATAAAGGAAATGTAGATCCTCCGTTTAATGAATCATAACCAATTATTGACGATATACGAAGTGTTCGAAAACTCAAGCTATATATACTTCATCCAGGAATTATTAAAAGGAGGAGACCTCCATGAATACCTGGAGAGAAGTGAGAAATTGAGTGAAGTCAAAGTCTCCCAGATAATCTACAATTTACTGAATGGGGTCTAGTATATGCATTCTTAAGGAGTGCTCCACCGAGACATCAAGCCAGAAAACCTAATCCTGAGACAGAAGAACAATTTAAATGATATAGTGATAGGTGATTTTGGACTTGCAGACATCTACAAATACGATGGGAACTATTTATATCGAAGATGTGGGACACCAGGATACGTGGCTCCTGAGATACTCCGTGGACAGCCATATGATTATAAGGTAGACATCTACAGTATCGGTGTTCTGCTATACATACTACTATCTGGTAGGAGACCATTCGTGGGTAAGAATAATTAACAAACCATTAAATTGAATGAGATGGGGGACATCAATTACGACGACATCGAATGTAGTTCAGAGGCAATGTCTTTGATGAAAAAGATGTTGGAGTCATAGCCAGAGAATAGAATTTCAATACTTTCAGCTAAGTAACATCCTTTTATCACCAATAATGTATAAAAACGAGAGTCTCAAAAGTCGAAGAACACGTTGAAATTAGATATGAAGTGTATTGCACAATAGGAATGTGTGTCAGTGTCACCTATCTTGACTTCCAGACCAATCAATAGACATTCGTTAATGAACAACTTTACCATTCATACTCCACGATAATTGCCCAGACTGAGTCACGATGTTAAAGCAATTGCAAAGACTGAATCAAATGATGTTCATCGAACTACAATATCTCGTTAAAGTATGAGTAGAGCAAATCTAAGATTAAATAATCAATTCACTAATCTTTAAGTGTTTTTATGAATTAAAAATGTTTGAACATTGAATACATATTATGGGAAATATAAATAATTTATAGTTAATTTTGTTTAAATTCCAATCACAATTATTCTGGTTTCGATGGCTAACACCAGGGGAAGTAAATGAATTCTTTCCCATGGATGTTCATGAAATAGAATAATGCAAATATTGTTCCAAATACCCATTCAAGTCTACTCTTGTTTTTCTATGCACATTAGCTAAAAGATATATGTGTACCTCTCTCTAAAAATGCAAGGTCTCATAATACGGTTTGGGTTTCAATTCAAATTTCTTTGATGGCTTCAGGAACTCTTATTAGTGATAAAATCTTGGCATATTAGTCAATTACTTAATTGTTCTGTAATTCATTAATTTTTTTATTTTAAACAATTTCTTTTGATATAGATTAATAAAATAATCAAATCACTCGTCATTGATCCTTATTAGGAACAATCGCTAACATCAAGCATAAGCCATCTCCACCTCCGATAACACACTTGTTTGATGTGTTTGCAAAATCCATTGTGTAGAGTCCTGAGTTTTATAAATACAAAATTAGAACCTTTTTTAAATCCACCCAATTGCATGGCTTCCTTGTAAGATCCCTTTATTCTATCGAACATCTTGAATTCGTTTGTCCCATGAGCAACACCTCCAACGCAATAGCCTCTTCCCTTCCCGAACTAAGATCCGTATATGAATGCTCCAGCTGCATCCACTTTCTCGTCCCATTTGATATTCTCTATCAGTTTCAAAGTACCCAAATCCCATATTTACAATTGTTCACTCATTCTGTTTGCCCCTGTCAGAATTGTGCCTTCTCTAATGTCGATGGTATCACCTGCAACCTTTGGACCTACAATGCACCCAGCCTAGGATTTTTGTCTCAGATCCTTTTAATATCATTTACAAAACTACCCATATAACTATGTTCTAGTCCCAACCTCCACTGATAACTAAATTTTTATCATAAGGTACAATTTTAACACTGAATAATCTATTATTATGGCCAGGTTAAACCCATTAGATGGCTTCTAAAGTGGCTTATAATGTTTAAGCCTCAATATCATACACTCTAACCTAAAATTACTAAAATGACCATTACTTTACAATCCTTGCCGCAAGTTGCTAATTGGTTTTTTAAGGCATCAATACAGTAAACCTCATTGTCGTCTTCCTCTTTAAATTAATAGATGGTAGAATCAGTTCTCACATTTTTATACATTATGGTACCTAATTTAGAAGCATGAGTTTTACCATCAGTGTTGGCTGAAATCAAGACTTGTCTCATTTTGGTGGATTTTTCACTTGAAAACCATCTAGGGATAGTCGAAAATAAAACCTAAGGGCAGTGCATGGCAATTTCATATTTGATTTAGAACTGAGATATGTATAAAATGCTGTCTTTTCACCTCACATTGTAGAAAATAATACTTCTGGTGAGATCGTAAACACAGACTAATCCACTAGAGCATCCCAGAGCCAACATAATGTCATCCTTGTCAAATCGGGAAGAATGTATTTCAGAATCTGATTTAAAATATCCTTTAAGAAAGAGACGTGACTGTGGGTCCTTAATCCTATCGAGTAGTTTGAATGAAGTACTAAACATCCAGATCGAACTTGGCCTTCAGCTCTTGAGTGATGATATCGTTTCGATTGTAATCCATAAATTTTTAATATGAATTTTTTAATCATTTCTACTCTTGCACTAATTACCTATCTAACATTGGATATCATCTTTAACGATTATCTGTGGAGAATGAACATTGATTTTACGATATTTCTACAGGATAACTCATTTCGAGGCGAGGAATTCATGTTCACATTTTTTTCATATGTAATTCAACTACCCATAATAATGGGAGGATTGCACTTAATGTTATCGAGCAAAAAGATAGAATCCATTTTATACATCTTTATATGCATATTTGGATTCACAAGCAATGGACTATTGAAAAATGCTTATCATTAACCTAGACCGTATTGGGTGGAAAACAATATAAAAGGGTATATAGAATAATTATGATTTTTCAGTATTGGATGCAATATGGAATTTGGCAAGCCCTCTGGTCATGCTCAAACTGCAGTCATCATATATTACTCATACCTATTCATATTTTATCCTTCCACTTTTATCGGAAACAAATAGAAAGTCTCCGATAATCAGGCAATAAGTAACGTCCAGGAGCCATAACTTAAAAAAGGTTTAGCGATATTCCTCAATATCTTTGCCTTTTTCTGCATAATTATGACTGGATTATCAAGAGTATTCTTGGGAGTGCATACAATAGGATAAGTTACTTTGGGATGGATATACGGACTTTATATAGTTTTAAATTATCAGATATATTGTCATCGATTTTTATTGCAGTATTAATTCTTGATAATTCCAGGTACATTAAAAATCAATTGCAATTGAACGGTGAAGAACATGTGCGATTCTAAAGATTGTCTGTTTCCATATCAGCCATATTCATTCTTGTTATTTTGACAGACTTAACCCTCCTGGAATTGAACAGAAAAGTCTTTAACCAAGACGAAGAAGAGGTTACCAAATGGTTGTTGAAGATTACTGAATGCAAACAAAAAGAGATCGGATATTACACCAGAGATCATACCAAGGTCCTATACAATGCTTGTTTCACCAATGGGACTCTGTTCACCTTCATATTTTCATTCATTCAAGGGTGCTTTTTCGGTCAAGGGAGCTTTAATGAGGTGGAGTACTCCAATTCTATGAAGGACAAGACTCTAAAATTCAAGTTGATTAGAGTACTCTTCTATATACCTCTGGCGGTTCCGCTACCTCTATTGGCGATCTAAACATATAATATTTATATAACAGCTTTTCTCATAGTAATATTGCAACTAATTTTAGTTTATCCCAGCCATTTTTATTCAATGCTGGTACCTCACCATTGTGTATCCAAATTTATTGAAAAAATTCAATTATCATCTAAAGGGAGAGTTCTTGGAATCAAATACAGATTATTATGAGTCATTATCTTAAACTTGAAGAAAAGGGAATTGAAATAATTTTGATATTAATATTTATGTATTTAATATTAGCATCCCTCATAATTAACGTATTCTCCTAGTTTACTAAAACCATACAAGTCCCTGTAGTTGATCCAAATGCCACAGAGACTGTTGCCGAAAACATCTAAACTAGAAGTACTAGAATTTATTCAGGTTTATTTATTTGTCAAACTCAATCTTAGATCCAAACAAGGGAGCATGTATGTGTGATCTGATAATCAACATATGCGATGCACAATGTTGTTGTGATACCAGATGCACTGATGCATTCATAGAAGAATGGACAAACTTGGGAAAATGTTTGAATTCAAAATCAGAAACTGATTACTTTTATCCAGAATGCGGTGATCTAGTCAACCTAGTTAATGTTTTTGATGACAAATATCATTACAATTAAATTAATGACATCATGTGCAGTGCAGTCTAAAGATTACCTTATGCAGGTGTATATGCCAATATTGAGGACACTCAAACTTTGACAGCAGATTACAAAAGTTTCGATATTGTAAGTGCTGGGAGCATACTGTTCACCCTAGCTACTAATCCTTAATACATAAATCCTGCAGCTTAATTACCCTAAGGCTATTATTCTGGTAACCCTGGATACATCAAAGGGAAACCCCTCATGGTTGGCAAATCCAATGGAGCTAACTCCAATCTCATTTGGTACAAAGAATTACGGGTTTATGCCTGGTCAGAAACTGGTTATTGCAGCACAGCAAGCTCTTATAATTCTAAGTGGTATAAAGTTATCAATTTTGGAGAAGATGTACGATATGATATTTAATTAAATATAGCTCGTTGTAAGTTGTTCACTTGAATCAAGCGTAAATTTAGGAACTTACTGTTCTAGTGGAGTGACTTACGAAATTATGAAGAGTCTTAAAGACAGCACTGGGAGCTATTATTATTTTGGAAAATGGGGTTCTTCGAATAACAACAGATCTGGGGAATGGGTGTAGATTAATTCGACTGAGATCGAAAATGTCACATCATCTTGTGCCTTACCTTTGGAATAATAATTGACTATTATTTACTAGAAGGTTGGATTTATGGGAGATCTCCAAAACACTATCATCTCAGCCAATGTGACCAATATACCAATTAAGTATTATTTAATCTTGATCGTTGATAGTTCTGCAAGTTACACAAGCAACTCAGTGCAATTGAGTCTGAGGGTTAAATTTATTGAACTCATTGACACTGATATAGATCCAACTATTGAGAAATCTTTGAGAGACACAGTCACTCCATATGTCAAGGTAAGATTAGGGTTAAATATTGTAGAAAATCTTTTTGCCTTTCACTTTTTCAATACAGTTAGTTGGATTTGGAGTGATTTTAATTTTCTTATTTATATGATTTATACAGAATACAGAGAACAAGAATATGTTTGATTATTATAATTAGATATTTTTAAATGATATGGGATATATTAAGTTGGTAGTACGAATTCATTTCAAGCGCATTACTTAAAGAAGCAAAATCCATTTGCGTCATTCTTTTGATCATTTCCTCCATTTTTATTCTAAACTTATGGTGGATTCAAATTACCTTCTTGTTGTTACTTAAACTATTGCTATAAGAAGTTCTTTGTTTAATGGAGGATTCCTGTTAATTGACTTGGGATTGTTGAGTCTGACTGGTGTAATTGGTTGGTGCAAATGTTATCTATTTTTCCAATTGTTATTGACTTTGGTTTAAAACTAATGCAAATACTATTGCACCAGTATCAATGAGTTATTGTTCATTATCCAAAGCTAAAATACATGTATTTAATTACCAGGCAAATCATCCTTTGGTTTTCCATTCTTTTTTGCGACTTTCAATTTAAAACAATCTGCAGATCCTTTAAATTTAAAAGCTAATAATGAATTAGATTTTATATATATACTGGGGTCTTGGATGTTGATCTATTCAATAGTAAAATCTATGCAGTCCCCAACTGTGAAAATGTTGGGCAACTCAAGCACTATTTGTTTGAGTTCCTCCTCTCCAGGCTTTTGATAATAGATCGAATATTTCTTATTGTACTAAGCTTGATTGCCCTAAAATGGATGGGAAATACCAAGAATACCTCTTGATTATCTTGTGGTCTAAGATTCATATTATAATTAATATAATATTAAATATATTTTTCACATTTCCATGTCTTATAGGTGTTTCAATTTATTCGAACACAAGAATGCCAACATTATTCCGTATTTATTCTTTGAGTAATTGAATACTCTAAAATAATACAATTATTTTAAATTAAATGGGTTTGAGATAATTGGATTTTTTTAGAAAATTAAATACTGATATTGGTGACACTTCATCAGCTTTGGGAGGATTCTTGACCACGATAGCCTTTGCAGTAAGATTCCATCGTATTTCTTGATAGTTGGTGACCATTCTAACCATGAATGAATGCAGATTATTTTTTAGTACAGAATTAAGCTATTAAACTGTGATTGACAATGACACTGAATAATTTATCAAAGTTCATTTAGACATGATTGTTGGAGCACCCTGTATGGTTTTGTCATTGGATTAATAAGATGAAGTTGGAGTGCATATAATGGATGTTTCTGGCACCTTGAAAAAGATTCCTCTTGATAAAGATAGACATGTTTTGCCCTCAGTAATTAAACAATAATATTCATATTAAGATCAATGCTAACGAAAGGCCTAACTATGCAGGAAGTGAATAAGAGGTATTAGATGCAATTTAGGCTATCACTCAAGGAGAATAATGCTAATTGAAGGGATTCTTCTAAGTAAATAAGGTGCCAGGCAACTTCCACGTCAGTTATCATGCCCATCATTATTTATTATAGAGAATCCATTAATTAGATTTGTCAGCCTTTAGAAAAATGAAATTGGATCACTCCATCTATGAATTGAGATTCGGGGAGATCACCACCACCTCCAAAATGAGGAAATATTCCAAGTCTCTCCAAAAATTCTAAAACTCCTGGAAGTAAATTGTCAAATCAGCCCCTGAAGGAGAGAAACAAGATTACGAATATTATATCGATGCTTTGCCTGTTAGATTTTACGATGAGAACGAAAGGAACTATCAAACTCTCTATAAATATTCTATCAATGAAGCTTAAATGCCCAGAACTTTTACAGAAATCGATTCAATCTATTTTAAATACCAAATTAGTCCAGTCAACATGGTCTACTCTATTTAAAAGAAGTCGGTCTATCATTTTATTGTTCAACTACTGGCCATTGTTGGTGGAGTCTTTGCAGTTATAGGAATCCTCAATTCAATTGTATAAAAAGCAATATGAGTCTATTTCATAAATATTTACAAATAATTAAATGTCTTAAAACAAATACTGTTTTTTTTGAACTTTTTTATACTTATAATCATTCATTTATTATACATTTCTGATAACTAACTAGGCTTCGGTGGCCTATAATTACTCTATTTAATTTCTAAAACTATATCCTCAAAATCAGTAGTCTAATATTTTTTGGTGGTCTCTTTGGACAGCTTTCTAACCCTGCCTGGCGTCCTTGATTTTACTATTTCTTGCACTGACCCTCCTTTCATTACCACTGTGGGAATCGGTTACATTGAAGCCTCACTTTCTATGCAATCTTCCTCATGGACAGAAAAAGGAGAATTAAAAATTCCATTCTTCTTTTATAAGGGGGATAGGATCTTTAACACTGATGAATGCTTTCTAGAAAGTTGATTAGCGCTGTTAATTGTATTATTGTGAGCTTATTCTTCAATAGCAAAATACTAATGCTGTAAAATAGATTTTGAATCAATTCTCAAAGTGGGATCGATTTATAGCATCAGTTTCAATAGGTCGATCGCTTATTTTGGAATCTTCTGATTTCCATTTAAAATTTCAAAATTTGTATTGCATCTGGCATTGTTCTCTAAAATCTCCTCATGATTTGCTCCATTAAATAGGTCATGCTAGGCCAACCTAATGATAAAAACATTAGCTTTACATCTTATAGAATATCACTCCTAATGAAAAAATGTCACATTTTTCATTATATTCATTAATCTTTGTGTCAAGATTCAGGATTTCAGGAGCAACATAACCAGGAGTACCGCACTTGGACCTGCCTGAATCTTTAGTTGTCAGCCCAAAATCAATGAGTTTCAATTAGTATATACTGTCTTAAAACATAATATTTTCTGGTTTTAAATCTCTATGCATGTAGCCTTTTTCATGCATGAAATTTACAGCTGTCACTAATTATTTAAATATAATATGAATGTCCTCAATGTTCAGTTCTTTTAGAATGTCAGTAAATTCAAGATCATAATATTGCATTACCATGTAATACGACACATCACCTTCATACACTTCCAAAAGTTCTGCAATATTTGAATGCTTCAAAGCCACCATCGCTTATATTTCTTCAAACAATCCTTACTAACAAGATTACTAAATATTATACTCTGCCAATTTAATCATTCACTTGTGCTTTGTCTAAACATTTACAAGCATAATATTCAAGGGTGTTGATTTTACTTTGTAATAAGTAAACATTCGAGAAGGTTCCTTGACCAATCTATTATAATGGATTATATATAGTGTTTATTCCTTTGAAGACCACTCTTGCTCCTATAATTTATTTTAAATTGAACAAATTTTCATGGTTTGCATAATACCAATGATGCTTATTTGTTGTCAAGCCAATAGCATGGAGTTATTTTTTCTTGACTTTAAAATCAACAAATAAATTATAATTTATGTCCAATTCATTTCTCTTATTAGGCGAGTCTGAAACGTTTGTAATTATAATTTTATCAGAAGTAACTTCCAATATGCAGAGCTTATTCCCCAATATTTTATGTCTGAAGCACTCTATTTTGAAGTTAGATTCCATAATTGTGTAATTTTTCAATTAAATTTAAGAATTATTTATACAAGTAATTTTGGTTAAATCATTTTTATACAAATATATTAAGTACTATGGTTGATATTAATACTTAATTAAACAATGGTTAATACTAGTTATTTATTATATATTGAACTTGTAATACAGTAGATTAAAACATAAAACAAGAATTTAATCAAAGAGGGTTGTCGTTGTAGTGATTGAAGAGATCAGTCATTATTTTTTCAGAAAATGGCTTAATTCTATTGAGAGAGCATTTTAACTATTCTTCGTTTACTTTTGTGTGGAATGCTAAAAACTTGGTGTTTAAGCCACCTTGTTTGTAGAATATAATGTCAGCAGCAATTTTTATTGTTATAGCAATCTGAAGGTTTATCGTTAACTTGCCAATTAAATAAACAAGTTGCTTTTTCAAAGTTTCACAAACTCTTGTAACTTAATCACCGAAACCCATTTTTTAACAGACATTAGAGAAGTTCAGACTCTATTGTTGCTCGATATATTTAATGACGTATTCCACTTTTTTATCCAATGCAGGCAATTTTCTATTTGATTCTTTGAGACAATAAAAAATCACTCCTTTTGCTGAAGTCACATTATTCTAAAGTGGAATTGATTAAATTATTCTGATTGCTTTCTTCTCAATCTCAAAATCCAAATTCATTTTAAAAATTAGATGCTGAACTTCTTCTAATAAAGACATTTCCATCTTTGGAGTTAGGCATTCATCATTGAATTTTGGAACTGGAGGTCTTTGATGAGTCATAAGTAATTTTAATTATTGAATAATCTATAATTACATTTTTGTTTTTAATTGATGACTCAATTATCGATGCACATGTGCATTCTGCATTATTTAATATATAAAAATATATATATATATTTATATTGAAGAATTTTGCTTAAACTAATTCAATCTTTAAATCATAATAAATCAAATGATTCATTATCTATACCTCTGACATCATACTAAAATGAAAAAATACTTCATATTATTATCATTTTCATACAATTTGAAGGATTCTGAAATTTTAAATATAAATGAAACTTCTAACATTATTGTTAAATAGAATGAAAATATTTCGTAACTGAACAACACGTGTTGAATTGCCATACATTGATATTGTCTAATTTAATATAAAATAAAGAGTTGAATAAATCAAATTCTCATAAATTAATATTTTTTCACATTATAGAGCAACGTTCACAACAACAACACTTCTTTGTTTAAGGTTTAACCAGATTTGTCCCAAATAATTGGGTTTTTTCATAATCAATTTCCCATTTCATTATTCGCTATCCATCATTGGTAATCAAGTATCCACGCTCTCTTATCCAATTACAGTAATAAAATGTTTACTGCATTTAATTATTGAAAAGGTGTCCTGAGTCTTATTGAATTGATTTTAAATCATAAATAATTATTTCTTTCTCAGTTGATACAAATAAGCATTTTTCACTTAAATTAATTAAGGATAATACACATCCAGTTTGTAGATATAAGGTTTATTTAACTTCTAGTTTAATTCCAGGTTCTTTTTAAAAATGAGAAATATGCAAAATTAAAATTTCATTCAATCTTTATCCATTGACCACAATTTAAGTGTCACTCAATAGTTCCACATGTTGTGCTACATAATCTAATTTTAGATAAGAGCTAATTGGTAATAAGAAATATCTACAATTTATTATTAAATAAAAATCTAACACTTAATATTCGAGAACTGTCAGATGTGATTAACAATTGATTGAGTTTATCAAAATAGATTAAATTAATCTAAGCAGTATGATCCTTCAATGTATTTAATACTTTTAACGATTTTTCGAGAAGCTGCAGTACTTGCACCTCTCCATTACTAAACCCAAAAAGAACATTTGAATCTCTCATCTAGCAAATCACATTAATTTCTTATGGAGCTGAATCCAAACTAAATGGTTAACTCATCTCATCGTCCAAGATCTAGATTGTATTGTTTTCAAATAATCCTATTATCTTTCTTGGTTATTCAGTCAAACATACACATTTGATGTCTAAAAAATAATAGATTAATAATACTTTAAATTTGTCTTTTTTAGATGGCTACCCCTTCAAAATTGATTTCACTAAAGTAATTATCACTGAATACGATAATGCCTTAACTATCAGCAATTTACCCTTTTGTGATTTCATTCAATTCTTAACAGTAGATCTAATTTATTTTTCTCAATTTTATTGATTGTGATTTATTCATGATGGTTTTTTCATAAGGAATGTGTACAACATAATGTTTTTCTTTATTTTAGAGACTGCCTCCGCCTTAATTCTGCTCTAAGCTCCCATTAATCCTATCAATTCCATTAAGACAATTGTATGCCTATTGCCAAGTGAATCTGGATTTTTCGTCATAGTTAAGCATTCCTGTCAACAGTTCTTTGATTTTGTCATGATAGATCTTTTATATTATAATAGGGATTTTGTTTTATTTTTAATCATTGAGACCAGATATATCATGATCTTGTAACAACAAATACGTTTGTATGAGTGTAACTCCTAAGGAAAATACGTCTGACTTTTCTAAATTATGTCTTGAGGGATAATGTAAACATAATACTTAACATCATTGTATTAGCCATTTATGTAGGCTTCCCACAATTTTGGTGATAAATACAGAGGTGTTCCAACAAGAGTATTTTTAACATTGTTTTTGAAATGCTCCAATGCTTTGCTAACACCAAAATCAGCAATTCGTGCTACAACTTTTTCGTTCTCCTTCTCGTAGAGGATATTCTCTGGCTTGATATCTCTATGATATAGTTCCTTCTATTGTAGGAAGAGAAATGCTTATAATAATTGATTGACAATATTTAAGAAGGTTGTTTCTACAAATTTTGAAGGCATATATATACCATTAAATGTTTTTCTGCTGGCTTTTATTTCATCATCTTTTAGATCCTTCAAACTGCCCGTAGCCAATTTCATTTGAAACACCAAAAAATATTTCTAGACTGGAATGGTTTCAGACCAGGCATAGATTTTGTCAAAATATATAATGTTGGGATGAATGTTAATTTGTCTGTTCAATTAAACCTCCTTTAATGCTGAATCATATGATTTTTTACTATAATATAAAACATTCTTACTTAATACACTGAACTATTTTTACTGCACAATTCTATGAAGGGTTCGATTTAAATGTCATTTTATAAACTTAGCCATAAGATCCCGATCCCAAAAGTACTTATTTGGTTGTATCAAACTCGTTTTGATAATCTTCTGCATTAGGGAAACACAAAGCATCAAGGCTATCCCCCTCCTTTTTACTCATAAAATAACAAATATTAAAATTTATTATAATGAATAGCAAGATTCGCATCGGAATAATTTCAACAGCCGAAATTGCTCATAAAGTCTGTTTGGCTATTAATTCCTCTGAATACGCGGAAGTATATTGTGTAGCCAGTCGATCCTTGGAAAAAGCCAAATAATGGGCTGATGCACATCAAATTAAGATTGCTTATGGTTCTTACGAAGAATTATTGGATGACCCAAATGTTGATGGAGTGTACATCCCATTGCCAACATCTTTGAAAAAAGAGTGGACAATCAAAGCTGCCAACAAGAAGAAACATGTATTAGTTGAAAAACCATTGCCAGGCGCTGATTCCTCATAATGTGTGCAGGACATGATCAAAAGTTGTGAGGAAAATGGAGTTCAATTTTTGGATGGAACCATGTGGTTACATTCACTAAGAACTTAAGTTGCTAAATAAAAGAAATAAGAATTGGGAAAAGTACTCAAAGTGACAGCTGCTATGACCTTCAAAGCTCCCAATGAGGAATGGCTACAAGGAGGCAATGGAAGAACAAATAAAAATCAAGAACCTTAAGGTTGTTTGGGTGATTAGGGATGGTATCCTGTTGGAGCAATCCTTTTTGCTTTCGATTATGAATTACCTAAGTATGTTAAGTGTCTTTCTTACAAATTAAATAAAGTTGATACAATAATAGAATTTTCTGGATTCTTGGAATTTTCAGATGAAAGATATGCATATTTCGATTGTGGAGCCACTTTTCCACACAGATCTTTTGTTGACATTGTTTGTGAAAATGGACAAGTCAGAATTGATGATTTAGTTGGAGGATTTGGTAGAACGGGAAATTTCAATGCCTATTTTGACAACTTTGTTGGAAGTGAAAGGTTCTTTGTAGATGATGTTTAAGGAAAAGAGGAAGTTATCAAGGTCCAAGCTTGCAATCACACAATAAAAATGATAGATACATTTGCTAATATCATTCTTTCGAAGAAGACTGACCATTCATGGCATCACAAAAGTTTGACTACTCATTAGGTGTTGGCAGCATTATTCAGAGCCACTTAAAGAGTTGGGGAAAAAGTATAAATCTTATGATGATGATGAGATTTATGAATATATATTAAATAAATCAATAATTGTTGTACACCTATTTTCTTTCATAGTCAAAGAAATTATCTGTCTTAAATTCAGAAACACTCAATCTTTCTTGATTTTGCTAGAGTTTCACTTTCCTTAAATGTTGTTTACACTCTATTACAAATTCTTTACATTCCTTCTTAAAGCCCTTTAGTTTCTATTGATTTATGGTTAGTTTATTTAACACTCCAAAAAATTTAATTTGCTTTCCGTTCAAACATAACAATTTGTAGATCTCAAATAAGTCAAACATCTATTCCTTGTTCTTATCTTTTAAATCGATTATCAATTCTTTCAGGTAATCGATCTGCTGACTTTAGAATTATTCAAGATCTTTCAGGATTAGTTGAAAGCAGAAATCCAACTTTGGACATTTCTATCCCTCAATTATACGCAATCCCATTGAACAAATGTTTTATATTACATACAATTCTATTATCGGTATCCCACTTGATGAATAATGGCATACTCGTTTTAAATATGTGTAGTACAACTGCAACATTGACTAATATGATAGAGGTTCCCTAATGATGTGTCTCTCTGTCTATTATTTCTCTGAGTAGCTCTAAAAACAATCCATTCTCTTTGTGTGAACTTTTTACGATTTTGTCTCTGTTTAAAAATTTGGAAGATTCCTATCTGTCTATTACTAAGAAGATCTCATAGATGAAAATTAACTACTCCTTGCGAAGGTGCTAGAGGAACTCATTTCCGTTGATAACCTCTCCATAATAAAACTATTATTCAAGACATTTGTAATCCAATAAATATTACATTCTTAAAAAACTTGTACATCCAAAGTTTATTTTTGTATCATGAAGTGAAATACACACAGTAATTTTATTACCTACTCTGGGAACACTATTTTTGTGACATCCGATTTAGATAAGTAATTAAAGACGTTTTGAATACCTATATGATTTTAAAAATTAATTAACCTGCCTTTTCCAATTATAGTGCACTTTCAGCAAGATTTACATTGTTTGTATTCAGAATTTTTATGATTGTTTGATTAATCATTAGGAACTTTATAATTAATTATAAAATATAGATAATTATTAGAATAATATTTGAAATTATTATTAAATATTTGTTAAACTAATTTGTTTAGATATTACTGCAGTCCAAATTTTATATAATTTATTACAAATCACTTTATCCCAATGATCTATTATGTTAGAATATCTACCATAATATAATAATAATTAATTACATTAAAATTTATTTTTTATTTATTATTATTTGTAAATGAACAAGTCTAAATATTTATATTATACAAATGATTCAAACGAACTCCTACGCAGAGATAGGTAAGAATAATATTAACATCATTATAGAGACTTTCTGATACATCAATAAAAATTAGATGAAATAAAACGGTCAAAAAGTGCTATTGGATATCATAGAAGTAAATCAATTAAGTTACCTAAATCTACAAATATTAAAGATGAAATGATGCAAGCAGAAATATACCATTAAAATTAATTGTTGGCTACGAATTTAAAGAGAATACACGCACGCTCATTTTAAGTCCCTCATAAACTTTCGAATTTTTAAGTTTCAATAAAATCATCATCATCAAAAGAGCATACTTTCAAAATATTGGATGAAAATATAAATCTATGCAAAAGAATATTAGACTAACAAAGTTAGATTGATTTTAAATAGAAACTATAAGAATACAAGCAACATAAAAAGATAAAATTTAGACTCTAAAAAGTTAAAAGATAATTTGAATAGCAAGAAAAGTTAGCTGTCGATTAGAGATTTAAATCAAAATCTTTTAGTTAAGTATAGATGAATAAGTTTTGAATTAATTTATTTAAAGTAGTACTTTAACTTATGATTTATATTCAATTTTGCAGCGAAAATTTATCGCCATATTAAGCTTTAAGATTAATATTAAGCATTTTCAATCTCTCTTTTTTTAATTCAATAGGCTCTTGATTGTTTTAAAAATTCTTAACATAAGGTGATTTGTGAACCATGCCTGGCAAAAGAATCTTATTACCAAAATATGGCATAGATTTTTAATTTTTTTTGCCACTCACGACTCTCTCAAATCTCTATTATTGATATTCTTAATGCAGTTTTTTAAGTTTCCTGAGACTAACAGAATTTTATAAATCTCCTGAACTTTTATTTACGCTTTCTCTTCCACTTCCTAAATCTAATGATCTATTAACATATTTTCCAAGAGCAGATTTTCTGGAGGAACTAGGAGGACGGTAGGAGGGAGGTCTGTTCAATCTAGTTGTGTATCTCTAAGCCATTCGATATTTTAGAGGATTACCTACTAGATTATAAAGTTTACTGTTCAAACTTGAATTTTAAGTTTTGGGAGATTTTTGCAATTAAGCCATCTATAGGACAGGTGGTAATTTTAGATGAGATTTTTGTTTTTAATGCCTGCTAAATATATGATTGAAATACCTTTGTACAGCATAAGTTTATCCTCCAGATATAGAATAATAAGGCGAATCTACTCCAGGTAGACTAGGAACTAAAATACTAAAATGTAACTATAACCTTTTTTGGGTCCATTCTATTAACTGGACTTAGATTTTGCACTTTAAATATGTTTCGTTTATTGTTGTTAATGAATTTAAGTTCTCAATTATCTTACTTGCTCATCTTATACTGATTCCTGATATCTCCTTCTTTTCTCCTAAATTTGAAGTTCAATATTTTCCTATTATAATATGGATAACACTTATTACTATTTTAAGTTCACCTTACTTGATGATTCCTTACAAGTAAGTTTTATGATTTAAATCTGGTATTTATTAAACCTACTTCTAAATATCAACTTTTTTGATATCATATTCAAGTAACTGCTGCTTCATGTCATCTTCACTTTATTTTAGTATGGCTTTTTGTGTTTTAGCATTATCGATTCTTTCCAGTAATTTCATTTATTCGAACTTATCCTAAGAGCGACCTTTTTGATATTACAAGAAACCAATATTTTATTGATATTGATTCTACTATTGTTCCATCTCATATAATTTATTTTTTGCTTCAATGATATCAGAAATGTTTTAGTTGATAATAGATTCCAATTCATTGACCTATTATTTCAAATTTAATTAGGGGACTGGAACAGTTTTCTAATTAATGGAAGGCAATCCTACTTTATAAGTTTACTTGCTACTTGTTTAAGGAGTGATAGAATTTAACTACTATTATTGTATCAATAATTTAAGTTCTTCATTTTCCTATCGCAAATTTTGAATGAGCAGTGCATAATTGCTAATATGATTTTAGGCTACCAAGACATTTCTATTTGCAACAGTTTTAATGTTCTTAGCTCTATTCGCATAGACTAATGTATTGTAGGTTTCTTCAAAACTACTGACAGCTGGAGTTACATTGGAAATCATAACAGTTCTGCAATTACCACCTAAGGAATCTTTCAGCAATCTGGTTAATTTAGAATTTCTAAATGGTATAAATGGATTTTTGATTCCTTTTTCATTAGCCTCTGATAGTGATTGAATACAATTGCCTAAGACCAATAATGATTTGTTGATGTTTGCTCCCTCCACCATTCTTTGACCTCTATTATTTGTATTGGCTGCTCTTTCACTACCTGCCAGATCTACCAAACTAAATTTGCTTTAAATGATTTATTCCTGTAATCCAGCAGCTTTGTCTTTGCACTCTACTTAAACCTGTAGGATAGCGTGAGATCTAGATGATTCTTTGTTTGCATCAGTTGCCTCTTTGGATCGATTTCTATTGCCGACCTTCAAAAGAGAGAGCACTTCAGTGACTGTTTTGACTTCAATTTCAATGACACCGGCTATTTATATTCCGTTATTTTTGTCTTCTCTAATTTCTAAATTTTTATCTTCGGAGGTCAACAAATCTCTTATGTTCTCATTGTAGATTTCGACATAAGAGACCTTAAATTAAGTCTCTTTGAATCTGTCTGATTGCGAAAAATTAAAAAGAGACTGCAAAGCTCTTGGCATTAAACCTACCTCTTATTGGGTTCCTATCATTCTATTGTTAATGATATAAAATTTACGTAAATGTCTTGCCAGAACCTGTTGCGCCATAGCAAAACACAGTGGTATTGAATCCTTCCAATACTCCCTCCAATAAAAACTCAGTGGTGTTTTCGTAGATCTTTTATTGAGGAGCCCATTGATCGAAAACAAAATCAAATGCAAAATTAGTTTCCTTCAACCTATTTTTTCTTAATAACTATTCTATATAATGTCAATACTTCATCTTCTCTTTCTGACTCTGGATCCATCAACACTATCATCTTGCCATCGAGGATTCGAATGGTTTCAAACTCTGACACACTTCTCTCCTTCTAATTTAGAGGTCTGACTCTTATTGCTACCTAGAAAATAGAGAGATGTGTTTACTAGGATGTTGCTGGATCCATTTTTTAATTCCTCCAAAAACTTGTTTGTCTCATTCTCGAATTAATGCATTTAGAAAGCGTATTATATAAATAATAATTATCTAATAAATTATCACTATCAAAAACATTAAGAAATGATTATGTCTTAGTATATAATTTTAATTTGAAATATTTCAATTCAACTATGGGAAATTGCCAACAATGCACTAATTTTGCCTAAGAAAATCAGACAGCAGAAATTAAAACTAAATTAACAAAATCCAAACATACATTGAATTTCGCAAATAAATTTACTCCCAGAAATATCGAGGGAGTAATCAAAATTCAAGCTGTCTTCAAAGGATACATGACTAGAAAGTACTATTTTCATGAAAAACTATTTATTAGACAACTATCTCTCCTATCGACATAACAAAAACACAGTTCACCAATTTTAAATAGAGACATTTTAGGATTTGACACTTTCAGCAATGCCAATGAAACTCCAAATTAACCGCAGTCTCTCATCATTAAGAAAAACATGATTAGAGATAAACCACAAGAGGAAATAGTGGACACAAATAAACAATCAGACCAAATCAATTAATTATGTTAATCAAATTGCAACAAAGACACTCCAGATAATCAAAGTCAGGTTTCAGAATTCAGTCATCCGTCTAGTTTAAAAAAACAATTCTCCTTCGACATGACTAGTCTCTGCTTTGTCCCAAAAAGCAAAAACGATTAAATTTTGATCGTATCCCAAACATAGATTAAACTACCAATTATACAAATGATAAATGGAGCCTATTATGAGGGATAATGGTAGAATGGGAAAGCACATGGTTTTGGTAAATACATTATGGTTGATACCTCCTCTTATGTTGGAGAGTGGGTCAATAATAAGGCCAACGGTTTTGGGACATTTTAATTGACAGATGGGGATTTTTTTATGGGTCATTGGATCGAAAATGTGGTTGAAGGCCAAGGTAAATATACCTTTGCTGATGGCACTTTTTATGAAGGAGAATGGAAGAACGACTTACCAAATGGAATTGGAATCCAAACCTATTCCAATGGCTGGAGATATTAAGGTATCAATGTTTTATATCTAAGGAAGGAAGTTTTCTAAATGGAATCAAGAATGGGTAAGGACTCCTAAGTTTTCCAGATGGTTCCATCTATGAAGGATCTTTTGAGAGAGATGTGCCTTCAGGAATAGGCACTCTCAGATTCCAGGATGGCAGAATCTACACAGGGGATTGGAAGAACGGAGTCAAACATGGAAAAGGAATATTCCAATGGCCTGATGGATCCAAGTATGATGGCTACTACATCAATGATGAAAGGGAAGGATATGGTATTCTCTATTGGCCGAATGGTTAGAAATATCAGGGATTGTGGAAGCAAGGATTGTTCCATGGTAATGGGTAGGTGATTAAACCGAATGGAACTTCGATTAGAGGAAAGTGGATTAAAGGGAAAAGAATATAATCTAAATTAAACACTAATGCATCAGGAAAAACAAAAACATCGTAAGTTGACTGAAAATTGATGGCTTTAGTTACTTATTCATTATATTAATATTTGCTATTCATCCATATTTATAATAAATCATTTAAATATACATCATACTTATTGTTAGGATTAATTCTATTTTTAATTTTGAAATATTGCTTCAAAATAATTTATATTGTATTTAAAGTAGAGGGATACATCTGTCTTATTTTCCTAGATAAAGTAATGAGCCCAAAGACAATTTCCAAAGAACTATTTGCCAATTAATTTTCCAACACGTGACCTTACAAATTCTTCTATTTTAGCTTTTTGAATTTTGTGATGGGGAAGATGTTTGAATTTAACCCAATCTCTACACTTTTCGAAAGATTTCAAAGCTTCATCTTTGCTATTTGATAGTATTTTCTAGACACACTTTTTCAATACACTAGCAAAATTCTTAGGTATATTTTTAGTCTCCCCAGGTTTATTGCTTTAAGGGTTGTTTCTTCTTATTTTTTTCTTTACTCGATTATGACTGTCATTTTAACTTTAATGTTCAACTTAGCTTTTAAATAGAATATAATTTTTACTGATTACATTGCTGCTCTGAAAAATAATCTGAAATATATATGTCTCCTTCCTTCTAATAGTAATCATAGCTATAGAAAGCACTACAAAGATCACATGATTCGCTCATAAGTTACAATAATAAATGAAATATTTCTTAAAGATATTAATGAATTGTTCCATATAAATTTATGTATTAATAATAACAATTTAAATTTAAGAATTAATCGAATTCTGATAACTGAAATATTTAATATATTTAATAGTTGTTTTCATACTAATAATTCATGAATAAATCTCTCCGTTAATGCATTTACTTACTATCTCGTCTACTTAATTAGATTGTCAAGATTTTGAGATGATTCAAAAGGTAAATCATTAGTATATTGTTTCGTCTTTTTTGGTTCTCTTCCCAAAATTAAATTATTCAACGGGAAATCCTTCCTATTTAGCACTTTGTCAATAATGTTATTTTGTAGAGTTATCAAGTCTTGCAATTCTAATATCTGAGCATTCTGTTCAACAAACAAGGTTGTGAAAGTGGAAATTTGTGGTAGCATCTGTTCCAACTCCCTCATGTCTTTCTCAATATTTTGATATCCAGTTAATTACTTCTCCAAATTCGCAATTTATTCTGATTATTTATAATATTCAGGTCTAATCATATCAAGTTGACTCTTTAACGATCTCATGATCTCCTCACTCTCCTTATCTCGATACTCTACTTGTTTCTAACTCTCTTTTAATTACCCTAAACAAAAATAAATAATACTTCGTTAATAATGTGATTTAATCATTCATACTGATCATCTATAAACTTAGCTTCGTGTTTTGGCTCTGTTCAAACTTTAGCTATTCATTTAAGTGGTTATTCTAAATTTATAATTGCTGATTCAATTTTATCAATGTTCCTTTATCTCTTTCATTGAGATTGCATCCTTCCATAATAGACTATAAATGATTTAACAGAATAAAAATACATTAGCCCTTCCTTTTTTTGGAGAACCTTCACCCTTTTTGCTTCTAGCTGTTGTTGTGGGATTTCTGCTATTACTATCTTGAGAGAACATATCAAATAAATTTTAAGTGGATGGCTATAATGACATCAAGTTAGGATAAGCGCTTTTTCTTTCCTTTTTCTCAGTAACCTATATAAGCGTTATTTTGAAACAGATACAAAATTTTGTAAATCGGCCTTCCATTTTTAATTTTCTAATAATTTTTAAACATTCTTCTTTTCGGATATCCTTTCTGTGTACTCTCCCTTGTGTTGCGTATTCTTTTTCTTTTTCGACTTCTCTTGGTTGAGTTATTATTGTCTCTATTGGAGGATTTCTTCCAATTTTTTTAATAATGTTTGAGGTTTGATTTGCTGAGAGCTTTCCTACTTTTGAGAGTTTTGATTGACACTAGAAGACCTTTGTGTTTTTGCATAAGAGGAAGTCGGATATTTTTGAAGCAAGTTTTCATAATCCATTTAACGAATTATATATTATTATTCATTCTTTATAAACTGTATCAAGAAACTCTTGATATTAATAAAATTATAAAAAACTATACCAATGTAAAATAATCAACATGTGTAACTTCAATAAGAAATGACTCCCACTCCAAGCGAGGGATCAATACCATAGGCGGTTTATCCATCAATACAGAATCAATAGATCTAAGTTGGATAACCAATTTCATAAGTAATTCCAGCCTAATAGATGATGCACCCAGGTCCTTATTAGCAATAGCCCTATTCTTAGGCTGATTTGCCAATTTATAACCCACAACCAATTCAAATAGGTAAGATAGTTGTATATTGTAGTTTAACCCATATATTCCAAATACCCAAGCATCATAACTTGTGTGTACTGCTAAAGACAGGTGCAAACCGTTGTGAATTACGAAGCAGGCACTGGAACTTACTTGGTTGGAGGGATATTGGCAGCTGTTGGATTGTGGTTAGGGTATGTATAAATTTAAAATTAAAAGTTGCTGTTTAATACCGTGCTTCATTTAAGATTGCAAGGATGCCGTTCACTTTTGTCCTTCATGTCAGGCCAACGTGGGAAAGAAGAGATTTATTTTTGATTGATTAAAATATGTATTATGGAATGTGTAGATTCAATTTTTATTACTGTTCTTAATCCCAAATAATTATATTTAATTTCCTTTATATAGTGATTTAAAATGGAGTTGGTACAATGATGCATTAATGAAGTTGAATAACAATCTGTTGTTTTTCGTGAGATATACGAAAACAGCAGTGAAATTCAGGAATCTATTTTGGGGAAGACAATATGTCATTTTTATAAAAAGATCTCAAGGATGTAGTTAAGTTGATTTGAAAATTTAAAATATATGTTTGTAAATCTAATAATTTTTAAAATACGACAACCCTTAAATAATTTAATATTTATGTAATTTGAATCACCTAGATTCAATATTGACTTGGATTAGGAATTGTAGGCAGAATAAAACGAAGATTTCGAGTAATAATATTTGGGCTTCTGTTTACGATCAACAAGAAGAGAGACCTCAATCAATTATCCTCATCTCTACAGTTAAACGTAGAGTGTGAAAAGTATCGAAGGATTCGATTAATACAATGTGAAGAAGCTTGAGAATGTGGCTCTAAAGAAAGTCCAGAAAAGTCCTCCTGAGACGAGCAGGAGTCCCATTCATGTTCCTTCCTACAAATAGCATTCTACAGGATCAAGCATGATGGCTTTCTTTTTGCTCAAAAGGTTTTTGGAGAAGCTCTAAATCAAACGGAGAATGCTAGAAACCCTGAATTACACTCATCTAAACCTAATAGGAGACAAAGCCGCTGATAGGTAAATACAAGAATAATTATAGTAATGTAGTGCTTCAATATTCGAAATCAATATAACGAGCTGGATTCACACTCTAGGCTATGAAAAAGCTGTTCGAAATGGAGTCCCAAATTGAGGAGACTAAATTGGAAAACCTGAAGCAATACTACGAGAATATTAAAAAACAGATAATTAAAATTTGTTAAACCATCATCAATCTAATTCCTTTAATTCAGCCGGAATCTCTTTTCAAAGTGTATTGGGATTTATTTGCAGTGGTCTTCAGGATCATTTTAGTGATCTTAATCCCCTTAGAAGTCGGATTTCACACTCAGATACTGTTCCAAGACAGTACACCCTTAACTGTAATAATTTGTATAGTACTAATAATGGACTTTTTTATTAGGATCAACACACAACAATATCTGAATGGTTAAGCTATCAGAGATCGATGGAAATTAATAATGATTCAAGTAAAAAAGTCCATGTTCATTGACTTCCTCACTATCACTATTTTAGTGATCTTTCTATCATTGATTCCTGAAGATCCACAATACAATCTGTTTACCTTAGTAACTCTCACCTAATATTCCTATGTGTATGAAATACTCTCTAAAAGTGAATAATACTCCTACTTCACAAGACCTCAAAGAGGTATCCTGGGATTGTTAAAGTTTATGGCAACTCTTTTTTATATTTTGCATCTATTCAGTTGTTTTTGGTTTTGGATTTCGAGTTTGCAAATTGAAGACTCTTGGATTGACTTTAAAGACTTAACAAACAAGCCCTGGTAGGTTCAGTATCTGGAAGCCCTGTATTTTGCAATTGTGACCATGTTGACCATAGGCTATGGAGATAATGTGCCTAAGAATTCAACTGAAAAGATAGTGACAATTATCTTCATTTTGGGTGCCTGTTTGTGGTTTTCTTACAGTATAAACTTTATCGGAGGAATCATGAATGACATAACATAGAATTAGGTTGAAAGGAATTAGAAGATGAGAGTCATCAATAAATATATGAACAAAAGAAATATCCCATTTGCATTGCAACATCAGTAATTAATAATATTAATATGTTCTGAAGAATCAAAGAGTATCTGACATATCGATGGAAGGAAGATGATGAAGTAGATCTGGAGATAGAACAGACATTATTAGATCAATTATCTGATGAATTAAAGGAAGAATTAGACCGACAGGCTCACAAAGTTTTCATTGAAAAGTCTATCTTACTTCAGAAGTTTTTTAGTGAAGAATTTAGAAATGCTTTATTTAAAAGTATAAAGAGAAAAAGTAAGATTGCAATTTATTATTATCTTTAAGTTATCCCTCCTGAAAACACCTTCTACATCGATTTCAACGGACAACATCATCTATGCTTTATAGAATAGGGACATCTGCTCTATTAACATAAGGATGAGAAATAGAGATCCAAAATGAACACCATAATTGGTCTGGGAGAATTCTTGTGTGTCAAAGAATTTATAGTTGAAGATCCTGATATGGAACTGTTCAAAGCTGTTGGATATGTGAGTTTGTTAGTACTATCCAAATAAGATTTCCTGACCATTCTTAAAGATTACCCAGATGATTTCTAAAAGTATTGCTAATTAAAGGACTCCATCGTAATGAATTTTGATTAAACAATTCTATAAAAGAGTGTCTACTGTCCTGCATGTCAGTAGTTTGAACACACTCTAACTAAATGTCCTTACATTTAACATAAACCGAATTTTGAAGTTACTATTAAAAAACATCAACATTCTAAAACTTAGTAGAGATCTAGATTTTAAAGAAAGAGAAAGAAAAATGTGTATCTTGCTTTATCTGAAAAAGATTTGGTGGCAGAATTTGCCAAAGTGTACTCCAGCGATAATCAGTAATCAATAAATTAGTAACTTAAAATAATCTATTATTATGAATAAGACTAGATTGATTGTAACATTATTGATCCTTCAGCCTCAGTGGACATATTTAGAGTTTCTTCTTTACTCCCTTAATATTCCACTGAAGCTCTAAATAAATAGAACGACTTATTAAGCAGTGTGAGAATGGAACCAAAATCAATTAAAGAACCTGAAATTGATATCAAAGGAGAATTGAGACAACAATTAAATCAAGGAAGATTGATTAGAAAAACAACTATGTTTCCCTCTAATAATACTAAATAAATTAAAAAGAGCCCAACAAATACGTTCACAATTAAACAGGTTCAAGACGAAGATTGGGATGACTCCTTATAAATACACACCTTTTAAAATACACATAATGATAACATTGTTCAGGTTTACAATAAATTAATTAAACAAGATCTAGAAGATCCAATAATCAAAAAGGCAATTACTTAAATAGAACCATTATTTTGGAAATTGAATCAAAAAATGATTGATGATTTTGAAGTCATACAGAATTACGACTTTTTTTATTCATAATTTAATGCCGAAAAAACCATAGATTTAGCTAACAAAAATATCCATCATTGGCAGAAGGATATAATAGAAAAAATGTAGAAGTTTATGCTTTTTCCCTTTAATTACATCTTGAAATATTTGAAATTGAGAAGAAACAGAATGAATCAGGCAATCATTGAAAAAGGAAATAAATTTAAAAGAGTTAAAAATAAATTGAGAATGATGCAGCTACGAAGTAATCTATAACAGAAGAAAATTTCTACCACATCCAACAAAGTAATTAGATTTGGATAGGTATTGCCTTCTAAAGTACAGTCTCGAGACTCAATAATCATTTGAATTAAATTTTAATGATAATAACATTATTTATGCTTATATAAAACATCAATTTTGTAAAATGTTCTAGGGAATTTAGATTATTAAATTTATAATTATAATAAATAAGATTAAAAGAGAAAATAATAATATGTTATAAACTAATATTAACAGAATTATTTATTTTTAAGAAATACTAATAATACAAGTAGATTCTATATAAATCATTCGTTTTTTAAGGAATAATTTAATAAAAATCTTAAATCCTTATTGCTTAAAGAACTCCATTCTTATTATGTTTACTAAGCAGACCATATTTTATCAAGCATCTAAATGTAGAATAATGTTTAGTACCTCAGAAATAGGGATAAATATTTTATAAACCTTCTTTGTTATTTGCAACTTTATATCTTGTTTTTATTCTAAGACATATTTAACTGGTTTGTTTAAGTTTACCTCTCCATTCATTGCCCTTTCTATCTATTTACCAAATCCCTTTTCTTTCTCTAATTTCTAATTTGAATTAATAAAATATTACAAACTAAGCTTCTTGAATTATTTCTTTATTTGGTATTAAAATTTCATTGCCAAATATTTAAGTTAAAATTTTATCTACCAATTCTGAGAATTAACCAATTTATAAGCCTGTCTATTTCCAAATATAGGAATGCATGTTTTTTAGATTGAGTTATTCAATCACAAATAACTTCAAAAAGTGTTTTATCTCTGCAAGTTCATTTTCAGAGAACTTAATGTATTTTTTAGTTTCTGTATCCAATACAGGTTGATTTTAGTTAAGATTGGCAACTTTTGCAGCTAGTTATTCTTGAAGAAGTTTTGAATTTTTATCTTCTAATTAGTAATTGGCATTGAAATGTTTGAAAAATGGTTACAAAACTCTATTTATTTCTTTTTCTGGTTTTTAGATATTTATTATTAAACGATTCTGATATTCTTGAATAATGTATTTTTCTATCTCTCTAGCAGCCAAAATCTAGAATTCTTCACTTGATAGCTAATAGATAATTTAAGATGTCATATTACTTTATGATAATTATAAACTATCTTTTTCTACCCGTTGTCTCCTCCAAGTCTCCACACTAAACATCCAGAACGACGAGGGACTCTCCCACAACAATAGACAAACTATTTACAATCATTTGAATATTTACTGTCATCATGAAACAATCATACATAGATCGAATAATATATCGTACAATTCCAAATAATATTACTAGTAAAGCAAATAAAGGTAAAATCACTAAACATATCAAGCATGCTACTATTTCCATCATTCCTATCATTATATCAAAGAAAACTCTAAATAATGGCAAAATAAAATGAATATAACTTAATTCCTTGAATTCTATTCTAAATGCTGTCTCAAAATCATATATCAACAAACAAATCATCAATCTATTATTATTTTAAATATAAACTACCTTAATACTGCAACAAAAAAGGCCCAAATGAATGATGTAATGAAAAGGAAGAATAAAAATGCTGAGAAGAAAAGGATTAGCATTGGTTACAAAATCAATGTGTAAAACACTCCAACAAATAAGAATCGAACTACATATACTTCAAGCAAATTATAAATTCTTTAGCAACCTTTACCAAATAGCCCAGAATCCTCTAATTCTTCAAATTTCTACCTTGATTATCTCATACCTTTGTATACTAAATTTAAAGTCGAGCAAATAGTTTAAACTAATTAATCTTCTATCACTTCCCCGGTTAACTCATTTATTCTTTAATTATTGTAAAATGGTTTTATTGAAAATAAAGCATTAAGTCCAAAAGATCCCATTATTCCTAATTGATAAAATATGTAGTAGCTATCAGAGATTAAAGTTAAGTATATTATGCATAAACTATTTAATTTCCAACCATAATATCTCGAGGTTACCTCATAGCTCACCTCTTTAACAAATTGAAATTTATTCCCTTCTTAAATTATTGGATAAGGAGGCAAAACAAAACGAGTTCTAAAATTATTTCAAAATATAAACATAACAAAGGTAATGTTTGGTCTTTAGTTCTTCTATTTTACAAATTCTTTTACTTTTCTCTTATACTTTTTCTTATTCTCAGTAAATTCTAAAAATATATTTCTATCAAGAATATTCTATTAGGCTAATTCTTAGATCATTTAATTGAAATATTGGTACTTTAAATTCTTCTTTCTAATCTTTAACTTTTCATCAATGTATTATTTTCGATGGCCTGGTTTATTTAAGAAGAAAAACTATGTTTCATATTATTCTGTCACCTAATTTTCATAGTCTGCAAGTGAATTCTATTATTATTCAAATAACTATACTTTCAGTAAGTCTTTATAATATCTTTGCAATTGATAACATTCAGCAATGTCTAAAATCTATTTCAGAGCGCCTTCAGGCATATCCAAGCTATTTTATTGCACAAATCTTCTTTGAGCATTATTAAGCTATTCGTTTATGAGTTCTTCAATGTCCTTATTTTAATCATAAATAATGTGATATTTTTCTTCCAAATTTCTCTATTCATAAATATTTTGACTTTATCGATTGATATATTTGTCGCTCAATAATGCAACTATTTTCCAACAGTCTTATTCAAACTATTTTAGTTGATTCTTTAGATCTTCAACCTTGAATTAAGTTGCAGATGAAGTTTCTGGAGTATGGTAGAGATATTAATATATTGAAAAATTCAAATTCTTATTTCTTAAAGACAATTACCTTTATCTTTCTACTTAAATTTATGCTTAATTTTCAGAATTATTGATAATCATCTCTCTATATCCAATAAATAGTGATGGAATCAATAAAGTTTTCTAAGTTAAATCATTACTGTTTTTACCTTAATAATCGTATATAGCCCGTGGACGATTGAATAGTTCCATAAACTATCAAAGTTTAAATCAGAATATATAAAATCTCCTAGGCCTGTTACATAATCTTAAGCCTTTAACATATCTTTATAAAAAGTATTTCTTATATTCTTGGTTCCTTTTACAACCCATCTTGAAACAATCCATCGGTATTATATGTTTGGATTATTCTTTGAACAGACATCAAAAACACCTTCTCGTCTTATTTAATTTAATTGATGATTATCAAAATCTAAATAAGGAACAAAATCATTTTAGTTTATTTCCTTTTGAATTAGATGCTTATCATTATTTCTTTGGATAACAACTTTTTATTTAAAATAAGAGGGTGGCAAATTAAATTGATGTGCCTGTTTCGATAGAACCCAGCTTTATCTAATAGGGATTGTTTTTTCAATAAGTTCATTAGCAATACTTTTTAATGGTTATTGGATATGATCATTTTATGATAATTCCTAATATCAAAAATGATAAATACTTCTTCTCGCACATTCCCTTTAAAATTAATTTCTCCAAGTGGTGGTAAAACATAAAATCTCACGTCATCTATACTGAAATTATGATTCATTGTAAAGTTTTCACTTATGCCCTTCTGCATTTAAATGAAAATATTATTTAATGTATATTTAATAATTCAAAAGATTGTCAACATTCAGTGCTTTCTTTTTCCTACATCCTTAGATTTTTTACTCCTAGTTTATCTGGCAGTAACCATAGAAATGGCTTTACTACTTTTTACAGCATTTTTTTAGCTTTCTTATTCCTTATTTCTTTATTATTCTCTTATTTTATTTTTTTATTTCCCTTTATTATTTATGTTGTTTTTTGATATTTTTTTGTTAACTTTCATAGGGCTCATGATTATTGCTTTTCCACGCACTTCCCTCTTTTTTGAGATAGCATCTGAGCTAGATTTTTAAGTATTTAAAGAGCTTTTATTTTTTACTTCGACCTATTACTTGGTTTTTTTAGCTAAGGTTTAGTTACATTGCTATTATTATTTTTATTGGCTTTTATTCAATGATTCATTCTATGAAGTATTTGAAGAGGTCTTCTTTGGACTTCTACTTCCTTTAGTACTTCTTGTTGAACTTTTACTTACATTATTGATAGCCTTACTTTTAGGAGTAATAATTTTGATGACATCTGCTGATCGAGAACGAATTTAGGTTGTAATTTGTTTTGTTTCTTTCTTTTAATCACTCTATTGTTTATTTGATTTAACACTAGTACTTCTTGTTTTTGATAGTGCACTTTATTATTATTATTTATTTTTAGATTGTTATTATTAACTTTCTTATTTAGTGTTATTTCTCTTGTTGGACTATTCAAGATTTGAGTTATTCAAACTTTGTTTTTGCACAACTTATTTTCTTTTAGTAGATAATTTATTATCCTTTTTTTCTTGTTTGTCATTCTTTACATTAACTTTTGTTGATTGTACTTATTATGCTTTAGTAGTTGAGTTATCTCTACTTCTACCTGATCTTTTAGTGATAACAACTTCTTTGCTTTATACTTTTTATTATTTGATTTATTTTTCTACTACCGAAGTTGATTTCTAAATTGTTTTAACCTTGGATTTTTCTTCTGACTAATCATTAATTTATTTCTTTACTCTTTTACCTACTGGCTCTTCTTGAGTTATTTTGTTAGATCTTTTTGATATATCCTCTTTAGAAGGTTTTGTCTCCCTAAAAGATTTAGTAGGTTTTTCTACTGAAATTTGTTTGTTTCTCTGTTTTCTGTCATCTTGTGATTTATCTTATTAGTTCTTTATCTTTTAATCTTAGTTTTTGTTTGATTTTTCTGGGTTTAATTTAGGCTTTGTAGAATTAGCCTTTTCTGTTATTTTTTAATTTCTTCTGGATTAATTTGTTCTAATTTCAACTTCAGGAATTCTGGGTGTAGAAGTGTTGCCTTTTGAAGGAGTAGTAGATTTTTATTATTGTGTATTCTGTTGTTATTTTATTTAGGTTCTTTTTGATGAAATCTCTTTGGGCTTAGCCTTCTACTTTTATTTCTATTTCTCTTTCTTTTCTTCTTTCACTTCCTCATTTTCTTATTGTTTTGATTATTTTATTTCTTTTCCTTGATTTCCGTTTTCATCTTCTTATTACATCTGTTGAGGAGGTGTTGAATCAAAACCACTACTTGATTCATTATCCTAAAATGATTGTTTAAAATAGGTTTCTTCAAATTCCTTAACAATTTCCTTTACTTTTCTGAGTTTCTTTTTAGGGAACCACTTTGCATCTTTACCTGTTTTGCCCTTAAACCTTACCAAATATTCTTTCTTTCCGTTGGTTCGCTTTATTCCTATAATGATATCAATTTAATCTATTTCATCCTATTCATCATCCATTTTTTGAACAAATAATAAATCTTATGGCTTTTCATTTTATTGATTCAAGTAATTTTAGTATTCTGTAATATATTCTTCTATTGCGGCCTAAGTAAGAAATATAAAATACTTTAATGGTGTCCTCCTAATTTTATTATGCCCTTTAACCATATATTTACTTTTCTTCAGCACCTAGTTCATCCCATAATTATTAAAGATTAGTTAAACTTCCATCTGCTCCTTTTTCTTAAAAAAATAGTACTGATCCATCTGCTTTCTTTTTTTTTATGAGGATTGAAATGGAATGATATAAACTGAATAATTTTTCATATAGCTCTTAATCCTACTTTGACAATCGATAATATTCTAAAATCTACGATAATTGTACCCTCTCTAAGTTCCTTTTCTAAATTTTCCCATTATTTTTTTGCTTACTCAGAATTGTGATTTAGATTTTTTTCTTTGCACGCTTGTTCATAATTGCCTACAAACCTATCATATGCACCAATAGGTTTTTTAGGTGGTTGAACAGATTATGATTCTCGAAATAGCTTAAACAGCTCCTAGACATAGTCATCTTCCATCTTGATAAAATAATGAATTTTATTGGTTAATTAATATTAAATTAGAATTTTTGATTTTTGATTAATTTAGAAAAATAAATTGAATAAAATTTGCTAATTTTTATTTTTGATAAATTAATACATTAGGTTAATGAATTATTTATTCCATCTCATTAATTAATTATAATTAATAACTATTATTCATATTGATGAGCAAAGATCTTGTGAATCTCAAAGGGAATTCAGTTCAATTAAAAATGGATATGCCAATCGAATAATTTCGATATTTTACGAGCATTATTTAAAATAATATAATAAACGAATGGATTACCACAAAAAAAGTTGACAAAATTAGTATAAATAAAAATATTGTTTAGAGGAAAAACTCCAATAATTTATAAGTAATACATATTAATCTGAGTACATCATCATTATAGCTGTTAAACCTGCATATAATTTGTCGCACAAAAAAAATCGATATCTAATGATTAAAATAGAAGATATTACAATTTTCATTTATCAAGCAAAACCCGTTGATTATTTTCAATTTAGTCAAATAAAACAAATATAGAATAAGTTGCAAGGTGTAGCAAAGGATAATCACGTTTCAGAACCAATATTGGTTTCATAAAAGAATATCTCAGAAGAAGAAATGGAGAGTTTGCAAAAGGTGAAGCAATGCATAAATGACATAATCATATTAGATTATGAGAATTGGGAAACTGATTTAGTGGTTGCTGCAAAGGGCAAATTGCATTAATTATTTCAAACAGGGTTTTGGCATATATTTTGTGCTAAAAGAATCACTACAATGGTAGACTCAAAAACAAATGAGAGATATCTAGAATACTAATTTGATAAAAAGAATTCATAATACAAATTAATTGCTTTCCAGAAAAAAGGACCAAACTTCAATCTATTAGAGTAATTGATCAATATCATTATAGAAAAGTAAAGCTAAAAGTTAGGGAAATCATAAGTTTTACAGTTTTGTTTATATTTTTTGTGACTCTTACAACCTGTAAGGATGAAACATCTGGAAAACAATATAAATATCAAATTTAAGAACAGTTTTGCTCACATCGATAAGAAGTTATAGGCTTTTGTGCAATAGTATTATTTGGTCTTGTTGCTTAAAGGATGATAGGTAAAAGAAATCAAAAGAAAAATAAAAAACAGTGAATAGAATATTTATGTGAAATGTATTGATTACTTATCAACAATAACAGTAAGAATAATCTCAAACTTTCAAATACATAAAATTCAATCATCTTCTATTCTTTTTTGTAGTATTCCTTCTAATAATCGTTTATCGATTAGCTTCGTCAAAGCATCATCAAATCCTTGTTTGATTAAGTCTGTCTTTTTTTCTTCGGTAAAGTCGCTATCTATAGCTACTATAAATTATTTTGGAACTAAATACTTCTTTTCCCTTTCTCTAATTTATTGTAAAATCTAAAATAATTCAAATATTAACCTCTAATCCATTTTTTTATGTGAAATTCATTTTAACTAAGACGATATGATAAATTTTTTTTTCTTCAAATAATTTATCAAAATTTTTAAGTCCAGCATCAACAGTTCTATCGTATACAACTTTAACTTAGAAATTAAATTTCATGGATGATAATGCACTAATCTGTACACTTGAATCATCTAATATATAAATAGTGACAATAGGATGATAGAATGCTTTTCTAAATTGAGGCTACTTGGAAGCTACTGGAATATCTTGGAATGAAGAAATTTTCTGAGGTATAGCAATTTAATCTAGTTCTATACGAACTTAATTGATTTTCTCTTATTAATCCATAATTGAGCAGCTCTTAGTAATTGGTTTCCAAATTATTCCAGGAGGGGGATTTAAACGGCTTTCAATTAATTAAGCTAAATATTATGATTTTAAAGGTTTTTCTTAAACTTCATCAAAACCAGCTTATATGCATGATTGCTTAAGAGTTTAGGATATATTGCTTTCAATACCTACAAAATACTGTTTAGGTAAGTTATATTAATTTTCAAGCTATCTTATTTCTTAAATGAACTTAAAATATTTGATTATAGATTACTTAGATTCCATTCTTTTTTGGTAGGTTAATTCTAACAATAATAAAATGATAAATTTTATTCTTTTCGAACATTGACTTAATCTTTTAAGAAGCATCTGAACATGTTATGCTTTAATCAAACTAATGAGTTTATTTAACTTTGAAATCTAAACCATCTGTTGAGTCATCCACTAATAAATATGTTAAGTTCTCCTTGTAATATTATTTTAAATCAATAGTTTCCTACTGTCTAATTTCCTCTGATTAACTTTCAATCTCATTTATTGTTACTTACTTTTACACTTTGAAGCAAGGGGATTTCTCAGATCCTTAAGTTTAAACTGGTTGAACAATGACTCCAAAAGAAGTTTAGGATTTTTGTAATTAAGGATCCTCTAAGTTAGAAGGAATATATTTCATAGAATTCTTGAGATCATCATTAATCTCATCAGGTTTGAATTAATCACTTTATTCTAGATGTTGCACTTTTGAATCATTCTCTCTAAGATTTCTTAATAATTATGTTCCTTAATATCTTTTGGTTTGTTAGACAGAGTTCAATTGTTATGATTAAGTTGTTGATGAAGGTTATGATCCAATGTTCTATGATGTTTATAGAGGCATTTGTTTAATAGCAATCTACTTGAATAAAGATTGATTGGGATGTTGTGACGGTTATTACTATTGTTATTAATTAGTATTAGTTTCACTTTTTTCAGGGATGGTAGTTCGAAACTACTATAAATTTGGCACACTAGTATTTCTTTAGTTTTATTGTTAAGCTGATGAATCTAATAATAATAATTGAAGAAATACTGCTGGGAGATGTTTCAAATGACTTTTGTTTATGCTTTGAATTTCTGAATTGAACATTGATTCTTTTCCCTTTAAAAGTCATGATTTCTGATAAAACTTGCTCTAAGACCTTGGATACAGCCTTTTCTACTGAATGCATTTAAGTGTTGATTCTATCTTCGATATCAAAAGTAGCAACATCTGCTTAATTCAAAGGAGATGGCTTATTAATAGGCGATAAGTTAGGACTTACTATTTTATTGGATTCCAATTTCTCCTCTTCACTTACAACATTCGGACGATAAGTAAATTCAAAGCATTTGCAAATTTAAAATGGCTTTTACTCACTTAGAGATGTTTGAACCTTTACGGTTTCCTCATTAACTCTTGAGGCTGGCTACGGAGCTATCCTTTAAGTAGAAGAGATCTTCTTTGTGGATTTAATTCTGAAAGCCTAAAATATTTCGTTATTAATCGAATAGATTTTGGATTGAGTATCCAACTTACCCATGCTGATATAATGATCTAATAGAACTGACTAATATTCATTTGTCAATCTCATTGGAATATTCATTTGAATCTTAATATTATCCAATCTCTCACATACTTCTATTTGACCTTCTATCTAGTAAATCTAATGCAAAATATGGATAAATGAAGTGTAGGATAAGTCCTCTTCTTGTAATTGTTACAATCTAAAGTCATAGCTTTTTAATCCTTCGAAGTCGAATCTCTAAAATAACATTTCTAATTCTTGGATTTGATTATGATAATCTATCTATATTGTCACCTGCAATTCATTTCCTTTAGAGATTGTAAATGAAATCAAAGAGAAATTGTTCACCTCTCGTTATACTTACTTTTCACTTTATTGGACCAATTATCTCTAAGATGGAAATCCTTACATCATCTATTTTCGATTGTGTTCTTGATAGATATAAGAAATCAATTAAGTTAAAATACTGTGCAACTTTACTACGTCTATAAAAGCTTGATCAGGAACGTCATTCTCTATTTTCACATTTGGATCTGTTTTGTAGATTATTTATAAGCAATCAGCAAAAAATTTAAAGTAATTTTTTAAATTGCATACTATCTAATCAGACTTTTAGTAATCTGTGTTGTTTAGCATGGGAAATAGAGACTACAGTAATTGTTACTTCATTCTTTCTGGTTATTTCGATAGAATCTCAGAAATCTATTAGATCTTCATTATTTATAAACTCTACGATATTTTGTCATAAATCAAGGATTAATCGTCTGATTTCTCGATAAATATTGCTTCCACAATTGAATTCTTATTGAAAACCTACTTTCGCAAATGGCAACAGATTGGAATTGGATGACCTTAAAATGCAAAAGAGACTATTATTGGATCTGTGGATTCTAAAGTTTCCTCAAAAACCTTCTGGAATTTTGCTTAGTCCCCCTCCATTAGAATTAAATCACTATACTTTTAAACAGATTCCAAATGATATTTTTTTGATACTAAATCAATAGATTTGGGTAAATATTTATATGAAACTGAGTTTTAAAATTACACTTCACCATTTGAATTAAATAATATAATTCCTATTGGTAATTCATAGAGGAGTTTTTCAATCATTTAGTTATTCTTTTTCATCTTTTCATTATTGATCCAAATATTTTTATATGCATAAGAATAGGAAGTAACTATCAGAAGTTGAATTATTTAATAAAATATCATGGAGGTCAGTAATACTATTATTTTAAAAGTACTACAGTATAATTTAAAATTACTTATAATCCTTGATTAAGTACCATCTGATGATTGTTATTGATGATATTTTTACAATATTCTAAAAAATCATGCTAAACTAATCATACTAAAAAAGCATAGATTTTGAAGTTTATATTCCTATCTACAATGCAAGTCTTATTATGAACTCATTATCATTTTCTCTATTGAATTGTTACATAGAAATCAAAATAATCACATCAATTAGGTGATTTAACAGAATTTAAACTTTACGCAATTTCTATTTGATTGTTAACAGTAAATGTATTATCACTAATATAAGGCAAAAAACAGGTATTTTGTTTTCGTTAGTTCTTAAAATGAACCTAATTATTATTATTGACAGGGCATTAATAAAATTGTAATAATAGTCCTTAATCATGTTATGCTTTAATAGATGTTTATTAAAGAACTAAGCAATCTTTTAATCTATAAATTGACACCACTTATTAAGCTTGTATTATTCATCACCAAAATTATTATACATTTTATATTATATATTAATAATAAAATAGGTAAGGATGATGAAAACTTGTGGAAATAGATTCTATTTCATAAAAACGTAAAAAACTAAGACTTATTGATTTTTTCATATTAAATATCATTTTCATTTTTGAAATAAATTGTATTAGCTAATACTAAGATTTTTATTATTATTATTATAGGTTTTTCATTTTAATTAATTTATTATATATTCCTATAGTGGATATGTTTACAGAACTTGCATATAATGCCTCTAAGCGAATAAATTAAATATAGATGGATTTACAGACAAGGGAAAAACTGAAATAATAGAGCAAATCGACAGGACTTATAGATGCAGAGATAAATTCAACTTTGAAATATTTAGGTTAGTATCAGATCTAAATATAGATAATGAATTGGATTAATTGGATCAAGAAATTAAAGGATACACAGCTAATTAGAATTGCAATTTGTTAGCAAAGGAAATTTAGAAAAGGAGAAACTTATATAATGAATTAGCTTAAAAAAGATAAGAGATAAAAAAACGAATTGAATTAAATCACATGGCCCATTTATAACAATAGTTGATTCAAAATAAATGTATATTTTTAAGTTGAAATTTAGAAAAGAAAAATAATTATGAAAACTTTGGATAAATTGATGCTCTCAAGATGCATGGAGAAATTACTGAAAGATAGGATGATTATTTATCAAGAATTAATGATAAAGTCCTTAATATCAAATATTCCTCATAAAATTTAAGTAAGCAAATTAAGGAATAAAATGGAATGATAGATTAATTACACGAAGACGTATTTTTTTATTTAAAATTAGACTGATTCTGCTAATTAAGCAATGAATAGATTGAAAAATAAAATGAATTATTATTTAGATTAATCCAGTTCATGGAAACTATTAATAATATTATTTTTTGAAATATTTGTGTTTATATTTGTAGTAGTTATCTGATTAATATGTGTATTAGTTATAATACATTCTTTACAGAATACTTCATTTATGGGGTGATATATTTTTTGATATAACATATGACTGCTCATCTTCTGGTTTAGCTTCTTATATTTGCGGTTATTAAAGACTATGAATTTAATTTTAGTAAATATGATTATGATAGGTTTAAGGTTGTTATTTTATATCTCTCTCATTTTTTGAAGTGGATCTTTGCCTTAATCGATTATTGATCCTTTATTATTGATCGTTTATTTCATTAGATATAAGCTGAAATAGAATTATTACAATGTACTTTTTATAACTTCAAATGATTTTATTTGTCCTATTGAATGTTTGTGATTAATTATTGAACTTAGTTTTTCCCATCAGGCTCTATTTTTTAGAGTAATTTTTCTTGAATAGATGGGTAATGCATTTCTACTTTTTTTGATTTTTCTTATAATAGGTTAGGATGACTCATCAACCAATGTAGTTTATATTTAAAATATTCCTATTTTCGATCCTGTAATGATTCATAGTATTCAACTCCTTTCTAAATATTTTTCAATAACAACTTTACCATATACAATTAAACCAAATGGTTCAAAGCATCTAGATTAGTAAAATTGCTCAACACAAAATTGATGTCATGTTGCAATATTTGTTCAGCAAATCCTTAAGGCAGATCTTTTTCTGAAGCAGAAGAGTCAGAAAACTAAATAGCATTAATTTATACTAATTTGCTGATTATACGAGACATGTGTAATAAAAATTAAATTATGAAAGTGATATTAAACAAAACTTAGGGTTTAAATAAAAATAAATATTATTGAATAGTAATATCTCATTCAATGACGATAACAAGTATTTTAGTATTGAACATTCTCGAACTTAAAAAAATCAGCAGCAAGCTATAACATTACTAAATAATTACTTTGATTAATTTTGTATTTTTTAATACGCTTTAACAGAACTCCTCAAAATTCATTATTTTGAAGTCGTTTTTCTGGAAATGTAATCTTAGTTCGACAATCAGTTGATAATTGAACTTTTCATATGGAATATTGCGTGCATCAGCAAGATTATTTGATTCAATTAATGTAAATAATTTGGTTACTACTCTTTCATCCAAATCTTTTGTTGCTTAATATAATGAATTTTCCCCTTAGGTTGAGGTGTAAGGACTATCATTCTTAAACTAACTCTCTTCAGAAAATGATACATTTGGAGAATCTTATGTTTTAGGTAACTAAGTTACACTCTCTTCATTCTCCAAAATAGATATCTTCACTTCCTTTTTGGGTATTAAAAACTCAAATGATTTATTTTAATACAATTAATTCAGTCTGGGACTTTTTAATTAGACCTGCTTTTATTGAGTTGGCTAAATGTAAAATTATTTTTAATTTGATTGTGGACTCTTGCTCTTATTAGTTGAATAATTATTATTAATTTTTGGTTTAAATGTGAGATTCGGATCTTTTTGCTTTTATAATTAATCATATTCTCTTTTTTATTATTTGAAGTTGTTAATTTGTTTAGCCTATTAATAAAGTCTTTCATGAATGTTCATATCATCAGTTTAGAACCTTTTATTTCTCGATAGATTTCTTTCTGATTTTAAATTAGCCTATAAGGATTTTTCTGGAGTGCATCTTTTAGTATGCAAATTTCGAGTTGGTGTTGCTTGATGATTTTCCTTGTTTTGTTATTATTTTTTAACAGTTTCCCATTGCGAAAGTGGTTACTTCTCCTTTTCTTATTTCTATAATGTAAATGACAAGACTTACTTTCATTTAGTCATACATCAGCATTTATTATATGATGTTTTATTTGAGTGGTTCAATGTAAGCCATACTTAAGTAGTTGTCTGTAACAAAGTTAGATGCCAATATTTCTGGATTAGAATCCTCATATATGTTAATTTGACTGTATTTATTATCATCCAGTTCAATCGTCAGAGTTATTAAAGGTTCACACTGTATTTTAGTTTCAGATGTTTATTTTTATAAGTATTTCTTCATAAAGGTAAATTAGCTCATTAACGAATATTTTTTATTTACTAAAAATTATTATGTAATTCTCAAAATTAATTACTAATAATCATACAATTCTAAACTCATGATTCCTCAATCTCCTAATATTTTCTCATATCTGCTAATCTTTTGTTTTGATTGTTTGTAACATTCTGCATCTAAGGTATAATAAATGGAATAATTTGACATGAAAAAGGAATATTTTTAATGAAAATGCGGGAATTTAATTTAGTTTGTGATTTGATACAATAATTGATGTTTGTTTTCACAATTTATATTGATAATGAATTATCTATTAAATATTGTTATTAATTATATATTTATATAAGCATTTTTAGCATCCTCGTAATCAGAAAATGTAGAACTTTAACAATGTCATTGATTATCTAAAGGGAGAAGTATTGGATAGAGAGGAGGAGTGGAAAAGAGAAAGACAAGAATATTAAGTATGATTATGATGATATGAAACAGACTGCAATCATTGAATTGAAGGGATAATTGGAAGAATAGAGGAATCTGAACAAATAACTAATTGAGAGACTTGAAAAATTGGAGTAATTTAAGGTTTCTTTAAAACCAATTACAGATAATATAAAGCTGTAAAACAAAAAAAAATTTCATCATCGAGTTAAAAGTGACAATGGCACATTTTTAAAGAGCGAAATGAATGAGTAAAAGTTAATAACTCAACCAAACATCGAGAAGATATTGTAGAAGGATAAGAAACCCCTTCTACAAAAGTAATGAATCTAATAAATTTAGCTTTCTCAAAGAATTGAAAAATGAAGATATTCAAGAGGATTAAGTCTAAAATTAAATATAAATTCATTCACCCATAAATCTATAGCTACTGTAAAGTGCAAAGATAAATTAAATTTTGATAAATCAGAATACTTATAATACCTGTTCAGCCAGATAAAAGCATCATCATCAAAGAAGCAACAGCAACGGAGCTTCAGAATTACTCAACTTTGCATTACAAAGAAAGAAGCAAACTCTAGAAACTAGTCAAAATGAATTAAACAGTATGAGTATGACAGAGAGAGAAATAATTGTTGGGAAAGAGATCTTCTAAACTAAAGGGCAATTGAGGAGTCATTTGGATGGAGTGAGATCAATCCTATTTCAAAATAATTACATAGTCACTGCTTCTGAGGATTGCACTATCAAATTGTGGAATTTAAATGATGTGCAATAAATGAATGCTCAAACTCATTTAGAACCTATCTAAACAATTAGATGTACACCATTATATCAATATTAATTAGAACATGATCGACCGATATTTACAATGACTTCGTACTTTAAGGCTCCTCAAATACATTTGTATTCTGCAGGAGTTGATGGGACAATACGAACCTACATAGCAACAACAAATCAATGTTTTTCCTGGAGAGCCCATACGGATGTGATTTGGTCATTGAAACATCATCCTCATGATTAGAGATTGCTATCTTCTTCTGCAGATGGATCGGTGAAAATGTGGAAATCTCTGGGAGTTTGTTATCAATATGATCTAATTAGGAAAGGGAATTTAAATTTAGAGATGTTGCAGAATCCTTTGGCCAATTTCACATTCAAAAAATCAATGACTGGGTTATCCATACCAACAGCTATCGAATGGATTTGTAAGGGGTTTAATGAGAATATCATTTGTGGATACAGTGACACTTTAACATTTATAGTTTATGATGTTACTACTGTTAAAGCAATCTAATAAATTAGATTTGATCTTGACAATTAGTTCAACAACAATGCTTAACCTAACAGGATTCTATTTAATAATGAACTCAAATACATCGTTTCTGGTCATGATGATCATAAAATTAGATTTTTTGATTCGAATTCAAGCAAGGTCTGTAAGACTCTTATTGGCCATACAGATGCTGTCACTGATTTATGTTTATTCTCAAAGAATGTATATCAATTAGCAAGTGTGAGTCATGATGGAAGTATGAGAACATGGGATATTCGAAAATTCTAATGTTTACATGAAATACCAGTAATTTGATGATTTGATTGTATTTAGGCCCATAAGTAGAAGTATGATGAAGGGATCTATACGATTGCAAGTAATAATTAGTTTGTTGCGACTGGCGGAGCAGATGGAATAGTAAAAATATTTAACTACCAGAATGTAATATGACTTCAAATACATTAAATGATATTTATCATTTTGTTATCATCTTTGATTAATTTGTTATTTTCATTTGTCTTAATGACTTAATATAAATTATTAGTAATGACAATTATCTCATATTTTAAATAATATTTGGGTCAATAATGGATTTATCGAATTTTCGAATACGAACATAAATTATTGTGCTGTTTATTATTATTGTCATCATTGTGTTGACAATCGTTATTGTAAGCAATTTAACTCTTTTTAATTACATGAAAGATGCTTTTTTGTATGATTCAATGAATGTACTAATAAAGGAAACTAACATTTAATTAACTAGTCAATCAGCCTTGTATGATCAGAGATTGAAAACAATAATTAATCAGAGTATGTATTTTTAAATGATTCATTAGTTTTCAGAAAACAAAGGATGTTTTAAAACATATATTTATTTGTTGATGTTAATGAACAGATAATTCAAACTTAAACACCTTTTTATTGTCCTCCTAATATTTCATAGGCAGAATCTAAATCTTTCTTTTGCCTCATGGCTTATTAATATGATTAAACTAATTATACAAATCTATAAAATGAAATCAAAAAGTAATTTTAGGTTATTTCGATATTTCATGAAACCCTACTAATGTTTGACCAATCTTAATTCATAGCAACAGGTATAGCCTATACAACAAATGATCAGGTTCCTATTTTGGGCACTTGGCCAGCCTTGAATTCAACTTTATCATATAATGCTCATTAGCGATCTTGGTATTTAGGCCACTTAAAACAAATGGGAAATGGAAAATAATACCTCTTTAGTGATTTATTTACTACAATTCTTGGCTCATACACTATTGCCATATCTCAAAATATAACTAATAAACATAATAATTTTGAAGGTGTCGTCTTTAATCTAATGGATTTTGGAGTTTTTAAAAAAAACTTTAACGCTGATTACATCTTGGCTAATAATTAAGGTTAGATTATCATAGGGTAATTTAATTACCCTGAGAATACCACCAAACCTGTATTTTTTTTTAATGACTCAATTACTGGGTTCAATCAAATTGATTGGGAATCGATAACCACTTTAATTGATGGAAAATCAAATCAATCGAATTTCAAATCTCTTAATAATTGCTCTTTAGATGTCTCAAATTATTTATGCAGATATAATTCCCTGTATCGCTAAGAAGTCCTTTTAATTGCTAAATAGCTTGAGTATCCTCCATATCCTCCTCATATTGTCATCATGTAATTCATTCCATTATTAAAGTTTCAAGAACATCACTGAACTTTAACAATAAGTAGATTTACTCAATTAAGACATATACGAGTTATTTGCTTGGGAGATTTAGAAAAATATGCAAATTTTAGTTTTGCTCGCAATCGGAATTATTTTACTATTTTTAATTATTTTACATTACATCACTAAATCTTTAGGCTTATTGATCAAATATTCAAAATTTTAATAGAATAATCTATAATATTTGAAGGGACATTCAGAAATGAATCAATAAATCGAAGCCATCACCAATTTGTATAACTTTAAATAAAACCAATAATTGTACAAACTATCTGAAAATGCATTAGATCAATTGAATATGCAATATTTTCGTAAATTCATCCAATTTATTCTAGAATTGCTTTCAAAATTGAAGGGCTAACAAGGTGAAGTAAAAAAATCTGAAGAATGTCTCCAAATGGAGTAAACTTAATACCCTATGACTACATAATACTTAAAGTTTTAGAAAAAATATTATTTGCATGATTACCAAGCTAATATAGAAGACAACACTGTTAATCAGCTTATATATTATTTTTTAATTAAAAAGTAGAAATGATGAATATTTTATTTATTTAAATTAGTTAGCTTCTATATTACTCATATAATCATTCCAGAAATTACTTGCTTTGTATCCAATCCCTTCGATAGATAAGTAATAATACAATCAAAATTTAGAAATTCTCAGCATATAATAAAGAGGACAAATTACTGAAATATTATTTAGTTTCAGTATCAAATTTTAAATAATTTAGAATAGTAATAACAGATTAACAAAGTTAAAAATATTGGCAAAATGTTTAGGCCAATTTAGAATTAATTCAAAAATAAAAATAGTGAAAAAATGATGAACATTCATTAGAAAACTCCTTTCCCCATACCTAAATTCATACGCTTGTTAAATACTAAAATTATTCACTCATAAAAGGGAGGATTGGGATAAAGATTAGAAACGAATGGTTTGAATTAATTCGGTTACAAAATTAGATGCTTCTTCTTGTGATTCCAGCAAATAAATTTGAGTTCTTTGATATTAACTATCAAAGTTTGATGTGTAGCCCTATTACTTTGATAACATTCGGTTATTTGCAGAAATAAATTATGTGATTGTACATTAAATAAGAAAAACAAATTTTTAAAGTTTTATTGTTTTTAACAAAATTAGGAGAACTCAAAAAAGAGACTTCCTAATAATATTAAGACAAAGTTCCTAACTTTTTGGTTATCCTATTCAATTATACATTTTGGATTTGTTGGAAGGACCTTGCCAAATGAAAGATCAAGAGTTTTTTAAATAGATGTCTCTTTATTAATAATTTATATTTATTTATATATAATAAATGATTTATCCAAAAAATAAACTATAATCTGCAGGGTAGTCGACTTTGTCTCGCAAAAACTATACTTCAGAATAAAGGGAAGAAATCAAAAGACAAATAGCTGATAGATTATCTAAGAAGTATGGTTTGGATTTGACGGAATAAATACATGCAAAAGTAAATAGCTATCTTAATCAAAATTAAACTATAACTGCCGAAGGGTATTTGAGTTTATTATAAATCTAGGATATAAAATTTGGAATAAGAAATCAGTCGTTAAAAGGCTTTGCCTCAATTATAATAACAATAATCTTCAAATCAAGTTAAGTAAAAAGATGAAGATGATTAAAAATCAGTTGTTTCGAAAATGTCAGGAGCATCGAATTTTGATATGGTAGATTAATACACTCATAAAACTGAAAAAAATACAGAAGAAAAGAAGAGTTAGAAAATGACTGGGTTACATACAAAGAAGATAGAGAATGACCTGGCATTTCTGAATGAAGAAAATTAATGGGGTGCAATATACAAATACAATAAATATCTTTATGATAAGGAAACTGAAATTAAGAAGCAAAGGGAAATAGAGAGAAAGAAAAAGATTAAGGAAGAGTTGGATAAATAAGTTATTGAAAAATAATCAAAAAAAGTATTGAGTAAAAAGGAAGAAAATGCATTCTATGAAAATTAGATGTATCAATGTACATTATTCGATTAGAAGGAATAAGAAAAAGCAGACAGAGTAAATATGTTATCTATTTTTAGGCTAAATATATTAAAATGATAGAGAAATAAGCAAGAGATCAACAAGTTAAAGAAATCAAAAAAAATAGAAGAGTTGAAGAGAAATAAGAAAAGGCATTAGACAGCTATATGATATAGAAAGTAAGAGAAGAATTGGATGATGAATAAAAGTTCTTACAATTTAAAAAGGAACATCAATATTAGGTCATGTAAAAATTAATGTCAGAAAATGAAGAGAAGAAAAAAATTTAAGAGAAAGAAAAAGAAGATGAAAGATAAGAGAATATTAGATTAATGGATGCTTATTGCAAATTGCTAGATAAATAAGAGGAAGAAAGATAGAAAGCAATGAAAGAAAGGGATGAAAAAATTAAACAATATTAGGAAAAGGCTATGGAAATGCAAGAGAAAGAATTAGAAAGTACTATAGATACAATTATAATTAGAAAAAATTGGGCAATTAGAAAAAAGGGCTGATAAATATGAACAAAGAAAAGAGAGAAGATTGCAAGAATTAGAAAAGGAAGCAGAAAGAAAAAAATGGGAAACCAAGTTAAAAACAAGAGAGTATTTGAATAAATAAATGGAAGAAAGAGACATATAAAAGTAAAGAGAAAAATTAAAGGATTAAGAATAAGTAATTGCAAATAATAAAGTTAGGCTACCTTATGGAAAGAAGATACTACTAATTATTTTTAATTTGAAAAGGAAAGAGATATTGAGAAAAAGAAAATCTATAAGGAATATTAGGATACATTACTTGAATAAATGAAAGAAAAATCTTAAGCAAAAAAAGGCATAATTGATGAAATGCTTAGACATGAATAAATGTTAAGTAAAAACACGTTGTCAGAATTAGATCAAATGAGACAAACAGTGCAATGATTTATTTCATATATAATATTAAATTAATCTAAAATAATTGTTGTTAGATTCTGTTGTTTTGTGTTCTTTCGCATAAATTAAATTAACAATAATGTTTGATAGAGAATACATTATAGCATTGTATATGTTATCATCAATTTCAATTCATTCAATGTAAAATTAAACTTTCCTTTACCCAGCATCAAAGGTTGTGTCTTGTTTTCTAAACTTACTGTACTTTAATTCTTATTTCAATATACTCTTCACAGATTTTTCATCTGCTTATTTGCTTCTTTAGCTATCCAACATTCCATCATCTTCTATTGGCGATAGATCTCTGCTATTCACTTTTTCCTCAAATGTTTGTATTTTCTTTAAGCGATTACTGTCTAAGGATTTTAATTTATTAGTAGCTTCAAAATTGCAAACAGGGGAATCGTTCTTTCTTTTTCCAATTGAACTTTATGATTTAAAAGGACTATCGTGTTTATCCAACTACCCAATTAATTATATTTCTTTTTATGAATGAGATTGATGTTGCTCGGACTTTTTACTCTATTGAGATCTGAGATCTGCAAATCCTGGGGTTCCTGGTTCATCTGGACTGCTTTTTCGAGATGATAATTTCTTTTTGGGTAATGGATTGCTATAATTTATATGATTAACAAATACTAAATACTCTTATTAGGTTCCTGACTATTTCATAATAGCATCTTATTTTATTTAAATTTCAGTTTCCTTTTCTTCTAATTGCTATTTGGTGCAGCACTATGCGCTTCCCATATAATTGTTGTATTGGGAAAATAATAATAACAAGTATTTTTTGAATTAAAATACATATTTGATTTATGATATGTATATAAACTGAAAATAGATTCAAACCTTCATGGCTGTTTCTTTTTATACATCATGATCAGAAGAGTACTTTTTGAAAGTAAGGCAAGAACTTATCCACTTTATGAGCATGAAATTTTCTTTTCTCCTTTCTTCAAAAATGAATGTCTTAGGAAAATATCGAAATGAAGAATATTTAATCTAGGTATTATCGTGATTAAAAATAATTTGTTAAATGATTGGCCATATTTGGCTATGATTATTTTTCAATTATATTAATACTATGGCTTAATTAATCGAGCAATTTCTTTACATGAATTGCATCAAAGAATTTAAATTAGGACCAAATATATTTTTGACTCAATTCGAAGTTATGTTGAGATCAGTCTTCAAATTATCAGTTTTACGTAAAAGAATATTCCCAGATCTCAAGTATTTCTCTAATTTATCTAAGTCTTGTTAAATTTCCTTAATGTAAATAAATCCTGTCAAAACATCCTTATAATGAGCCCTTTATAAATCGCATACCATATCATAATGTTTGTAATATTATTAGCCCTAAAGAATTGACAGAAAGATAAATTGATTTTTTTAAATGGTAAATTTGCAATTTTCAAATCTTTAAACTTAAAAACAGCTCAATAAGGACCCAAAATAATTCTAAACCTCTAATTTTTGTGAATCTCACAACGTCCTTGACGCCTTTCATTTTCTCTTATCCATAGCTGCTCCAGAAAATCCAATGGAAAATCCTTGCTATTTTATAAGTTAGACCTTTCAACATTGATTATAACAAGGTCATCAAATTTATTAAAAAAGACTTCCATGTGTAAAGATGAAATTTATAGTTTATTGTGGCCTACAAAAGAACAGCTTCCTCTTCACTAATAACTATAATAAACCAATATTTTTCAAAAAATAGTAATCTATTCAATATAAGTGCTTTGATAGTTGAGACAACATTCTTTGAAATATAAAATTAATCAATTATATAATCAAAACATAGACATAAATGAATTATTTGTTTTATAAGTTTGATTCTTTTAAATCATTGAGAATATTTAATATTTCTTTGGAGTTGGGTTTAGAGTTATTTGAATGTAAGTTTATTTTATTTATATATACTATTGGAAGTATTTTGAACAAATCTTATAAGATTTTATAATTTCATTAGTAAGAAAATAAATTAAATTATCAAAGAAGGAGATTAAGGATCAATTTATTTGATATATATCTATATTAGATAATTTAATGTAAGTATTAATTCATGCTTTATCTCATTATCCTGACCCTTTAAAGAGATCTAATGAAATTAAATCTTCAATTGCTGAGGCTTTGGAGTAAATAAAGTTTTTTGCTGAATTCCTAAGGGGTGAAAAAATAAAACAAAATGCTCGCCATTTACTTTTAGAATTTTCTAATTATTTATCCTTGGAAACTTTCAAAAGTGGGGAAATAATTTGTCGAGAGGGTGATAAAGGAGACAAGTATATTATTTTGTTAATATTTAGATTTTATATTATACTTCAAGGCAATGTTAGTGTTTACAGAAAAAATGTTAATTCAAGTTATGAACCGAATTCTGTATTGTCAGAATAAATCTTTATGGACTAAAATGTAAAGATTGGTCACCTAAAAGAAGGTGAAACTTTTGGTGAATTGGCTCTCTCATTAAATAAGCCTCGTTTTGCTACTATTAAAGCACAATCAACAGTTATTCTTTGTAGTCTCAGCAAGGATAATTATGCTAAAATGACTAATGTAATTTATTTACTTCAAAAATAGTACATGTAAAGAGAATTGAATTTGAAGACAAATGCTTTGGCTACTTTATTTCCTAAATTATCCCAAAATTCTTTGATTCGTCTTGCTTATCTTTTGTAAATTCAAATCTTCCCTAAAAACCATTGCATTTATAAATAGGGAGAAATTGCTTCTGGGTTCTACATTCTTTCAGATGGAGAAGTCAAATTAGAATAAATTTCCAAAAATTCTACTTAAATATATATACCAATAATGGTTTTAACTCCAGGTAGTCTTTTTGGCGTATAAAATGTCTTAAAGAATTAACCATATGATAACCAAGCCATCTGCCTAACTTAAAAGGTTACTGTGTACAAATTTACATGTGAATCTTTTGAATAACTTGGAGACGATTATAGTAAGAAAGCTTTACAGGCAGCTGAAAGGACTTGCAGAAGAGAGCCGAAAATATAAAGTTTATAATTGGTTTACTAGCCTGAAATGAGTAATTATATTTTATGATTTTTTGAAATTAGCATTAGAGCACTTGATGAATAGGATAAATAAAATCCAAAAAAATAACGAATTATAAAATCTAGTGGAAAACAATAGGAGAATTGTAGAAAGTTAAGATCAAACATTATCTAAAATTAGATTACTTTTAGAAATCCCTTTTTTACTGATTTAGATGCTGAAAATTTCAAATAGATAAAAAAGATATCAATTGAACAGATCAAACAAGCTGATGTTAAGAAGTATTACATTTATAATACTTAACACTTAGATACAATTAACAATTTGCAATTTAAAACTACTTTGAACCTATTGAATTAGCTCCAATCTTAGATTCAATAAAAAGATAGAAGAATGCAAAATGCTTAAGTTTTGCTTCAATAAGAGAAAACACAGCAAATTAAACTTCTATGTACTCATATCCAGCAAGTGGATACAACACTGCAAGAGTATTAACATTACCCTCCCCCAGTCATACTAGACATACATCTCACTCAAAAAAAAGTAGATTTTGAATATCTATTGTAAATCAATCATAATAAAAATTTGATTGAATCATTATATTGGTTTAATATTTTGATTATAGTGACTGGATAATACAGAATTTCTTTATCTAGAAGTATTATAGTGTTTTGATAATCTATCTGTTGATCTTCTTTACTCTAAATTTAAGGATATTTCTTTAACACTTGGTTGTCTGGTAGACTTTTAACTAATTGTTCTGTCTTTATTTAATGATTAATTTTTTAATATACTAATTCCTGTTAGAGATTAATCATTTTATTTTTTTTTAACAGGTCCTACTTATTTCTTTTTGGCTTAAATAATTTTAAAAGTTTTATCAGATTTTTTATTCGTTAATATGTCCTTCTTCTGTTTTATTTGATCTTTGCTAATACTGATTATTTCATTAGGTTTATGGCTGTCATATTAGGATCTCATTGATTATTCTTATGCATCAAATTAAAAGTACTTATCTTATTGAGGAGTTGTAAAGTATTAGACCAATTCTTTAGAGCATGATCTCATTGAATTTCTTTGAACTTATAGTTAAGCAATAGATTCTATTCTTTGCTAATATCTTTAGATTGCATGCTTGACATCGAATTAAATTGACTTTAGTAGATTTCTCTCGTCTTCCTCAGATGAATTGATTGATTATAATTTCTCTAAGAATGAATTTTTTATGACTGAAATTCTTGATCCAACATCATTTTATATTAATTTACCTAACCCGCAATCTACATATCCTTTTGTGTTAACTTTAGTGAGTTACTTTTAAAATTTTTATCTTAATTGCTCCAATTTATTAATAGGAGGTTCAGATATGCTATATCTTTATTTCATAGAAAATTGTGAAATGTGATCGTTTAAAATAAAATTAACGATTATAATAATAAAATATACAATAATAAAATCATAATTCATCAATCTCTGTAACATCTCTTAAATATACTTTCTTAGTTAAGATGACTTCATTGTAAATGACATATTTAGGTTTTTAATTAAATAATACAGATTCTGGATGAATATAAGCTAATTAATTTGTTGACTTTCATTATTTAAATTCATACTTTTAATTTGTAGGCTTAATCAGAAGGAGAATAGACTGCATGTTTAAACATCAAAGCCTCAGAGAGCACTTATTTAAATTTGTCATAATCCTCTTTTTCAAATTCTTTTTTAGTGATCCTTTTCATATAATCCTTTAATTGTTGTTTAACACTTATTGCCTTTTGCAAAGTCTTATGATTAAGACAATTCTCTTTGCAAAAGCTTTTTTTATTTTAGGTCTCTTCGTACTTCCTTAATATATTGGCTTTTGTCAAATGATCAGAATTTGCAATTTTAAATTTACCTAAGATTTTCGACAAACTCTCCTTGGCTCCCCTCTAAAAGTAGAACAAATTTTCCACTTGCAATACAGAAATGGAATTTAATGCCAAGTCATATATGCCACATTCATATGCTTTAATTAAAAAATGAGAAAATTAAGGTTCCAAAGGCAAGCTGGACATGTTTTTTCCATGTTCTGTCAAATTAAACTCAGAATCCAAGGCCTTCAACTTTACTAATTGATTTAGATTTGCTAGCATTAATTCCATATCAGGTCTATCTATTAAATCAAAGGTTAACACATTTTAAATCCCAATAGCCTTCATTTAAAGTATTACTGATAAGAGATTCACTCTTAAGATTTCCTATTTTGAATTGTTTAATATTCATACAGGTAACATGTATTTCGCTAATCTTTCATAAGTTTATTGAGTATAAAGACGATAACATTGTCCCTATCTCTATCTCCCTGCTCTTCCTGCCCTTTGTTCGGCTTAAGCCTTTGAAACTGGAGCCAATAATAAGGTATCAATAGCTTTCCCAATTTGAAAGGACCTAATCTTTACATAACCACAATCAACAACATAGACAATACCATCAATTGTTATTGAAGTTTCAGCTATATTGGTAGCCAAGACTACTTTTCTATGGACAGATTTTTGAAATGCTTCAAGTTATACTTCAGGAGGCAAAGCCGAATAAAGCATTTTAACATCTAATTATTTTTCTTGAGTTGATATTTTCATTCTCTCAATAAGAATTTCTTTGACATCTTCAATATCTTCTTAGCCTGTTAAGAATGCCAATATATCTCCTTCAGGTTATGTAAAATGTAATTATAATATTGTGTTTACCATTGATTCCTAAATTATGAAATTTTTTACCACATAATCCTATTGCCTTATTGGAACATTGTATACATCAACTGTATGGGTTCTTGCTTCAATTATGTGAATCTAAAATGGTAAATTAAAGGTATTACTGCTTCGGTTTCTAAGTAATTTGCAAACTTCTCAATTTACATTGTTGCAGACATCAAAATTACTTTCAATTATTTTCTTTTTCTGCATAAGTTTTTTAACAAACCCAATAATAAATCTGATTATACAGTCCTTTCATGAGCCTCATCGATTATAATAACATCATATCGTTTTAATTATTGATCTTTATAACCCAAAAAAATACCAATTATGAATTCTCTGATAAGCATACCATCAGTTAAAAATGTAATTTATGTGTCTTTACTTGTGCAATCGTCAAATCTGACATTATATCCAATTAATTATCCTAATTTAGTCTGTTTTTCTAATGAACATCTTTCTGCCAGAGTCATAGCGGCCACTCTAAAAATTAATGTTCAAATCTCACCTTCGAGGTTGGGTGACTGCTATTTTTACACCTGGATCATTTTCATAAATGTATTAAGGGATTTGTGTTGTTTTACCACAACCTGTTTCACCTGCTATAATTATCACCTAATCTAATAATTAATAAATGTTATTACTATCTCTTATTGATTTGATGATTTTTTCCCTAAATTAGAATATCGGCAACTGCATTCTAAATTCATTAAGCATCGCTAATTAAAAATAAATTACTTAATATAAGTATAATTTAAATAATTCAAAAATAAAAAATATTTTCGATTAATTATGATAATCAATAACCTAAAACATTAGTTGATTCTGTTCTTTACTCTATTTATCAGAATTCACATTTTAACCATAAGGATTGTGCAAATTAAGGAGGTTAGAGAATCCTTTATCGAACTAAATTGAATATTTTATTAAAATTGGTTAAATATAATTTATATTTTAAATAATGAGACTGCCAATTCATTTGATAAATTAAAAAACTGATGTTGATTTTAATAAATAATAAGTTTACATAATTATTTAAATGGGATCTCATTGTTGCAAAATTGATCACTTTATTCGTCAAGGTTCTTTTATATCCTATCTTCAGATGAATTAGATTTAGACCTAGATGAAATATCGAACATCACACCATAACCGCTTTCAAAAGCCTCAATTTCATAAAAGGGCACAAAAAAGAGTAAGGCTACACAATCTAATAGGAATAGAAAATTCAGTATCCCCTTGCTCTTTAGAGAGGAGTAAAACACACAAAGAGATTGCAAACTAATAAGAAGTTCTAAATACAGAAATAGAGCAGAGGCATAATCTTGAGGTTTTATAAGCAATGTAGTAATTGTCTAAGACTATAGTAGTTGAAAGTAAACCCATTGTGAATTATTAGCTACGTAATAAAGTCGAATGAATAGTCTAAGTTAAATAGGGACGGCTACTAGAATCAAGCTTGGATAAGATATTTTCATTCATTTGAAAGAAGGATCAATAAATTCACATTATAAGTTCGAGAAGGTACTAGGTTAGGGTGGCTTTGGAAAGGTGTGGAAAGTCACTCATAAAATTACCAACCTCGTTAGAGCAATTAAATAGATAAAAAAGAGCTCAATATTAAAGGAAGAGAAATAAAGAATGTTTTCAGAGATGAATATTTTAAAAAATCTTGATCATCCTAACATTTTAAAATTATTTGAACTTTATCAAGATACAAATAATTATTATTTAGTAACTGAGTATCAACAATTATTAACTTTAGATATTTATCTGGAGGAGAACTATTGGAAAGAATAAAAATAATGACATGCTTTACTGAAAATGTTGCGGCTAATTATATTAGATAAATACTATTGGCTACATTATATTGTCATGAGAAAAATATTGTTCATCGAGATCTAAAACCAGAAAATGTTATTTTTGTTAATCAAGACCCAAATTCGTAATTAAAGGTTATAGATTTTGGTACATCCCGAAAATTTGATAAAAATAAATCCATGAGTAAAGATATTGGAACTGTAAAATTATCCATTTTCCTAGCCTTTTTATGTTGCCCCAGAAGTATTGAACCATCAATATGATGAAAAATGCGATTTATGGTCATGCGGGATCATTCTTTATGTACTATTGTGTGGATATCCCCCTTTTACTGGAAGGACTATTCATCAAGTACTGGAAAGAGTGAAATAAGGTGTCTTTGTTTTTGAAAGTATTATAATTATTAAATTTATATCATAATAGGTCGAGATTGGGAGGACATTTCCAAAGAAGCTAAATTATTTATATAAAAACTCTTAAGGGTTGATCCTAAAAGGCGATTGTCGGCTAAGGAAGCATTAGATGATCCTTGGTTAGTAAAACACAATCCTGCAACATAATTAAATTTGAGGGTGTTAGAGAACATTAGATAATTTCAAGTATATTACAATATTATAATAAAGGCATAAACACTTCTAAAATAAGCATTAATGTCATATATGATCACTTAAATGTCAACTTAGAGAGAAATCCAAGAGATTTAAAATGAGTTTACTAAACTAGATTTAAATCATGATGGAACTCTTTCAAAAGAAGAGTTTATGAAGGGTTATTCGTAACTGAAATTTGATTCAAAATTAGTTGAAGATGAAGTAGAGAGAATTATTGATTTGATTGATGTGAATAGATCAGGTATGATAGATTTTTCAGAGTTCTGTATGGCTGCCATGAACTAAGAAAAACTATTTTCAGTTTAAAGAATTGAGTAAGCATTTAAGATTTTTGATTAAGTAAATAAGAATAAATTAATTCTTAGAATGGTGATGGATTTATTTCTAAATAGGATCTTGAAGCAATCATGGGTCATTTAGAAGACGAAGTTTGGGAATAAATACTCCTTGAGTGCAATGCAGACTAGGAGGGATAAATTTCTTATTTAGAATTTATTACAGTTTTATAATAAAAAACACTTTGATTATTGTTTATTTATTTGTGCATTGAATTATATTACCATCAATTCTTTTATCCCAAAGTTGTAAAATATAAATCTTGCTGAATTATTGATAAATATACAAAAACAAATTATTATATGATTTTTTTTTTAATTATAATCTCTATTGAATAATTTTAAGCTATAAGAAATATAGCCATAACATTGGGTCCTTTAACTTAATAGTCTATTACATATGTAATTTATTAGGATGAGCAACTTAATTAATAATTTAACTCAAAGGAGACTCGTTGGAGTAATTGTTCGCCATTGGATTTATTATACATTAAATCTAATGTGAATTAACAAATAGCATATACTCCCTTAAATATCATAAACACCGATGATAAAGATTTAATTATTGATTCTTTAAGTCTTACTACTTAAAAAGGGTAGACTTTGAAGATAACACTAAGTAATTTTTATTTAATTTAGATAATACTAATAATATTGTAGTCCAGAAAAAGGGAGTTGAGATCATAAATATCCAATATTTTTGTGAGAAGAAATTAACAAAGGAAAACTATTGGGCTGTAATTGATATCAACCTCAAAACATCCAATCAATCTTTGAAATTTTCATATTAGTATATTTGCGATCCTAATTTCCATCCAAAAAGATTTGATTGGAGTTATTTGATTTTAATTGTAACCATGTCAACTTTTGTACTCTTCCTGGCGAGGTAGTAAAAATTAAGTGCATTTAAAATCACTTATTATGATAAATTAAATAATAAAAATGTTGTTGTGTTTTAAGGATTTCATTTAGGTTTGAAAGGAGCTATTATATATAATACTGTATTTGCTGTAGGAGTAACTGCAGCATATGTTTTTGAAAAAACAGTAGAAGACCTAGAAGAAAATATAGTTCGATGCTTTTGCTTGATATTTGGATTTATTTTAATTAGTGAAGTGAGCTTTTTATTTAATTTAGCTTTGTTATAAAATGAAATTTTTAAAAATACGAATAGTTTCCATCTTAAGGGCTTGCGATATCATTGGATTGCTTACCACTATTATAACTTTACATTTGTATGTAGATTTTAATGAACCTTGGATTGTATTAAATTATTACATATTATAGATAAGCAATTTATTGACAATCTATTTGGTTGGTACTTCAATCAAGTTATTTAAAATAACAAGCTTAAAAAATGGATTGCATTTTTTTATTCCCTGCATAATTATGGACATCGTTTTTTCAATCTATGGCAGCTTTTTTGTTCGCTACGAGTGGGATAGTCTTGTTATGAAATACTTTAATACTCCTCTTACTGCTTAATTTCCATATTTCTACCCGATTTATAAAAAAAAATGCGGATGGTTATCCATCACTTCTATTTTGTTTCCTGCATTTTTCCTTGCTTATGCCCATAGAGTTGATCGATTCAAGGATTCTATAATTTATAGATTAATATCATATATAGGTTTACAAGTTGGATTGACCTTATGGTTTACGTTTTCATCTCTTTATTCAATACCTTTGCCTGTTTCATCATTTACCCTATTTCCAACAATAGGAATTAGTGCTATTATTGCATTTCAGAGAAATGAAATTAAGGTGATGTGGAATGGTGATTTTTATGATCAAGTCTTACTAAATCCTTGGAGACATCAAATTCAGGCAGGGGAAAGAGAATCAATCCATGTCTTGAATAAAAAAAGCAATGATGAAACGGAATTACAAAATCTTGCAGATTAAGAATAATAGCATTAATAAACTTAACTCCTCAGAATATCAAGAGGATAGATTAAATTACACAACGAATTATTTTAGGGATTATTGGATTGATTTGTTTTTTGGTTAAATGAAATTTATACTATTTTATAATTTTCTTATACATAGATATTCTATATATAAAGAAAATTAATATACATATAATATTTCCTAAATTGTTTATAATAAAATTAAAAACTTTAAACAAACATTATTGACATGAATTTTAGGAAAAGTCGATTAAAGTAATCCCCATTTACTGCATCCAAATTCTCTTAATCGTGTTTCCAACCATTGCTTCCTAATTAAAAGACTAAAACTAAAAAATAAAGATTATAGGATTCAATTGAAGGTTTTGTTTAAATTTATGAGCAATATCTTAAAATGCTTTTTGGATAAGAAATAACTTTTTAAGATGAGAAACAAATTAATCCAAGGGTGTAATTATTCTAATAAGATGAAGATGCTTATGAAGAATTTGATTTACCAGAGACAGTAATAAGGTAAATTTTCATCTTATTTAATTATTTTCAGCCTCATAAACCCAGACACAATACCTGATGACTTTGAATATCCTCTTAAATAAGTAGAATATTTCGAACAAATTGTCAAGTCTTTAATAATTGATGAAAAGTCTATACATGACAAATTGTTCCTAAAAGCTATTGAAAATGTTTTTGCTAATTTATCAGATCGCAAATTCTACTCTTTATTTGAACTACGAACCAGAGGAGTAGAAACATAACCAAATTAGAATAGAAATACACTCATTGGTTGTGGGACAGGTTAATAATTATTTCAAAAATCTCCAGATCGATCTCCCAGATCTATCATTTTGGATGATAATCATAATTAGGAAAATAAGACAGAAGTTTTCCCAATCTATGAGAAGGCTGATAGTGTCAATAAGTTAGTGAGAAAATTTCGAAATTTTCTCAAAGATCATGCCAGCAGAAATTAAGGAAGCTTAGCCAATGTCATTGATTTATTATCGGTTGATCTTTAAGGCTTGTTTTATATTTCTAAAAAGGCCTACAGTTAGGGTGAATACCTAAAAACACAAGGACGAGTTTGGTATAGAACGAATAATGATACATAAGATCTTCTAACCTTAACAAGGAATATCCTTATAGTTCAATTTTCAAGAAAAGGATACAATGTTAAGCCGGTATTGTCAAAGGATGGTTCCAAAATTTACCTTCTGCTGTATATTCCAGAAAAATCCTTAGAAGTGGCAGCAGAAAATTTTGGTTTGTAAAAAAAATTAAGCTTTTGCTTCACTGATTTACTTTCCTTGGAACCAGTGGATAATGAGTTTAGACCTCTGAGATTAAGTGGCAGATTATGGAGACCTGATGAATATAATCTCTCACCATATTTGAAATATTTAAGACCATTGATTATTGATTAGATTTAGAGAATTAATTTCAAGAAGTTAGCAAGAGAAGTAGGACAAAGTGGATTAAATACAGAATTATTTGAGTATAAAAAATCCGAAATTTATGGAGATGAATAAGGCCCTTCAGATGAGGAGTGGACTGCTTTTTATAAATATCTAGTACATCTAAATAATAATGTATAAATTCAGAGGCAGAAGTCTTAAATAAACAACGATATTGCTTTAGTAATAAATGAACAAAAAACTGCTGAGTAAATTTATGCAATTAGAAATCATTAAAAATTTAAATAATTTATTTAATTTAACCCAGAAGAATAAGATAAAATCCAAAAAATCTATGATTAAATAAGAGAACTTTCATCTCAATACCAAACTCTGCCAATATTTTCTAAGATTCCAAAAATTAAAAAAATCAAGCTGCTTCTTTAGTAATAGCTAGCTCACAATTATTTAAATATATTTAAAGAAGCCTTAAAAGTAGCGAATACCCCAAAATAATATTTGAAATCCATATGGGATAGGAACAATTATTCTCCATTTGAGCTTTTTATTCCTTTCAAAATTCATTTTAACAATTCATCATTAAAGCAATAGGCAAAATTTTAAATAAAATGGTGTAGATATATTAAAAATGAGAAAAATTAAATAACTTTGTTTCCTTCTCATGAGCGATTAAAACTATCATAGTAACTTATAGCTTCCTCTTTAAATTTGAATACTTTGATAAATTTGAAGCTGGTTAACAATTTATTTTGTTTACATGATAATTACGAATTATTCGGCCATTGCAACAGTCTTTAATAGGCTTTAAGCGAAGATAAGGATTGCTATAAGAAAAAACCATTTGATCTTGCTGGAGAATGGATTTTCAATTTTAAAAACCCTTGGAGTTTACCAATTGAATAAATTTGTTCTTATTTTGGAGAAAAAATAGGTCTTTATTTCGAGTTCTCAGCTTATTATATTAAATATTATGGATTTTTATCCCTTATTGGGATAATCTATACCATATTTACATATTTATCAAAATTTTATGACTAAGATATATTTATAGGTATTATATCTTCCTTTTCAGTTTTATTAATTCACTGGAGTTCATTTGTAACTGATTATTGGAATCAAATGTAGTTAACATTTAATATCAAATATGGATAAAATAAAAATGCAAAAGAAAGTTTTATCAGAACAGCTTTTAAAGGTAAGCACATAAGATCGATTGGAAATGATCAATTAAATTCTTAGGAGGCTATTCATTCTGAGATTATTAAAAGAATAATTATTTCGATCTTTGTTTTGATATTTTTGATTGGATCAGACATAGGAGTTATTATTGGGCTTTACTTTTTTAATCTTTTTTTGAAAACTTTATTAGATCAAGCAGGCAATGAATTTTAATGTTTGGAAGTAATTATTTCAGGATCTTTGAATTATGGAATTTAATATTTAATAGATTCTTATTACGAATAAATAGCTACAATTCTAACAGATTTTGAAAATTATCAAACTTCTCTACAATATGAAACCAGCTATATCATGAAAAAGTACACTTTGTATTGGTTTTCTTAATTGTTTCCATTGATGATAGTGTGTTTTCTTCACAGTCCATTAAACTTATATTGTGAAGAGGAGAATTGCAAATAATAGGTTTAATACTTGTTTGGAACAACTATTTGTTGGATATTTTGTGCTTAAGTGATGAAGTTTGTTAAATTATTCCTTTAAGAAAAGAAAAATTATAAAACTAACAAACAATAATCTTTAAATCTAAGTTTAACCTAATTCATTGAAGAGCAAGAATAAAAAATTCCTTTTTAAAATAGTTAAGAAAAATACGGTATTATAAATGAATATATGGAATTCTTTTTGCTTTTAGCGCTTATTAATTTATTCGGATGTTTGTTTCCATTTAGCATAACCCTGTTTTGGATTTGGATAATTATTTAATTTCAAATTTAAAAGTATAGATTATTATATCAAATTCAAAGACCGTGGCCTAAAGGAGATGGTTCACTTGGTATTTGGTAGGAAATTAATTAATTAATAAATTTTGTTACCCTATTATGCAATTCAGGATTAATTTGTATTTACTATTTTGGTAAATTGCAAGATAAAGTAGTATTGCTGTTTGTACCTTTATTATTTTATAATTTTTTTGTGAAATACATGACCATGTCTCTTTTTGGGGGCACTCCTACAATTTTAGAATAAATAATGCGAAGATGCCATTATTTGTTTAAAAATAATGTGTAAATTACAACTAGCTTAAGCAGAGCATTAGAAGAAAATAATAAAAATTAGTTACAACGCTGTCCATTATATAAAATTTTTGGATCCATTGGAACATAGAGTTCAGATAATTTTGAAACTATAAGCTCAGATAATGAAATTACTGATTATTAATTGAAAAACAGCGAAGCAATTTCAAAAAAAATTCTAAAAGAAGAGGATGAACTTCAATAAAAATTAAATGAGTTAACTTAAAAAAGTGAACCTCAAAATCAACTTTATACTCCTAATAATACTTAAAGAAAAATACAAACAGAAGTTTCAGAATAAATAAGTAAGACAATTTTCTCTAGCTATAAGGAGAATATAAAAAGACAAGAAACATATATCAAAAAAAAATAATAATTTAAAATTAAAGAATTAATCAAGAAAATAAATTAAGTGGAATAATTAGATTATGGATTTTTTTTAAATTATTTCTCTAAAAGAACAACAAATTATGCATTTTTAATATAGTATAGCAATGTTTCAGAAAAGCAATTAAAAAAAGATAGAACTAGAATTTGGAGATTTTTTTTTCGTTTGACCTTATTATCCTCATACAAGTTAATTTGGAGTGATTATAGGTTTTTTATTTGCTAATCTTACATTCAAAGAAGAAAAAAAATGTTGTAAAATTTAGATTATAAAAGATTTAAAATATTAAGCTAAAGTTTTAATTGTTAACTTGAATTTTATAAAAATAAAGCAACTTTGAAGTTTAGAAGACAATTTAAATAGTTTGGCAAGTCTTTAACCCCAGAAGAAGAAAAAGAATATGAAGAAATACTGATAAAATATCGTAATTATGTTGAAAAGAAGTCTTGGTTGAATTGTAGAAAGGTTCAGATCTTTCGATACAAAGGATTATTCTTTAAAGGATTTCGAAAATAAATTATTAAAAAACCCTCAATTAAATTTGCTTTAGAGTATTATGAAGCCATGAAAAAATTAGAAGAAGTTAAATTTGAATCGGATATTCATAAACGATTCACTACGTTAGTCCACTATTCATCAATTAATTAATACACTTTAAATTCATTTCTAGAATTGTTTGTAATGTTGGAATATGAGTAAAAATATATTTTTATTTTTGAATAGATAAAAGAGGGTATTTGAATTCCCTTCAATTAATGGCACAATAAAGTAAAAATATTATTATCTGCAGCCTTTAAAATCTGAAATTTACAAAAATGTAATTGATAAATCAAAAGATACATATATATTTGAATAGTATTCAACAAAATTAGAAGAATATATTCTATAATACTGCATTGATGAGTGGAATTAAATTCCAAACATTTAATTAAAGAAACATCTACATGATATTCTTTGGATTGTCTAAATTGAAGATTAAGAATACCTGATGTAGTTTTTTTAAGTTCGGCATGGCTAAAAGTTAACTTTTTAGCAATTTCATGATGATAACTTAGGGGTATTTTTAGCTGAGAGCAAGAACTATATAAAATTACTTAATATTCTAGATTAAATCGATGACTTTTTCATAAAAGGATACTGTATTTCATTATATTAAGCCAAAGATTGTAAAAGCCTCTTTTAAGTTTTACAATTTAGAAAGAGATACTCACTCAAATACACTATTGAGGAACTTCAATAATTCCTTTTTGCAAACATAACTTTGATGACGAAAAAATAAATATAAAATGTTTCAATTTATAATTACATTTTGATTAAAAACTAATATATGATCTTAAACTCAATCTAAGAAAAAAAAAATTAAGTTTTATCATTAGTTTAGATGGTAATTGAGATGATTCTTCTTAAGCCTATTGAAAATTTGTAAGAGGAGATTGGGTAGTTAGAGCATCCTCTACGATATTTTCTTTTGGAAATATTACAAAATGAATAAAATCCTTAACTAATTTTTGATTAAATGGCTATTTAAAAACAATTTATTGAAATTGATTTTTAATTGGCTCCAAATTCTAAAGAACATTCTTATTCATTATATATGGAAAATATGAAGCATTAAATTAATTTTCATCTAAGAATGAAATAATTTCAAAAAGTGATACTTTTAATTCATGAAGTTGAAACTTTTATAAAAACAAATCATTACAACATATCTTCTGATATGTTACCACATTTTATTAATTATTTTTCCAAAAATTTAAATAGTTACATTTTAAAATCAAATGAAATTAAAAGAATACTAGACATTTTATTAATCTATTATTTTAAAATTTCTGCTTTATTTGCTTTAAAAAAAGATTTTTAACCTGAAATTTCAAAGCTGATTGAAGGTTTAAAAAAAAGCAGTGCATAGATAAGAATTATGTTTCGATAATTAAGCTTAAATATAAAGCTTGAGAATTTATCAGAGATTGAATAACATATCATTTTAAAGCGAAGAATCAAACAAAGAAATGATGGATAATCATCGATTAGTTCCTTTGAAAGATTAAATTTAATAAATACTTTGAGAAAAAATCAGGATTATATCCTAATATTAATATAATATCAAACGTAATTGCAAAGGTATCTAAATCAATTCCAAGCTATATAGGCTATTTAATAATATTTCAACAAAAACTTTCTTCTTGCTGCTATTCATTACTCAGATATTATATAAAGTTAAGAACTTCTCATCTCTCGTGACCCAACTCCAAATCTTTTGGATATTCCTCTTGATCACAGTCCTGGTTTAATTAACCTTGAACAATCATCCCCAATTGATGATGATCGGTATATAAGCGATGATCTTGATACCAAGATTGAAGTATTGACGGAAGGCGATAAATTATATCTGACCTAACTGATCTATTTTAAGTTTTTATAGATGATAAATTTATATGACAGTAAAAATGAACGTTTTCAGGATTATTATAAAGAATTTTAAGAAGTAGAGGGTGTATATGAATCAATTTATACTTTTTATTTAAATCAATTAAAACTATTAAAATAAGAGAAAAGCTCAAAAAATGAGTAAAAATAGGAAATGAAATGTGATGTTGGCAAATACTTAGTCATTATGCAATTAAGATGGAATGATATTGGAAGAAAAAAGTGGCTCTAACTAATTTAAACTAATGATGAGGAATTTATTAAGTTTTAAATTATGATGTTTTCAAACTTAAAATTTACTTTAGAAAATAGATTAATAATTTAAAACGAAATTGATAACATTAATAACAAAAATGTTGATATGTATTTCTGTATTTACTAAATCAGACTTATTTAATAAATGCTTCATCTTGATAACCTACAACCTGTTACTCATACTTTACCCAAACATTGTTCTTACAAACAATTTAGGTAAGCTAAAAAGTAAACCTTAATTGAACTGCTAAAAGAGTTTCATATGAGGCTTCAAATAAAAGATGAACATTGGTTTTATCATCCAGGTTTAGAGGAGCTCTAAGTATTTTATTATCTATCAATATGTTTTTCATTTTCTCCCAAGCACATTGAAAATTTTCATACACAAAATAATTCATTATTTAACAAGGCAAAACTTGGTATTAAATAAGTTGAACCGAACCCAAAATTTTATTGCTAAGCTTTAAAATTTGCTTAGATTAACAATGAATGCGTAGATAATTTAGTTTTTGATACCTCTTTGGGTAGATTTTAATAATATTAGTTGTTTTGTTAGTTTTTAAATTGTAATGTTAAATTTTATTAAAAGCTTAGAAACTCATATGAATAAATTTAGGAAAACTTAAATGACGATTGTTTTTCTTCGATCTTAGTACTTGGTTTGTTGCATTCATTTCTATATATTCAATAGTACGATGTTGTTGATTTAATGTACTAGTTGATATAAAGGTTGCTTTAATCTCAGGCATTTATTTTTCATAAAATTCATTAAGGATTTGAAAAAGACTTGATGATTGTAGAATGCATCTTCAAAGATACTAGTAATTATCTGCCTGCTCCCTCTAAATATCTTTTTGAATATACAAATAGCTATTTATATTTTGAGGATGTTAAATTTAATTCTCAGTATTTATTGTTTAACCTTATGATGAATTAAGATTATTTATTAATCTAAGAAATTATAAAAGAAAGTATTTTGTAATTGAAAAAATAGCCTTAATTAATTCGCATCATGCATTTATTTGAATCATTGTTGGATGTAGTAAACGCAATGATTGGATATGAAGAACCAAAATAATAATATATGTAAAACTTTCATTCAATTGTTAAGCTTTAAATTAAATGATTATGCTGAAGGTACTTTAATGCACGCTCTCCTAGCTCATTTGTAATGTAAATATTACATGAATTTAATTGATTACGAAAATGCTTTAAAATATTCTGAGATAATACTTCAGTATATCAACACATATATGAAATAAGAAAAAACAATACTGTCTTTGTTTAACAATTAACTAGTATATATTATTTAATCTTAGATATAAGAGTACAAGACAATTTCTTAACTTGATGAATTGAAAATAAAGGATTACGAGTTTCTTTGTGATGAAACAATGGATTAGGATTATATTCACTTATTTAATAAAGATCTAATAAATGAAGCAATCCTTAATCATTTAAGGATAATAATAAATCTTGAATAGAATTTGCCAAACATTAATTTTCTATTCACTCTACAATTATAATTAGAAAACAAAAATCATACAAGTTATTTACAAATGATTTATGCAATGTATTTTAACTTTCTTTAGAATAATCACAATTCACAATCACTGTTAACTGATCAATCAAATTAAATAGAGAAAATAAACTATAGAATTAAGAATGAGGAAACAAAATAACAAGTATATTTTTCTTTGAAAATGAATCTTTTATCAGATATAACAGCAATTGATCAAAAATTAAAAGTGCTCGATTTTTAATTAAGCATTTTATAAGGAACAAAAAATGGACTTAGTTAAAAGTTAATTATAACTTGGACTATTTTGTGTGCTTAGAATACAATAGATTGTTACTCTAAAGTTACATCAATAAATAATAAGATTTTACACCCTTATGTGTCAATGATGTATTTAATTTTATGTGAGTCATACCAAAGATTAGACCAAATTTTGAAAGCTTAAACAATGCTTGATTTAGCAGAAGTTGGTTTGAAAGGCTGGTTTGATGCTAAAAAACATCCTTTGAAAGGATTATTTTTTTTTTATTAAGGAAGCTAGGATAGATGGCTTTATCATTAATTATTAATATGTGTCCAAGAAATTCTTTGTTTAAGAGAGTTTGATAAATTTGAAATTGTGTTAATAGTTTAAGGTTTAATTTCTAAGGAGAAATAACTTCTAAAGGCTTTTGACTATTATCATTCTAACTTATTAAAAAATATTACTGCTTCTTTGGCAAACTATGTTTTCTCATAGATTGGTAAACATCAAAAATAACAGATTGAAAAAAAGTTCAAACTTGAAGATGCATAATCCATTTTTGATGATCTAGTTGAATCGAGTTCCATTAAATCATTAAATGGTGTTACGCACTATTTAGATGTAATTTATCTCTTTAACTAAGGCACTGGCAATATTTAATGCATTTGAAACAGAGCACAAATGTATTGATATTATAAGAAGAGCAATAATGGAAGATTAATGAACCTCAAAATAGAATGAAAATATTACATTTAACTTTTTAAGCTATAAAGAAATATTTTATAAGATTAATAGAAAGGTTCTGATTAATTATTGAATTAAGGTGTCATGCAATCCCTTTTAGATCATGATTAAGAGTGCATTTATGTTATTACAGAAAATCTAAAATTGCAGGCTCTTATTTCTTAATACGCTTGCACCAAATTTATAAATATAAAATTATTATAATATCTAGTTTATCTAATTCAAAAATTAATACTATTTTTCAAAATTTGAGGGAAATAAAGAAAATAATAAAAACATTCATAGTTTTTGTATTCACTCCTAACATTATTTTTTGACTCCACTGACACAAAATTTTAGTCCAAACACTTGTCTATTTTATATTTTATTGATACTTCTAGTTCTAGTCTTTGGTACTTTTGATAATATAATCACCTTCACAAAAGAATCAAAAATTAAAAAAGGAGAAAAAGTGTTTTCCTCATCAATATATACCTTTCTTATGAGAAGGGGTTTCAAGCAGAAAAACTAGCATTTTATACTTAAATCTCATTTCATAATATAAAAAAGCTTATTCTTTTTTTTTCTTTTATGCTTGCTTTTATCTTTATTGCTTTTTTTTTCATTTTTTAAAATAGGATAAATTTGATGTTTAGAATTGAAAAATGGTTATCCTGAAATGAATATTCATAGGCAGAAAAATTTAGAAATTTTTACCAAAATTTTCCAAAAATACCAGCATTGTTTTAAATATGTATTTTATTGTTGAATAGAATTAAATTATTCATGAAAATCTTTGAAATGAGAAATAGTTTATTTTCAAGATATTTATTTTTGAGAGGCTGAAGAGTTATGGAGAGCATTTTTAAATGATCTTTTTATGGATCGATTTTTAAACCAATCATAATGAGCAAATTTCTTTTTAATCAATAGTGGATATTTTATCCAAATTTAGAGCTTAATAAATTTAAGAGGAGTATTAACCTGTCGACTACTATAAGAGGCTGTACAAAAAGAACAGAAATAATTTTGAGTAAGATCAATTTCATAACCAGTAATTTTTATTTTTATTGCTTAATTCTTTTTGCAACACCATTATTTGCCATAGATAATAAGTTTATGATAATTTTACCTTCTAATAGCAATTCGCAAAAGATGTTATAGTGACCATTACTTAAGAAGGAAACCAGATTTTAATCCGGTATTTATAATATTTTTTTAAGGGGAAACTGTAATATCATCATCTCAAAAAGCATAATCTAGATATAGCATCAAAGAACTAATTAAATCGCACATGAACTAAATGAAGAAAATTTAAAAACGTATTGAATACAATTGAATAAATACAATTATAGATCTTTGGGACTCTCATTTCAAAATGAAATTTTTTTGAAGATAAGCTGGCGATTTTTAGTATAATCTCAATAATAGATAATGAAAACAAATTACTTAATCAAAATATGAACTAGCAAATTCATAAATTATTTATATTTCTGCAAAAAAATTCTAAGGTAAATCATTACTATAATCAATTAATATTTAATTTTATATCAATATTCTTAAATAAATTCAAACACTTTAATTTATGTATAACATGCATAGAAAAATAAATAGCAAAAAAGCTAATAGAATCCATAAATTATTATTTTTAAAGATTTAATTGAGAATGCAGCTTCCATTTACGCTGTATCATTAAGAGCTAAGCAGAAAATGCTTGTTCCTCATTTAGTGTGTGCATTTGTGCTTAATCAAAAAATAACTTTAGAACATAAAGATGTTTAAGATAGAACTCCATTTATTACGTTGTTCCTTAGGACAATTAGGTTTCTTGCAGAAAAAGGAGCTAATATAATGCTAGAATTGATTTGGAAAGAACTCCATTTTCTAAGGCAAGCTTTTTGGATTATATAATATGATAGAATTTCTTCTTCAATATTCAAACATAGACTTTAAGTATGTGGATATGCAAGAAAGAAATGCTTTATATAATGAAATTTTTGGACTAAAGGAGGTTGAGATGAATGAAAGGTTGGCACTTGGTGTTATGATAATTCTTTGATATTACTTGAAGGAATGGATATAGATGCAAAGACAAAGATGAAAAATACTCCGTTACCTGTAGCAGCATCAAGTGAAACTTTAAGTTCCATTCCTGTTCTTATAGGCTTTTGGGTGTGATTTCAATAGAAGAAATAAATGGGGAAAAACTGCTTTAATAATAGCAGCAAAATTTAATAATCATAAAACTGCTAAGTTTTTAATTTAAAATGAAGTCGATTATTTCTTAGAAAACGAGGGATAAACAGTAATGGAAATTGCTGCAAGAAATGATTGGTTTGAAGTATTTCAATTCCTATTAGATAAAATGAAGCCATAATTATTGAAATTAGAAAAGTTAAGAAAATATAAGTTGCAATCAGTTCTCTAATCTTTAAAGGTTATTACAAAGAGTTTCAATGCAAATAAATATATAAGATATTTCTTAGAAAATTTCTACCCTAAATATAATTAGGATCATGCAGATTTGATAATTGAGATGCAAGATGGTAAACTAAACTTATGTAAAGTTATTTAAAGAATTGATTATCTCAGAAGAATAAATAACTAATGCTGTTGAACTTTGTTTGAAAATAAAAAACATATCAAATTTCAAATAAGCCTTCAGACCTAAATCCAATATACAGTTGCCTTTAAAAATCATTAATTACTATGTTGCTCAATCAACAGAACTAGATATAATACTTTTTAATTTAACATAGATTGGTTTACCTATAGAAGCAAATTGGCTGAAACATTTTTACATTTAAAAATATCGATATTTATAATTTTTAATATTCTAAAATTCTGGTGTTCAAAATAAGGGCTCAAATTTAAATTGATTAATTGTTCTACTGAAATAGATCATCTTGCGAAGTTACAACTTTAACTCTAAACTGAGGAAAATTATAAATTTATCAAAAAGTTTTCAGAAATAACATTTATAGAAAATGAAATGTAATTTTTTGAGACATAGAACATAAATATGGTAAAATTAGGTTATGCTAATTTTACTCATAAATTTAATCCTAAAATTCAGTCATTGTGGATCAAAGAGTAGTCTAAAGTAATCTTATATTGATATAATTAAAATTACACTATTTTGGGAGGTGATATTGTCTCTAATAAATTAAACGATTTAAAATATCCTTTGCTTGCACTATTTAATTAAGTACTGTAGAAATGGATTCTATAATAGATGCTACTTGATTAATATTATTGATAGATAATATTTGATAAATAAATGGCATATTAAATTGTGAACAAATAAAGATCAAACTTTTATTTTTAAATATATTTGCATTTTGATCTACTCATAAAAAGTCTCAAATTTTCATCTGATAATCAATGCAACTTTTTCCAAATAGCCATTTGAATCTACAAGCTTAGGATCTCTCATGTCAAATGAGTGAAAATTTTCTAAATTAGTTTGTATTTTAAGTAAAGTTATAACTTAACAAAGTCCATGTTTAAAATGATACATTTTTGACTGATATCATTATTATTTCTAAAGGTGAAGGAATTTATGTTATTGTTTATATTTGTAAAGTTATCTTTAAATCAACATATCAGCATTTTTGATTTTGTGCTTGCAAAGAATTCAACAATTTTTATAACTATTTCTTCAACTAAACATTAACAATAATAAAAAAATTAATTTGTTTCTAATAGAGTTCATTGTCTAAAATGAATATGTATTTTTCATCTAACGTCTAATGAACAAAACATTTCATAATTCTGCAATCTTCTTATCTTAAAGTATTTTTGTAATAATATGTTATCTCATTCCTTCATATTCACCCAAAGAGTAATTTTGCTTTTTAAAATCATAATTCTTCATTTTTTTGAGAATATATGTCACTTTCATACATCCCTCCAAAATGCAACTTTCCTTTGATTCATCTTTTCTGAAAGAACACCTTTCAAACAAAAGCTGAAAAATTCTTCATCTTAAATTTTTGCTTTATTCCTTATTATTCTTGAACTTTGAGTTTCCCATAAGAAAATAAAGTTAATATTGAACTATATATATATTGTTATTTAGATCTTCCATTTTAGAATTTATAAGATTTATGAAACAAGATTAGCTTAAAATAAAAGGAAACAGAAAAGTGATGCAAATATCTTGTAAATGAGTTCGTCCTCTAGTTTACTAAAGGACTACATTTATCTTAAAATGATAAATAGAGTGTACAAAATTGTAAAGGTTTCAATTGAAGAAGTTCTCAATAGGATTTTACTTTCAATGGGAGTAGATTATTACTAAATTTAGATTCCTCTGGTTCTCTGATTATGTAAGTGGTATTCAAAAGCTAAATTTGTATGTCTTGTGAACGCAAAAAAAAAAAAAAAAGCTTTTAGTTAACTAAAAAAAGGTTTTTCTTCGGCATCATTTGGGGCTTACGCCCCAAATGATGCCGAAGTCAAGGGGCCGGAGGCCCCTGCTTCGGAGGGCGGGTGGGTGGGGCGAAAAAA